CTTGTTTTTTGACTGAACGCCCCTGTCGTTAACCTTCCCAGCATCCTACAAACCTCCTGAAAACCTGCTGTATCCGGAACGAAATATTTTTTAAAGACCGAAATGATTTGAGTGTATGTTGTCAGAAAAATTTGCAATTCTGAATATCCGAAGCTCAGATTCAAATTACTTTCAGCCGTTTGAAAGTTCTGAATTTTTGATTTCCGTGGCAGCGAATCTCCGAGGCCCCTCTCGTCAACCTTCCGAGCCTCCTTCAAACATCCTGAAAACCTGCTGAAACAAAATTTTTGCTAGATTTGGACTAATTTATTGTTGAAAAAAACAACAGAAAAAAAAATGTTCGATGACAAAAAAAATCATTGAATGTTCCTGAACAAACGATCAGCTTTCAAAAAGGGAACGGTCGGAACGGGTAAAACATTGAATGGAATGGGTTGGGCTGGAGCCAGCAAAAAGTTCGAACTCATTTCGATCTTTTTATTATTTATCATTCACTTTTAGAACGCTGATTAATATTAATTCAGCTTTGAAAAGCCTTTCTTCAACCTTCTTAGAATTTTCTAAAGAAAATATCTTATTTGAATATCTAAATTCGAGGGGATTCGTCCTAATGAGCTGTTCGCAGATTCCCCTACGAAGAACCAACATGCATGGAAGAAGTGAAAGATCACAAAAGGCGGCGATATTAAGAAATAATATCTGTCAAAAAACCATACATAAAGCTGTCTAGAAACTTTCATAAAGAAAAATCTCATTCGAATAACTGAACTCGAGAGAACTTCTTCTAATGAGCCGTTCGCAGATTCTCCTACGATGAACCAACAGGCATCGAAATGTTCAAGGAAAAACGTCCAGAAGCGATCTTTGTTGGGAAACAAGGTTTAACCGGGGCATGTCCATATTCTTTTTCAGCTCGAGTTCAATTTTTTTCTATACCTTCAGAGTCTTGAATAATAAGATGGAGTTTTGGAAGATCAGTTTTTTTGGATGTTTTAGAAAAATATGAGCGAAAAAAATCAAACTCATATAACAAGAAATTCGAAAAAAAGAAATTGACAGAAAATTCTAGTTCCAGGTCATTGAGTCTTATGGGGCAACTAGTCATCGCAAAAAAAGCTAAGAAAAACGGCATTTAAATAGTAAAAAAAGTAATAAACTTTTTTTACAAAAAAAGTGGTTCGGATAAAGCATGCATTCTAAAAAAAGTGGTTCGCATAAAGCATAGGGTGGTTCGGATAAAGTAGGTTCGGATAAATCATTGGTTCGGAATTTGGTTCGGATAAAGCACGGTTCGGAAAAGTATTGGCCTCGAGATTTCAGGAGCTTTCTCTGAATAGTTACAGTTGATAATTTCATTCATAAAAAAACGGCATCATGACTCTGACCTCTGATTAAATAATATACTCAAACCGAAACACATTAAAAAAAAGAAAAAGTTTTAGATAAAAACGTATCTATTTGCTCCACATAAACGACTTACGGGTTTCTTCTCCCTTGGACCTAAATCTTTGTGCGCGAATTCTAGCTCTGCCTAACTTTTTTTTGCCTATCGCGCAGCGGGAAGTTGAATAAGTGATTCTATTGAGAAACGAAGTCCATAACATCAGAGGCCAAATAAACACATGGTCCTCGAAAAATATATATCTTCCGGAAGTTCCTTCTTCGCTTCTGAGACGTTCTTGCGCCCAGATTCAAAGGGTTTTTATTTTATTAAAATTCATAGCCGAAATCTTATCGAAAACAGAGAGGGAAAATAACTAAATGAAGGTCTTTGGAGACGTTTTTGCAATTCTTCTCACCTCCTTGTTTTCCCTCAATAACAGCCATCTCTCCATCGACTTTTAGCTTCACGGTTCAAAACTTTCCAACCAATTTTTCCTTTTCCGTCGTTAATTTTGCTCGCTTGGAGTAATGACGCAGTGCCGAACTCATTCGGAGACTGGGAGAGCTTCATAAAATGAGCATTATCCTTGATGATACCGTGGGCAATAAATCCAAGAGAAGCCTAGAGTACAAACGTGATTCTGCGATGGAAACATGACGTCTTCCTAATTGTGGCGTAAGTTGTTAAGAAGAAAATCGGAAATTGTTATACAGAAACTTCTGTGACATAATAAACGCTTTTTGAACCAAAATTGATGTTTTTATCTTATTTTCGCATCTTTTTGCACTTTTTTTAAACTAGCTTGACTGAAGTTTTGGTCAGCGTTCTCTGCCCTGAATGAATGGACGAGTGGAACGGAAAGGCCGCAAATTTTTCATTATCTTCTGCGAGCCGGCCGAATCCACTCGAGAAGACTCAGATAGCGCAAAGTCCGAACTATCGAAATTACTTGTTGTTCTATAGCAAGTCCACGGCTCACCTTTTCCCCTGCTTCCGTCTATCTTCACCTATCTTGCGGGCTGTTCTTTTAGAATTCTCGCTAGCGTCTCCTTCTTAGTAGTCTTTTCTCGCTTTCGGCTTTTTTTTTTCAAAAGCTTGAAAGTTTTTCTATTAGACGTGGCTTTTTAACATTCCATTGAGCATCTTCACATTTTCGCGAAAATTTAATAATCGTTGGTTTTCAAGAAGCTGGATTCGTGCCTCGAACTTTCCCTTTTAGGAGTGTTCCTAGCCATACGCAAGAGCAAAAAAAAACGGAATACATTTGCAGCAAGGGGCGCAATTTGAGAGAAATTATCCTTTTTTATACATTTCATACCAGAATCGATATTGATTGCTTCTCATACTAGAATAAAAGATAGTTCTCAGGAAATAGGTCTATTACTCAGAGTTCCTTTGTCGAGACGAGTACAATCTGGCGAATGGGAGGAGTCTCCATTGTTCTAAGAGGTCTCTCCTTCCTTTTTGCTTTTGAATTGTGCGACCTTTTCTGTTTCGAACACTTGCAGAGTGAAAATCCTATTGAATTTCATTTCCCACCGCAGAGATCTTCGTGAAAAATTCTCCGGCCAAGTTTTTTGACTCTAGGCTCAGCATAGAACTTCTGTTAAAAACATTCTTGCTCTGTGTCTGTGTCGTTTGTGGGTTAGATTTTTGAAAAATTTTACAATGCGGGCTAATAATATTTTCTACATATCCTAGTTAAATTTCGAGTTCGAGAAGGATATTTTTGAAAAGTGTAACTCTCTAAAAAGTCTTTCAGCAGTCTCAAAACAGTTTTTATTAAAACCTAATTACTTTTTTCTCGGAAGAAAGCACTAAAACGTTCTGAGGTTTTTTTATTCCACTATTTTATGCACCACGATGAAAAATATTAGTAAAGAATCCCATTTATTCTTGATTTCTGATCAAACTGGTGATTGAAAAATTTCTCATGGGAATTTTCGCATATTATTACTGTTTTTTGCATAACGGAACGATTTCAAAATCGAAATAGCCTTTTGTATGAGAAAATATCCTTGGCTTGGGCCATTTTTCGTGGCTCGTGAATTGCCTGCTGCGTCTGATGGCAAAGACTAACCATTTCAATCGAAATCTTTGCTCAATTGCATAAGTTCTTCCCCCGCACTCGTACTTGTACAATTCAGCCTTTCTAAACTATACAATACATTTTCTCTTCATATTTATGTAAAATTCCAGAAAGAAATAGATGCTGATTGATTCAGCCAGCGCTCGGATAACTCATGTCTTTTTCACTCAAAATAAAAATAAAATAATAAATTTATGAACTTTCGCTGTTTCTTCGAAAATAATCTGAGGGATGATAGAGAATTCTGAGTCAGGATATGAGCTCAATGGAAAAAAACCCCCCAATCGTCAATGAAACAAAACGATTCTGCGTTTAGTTTTGAGAGTTGAAAAGTTGCAATTTACGGGAAACTGAGCAGAGCGATAAATTCCTTTTTTTTTGTTAACTTGCATTCACCTTGGAGATGCGTAGAGAAAATCTTGTTTTTGTGTTTGTTTCTCGGTCCACGTTTACTCAAACCAAAATAATACAAAGAAAAAATTTCAGTTTTTAGAAAAAAAAGAGTAACTTTCTCTCGAAAATTCAGTAGACATAAAAGGAAATTTCCATGTACCCAGCCCCGTGTTTTCGCCGTTTCATGAGCTCGAACTCGTGAACACATAATCGAGAAGCCATGCGTGTCATTTCAAATTGAGGACTTGTTTTTTTCGCGCCACGGACTTAAGGACATTTTTTTCTGCTTTTCTGAGATTTCAGGAAATACAAAACGTCTTAAGTCTGGACCTTCTGAAAAAATATCTTGTTTTGGTTGCTTTTTTGAATCTCGAAATCCCAAAACGATTGGCTTCGAAAAACGTTTAGCTGATCTTTTCTAGTCTTCTTTTTTCTTTCAAAACAAATTATTGTTCCATGAAAGCCTCAAAGGTTAGAAATCCAATTCTGGATACAAAATATAAGAAGAATCAAATATTAAGAACATGATGTGTATGGCTAAAAACAATAATTTGATTCTCCACAGCTTTTTTCGTCGCTTCCTGTGATCTCCAGATACTTCTATATATCATGCCTGTCTATTTTTCTCCATGAAGTCAGATTGTCGTCCAGAGACAACACGAGATCACTCAAATTGCTCTAAAAATACTCATGAGTCATTTTGTAGTCAGTCCACAAAAGAAAAGCTGAATCTATTTTGAAAAAGTTCCTTACGTTTCCGCTTTTAGTATCAGATATTAGTTATTTTAGATCTGAAGCCTGTTTCGACTTGAATTAATAACTTTCCAATTCAAACTACTTGATTCTTCCAAGAAGACGCTACATGAAATTCAAAAAACAAAACCTTCTAATTTTCGGTCGAAAGACGCATTTTTCCTGATTACGAATGGGAAAACTTTTAAAAGAAGAGCAGTGAAAACAGCCGTGTTGTTTTCCTGCAATTAAGTGGGTTAAGTGCGTTGAAACCGCTTTAAAAAGGTTATTCTAACTTCGTCCTATGAAATGCACATCTATAGGATTTGCAACATCTCCAAAACGTAGAAAGAAGAGGATAAAGCAGTTCGAAAAGGTAGCTTCCTGCCGACCGGCATTTGTATGCGAAGTCGTCCGGCAGGCCTGCTGCAATTCGTCGATGAATTATGGAAAAACTTTTTCCTTTCTTTTCTTCAACGTGGCGCTTTCCTTCGAGCCGCTCTCTGGCCTCTGCACGTTAGGAAGTCCTCACGCCTTTACATTCCTAACAATTTAATTACCGCAATCTGTTTTCTCAAAATAGATCTCCATGGAATCGATTTCGGAATGTTTCAGACTGGAATGTCCATAGAGGAAGTGCCGGAATGCCCGGCGACGTCAGAGGCCGACTTCACCACCGTCCAGTTCCTTTTCCGCGCCTACCTCATGCCGCTCACCTACCTTTTCGGCATCATTTCAAATGCTATCAACGTGGTCGTTTTTTCTCAAAAATCGGTAAGTTAAACCGAGAAAATAATTAGTTCAACCGAAGTTTTCTGTGGACTTAAAACTTTTTTCGCATATGAAACTGACGCTTGATGATAAGGAAATCACGGCGCGTAAAAAGTTTATAGTTATAACTTTTTTTTTTCCTAAACTTACCTAATATTTCTGAGACTTCGCTCGTTTTTTTGAGACATGTAAAAAAACCATAGGAAATCAAGTTTTAATTTTTTTTTCTGAAGCTGTGTTCCAGTTTTTGCCATCAATATTCGTATTCAATAAGACTGTGCACAATTCCATTATTTTTTGCTTGTGAACCATGTAACATTTTATTTTACTTCTGGTTTCCCATCCCGTAAAATTAAGATATTTTTCAGATGCGCAGCCAGCCAGTGAATTGGTTTTTTCTTGTTTTGTCGATCAGCGACTTTATCGTTCTTGTTTCTTCGTTCTTCGTTTTCTCGGCTCCTGTCTACGCAGAATATTCTCGAGATTTCAGTTAGTTGCTCCATGTGGACCTCTTTTCCAGAATGGAAAAATTCAGACTGGTCGAGGACCTCTGTATATTTACTCGTGTGGTTTTATCCGTGGGCTCAAACTAGCCACACCATGTCTGTTTACGTAACGATTCTGGTGTCTGTACATCGGTATCTTGGCGTGTGCCATCCTTTTTTGGTTTGCTCTCGGTGTCAAAAGTTTCTAAAGGAAGAAAGTTAAAGATAAGAAGAATATCAAGTTCAACAGCCGTCAAAATCGTTTTGATCAGCGCAATAATCTTTGCATTTTCTGTTCAACACGAGCCGTTGGTTCGAGCTCTTCGTCAATTCTTGCTATAGTGTTGCACACAAGAGGTGAGCACGCAAGGAAAAAAAAACTGAACAAAAGAAAGGTCGCCTTCCTCGTCCAGACCAGAGATGTGTGACAAATTCTTTCAAAGTAACCGAAAATATCCGATCTTTTAAGTTACCAGCGGTTGGAAAAAAAAATAGCAAGTAATGCAAACTCTAAATAAGTGGAAATCACCCATTTTTAGAGCAAAATGTGCCTGTAGGGATTTTTTTTTCAATAAATTAACTTTACAACTCTGACTCGAGTCAAAAGTGAATAATTTATACTTTTCAAACACGACGGTTTTCCTACATGATTTGCGTGTTCATGCAGCTATCTGGTAAAGACTGAATGCTAGCGATGTACCTGAGCTTTCATCATAGTCTACATCGGAACAGGAATGATTTATTGATTGATTCAGAAAGTCTGCAGTCGTGAACCCGACGGCGTTGATGCTGGACAGTACGTACACAGTCTTTTACCGTAACGGTGCCTACACTCTAGTAATGTTTTTCCTACCTTTTGCCATCCTTTCCTATGTCAATCTTCGGATCATTGCGACGCTGCAAATGTCGCATAAGTGAGTTCCAATTATCCAAAATCCCTTCAAAAACGTACAATTTGAAACCTCCCTCTTCGAAAGTTGATTAACAAAAACCAACTTCGTGATATTTACAGTACTAAAAGAAATGAGAGAAAAGCTTTTTGATTAAAAATTAAATTTCTTGGGAGATCGTTGATTAGAAGTGTTTCCGTAGTTTCTCTTCACGATCAAAGCCTATTAATTTCTTACAAAAGGGTTTATAGTAAATATTGTGGTTATAAATTAGAAATCCTTGCAATCGACCTGTAATCTCAATAAAAACAAAGCTCTAATCTGTTGATTCTGAAATTACTTTCTATGAAGACTGATCATTACAAAGTTTAATAAATATTTTGGCTCGGTGAGCAAAATTAGTTTCAGCATGCGCCGAGAAATGACCAAGTGTCAGAGAATCCGCCGTGATCCGACGGCTCCGAGCGAGACGGTTATCATGAAGCAGGACGGCTGCACCGTCACCAGCATCGAGAGCAGTGCCAACAGCAACGCGAACGGTACCGCTCGACTTTTCAAGAAAAACTAACCTGTGAGATCAGACCGAAAAGAGAACGGAGTGACTGTGATGCTGGTGGCTATCACCACCGAGTTCTTGCTTTTCAACTTGCTTGCATTTGCCACCAATATCATCGAATTGATGAAAGACCATTTGACTGAATTCTTCGGGAGCGGTTATTCCAATGCGGAGACATTGCTCGTTGAAGTCTCTTCCCTGTTCGTCAACTTTAATGGCGCCTCTACAATTGCCGTCTACCTTATCTTCGGCAGCAAGTATCGGGCTGTCTTTTCGAGGGTGAGCAAGAAGCAAAAGAATTTGAAATGAACTGGTGAAAAAGATCAGAGAAGTATTTTACAGTTGCTACGACGTCACTTTGGTATCAAATTCAGCCGTAAGCAAAAAAGAGCATTGTTTGCGTCACAGGCACCGTACGAAACAACGCAGCTTCTTGATTCGAGGAACAACGATTCAGCTGGTTTCAAGTTTAAAGTGAGCACATTTCATCTACAGCCCCTTGCTAGATTAGTCGGAACAGCATAATTAGAGCAGAACGCATTTTAAAAGTTATCATTGCCTGGATTTTTTTTTTACTGAAGCCTGTAAACTTCTGAAAATTAAATTATATCGAAAAATTACTTTCTTTGAATTGGACGAAATGGTCGATTTGAAATTCAAACTGTTTCCTTAATACGTTCATTAAACAAAAGGTGCAAAACTTTGAAGGAAACATAGTTCATTTAGCAAGCGAACAGAAGGTCAGAGACGGACTTGAGATCTTCACGAAGAAAACCTACGGAATACTAACCAGCTGAATCGAAAATCAACCTCCTTACACAACATTAAAACCTTTTTCTGTGATTAAAAAAAACTGAATGGGTTCGAAGTTTTCTTGGCTAGAAATTTGTGAATATTATCAATCATTGTGAAAAAGACAGGTTTTCTGATTACGGGTTCGAAATAAACATTTATTGAAAAACAATTTTATTTTTCCCCGCAAGAAAAGAAAAGATGAAGGCAATACAGAAATTTTCGAGAGACGCGAATTTCTGAGAACCGCCCATCTAAGTAAGTAACAAAGTATACTTATTAGTTAAAAAGAATCAAGCCGAATCGAGAAACCTAGCTAGAATCGCGAAAGAAGTCACTGAACAGAACGAGAAAGCGAGCATAGCTTTGTGGTCAATCAAAGAGTCAGACCTGAAACGCAATTACAAAGAAGAACCAAATGGGTGAGGTAACCTCGCATCTTTGCCAACTGAGGCCTTGGGACCTCGGAAGCACGTCAGTCGTTGTTCAAAAGTGCTGTGATACATTTGCAGTCGAAAAAAAGGAGCTTCACTCACAATTTTCGGCCGAGAGCTTTTTCATCACTGAGTAAGTATACTTCACTTTTTGAGTAATGGTCGCAAATTCTCGCATAACTGAAACTCCAAATGACGAGGACAATGAATGAGTGCAAAGTGGGCCCTGAGTAGGCACGCAACAGCTTTATGAATATTTTGGTTACTGCGATATCTCCAAATGAGCTGATGAAGCCGTCACAAAATGAGAAATATCCCTTCAAAAAAAAAAAAAGCTTTTCAAGAAATTCACGTGTTTGCCGTATTGGAGGCGATGAGCAACGCCTCTTTGTTCTTGTTCAGTTTCATGTCGAAACGAAAAGAGCCCACCAACGAGTTCAGTCTTCTTCTTTCTTCTTCCAGTTGTTCCCCGTCAATCTTAGACAAATACAAAATATGTTTCCTCTGCAATTGAACGATATTCTCAAAATCATGAAAAGATAAATTGATGAACTATGAAAAACTCAGTTGAATCATAAATAAGTGAATCATAAACATCTGCGCGGAGACAGCGTTTGTGAGCGAACGCCTCTATCTTCTCGTCGATATAAACTGTTCGACACGAGTTACAAATATCCAAAAAAAAGAATTTCTCAATTTTAAAACTTGAAACCAGTTGAAGCACAACACTCAAGCCTCAGTTCTTCCATCTATGGGCCAACTCTTGAACTACCACAGTGATCCCAAATGGGAAGGTTACCTGAGAAGACTGTGAGAATGAATTCCAAGATTGTCGCCGCTTCTCCACGCGAATGAGCGCAGGTCGAAGGCCGCAAGGATCTGTTCCTTCCTTGAAATTCGAGTTTTCTCAAAGCAAAAACTATCTAGATACCAAATAGCAATGTGCGACGTCCATGAGAGGAATTGGAATTCGATTTGCGACGTCACTCCGCAAAATTCTTAAAATGACCCGAAGGTCAAGGGCGAGTTTGGTTCTGTCACAGTTTTCCCTAAAAGTTTTGGTTTTCGAACAAAACTTCAGAAAACGTTTTTCATCATGAGTATCCAAAACTACCAAAGAAACAAAGAGCGAAGGTGAAGCGAACCCATAGAAATAAAAATGAGACGTCTTGATGAAAACCTCGCCAGTCACGAAGGCATCGTAAGAAGCATCATGATACTGTGCACCATCTAGAAACAAGTCTTCGGGAATTCAGGTCTAGTGGAAACTTTTGACCTTGAAACAAATTACTGGAGTATTTCCCAGATGAAAAAGTAACCACTTTTTTTGGGAGCAGTAGATCGGTTTCTTCACTTAAAATTATAGTTCAGAAACCTCTCTTTTTGGAAAACAAACTTGGAAAAGAAATCTCCAAGGGCGTCTAAAGACAAGTCGCGAACTCCGTGTTTGAAGAATATCTGAGAAAAAGAAAATAATAAAACGCGAATTTGAACTACTTTTTGTTGCCGAGTGGCTAAAAGCTTCGTGTCAATGATGAGAGGGAACACTGAATTTAGGTTATTCTTGAATTGATCATAGTCATCTGAAACCAACTGTTTAGAGAATGAAGAAAACTAAACTGGAACCTGGCAAATTCCCAATGAAGTAATTGTACAGGTACATAAGGTCCAATAAACAATTATGTCCAATGAGCGGAATCTTGTTTTTTGAAATCGCCTTCACCAAAACTGAGACGCCAGAAAAAGCAGAGATGAGTCTGTATAAATTGTCTTATTACCTTTTGAAAATAAAAAAAAATTGTTGCCTAGATTTTGTATTGAGTTTCAGCGAATCGGTTTCCACCGAATTTTTCACAACCGCAATGATCTGAATAAGTTATTTGGAGAAATGTTTTGAAATCTGAGAACCTTTGAGAACTGTGAACCGAAACAAAAATGCAAATGAGGGTAAAATTTAGACAACTCATGCAAAACGATGTGCGCTTCGATTGAGTCGGGACGATGTTCCCACAAAAACATACTGCAAAAAAGACCAGGAAGGAAGAGATGAATCGGAAAAATACTATTTAGGATTTTCGGAGGTATAACTTCCATGGGGGTATAGCGCAATTTTTACTTCTCCATCGAAATGTGAATATAATTTATCGCTGTCAACTTCAAACCAATCCGAACTTTTCTCGTCAAACTTCTGAATTTAAAAGTTTTTGAGGATGAGAACTGAATAAAAGAATAAAACCTTCTTCCGTTGAACTTCATAGTCAAACAAAACGAGCAATAAGTCCAGTTTCTCTTTCAAATCGTTCCTACAAGTATTTACAGAAACATCCTCCTTTCATTTAACCGACTTTGAACAAAAATCTGAAGAGCTTATTGATTTTTTGAAAGAACGTTGTTCTTCATTGTTGCAATATGTGACGCCATGGAGAAAAATCTAAATATGAAAAAGATGATATAAAAATTATTTATTACCTTATTGAAATCGAAAGAATTATTTTTCAAGAATCTGACTGCATCTAACGAAAACATACTGTCACTCTCAGAATGACGCTTCAACAATGGAATGGAAAAGACATCAACGGTAAATCTATAACTCCAATCGCAAACATAAAGAAAAGACAAAGTCATACCCGAAGTCGGGATTTTGCTTGAAACAAGCTATGCCGAACTGGCAGGGGTGAAACTTTTCGACCGACCTCCGGCATTTCAAATACCTGTCCTTGGAACCATCAAAAAGAGAAAACTCTTTTGATGACAATCCGAAAAATTCGAAATCGATAGCTAAAAAGAAAAAATATCAATAGCATAAGTCAAAAAAAAACCGACAAATGAAGACTTTTCAATAGCTTCTTCGATTTTCGGTCGCCATTCGTGAAAGTTGCAGTCTTTTACTTCATCCATACCTGTTACATAATTTCGGACATACACAGATCAAGCGACGTTCGTTGCCGGCGGTCATTCATTAGCTAACGCTGAAAATCAGCTAACGGATAGCTACTCAGTGGCATACGCTGGACTACCTGGTAAAGCTGATTCACGGCTGACTTGGGCCATCGAGAAAAGGTCACTATAGGAAAAGAGACAGTATTTAGTTGATGGAGGTCTCAGACAGGTCACGGCTTTTTTCGTCCGAAGCTAGCCGTGAATCGGCTATAGTAATCTATATGGTACGTTAGCTAACAAAAGACCACCGAGCAATTTTATCCTCCTCCCTATTGTCCTGTGCATACCCTCTATAAATGACTAACGCCGCTTTCAAAATAATTTAAACTATTTTTACTTTCGCAGAATCACTTTGAAAATTCCATATTTACTGCCGCGTTCAAAGCTAATTTGAAGCGCGTAGCAAAAAATTTTTTCTCGTTCGAAACCAGGAGCCGAATCGCATGCAAACGCGGCAGATTCCGAGACCATGACCGCTATAGCGCAAGACGTTCGCCAGGTCGCAGCAAAAGGCAAGCGATATTGCTCGCGGCTTTCCCGCGACATGGCTTTACTCTCGCTGCGGCATAGTTGCTCAGAGGGGAAACGGTGTATCACTAAGAATAATGGCCGAGATAAACGCGAGACGCTGGCGGTATCACTAAAGATAACTGCCGAGTCTGGCTCGTTTCTGATTTTTTGGACGCGAGCTCGCATTTATCTCGCCATTTGAAAATTTCCGAAATTCTAATTCGCGCCTAGAAAAAAGCGACATGTTTGCGAGTTTTTCAATGTACCGCCACACATCTGTTCAGCCCGTCCGGTTTGGCACACTGTACGTTTAAATTGTGCATACACCAATAGCGGTTTTTGGGCGATATCTTCGTTATTAACGCGCCTTTTGTACGAAAAAATAAACAAATATTTGTTTATACACGGCGTTCCACGCAGTGAAAGCAAATGTAAAAAGATTGCCGCCGACCGATGGAGCGCACTTTGTGCAGGCCCCCGCGAAATTCAAATTTTTTTCGGTTTTTATGTCATTTTTCGGTGGTTTTTCAAATTATTCTCTGTCTATTCATGTTTGGGTTTTGCGAGATGTCCATATTGTGAAATAGTAGCATATTACACGTCTATTGAAAGCGGTTCCATGGAATTTCGTTCAAAACTGAGGGAGGAGTTAGTTTTTGAAAATTCGTCAATTTTTTTGTTCACAGTTTTCGCTGATTTTGCTCGTTTCTTTTTATATAACAGACGCCATTATAGATAGCACTCCCAAAAGTCTCCTTTTGGCGCATTCCGCGTGCGTGCGCGCGCCAATTCAAATTTCGTCTCTTGGACTAGATTTACAGGCTTCCAGTATATGGTTCTTTTTGTATAATTTTTTTCTTGCATAAAAAAACTTCCAATTAATTTTTACCCGGGTATCATATCTATGATAACTTGATATACGGGCAGAGTACCTGAAATTTTTTTGATTTCTACCGAGTAGCCTGGAAATGCTTCCCAGGTTTTTTTATTATTATTGTTTTTTTAGTCACTTCGGTTTTCTAATTTTTTTATTCATTCTGTTTTCAGACTTCCTTTGAAATTTGTATAAGCTTTACACGTTGTTCTCCATTCGCTCATGAGAAACGAAGAATGAATTTCCAGCAGCACATTTCCTTATCATGCGAGGAGCTTTGAAAAATCTTATCTCCGCTCAAAAACTTTTCCAAAAAAAAAAAACTTTTTTCACGGACCTGCGCGGCATTTTTTGAGAACAGATTTGGAAACAGCATGAAAAACTTCATTTAGTGAACTGGGTCTCATTCTGAAATCCAACTGCGACCAGACACCATTCCTTGGTCAGCTAGAGCTAAAATTTATGCTCGACGTCTCACGATGGACATATTATGGAATATTCAAGATTCATTTTAAGAGGTATATTTGTGGGCACATTATGGTACCTTTCCCATTTGCCTGTGCAAGTGAGTGAAGGCGAAAATTTGAATTGGCGCTAAAACAAGAAAAAACTTTCTTAAATAAAGTTAGATTCCCTAAATGAGTCAATATTAAATAAAAGAAAACTGGAAATGAATAAGTAAGAAAAATTATACAAAAAGAATTCTTTCTAGTGCCGTGTTCAAAGTAATTTCCGCGAAATGCAAAATGATCTCTGACTCTCCAAAATTTAGTGATCTTTTCCTTTCTCTAACGGGTATTTTGCATTTCGCGGAATCAAATTGAACACGGCATAGAACCATATACTGGAAGCCTGTAAATCTAGTCCAAGAGACGAAATTTGAATTGGCGCGCGCACGCACGCGGAATGCGCCAAGAGGAGACTTTTGGGAGTGCTATCTATAATGGCGTCTTTATATAACTCTTTGGTTTTAATTAGTTTCATTGCCAAATGTCATTTTTTTCATAATCCGAGATTCTTTTGGTAAATCACAGCTAGGCAGTGGTCGCGAAAAATATCCGAATAATAAACAATTACTGGTGTTCAAAACTATATAATTATCGTCTCCGATGACCTGCTTCATGTGTTCTATCAAAAAAATAATGTAAGGTTGAGTGAACGTAAAGTTTTTTTCTCCAGAGCGCGACTTAAAAAGTTCTTCAATTACTCTCGGTTGTTGAAATATTTGTAATCAGTAATTTAGAGTTTTCCCTTTCCGAAATCGTTCCTAAATTTTTTTTAACGCAAGTGAATGTTTTTTTTCACATCATAATCTTCAAACTGACAAGATTTTGAACATTTCAGAAGTTATTATCCTAAAATTGCAAATTCTAAAATTGAAAAAAACAATTTTGAGTATGCGATAGTGCGTCTCGGTGTGCTTATACCCTAAACATCATAATTTACGAGAAGTCTTGACCTTGCGTAATAAAAAAAACGCCGTGAAATTTGAAGAAAAACGAATATTAAACATTCAAAGATACAAATTTAGTTTTAATAATCAAGTTTTTGCGAACGCTGGCAAGCCTTGAAAAATGGCCTACTTTAGGAAATGCGTCTTTAGTAAGTGAAAAGTCTTTTTTTCTCTGTAATTTTTTATCTATTAATGTCAGAGATTGCCTTCTTAATTGTATTCAATACAAAAAATGATCAAAAATGGTCTAGTATGGCCAGCGAAGACGGCGCAGTGCAAACCGGACGGGTCCCTGTAGGTCTGAACTGGTGTGGCCAGCGACCTCTCGGCAGTTATTCTTAGGGATATATGCGCCCCATTACAGAGTTGGTAACGCGAACCGTCGGGACATTTTTTTAGTGACCACTTTAGTAGCGTCAGCAGTCTCGAGTGATCTCTAGAATTGCACAGAAAAATTAAAAAGTTATAAATTAAATATGTTTCATGTTTATTCATCTTTTTATCAATGCGCTGCTCGAGTTTATAACAATTAGAATGCACTAAATTCGAAATACCGGAATTTCCCTTGGAATTCTTTTTTTTTTTCATAAATTTTTTCGAAAGTGCTCAAAATAATGCCGTGTTCAAAGTAATTTCCGCGAAATGCAAAATACCCGTTAGAGAAAAGAAAATATCACTAAATTTTGGAGAGTCAGAGATCATTTTGCATTTCGCGGAAATTACTTTGAACACGGCATAACTTTAAAAATTGAGCATAAGCACTGGCTAGTATTAACAATATATGAAAAAAATTACTTCAAAACGGTTTTTAATGGAAAAAGAAAAAAAAAATCAGTAACCTCCGCGCGTGCGCGCACCAGTGCCGGAGTCCGAGCTGCTAAGTGGTCCTTTAAGGAATCCGCTAAAATCGCAGATTCGAACTTTTCGATTCAAGGTTTTATTTTTTTTTTTTGTGAGTCATCGTTTTTAGGAATTCATGCCGTGTTCAAAGTGATTCCGCGAAATTCAAAATAGCTGTCAGAGAAAGAGAAAGATAACTAAATTTTGGAGGGTCAGAGACCATTTTGCATTTCGCGGAAATTACTTTGAACACGGCATCAAAAACTGTTCAAAATTTGCTTCAAGGTTGCCTTGTTAAGTGAATAGGTTCTCTTAACTGTTTATTCATTTTCCAACATTTCGAACGAATCAGTTGTTTTCCTCGTTTCCATTGCTTTCAGGAGTGCTCGGTTGAACACTTTGGCTCGCCTCCGTTTCTTTTAAGGGTCTTATAAGTTTTGCCTGAGTTTTTCTTTGTTCAAAAAAAATTTTTTTTTCTTTGGTACCTCACTCTCCAATTCATCAACTTCATATATTGCTGCACGCCAAAGCTCTTTTCGCTTCTCCATCTCTTTTCTCATCAAACATAGATTCTAAATAAATATTTTTCATGCGATCCAGAGTGAATAAACCTTTTCCTGAAGTTTCAAACGTCTCAGTAGTTCCGGTAAGGACACATCTTTTCCAGTAGGCTTCAAGGATTTTGAATGAAAATTTATCAAAATGTGAAGAGTACCGATATTGTAGCCATTTTACGTTGAAATGCTGTTTCACACGTTTTGTATTGATTTTATTTTATCTGGTCGTCTGCAGGAAGCTCGTGGAGATGAGCGGGAGCGACTCTGTGGAACTGACTGTAACTTTCATACAGCCTTTGGTTGAGTAATCATTTTTCAGGATGTCGGCTTCCATGCTCTGAGAAAGTTCCGCATTTTCAAAAGCGAAGATGAAGCTCTTAAAAACCCTCAAGTTTTCAACCGAGTCACCGTTTCTTCACCTCTTTCTCTAGCCTTTGTGGCCTCTACTAACGAAGTATGAAATGAAAGTATTTTTTTGTAATTTTTTACAGATTTTTGTGTTTTTTTCTGTTCGAGAGCTCAGTGATTTTTACTGTTAGCAAAAGAAAAATATGAATCAAGAAGTACTAGATTTGTCCATTAAAAAAGTAAAAATTTCTGATGCCGAGGTGGGAAAAGTTCCATTAATCACCATTCTTTCGATTTATTTAAGATGGTTCACGGTATTGGAGTGAATAGTAACGGCAACTACCTCGGAGTGTACATTTCCAACGCAAGCGGGGCTTTCGTATTGATTTATCGAATCCAAGATCTCGCAGTCAGTGACCAGGTTTTTTTTTCTCACTTCAAAAGGCTTTCTGAGCAAACACGTCCATAAGGCGGTTCCGGCTTACAAAACGAGAGTTGGAACAGATGTTGGCACAAAAGGACGTGCTTTCGAGTGGAATCCAGCTTTTCCTGATATCTTCGCAGCGAGCGCCTCTGATAACTCTGTCCTTGTCGTAAAGCTTGATTTTGATGTTGGTTATCTCTTTATTTAAAGTTTGAGTGCTATTTTTCTTTCAGAAAACTTCATTGGTCAGCATAGTGGGGAACAAGAAATTGGGAGCCACGGGACTTTTTATAAGCTGGAGTCCCAAAGGAAAGCAACTTGTCGTTGGTGATAGTTGTGGGAAAGTCGTACAACTCAAGCCAGAACTCGAGGTTTCAGTTTTTCATTTTCGAATTGATAATACATGAAAGAGAAAGAGACCAGCAAGAAATTTTCTTTTTCGAAATTTCCAAGTGTTGTTTAGGTCGTCAGATCCATTCCGTCACCTGGTGCGACCCCCATGGCCGTTAGCGGCTTGTGTTGGTTGTCTACAACCGAGTGGCTCGTTTCTTATTCTTCCGACAATCTTAAACAAGAAGCCTTTGTAATGACAGTTAAAAAAGTTGTTCATTATCTCAATGCTGCTATCAATCGAAGAGTTCCAGGATAAGGCGCCTGAGTGGGCGAAACTGTCAGATTTGGGTTTTTGCAATCCAAAATCGTCTCTTCAACCTGTTCTGTTTTCTTCAACCGAGCTTTTGATCAACTGGAATGTAATTTTGGTTGCAAGTTCGAAGTTCGGCGATGTTTATCCAGTGGGAAAGTTGGCGACCGAGTGGCAGGTGAGCTATTTTTTAATTCGAGTATCTGAAAAGCCAGTGTTTTGAAGGTTTGGATTGTGGATGAAGGCAGAGGTGTGAATCTCCCGACGACTTCCAATCGACAGGAATCTTTTCCTCTCGGAATCGCCATCGATCTTTCTTCACAGAAGGAAGTTTTCCTAGGTTTTCTGCTATATTGTAATTTTATCAAGATTCTCAACTGATTTTTTTCAGATCCAAGTGGTCAAAAACGATTCAAGCCCTCTCCCATATTACTTTCTCTCACTTCTGATGGCGTCCTCGTGGCCTATCATTTCATTTCTGAAAATCCTGCTCACGCTTCTTGCCAAATGTACGTTTAAGTATCGAAAAAACTTACAGTGCAAAAAAAGAAAAGGAAATAAAACGATCTAAAAGTAAAAATTAACGAGTGCTTTTAGCTTATGGAGCGAATTAATGGAGGAAAGAGGGTTTCTCACTGTCAAATTATCTTTTCTAGTTTCCCTATCTACTTTCATTATCTTTTTCAGGCAGTCACAGCCTTGTTCTTTGAAAGGTGCTGCGAAAATTGTCGACTTTTCCGTGTCCGGTTCTGGTGAATTTCGTTTTCATTTTTATTAATATTTCTACCTCATTTTCAGTACCTGCTGTGAAACCTTCTACATCTTTCGTTGGAGGTTAGTTTTCGATGCTTAACGAAAAAAAAAAGAATTCCAGCAATGCCTACTGATACAGAACCTACGAAGTCGGGATCTTCTCTTTTTGGAGGTTCGTATTCTGAACATAATTTCAAAAACATTTTTTTGAAGGAATGGCGGCCGGAACAGGAATGCCAAAACCTGCTTCTCTTTTTGGAGGTTTAAAACTCCAAATTTTTTTATTTTAAAAACTAAATATCAGGTCTCACCACGAGTAAAGAAGCTTCTCAGCCCTCACCTTTACCGTTTGGAGGTTCCGTCACATACTTTTTCAAGTGGTTCAATTTGCTTTTTGAATATCAGAGGGGTCCCAAGTGAAGACTGACGCGAAGCCTTTTTCTAATTTTTTCAGCTGTAAGTAAACTAGAGAAATGATACATTTTTGTAAAAATTTTAGCTGTTCCAAAAACCAGCGACACAACTTCTACAGCTACCGTTAATGGTACATTTGCTATTTTGTTGATATCAGGTGCTAAATAATCTAGCATCAACCTTTGCCAAACCTTCGGAACCTCTCTTCGGAGGCCTGAAGACGCTCTCGACGAATTCTGCTTCTCCAAAAAGTCAAGATTCAGTTGGCTTGACGTCGCTTTCTGATCCGAAGAAGCTGGCTCAAACTTCAGCCGCTGTCAGTATCTCCTTCATCGACTATCATAACTCACATTTTAAGACAAAACAGGAAGAAGATGAAAAAAAGAAGTTGGCGGAAGAAGAAGCCAAGAAGCTAGCCGAACAGAGAAAAACGGCTGAACTGAAAAACACCGTCATTTCCCGCTTTTCTACAGTTAATAAAGAAAATTTTTCTCTAATCTTTTTCTTTTCAGATTAATCAGAAACTGAAGGACTCGTTTTCGGATCTCGGACAGTTGTCGGTCGGTCTTTCGAATGTTTCATTTCTAGTTTCCAATTGTGGTAGGCGTTTATTTGAAAAAATAATCAGCCTTTTTTGTTCTTTTTCAGTGGAATCGGTGCACTTCACCGAAGAAAATGTCAAGGAAGCCGTGAAAGAAATCGATTTATTGCTTTCTGGGATCTGTGAAGGTGCCGTGATTGCCAAGAAACACATCGAAGGTTCCAATCTTGCTCGCCAATAGAATAACTCTTTTTCAGATATCAATACTGAAGTAAAAGATAAGAAGAGTTTGCTCGCCGAACTCAACGACGTCGAGATGATTTCCAAGCGTTTGCGGGACTACGACGACGCAGATAAAGTTGTCTTTTTCCTGAAAACGACCGAAAATTTCATCTTTTCAGCAAATACGCTTCACAAAGCTCGAAACGTCCGTCGATTCATTGAATGAACAGTACGCTAAGGCTCTCACTCTGCTCAAAACCCTCCAGACTGCTCAAAAGGTCCGTTGGAAAGTGTAGTCTGTTGAAAATTTTCTACTCAAATGGAAAATATCATTCATCTGATCATTTAGAACGTGTCTTCAATGTTTTCTCCTCGGCGTAGCTCTCAAAACGCTCTGACGTACGAAGAAGAGACGACTGTTTTGAAAACGACACGCAACGTTTCCAAGATCGTTTTGGATGTTCGCGAGAAGCTCGAAAGATCTGAAAGAGACCTCGCAATTATCAAGAAGATGTTGTTGAAAAAGTGCGAAATCGACTTTTTTCTTTTATGATTTCTTTTTTCTTTCAGGAAAGATGTCCGCTTCACGGGGAGCCATCCCAGAGAAGTTCCGGTAGTCAAAGTTTCAGCTTCAAGAGCTCTGGTCAACGGGTTGCTTGAAAAAGAAGAGATTCTGGCGCTGCAGAGTAAAATACGAGAGAAAATTCGAGCCAGAGTTAGTTTTTATAGTTATAAACATTGAGAAATTGGTTTTGAGGAAAAAAATCCTGTTGTTACGCGGAAAATCGCTAGCAATTCATTTGCGAAGCCGGCTCCAACGACACCTCGCGCACCCTTCAAATCTCTGGACACTTCGAATTTGTCCAGAGCGCTTCTCAACGTTTCTTTCATTACAAAGTTCCGCGGTTTTGATGTTTCCCTTTTTGAGGTGAGCCTGACGCCCCGCAGAACGGCTGCGAACACGACAGCCCTTCGGAACACTTGCGACGCGGCGACGCAGGCCGATTCTCCTCCGGTGGTGAAAGTGGAAAAAGTGGTAGTGACGGTCGCCGAAACCCCGGCGACGACTTCCTCGAGACCTTTCAACTGCCCTTTTTCCGCAAATCACCAAAGCGATCCCTCCGAAGAGCTTGGACTCTGAAAAAGCGACGCCTCTTTTCCCCTCGCTTTCCAAGCCATCGCAGCCTCTGTCAAGTATTTTTTCAAAAACAGAAACTAGTAAGTTTTTTCTCGGAAATTTTTAAATAAATCTTGATTCGAATAAGAATCTGATCATATTTTAATAAGAAATACGAAATCAAATTTAGGAAGTTTCAAAACGTTTCAAGTTATTTCGAGATTTTTTAAAGATTTTCTACCGTTTCAGCGACCGAGATGAAGCCAGCTGTTCCAAGCTTTTTCTCGTCGACTCCTATCGCAGAAATTCCACTTCCGTCAAGCGAAAAGCCGAGTTCTTTGTTTGGAACCTCTGAGAAAAAAGTTGTCGAGACGCCCATTGCTTCAAATACGAAACCGAAGGATGTTATCGAGCTGCCGGAACCGGAAGTTACAGCTACCACGCCCGGTTGGTTTGCTGACGAACTCTTAATATAGTGCGCGTCATAAGTATAGGACCCCCCCCAAATTGCAAATTTCTAGAAGTTAGAAAGAAGTTGAGGAAATCCTGTTTGTATACGATTGTTAAGTGCACGAAAAGGACTTTCTGTGCAAAAGATCTCGGATGAACTCGAGTCTATACAGAAACGCGAGCGAAATAACCGCGAAAACACGTCGCGTCAAATTATAGGACCCCCCCTCCAAAAAGCTCATTTTCTTGATTTTTCAAGTGCGAATTTAGAGAAATAATCTCTACTTTTGTCTGGGCATCAATATGGATTAAATTTATCACATCTACTTGTTTGAGTTGCAAATACCTCATCAAATTTACCACAGTGACTGTAAACGTCAAAAAAATGGTTTCAACTGTTAATTGACGCTTTTCAAAAATTAAACTCATCACTTTCAGCTTGAAAACACTTTTCCCTACTTCTCATCCCTTTCAAGGATCTTCTGAATTTTTTCCCGCCCAAGTTACTCTGTTTCCTCATCAAATTTCTAGAAACGACCTATTTCTATTGAAAAATTTGCGAAAAAAGGGAATGTTGCAAAATTTCGGGGAAATTCATCTTGGGACAGCGTCTCAGTAGCCTCTAAAACGCGGAATAGAGCAACTTGAACCAATTCTCGTGAAATATTTTCAATGTGCCAAGTTCTGGAATAGTTCAAACTAGTTTAGCAGATAATATTTGTCATCATTAATATGATAAATTGAAACTTTTTCAAATTATCACAATTCAAAAAAGAAAATCAAGAAAATGAGCTTTTGGGAGGGGAGGGTCCTATACTTTTGACGCGACGTGTTTTTGCGGTTATTTCGCTCGCGTTTCCGTATAGACTCGAGTTCATCCGCTGACAGCATATCCTCAACTTCTTTCTAAATTCTAGAAATGTGCAATTGAGGGGGTGGGGTCCTATACTTATGACGCGCACTGTATCAAGAACTGTATACAGAGTCCAAAGAACCTGTAGCTCTCGTGGACGAGGAGGTTTCCGCCGAGGCATCTGGAGAAACTGAGAAAAAGCTTGTGGAAGAAATGAAAAAAGAGGACGAGGTTCATAAAATATTGATTCAGAAGTGAAATTCTGTTCATCCAGGTTGTACCTGCCATGCCTCCTTTGAAAGAAGACGAGCCGAAGATTATCTCTCCGCCAGTCACCACGTCTGTCCCAGCTCCAACTACTCCGTCCTTCGGAAATGTTTTCTCAAGTTGGCATTTTACTTTCATTCTGCCCATAATTCCGTGTAAAACCTCCATTTCGTGTAAAATCTTCACTCCAAGTGGTCGCTCTCATTTCGGAGTTTCCACCTACAGGACGGTCTCCATTCTCCAGCACACCATCTGCTATATTCTGAACTTGTCAATGCGCAATTGAATGAACTACGTGCAGAAGAACGGGGCGAAGGACCGTAAGACCATGATTTCAGCTCTTTCGACTACAAGTTTCGGACTTCTAGTTCGCCAAAGGCAGTTTTTCGTTACAACTTCAAAAGTTCTTATTCACCGCCTAGTCGATTACATCGGGGGATAAAAAACAGAATGAATGTTTCGATTAATAAGTCAGTAAAAAGCGTTGGCAATTGAAAAGCTCTCAAACTTTTGAAACATCATCATGTTTACTAGCCTCTCTTAATCGGATACGAAGAAAAGAAAAAGGATTTTCACAGGTGCCGGCACAACCGCGCCCAAGTCCTTGTTCGGATCGATGACTTCCCCCGCACCTGCCACAAACTCCATATTTGGTGGAGGCATTGGTCGGGAATTCCCCTTTCTTTTCCCTCAAATCTCATTTTACTTTCAGCTTCAACAACGCCTGCGAATACTTCCAGCTCAATTTTTGGCGGCGGTATTTCAGGTTTGTAGTTCTCCTTCCATCATTTTAACTCTGGACTTTTTAGCTTCTGGAAACGCTTTTGGATCTTTCGGACAAACGGCTTCTCCACCAGTGAACTTTTCATTCAAAACTGGAACTGTGGAAGTTGTGAAACGTATCATTCTAACAGTATATAAATGCTCATTTTTCATCTTCCAGCGGTATCTCCTGCTGATTTTTCATTCAAAACGGGAACGCTCACTCAAACACCCAAAACGACCTCCATTTTCGGCGAAGCCAAGCCAGGTTTTTTTTTCAGTTTTTTTCATAAAGAATTCATTTTTTTCCTGTAGTATCTGAAGACGTTATGGAGGACGATACCGCAACGGTGCAAGGTTCTTCAAATACTGGTACCTCCAGTCTTTTCGGAGGCGGAGGTTTCATGAGGTTGATTTTGAGCCAATTTTTCTTAGAAACTTTTTAAACGATCCCGTTTTTAGTTTTGCTGCAAAATCGCCATGGCGCGCGCTTTCTAGTTTTTTTTTTAACTGCTGTACGAAAAAAAGCTCTAAGATCGGGGAAAAGTCAATCTTGCTGGTTGAAGCACTTGGAACACGGAAGTCGTTAGATGAAATTTTTTTAAATTCAAACGCTGCTTTCGGGGTTGTGCTGTTTTGTACGTTTCTAGCGCTGCTGTAGAAGTATAGGATGTTTTGTACTGATCTCTAGAAACGGGACTTCATTTATGCAATTATGCAGTATGATAGTTCGAAAGACAGAACCTTCTGCGCAGAATAAAAAATAACGAACTTGAAAAAAGGTGACGTAAAAGCATTTTTGCTTTTTATAAAAAAAAAACGTTCGCAAATATAATTTTAATTTAAAAGCACTGAACGTTGCATAAATCAACAATGACACGTTCGATAGTTTCTTCATGAAGCTTACACGTTCGGAAATGTTTCAGTGGACTTGGTGGAGCGAAGTCCTCAAATCCAACTGCCAATGTTTTCGGGAAAATGAGTGCGGGTTCTCAGCCTTCGAACAATAGCTGGCTTTTCGGTGGTGGTCAACAGCAGAAGCCACAGCAGCAACCTCAGGTAAGAGTCCTGGAACACTTTTATCGACGTTATTTTCTCAAGAGTTCTTTTGGTTCTTTCGGTGCCGCAGCTAATCAATCTCAGCCGCAGACGTCTTCGGTAGCCTTTCCTCTTCTCGATATGTTCCATGTTCAATTTTTGAGGTCTTTGGTTCGAGTCCGCAGTTTGGAGCCGCTTCCAAATTTGGCGCAGCTCCTGCGTTTGGCGCCAAGCCAGTCTTTGGCAGTTCCGTCGCCCAAGGCCAACAGTCGGTGTTCGGCGGCGGCGTCAAGGAGGCTGGAACCGCCGGATCCGGATTCGCGCAGTGAGTTTTTTGTGCTCACAGATTTTCGCTAGTAAAAAAGTGATGATTTTCGAGCATTTGAGTTAAAAAAAACCTTTTTATATAAACATACATTTACGATCAAATTTATGTTTTTCTAATGTTTTTCGTCCTTTTCACACCACAAAAACGCATGTCAAGCAATATATCTCCTTTCCACTCAAACAACTCTTATTGTTCTTATTAGTTGACTTATTTTTTTTCAAAACAAAAAGAAACACTTGTTTTTGTGGCTTCTAGAAATGTTTAATGTGGCGAGTTTTTTTTAACTTAAATAAGTGCGAAAAAAACGGGCTTGCCTCGTTTTTTTGGAAAGCCCGTTTTTTTCCTGTTTCCTGTGACTTTTCTACAATGTCTCGTATTGATGTCACATTTCCTTTTACGTTTTGAGGCGTGGCGAACCAATCAGAAACAGAACTCCCAAACAAACATTTTACGAACTGTAGCAGTAAATGTATAGAGATTCCAAAGAGTTATGGAGCGCTAGCATTTTTGTATATATTTTTTCGTTCTTAGATTTGCTGGCAATTCTCAGTCTTCATCGATCTTCGGAGGCGGTGTCAGTCAACAGACGACGGGGACGAGCAACATTTTTGGAGGAGGATCTGGCACCACGGATCCTTCCAAATCGAGCGTTTTCGGCGGCGGCGCAAAGAGGTTTCTTTTTTGGAAAAAAGGCAACAAGTTCACTCAAACTGATTTTCAGCTCGTTCACGTCTTGGAGATAGTTTTCACATATTGTCAATTAAACTTCAATTCTTGTTAATTTTTTCCTTGCCCCCAGTGATGTTTTGCGATATGAATTTTCATGAGATTTCCAAATATTACACAATGTACACGTTTGACAAAGAAAAAAAGAGGCAAATTAGGAATTTTGATTGATGTCGTCTTGTACGATTTTGATTATGGGATGGTAAATATCGTTTGGCGCTCGTAGTCCCCAAATGAAATCCAAATGATTGTAGTCCGTTAACTTGTTGTTTTGCTGGAAAAAAAAAATAATGAGGAAAGAGTATTCTTGACGGTTGTCCTACCACAATTGTAGACGGATTGAGATGAGTGAAAAGATAATTCTGAATGTCGGTAGGATCGGCCAGCCAGTCCTCATCTCCCCAATAGAGATAGATGGGATTCTGGACGGTGGTGAAGTCGTAGCTCGGCGGATTGGCTTGGCCGTACTTCTTCTTGTTTTCTTTCGTTCCCCAGTCGTACATAGGAACACCGCCCTTACGGACCATCTGCGGAAAAAGTTTTTCAATCATTTGGCACTTGGAATAACCTGGAGCCAATGAACGACATTCATTGAGGATGTTCCCGCGGGAGTGTGAGAAGTGTAGATCGGCACCCGTGTCTAAAACCTTTTGATTTTATTCTTCAAGGCGCTATGCGTTGAATGGAATGGCTTTGGTGCTGACCTTGTTGAGCTGGTTGCTCTCTGGGCCGGCGATGAGGAACAGAACGTTGTCGCAAAGGTCCTTCTCCACAGGGAGACCTGCGCAAATCGCCTGCGAAACGAGTTGCATCAGCCAGTTGTTGGGCAGGAATTCGCCTGGTCCAAAAATATCGAACCAGCCCTGAAAGAAACTTCTTGTATAATGAGTCCTGGCACGGCACAAACGTCGAATTCGGGACTGAAGTAGTCGGCCATGAACTTGAGCATTCCTTTGATGTTTTTGACTTGTCCCACTGGCGCCAAAGCGAAGAACTTACGGATCTGGAACAAAAACTTCAAGCTTCGATGTGACAAATAAAATTATTTACAAATATTTTTTGCCATCTGTTGAATTTCTGTGATATCGTCATGAAATATACTAAAATGGCTTTTTTTTTTTTCATAATCGCGAATTTTCTTTTTCTTTCGGAGAAGAGCTGCCAGAGAACGGCTAGAATACACTCTGACAGCTTTTATCAGTAGTCAACAAAGTTTTATCACCTTCTTTCCTTATCAACAACCTGTTGGCCACGTGTTTCGTGCTGGTTTTCTTTTTTTTTCTGAGAACTGTAACATTTGCGTATTACTTTACGAGTTAATAAAATGGATGGCTTGACATGAGAATTCAAAACTTCGAAAAATATATTAGAATAAAGGTTATTAAGAGCTTTGCTCTTTTTATGTTGTATTAAACTTGATACAGTTTTATTCTCAATAATTTGATAAACACCTATTTATTCCGAATTTCAAATTTCTGGAAACTTAAAAAGGGGAAAATAATTTTTTTTTTTTTGAATCAGCAGTTGGTTCATCGGACCTTCACGGTTTGTGAGTAAGTTTAAAAATTCAGAGGTTTTTTTTTCATCATTTAGAAACTCTACGTGAATATATTCCACACTTGAGGGTAACTGCAGATGTATCGAAACGTCATCAGCAAAAGTGTTTGAATAACCGTAAGACCGTACCCATGAAGAACTTCTTAGAACTAAGATGATAAAACCAAATTTTTACGACCAGATTTGCGTTTCAAATCTTGAAATAGGAGACTGAGTAAAGCGTCACTACCGTAACCCAGGGAAAAGATAACGGCGCCAACCTTTTTCGAGAAGCTCCCGTCGGAGTCGTTAGAAAGACGGCTGAACATGGTGAGGGTGCCTTGAGAGTGGCCCATGTAGTAGAGATGGTCGTTTCCTGTCTCCTGGAGCACTTTGTCGATCATCGCCTCCAAGTCGTACTTGGCCATCTCGTCCCATCTGAAAATACTACCTTCTCTGTGAGAAAAGCTAAATGGAAAAAAGAGAAGTCCCCTTTTTGAAATGCTTTCCGAGTTTATCATTCTGATTTTTACTCTGTTTGTAAAAATACTAAGCTTCTCGATTCGCGAAATAACCCAACAGACTCACGTCCATTTCCAGAAATCCGAGTGTGAAGGCTTCAAGTTCTTGTGTTTCATACTGTAGGTGTTTCCGCGCATGTTGCCCAACCAAACGTCGAACCCGGCGTCAGCAAACAGGAATCCTGTGAAATTTCGGATTAAATAACTATTTTTTTATATCTAATTCAGATGAAAGTAAGATCTGCTGTATTTTCTCCTGATTATTGTCATCAAGCACACACCTGCGCTCTCATTGGGCAGGTTGACGATCCAGTTGCTGCTGCTGCACTCCAAACCGTGCTGCATGAAAATCACCGGTTTCTTCCCGTTCGGCCACGTTACGTTCGCTTCAAGACCATTCTTGAGAGAGGCAATTCTTTGAAAAGTCTCACTTTTGCCGTAGGGAATCCGGTGAAGCTCAAGGATATAGCCGTCTTCTGTGGTTACGTCATAAATCATGGCTGGATAGCCCCAGCGCATGATTATTTGAGGCTGCAAAAAGAACTTCTTGAATTCCCCGGAAAGAATTCATGAGGTAACGCCTTTTTTTTTTTATAAAGGTGAGAAATTGTACATTTACCCATAGCATTCTCAAACGAATTCTTCCTTTTGAAGTAAGAAATCGTGCATTTTTAATAATCTCAGATGTTTCCCTGTACATACAAGGTCTTGCAGCGAATTTTTAAGAAAAAATCGGAAAAAGGACGTTTTTTATTCTCGGAATTCTCTAAGCTAAAATGTCATTTTTTCGAAGCTTCAACTTCAGATTAACCGTTTGAGCTCTTTTTTCCAAGAAATGAGCATCCACAAGCGGTATTCCAAGCAACAGGGCCTACCGTAGTTTCGTGCATTTCGGGATCGTGATCGACGGCTCCGACGGCGGCCGTCAGCAGCACGGTGGACAGGAGACGCCACATGGCGCGCAGAATGCCCCGGGAGATAACGGCCAACTCTTTTATAGTCGCATGTCTTTTCGTCATTTCGGGTGTGCGCCATCTTTGATCGATAATCGAGTTCTTGGATTCAAACAAGGACTATGCAAACTTTATGCTCTACAAAGTTCACAAGACAACTTCATGCAACAAATTTTGTTGAAAATAAATCAAACATTTTCAAGGCTTGTAGAAGGATGAGGTAGAGTTAGCTAAGGAAGAAAAAAGTTTCAAAAAAAAAAAAAGAAAAAAATAAAAAAAAACTTTTTTTAAATTCTGATACTTTTACTTTATTTTTAATGTATTCAGTTGAAACAAAACTAAGGCAAAAAAATACAATTGACAACAGCTTGCAAATTTCAACTTCAAATTTTGATAAAAAAATGATAATTTTGTAAACTAAATATTTAAAAGGATTCATGAAAAAACGCGGAAAAAAAATACCAAAGCGTCTAGAAAATCTTTCAGTTTTTCTACGTTACAAATTTTATTTCGATTCGGAAGTTGGAAGAGTGAGGCCCGTACTAAATTTTCTTTGTTTGAAAAATGTCATGGTGAGTCTGAAAATTTTTTTTGAAAAAAAAAAACTGCCTCGAAAAGTTTACAGCTAGTATGAAAGCGAACAAAATTTCCAATCTCACTCAAAATAAACTCCTCTTCGTCCAAAAATAGACATTAATTGGTTGAAATGCCAACTCAAAAAAAAAACTCCACACTCTTTGTCCTGGCTCAGAGTGGGTACAAAAAGGGGCGGACGCTGGCGTCAAAGAGAGCTTCGGCTGAAACTCGTCGGCCAGAACTCATGCTTCGGGTGGAATTCGTCGTCGTGGCGCTGATCGTAGCTACCGTCTTCGCGACATCGCTTCGAAGGTCGGACTCCGAGATTTTCTGGCCGACAGGTTTCCCTCCGCAGAACGTCTACGGACTCTGCGGCAGAGGCTGTCCTGAAGGACTCGTTTGCCGGTATATTTTCCTTTATTCTTTCTGCATGAGACTTTAAAGCCTTCAAATGTTGTATCGTATTTCAGAATATTTCAAAAGAATGAAAAGTGTTGAACATCAAAATTTAAAGATGTAACCTTTTGAGAAAAAGTCTTTTTTGTTCTTTTTTTTAAAGTGCTTTTCGACTCGTTGCCGTCTTGGCTGCAGGTTCATGCTTGTTTTATATATGCCTTCTGTGATGCGCCCTGCTGCGAAAGTTTCACCTGCCCAGGCTTGTGCGAGGGCCGGCCCGTCAACCTCTCCCCTCCCCCGGGCACTTCCCAAGCCCGCCTGGCCCGGCCTTAGAAGGGCCTCAAGCAAAAATGGCCGGCCCGGCCCAAAAAGCTCAAATTTTTTTTCATTTTGAACTCTTCGCTTTTTTAACGAGAAAAGTGGGATTTTTTTACTTATTTTTTTCCTCATAGAGTTATGAGAAACTATGATTTAACAAATAAAAAAATAATTTTTTTCCGTGAAATTTTTTATAAATGAAATTCAAGATTTTTTTCAAAGCCCGGCCTGGACCGAGCCTGCGCAGGCTTTTTTAAAAAATTGAGACGCAAAGGCCGGGCCGCCTGGCCTGACGCACAAGCCTGCACCTGCCTTCAAAATACCTCGTACCTCGGTAACGCCAACCGAACGCGCCCCGGAAGTTTCGGAGAATTCAAAATTTCAAAAGAAGATGATTATTTGTTTCATGAAAATTGAATTGTCTTTCTTATTTTCAACGTCTTACGGTAAGGTAAGAATCTTACCTTGAAAAATACCTTTTCAACAAAAAAAAGTCAAGAAAAAAGGCGCTAGGAGTGAAGACTTTTTTAGGTTAATTTTCAAGTCTTAGAACTTTGTCCGTGCTCATCTCCCTCTGGCGAAGCGCGAAAGTTTTCATTTATGAGTAGTCTTTCATCTAGGATATGTCCACTTCGGATGGTTTCCAGAGGAGCGAGATCAAATATTTCCAGCCTGACATTTACCCGTAATTATAGAATAGCGTTAATGATTTACACATACGTCAGTTTTTGGCATGAAGGGAAAGGTAATTGCAATGTGCAAAGTGAGAACATTGAGCTTAACGCGAAATAAAAAGAAAAACTAGCCCGAGAGAGTTTTCAGATCTGTGAGTAACGAACCGCAATGGAATGGTTGTTCTGTGACGTCAGCCTGCGATATTTATCGCCTCAGATGCGTTCCAGTCGACAATTTCTAAATGAAATCACTTCCAAGCTTAAATCTATTCGTGTCAAGCCCTTTTAAATGTGTCTGTTTATCTGTTTTCTTCTCCCCTTGTTCAACTTATTTCACCGTCCGAATAGAAATTTCACGTTTCTTGAAGTCTTACGCGTGGAAATCGGAAATTCACTCGGAAAATCTGCAAATAAAACACAAAAAATTGATCTCATGAATACATTCTGAAAGTTTTTGGTTTGGAATTCTGTTAACGTTGACTTCAAAAACCCTGGGTGATCTCCGAAATAGTTCATCAAAAAAAAAAAATGGAGAAGTGGAACTTATCGATTGATCGCTAAAGAATAAAAGAAGTACCGCTGGATTGATCACTTAGATTTTTCTAGCGATCACTTAAGGAGAATTGAGGGAAGCGACTACTCTTTTTGTCTTCCGCGACGCTTGAGACTTTTAGTGAAAGAAAAAAGCGTTCTTATAGAAGAGTTCCAATTTTTTTTTCGAACCTTTCACAAAATTCGTTGTTGAAATGTTCAATGCTGAAGAATTTCGATGATCCGTTCTTTCGAGTAGAATAAAAAGGAGAAAAGGAATGAAAATTCATTGGCAATGTGAACAAGTACACCGTAATTGACAAGTGCTTAGCAAGATAATTGAATATGAAAAGATGGACGGCAGACACGATAAAAGGCACAGTAAAGCTGAAAATCGGTGGTGAGGTCTAAATGGAGAGTGGCTAGCAGCCGGAGACGTTGTCTGGACACTCGCATCGGACTCCTTGCTGACTTGGAAGACAGAGATATTTGCAGCCGCCGTTGTCCGTGCCGCACTCGTTCGCCGCTGCAAAACACGTCATATAAATCTTTTCTTTTTCATGCCAATTTGAGAGAAGAAAGTTCTGCTCAAGTCTGAATTGCGAGAAAGCCCGAAAAAGGAACGGAAGTTAATTGCTGTACAAGTTGAAAAGATCGAACCTTTGATCTCCACCAAAAAAAAAATTCCATTTTGATGTCCTGTGCGAATTCGTTTCGAACGATTCATACTTAGTTCATACTTTCCACTTTAAAGCTGTTTTTTGACTTTGTTCGAAGCCCTTCTAGCTTTATAATTTTCGGAGTTAAGTGTTCAAACCTCCAACGCAGTGCTTGGGAAGGCTGAGGATGCCGAAAACCTTTCCCGATCCACCGAGAGAAATTTGGAAAGAACCATATCCTTCGCCGTAAACGCCGACCGAGTGAACGCGATTACTATAGAGGGCAACGGTTTACTGTGACTTCAGAAGCTGCGACTCACTCTTTCCAGTCGGTCCAGTAGAAGCGCGCCTCGTTGTCGTGTGTCAGTCCGAAAGGATACTGCAATGAGGCGAAAACGACGCGTCGACCGCCTCCGTTGAAGCCAATGCAAGACAATCTGAAGCAAGAGAAGGCGTGGGTGGCTCTTCGAAGAATTCTCTCACTTATGGCTGCCAGCGTCCACCCAGCAGAGTTCTCGGCGGTTCGGCAAGATGGTCAAACCGTTCGGAAGATGCACGTCTTCGTTGAGGAACACCCTGAATGGCCGATAAAAACATTATTGGCTCAAAAAATTCGAAAAATTTGTATGAATGATCTGGTACAGAAGTTCTTTAAAGTACAAAAACGAGGAGGTTCAATGTAACTTTCAGAAGTTTTTTGTTTTCTCAAAGCTCAGGACCGCAGAGCCACGCTCACTTCACCTCAAAAGTCCCGAACCAGGTTCCAAATATCGAAAATGCAAGGTTTCACGGAGAGACTTTTCATTGTATAGTTGAGACTTGCCTGTTGTTTCTGCCATCTAAATCAACGCGACCGATGTAAGGATTCTCGCGGTGCCAGTCCGAGTAGTAGAGATGCTTGGCGTTGAGGTCGATGGCCAGCGAACGTGGATTGACGAGTCCCTCCGTGATCAACGCCTTTTTGTACTTGCCGTCGAGGGAGGCGACGCCGATCTCGTCGTTGAGGGAGTCTGCGTAGTAGACGTTGCGGGCCGACCAGTCGACGGCGATTCCTTCGGGACTGCTCAACTCCTGCGTCAGGAACGACTTGTGGTCCGTTCCGTTGAGCGACGCTGTCCGAATCGAGTGACCTGAGGATCCCAAGCCGTTTTTAACTCTTACAAAAATAGGGTCAACCCTTGTCCGCAGTCTATGGTGAAACTATTTTGAATTTATTATTTCGATGACCTTTACCCTTTTCATATTAACAAAATTTCTCAGAGAAAAAAAAGATTCCTTCAATTTGAACGAAATCAGTAATCTTTTCCGACAACGGAAGATGGTTTGAATGTGAAAAATAAGTAGAACTACAAACCGGATATGTCGCTCCAAACGATTTTCTTGTCCTTACAGTCAAAGTCAATGCCAACAGGAATGTGATGAGGAATGACGATAAGCTAAAGTTCCAACAGTCTCAAATAAATCGACAAAAAGAATAACAAACTTGTTTGCCGAAAACTTCGGGTTTGGTAGATCGTTCGAAAATGGCCATGCCGCGGGCGACGAGAAGCGTCTCGCTTCTAGATTCCGACGACTCGGCTAAAGTAACTCTGGTGAGATAACTCGGGTAACTGCATGAAGCTATTGGAAGAAACTGAGGAAATGAACCAAGCATGGGTGAAAAAGCAGAAAAACAAAGGAGAAAGGAGAAACTGAACGGGGTGAAGACTAGCACGTCACATCCATGTATAACCTCAGCAAAAATATAGAAAGCGTTGGGAGGAAAGACTGGAAAAAAGGACCAGTTTTCTTCAAAGGAAGATAGATTTCTGAAAACGATTCTGAAAACTATAGAAAGAAGTTCGAGGGCTGAGAAGACGAAAAATCTCACGAGAGCAGGTTCGACCGTCGCCGTGATAGCCGTAATGGCAGTTGCAGACGTAGTGGCCGCCCTCGCCTGGAACGCAGTCTGCGTGAGAATCGCACTGCGACTTGTCATCCAGACACGACGCTGCAAGAGTCCTTCATGAACCGAGAAACGATTCTACATGCAAATAATTTTTGATAAATGATGAAACTTGAGTTTGAATCAAAAAGCTTCCTATGAATTAAAATTCTTAACTTTCAAAAAGACTCTTCCAACTCGCTCAAAAAGTTTTCGTCGTCTTGATATTGAAGAAAATGAAGCCCGCTCGATTTCTGAGCACTTCTAGCGTAGAACTTTCAAAATTCCAGAGTTAATTTTCTGCTTCGAGCGCTTTACTCTAAGAAATGACGCTCAATTCCTGAACCAATCTTCATTTTTCCGAAAAATACTTTGAGGACCAAGTCCTCTCTACAGTTGGATCGTATTAAATGGACTCACTCATCGCCACACACAATTGGCCGTTTCCGTGGAATCCCGCATTGCATTTGCAACTGAATCCGCCGGAAGTGAGCGACTGAGCACAATGAGCATTGGCTGAGCAGTTGCTGCACCGAGGGACTTCTACAAAACTGATCTCAAATTCTTTCCATCCCTGGGAAACCCTACCCACGACGTCACAGGCTTTGTAGCCGTCGCCGACGGAGCCAGGCTTGCAGAGGCAAATGTGAGAGTTGGATTCCTGGTGGAAAACGCATTGGGCGTTAGCGTGGCAGATTCGCGGACTTTCGCGACACGTTGTCGCAGGAGCGAAAGGAACGCAGTCGTGACCGTTGCCTTTGAAGCCTGAAGGTTCCCTTTGGAACGGAAAGGAACGTGTTTTGCCGCACCTTCAACACATTGGCAGGCGAACGCGTTGTGGACATCGCTGAATGTGCATTTCGCATTCTGTCGACAGGAGCTCGGGTCACTTGGGTTGCATTGATCTGGATTCGAAAACTGTTTGAAATCGGATAAGCAGTTTTTTTTCGAAAAAAAATGTTTGAAGTAAAAGAAAAAGAAACGTTCGAAACGTTTGACTATTTTTTTTCTTTTCAGTAAGCTCAAGAATGGTGGAGTTGATCATCGGAAACTGATCATCGGAAACTCCAATATTGTTTAATACTCTGCCAAAAATTGATCAATGAAAGTTTCGCGAAACAACAACAGCTCTCCAATTATTTCGTGATTCAGCAGAGAATCTTCTCCGAAGACTGAACAAATGTGTAAGTTTGAGAAAACCATTTTCTTACAGGTCGGCGTTTTTTCGAGTCTGAGTTAGACAAATTCAGGTTCTTAAAATCTTTAGTCATACTTAAATCTTGAAATAATCGCGTAGCTATACTCAGGTACTTATCGCGAGAATGCTTCAGTTCAACTTACCAGAGATAACGCAACTCGTGTCGCCGTCACCAGAAAATCCAGGCAGACATTCGCAGACGTACTCTCCGGCTCCAAACTCGTCGATCACACAGTGAGCGTTGGCGTGACACTCGGACTGGTCTCGGCACGCCTTCTTCGGCGGCTGTTCTGCGCCAGCTGAAGAAGGTGAAGCCAGGGCGACGCAAGTCTGGCCGTCCCCAGTAAATCCTTGATGACACTCACACTTGTATCTCCTGGAAAAGATGATACTGAGTTTCCATAAAACATGAAAGACCTGTTGTGATCGTCGAAGACGCACTGAGCGTTGGTTCCACAGTTTCGGAGCTGGTCACAGCCAGGCTGCTGGCCGAGGGGAGGTTGGGGCGCTAGAGGAACAGAGGATAGGAAAGCGATAGAGGGAAAGAAAACAGAAAAGGCAAAAGCAAGAAAATATGAGTGGGCGAAAGCAGCAGCTTTTGAAGCATTTGTGATAAATCAATTTTTTTTTAGTTTTTTGAAAGTTGTTCTACTTCTGCCCAACCATGCAAGGAAGCTTACGAGGCGCGAGGCCGACGATGGCCAGCTGCGACTGCATACAATACTTCCCGTCGCCAGTGTAGCCGGCCTTGCAGACGCACTTGAAGTTGACGCCGGCGTCGGTCCTCTCGTAGACGCAGTCGGCGAATTCCGAGCAGTCATTGGTGACGTCGCAACCGACGGCTTCAGCTTAAAGCGGAAAAGCCGTGCAAAAGCGGGGAGACGTCGAGGGGAGGGAGACAACAAACCTCCGGGGATCGGAGCGGCGCCAGGAAGAGTGCAGTCGACTCCGTTGCCGACGTACGGCTCCCGACAGGAGCATTGATAGTAGCCCAGGTGAGGATGGTAGGCGCAGCTCCCGTGTTCGCTGCATTCTTCGTGCGATCGACAAACTTTTCCTGAAAACTCAGCTAATAAAAATTTTCCCATGTTAGTAGACATACCAAATGTAATACGATTTGAAAAACAATTTCAATCTGAAAAACATTAGCAAGTAGGAAATTGAAAATTTTTCATTAGTTCTAAATGGATTTCGAAAGAAACGTAATTATGAAGACTGTGAGGAAGTGAACAATGAATAATGTGAGTTTTAAAGTTCATTTTTTACTTTTTCAATTTTTTTCATGGCATTGTTAGGGACCGCAAGCCATTTCTTCAAAACGATCCAAAAAATATGTTTTTCACACTATTCGATAGAAGAGACTGTCAATTTTCATAACTCGTTCAGTTTTTGAAAAAAGGTTCACTAAGAAAAAAGTTATGGCCAAAAAACTAGCGCGCGCGGCGTACAACTGGAGGCAAAATCTCACGGTTTACCCGCTGCCGCACGCTTTCTTTTTAAATGTTTTTGCGCATTTTTGAACCGTTTTCAAATCGGTTTTCTGTTCTGAGAGGTTGAGCTTCATGTTTTGGTATGAATCTTTTGTACAATCCTCATAAGAATTTTTGATAAAATATCAAAAAACTACTTAGAAAAAGGTCAGAAAGAATTTTCAGCTAATTTTTCTTTCTTTCTAATCAGAAAAATTATTATCATTTGGGTTGGAAAAAAAGAAAAAGATGAAAAAAATAATGTTATTTCGAAATGAAACAGGAAAAAGTGCAATTTGAATACGAAAAACGGCTCCTGCAACAATTAAAAGGGGCATCGGTGTGTTTGACGCAAACACTGCTAGCACCTGCACGAATTCTTCCAAAATTTCAAAAAAATTGTCATTTTTTTCGAGGTTTTTCAAAGTCGTTATTTTTTTCGCGTCGTTAGATTTTTCATAATTTTTTTCATTGATAGAGTTTTTGAACGCTTAATAACATAATCATAAATATAGACGCGATCCTATTCTCTCATGCGTCAACGAGGCAGGCGAAAAAAAGGAGGTTTTGCTAAAATTCAAATATAATTTGATTCGCTGTCCCAATAATTATTTTTCATTCTGAATTTTTTTATTTTTTTGAACACATTGTGAGTTTTTTTAAATCAAATAAAAAAAGTATACCATGTCGCTGAAGTTTTTTTCGCATTTCAGCTTCAAAGTTTGGTGTCACTTTACAAGCTTCGAATTTTTCGCGTCGTTAGATTTTTTTAAAAATTTTTTTACTCGAAAAAAATGAAGACAGTGTTAATATATAACATACTCAAAATTTAAAAGCGTTCCTCACTTGGTTTTCTGAAACGCGACGATTTTATGAAACTTGTCAGTTTTTTTCGTGTTGAATCTTACTTTTTTGCTTATTTTTGAAAAACACATAGTTTTTAAAATATTCAGTCTTGTAGAGCGTTGTCGATTATGAAGATAACCAGAAACAGTTAGTTTTTTAAAGCGGGACTTAAGCTAGTATAAAAGCCTCAAAACCGTTTTTGCAACAAAAAACCGTCATTTTGGTGGCGTGAAGGGGCGGGGCTTTGCGCCCCCTAGGCATTGTGAACATTTTTGAAAATCTGTTTCAACCAAATCCAAAAGAACAAAAAGTAGAAGTTGAGAATTTGAAAAGTAATAAGGAAGGCGAAGCATCTAACACGCTCCATTTCAATCTTCAAAAACTGGCGGCTTGAAAATCGTCAGTATATCATCTCACAATAGTTCATAAAAGTTATGCCTTTTTTTGCAGTCACACCTAGGCGCGATGATTTCAACGGAAAAGAAGTATAAAAAATTGGAAAACGATATCAAAAAACATGTAGATGAAAGAAAAAAATCCTTAATGGAAAAAGGCGTAATTTAGAGAATACGGTCAGCATTAATTATCTGTAGTTAGAAGTAGAAAAAAATGGATTTGATTTGATTAATTGAGTCCAACTTCAGTTAACACTATAGATGGGGTTTTCTGTTTGAAAAATTCTAATGAATTTTGTTATCAGATTGACACCTATAACTGTGAATTTTTTGAAGAATTACCAAGAGCTGCCTGAGGTTCGGGGTTCCTGGGGGTCTCCTCCAGAAGAGCCTCGCAAGTGAGTCCGTTGCCCGAAAATCCAGCGCGACAGACACATTCCGACTGGAAACGACAAAAAAGTCGGTAAGAATATTCTCGAAAAAAAAAACCCCTCCACTCGGATCTGGCATACATTCTGCATTGAGGTCGCACACAGAAGAGCCGCACGGTTTGCCTCCACGTTTCGGAATGTTCACGTTCTGCTTGGGCTTCTCTGAAACCAACTGTCGAGACGTCCCTTGAGAAGTTCCAACCGTTGGGAGGACCACAGTGCTCGACGCCGTCGCCCGTGTACCAGCCGCGGCAGCGACACTTTCCTGTTGGATTCTCCGAGGTGAAGACACACTCTCCCCACTGATGACACTGTCGGTGATTCGTGCAGGATCCATCTGCTCCGGCTCCGTTTTCCATTTGAACTGCTTGAGCTGGCTGAGGTGCATGTCCTCGCTGTTCTCCTGGACCAATATCTTCATGATTTCCTTTCTTCAGACAGCCTTTATTCATTGATTATATACCTATTTTTGACGGAAGTTATGATAAGCTACATTGAAAAGCTCAAAAACAAACTGAGACAGGTGCGGCCGTCGCCGGAGTATCCGGGAAGACATTGGCAGGTGAAAGATCCCTCGTTGTTCGAGCATCGGGCGTGTTGGTCGCAGTTGTGATCCCCGCGCGTGCATTCGTCCAAATCTCAAAGAATGATATTGGATATTTCTTACAGTAATGTTTTTCTGTCATGGTTTGAATGAAAAAATTGAATTTATTCAATATTAAGGCGGATTTGAAGCGGTACTCGCATCATCATTTATCATTGATTTAGCAGAGGTCGATGTTAATATCTGGATAAAACACAAATTTCTTGTAGTTAGAAATTTTTTTTCTGTTTTTATTTTCTACTCAAGCATTACAAAATATAGTTTTTCGGTTAAAAAAAAATTATCAATTTTGCGCGAAATTCTAATGCTGCTTTTTATTTTCTACTCAAGCTTTCATTTTACTCACTACTTTCCATCTTTGAAGTCAACTTTTCAGACAAACTTTTTTTCGAGACCATACTTTAAAAAACATCCAATATACGAGGGAACAAAAAAAAATTGAAAAACTCTCCGTTTCCGAAACTTTCTTGGTCTTCTTTGAAAAACTGTGAGAGAGTTTGCGTCTTTTTCTGATACCGAATTGTTTCGAACATGGTTTCTCACAGTTTCTCAATCATTACTCCCCATCTTTTACATGAAAAAGACACCGACCGACGCATTTCCAGCCGATGGGGGAACTGGCGTCGTGGCTGGCCTGAAATCCCGGATGGCATTCGCAGCGGTACGAAGGGTCCACGACGCGGCATTTCATGTGCGGCAGGGTACAGGAATGGCGGCCAGGAGCACACGCGTCGTCCTGTAACATTCACCTTTTGAAGGTTTCTTTTTTCATTTTTCAATGTTTCTTCCTTGAAAAAATGCATTTTCTACAGCTTCATGTCATATTATTTGGTCTTCAAGTTGCCTTCAGAACTTAATGTATTTTTTGAACTCGTTTTTCTCGAAAAAACGAACGCTAGGAATCTCGATGGGCTGGTCGGAAGTCTGTTGGGGCTGTCCGTGCTGGCGACGATCGAAGTTGGGATGAGAGAGTGGAGCCGCCGGAACCGCAGGTTGAACGGCCGCGGCTCCTTTCCTTGCCACGTAGTTTTTGGCGCCAAATCTGCGACTTAGTTCTTGAAAAGCCTCTTTCCTCATCAAGCACCTGACGATCCCTTCAGTGGAGTCATAAGTGACGTGGACTCTTTTGACTTGTAAGCTGACAATCGCGTCTCGGTCAAACTAATAGGAAGGAGATGACTCGAATGAATCCAGACTTCAATCTAACCGTTCTATGGGGACATTCGGCGAAGTTAATCTGTTGATCGATGGTGATTCGGATCTTCTCGCTAGAAGAGCCGTCCTTCACCTCGACGTCCATTCCGGTGTATGCGCTCACGTGTCCTGATCGTACTGTTCTGATGGGGAAGAGGAAAAGGATTACCAGGTCTATCGCGTCGGTATTCTTCTTCATAGTCGGGAAAGACGATTTCTGAGCCAGGGGCGACGTCAGGAACTGTCCCGGAGACGTAGACGTGCGACTTGAAGTAGTGGTAGATGTCGCGACCACTGAACTCCTGTTTGATGCTGACGGAATGGCCGTTTCCGATGTGAAGGGTGACGCTCCGGTTGAACAGACCGCCCGTCAATTGGAAGCCGTTGTAGGCTGTCGGAGACTGTACCTGAATACAATCCAGTTTCCCTCAGATCAGAAAGAGGGGACCTCGGCGAAGAGCCATCCCATGATGGAGCCAACAGCTTGGAGGAGCAGCATAGGATGTCCCAAGTCAGAAGGTATCTGGAAACTTCTCTAGCTTAAGACCCAAAAATTGGGCCAATCACCTTCGAAATCGCCGTGTACACATTACCGTCAGTAGCTGTCACGAAAGTGTGAAGGTCAGTTCGATCAATTGGAATCCCGTTGATAACTCCTTCGAAGCTACCCGATATGCGTTGGGGTTCTCCTGAACCGAAACATGGAAAGTCAAAAGAAAGTCTCCGGACCTTTGGCCAGGCATTCACGGCCGTTTCCATAGTATCCCGTGTCGCAGACACAACAGTAGCCGACGTCGAAATCTCTGAAAAATTATCAATTTTTTCATATTTTCTCCAAGTAAAAGCTTTTTAACTGCCAATTTTCATAGAATTTATATCGTGGTGATAAAAATAAGATTTTTCTGAAAAATAAATCTTGGAAAAAAATTTTTTTATTGCGTCTTTTTTCATCAAAATGGTGCAATCGAAAGTTTTTTTAATGAGATCTAGCCGTTTTTTTAAACCTTATTCTTGATGAATGTACCTGAGAGACGAAAATCAGTTTAGTTGGGCGTGTATGAGTTATGAGGCACGGTAAGAACAAAAAAAAACAAATTTAAAAAAGTTTTCGTATTTAAGGCAAATGAATTTTCGTACAATTTTCAATCGGGAATTCGATATCGGATAACTAAAATCTTCTGGGAAAAAATCATAATCTTTCTAATGACACTGTCATCTCACTCGTCATTTTCCCCAATTAGTCTGTTCAAAATAAAGACTTACTGGCAAATAGAATTAGCGTGACATTCGCCTTCCGTCCGCTGAGCGCAGGATCCGGCTGAACATAAATCAATCTCTCAAGTCTTTCAACGAATGAAATCACCTCCGGCGACGGGTTTCAACTGGGAATCAGGCTCAACGAGCCGTTGGGACGCATCTGGAGCCTCCGCAGCTGCATTTTTCCGGCTCTCATCTCCGTTCCCAAGCTCGTTCTCGCCGACGGGAGTTTCTGCGATCTCTCAGCGTGAAAAAAAGCCACGAGAGTATAAATTGGTACCGGCACAGATGCACTTGGAGCAGCCGCGACGATCAACCAACACGCTGCATTCTTTTGGACAATTGTTCGCATAAACGTCCTTTGGGCAGTCCTTCGCTGTATTTTCTCCTTCTTAAATTTTTTTATGAAGCAAAATGAAAAGAGAAACTTTGTGGGTGAAATTTCTGTAAATGGGAACATTCCGCATGAAATTTTAAATTTTTGACGTACTGTAAAATTTTGAAAAAAATGTACAAAAAAATCAAATATATATGGGTAAGATTTTTGAAAAAAACGAACTTGCTTGGAATCCAACATGAAACCGCAAAAACAGGTGATTTTAGAAATTTTGTTGTTCAAATATTTTTAATTACACGCGGCTTCGTACTATTTCTTTCCAATTACTGAAATTCAGAAAAAAATAAATAGAAGAGGCACGAAAGAGAATGAAGAAACGTGGAAAAAGGGTTAAAAGAAATATTACGTGCCTTTTAACGAGGAATCTGGTGTAAATAGAGAGAAAATGCATCTCAAAAAAAATAAGTTGGCTAACTGATGAACATATCTTCGAGCTAAAAAAAATATAGAAAAAAGAAGAACTAAACTAAAGTTTTTTATTTTCGAGATTTTTAGAAAAATGTTCGGGAAGAAAGTGACGGTAAAACTCACGATTTTTCTTCTCGTCGCTGTCGTACTCGGCATTGTTCTCGTAGTTCTTGTAGTCGTACTCCTCGTCCTCCTCCCGCGGATGCTCGATGCTCGGGCTCGAAACGCGGAAAATGAACGAATTTCCATAGGGATTGTTCGACAATCTGCAAAAATATCTTCAGCTGCTACAAAGAGCAACGAAGACCCACTCTCCGAGTTCGCTGACGTCGGGACCGCCCGAGTTGACGTTAGCCATGAACTGGCCTTCGGAATGAACAAATCCGCTCTGAGCGTAGTAGCCCATGGAGGAACTCCAAGGCAACTCTTCGAAGTACATGACTGTGAAGGTGGTCTGCGCGTCCCAGACGATGGCCAGTTGGAAGGAGGCCGGCTCGTCTTTCTCTGCATTTCGGATGTCTTTCCAAGTGATGATCGCCGCCGATTTCGCTGAGAAGGTCGTCGCGTCGAAGAAGACGTTTTGCACGTCGCGAGTCAGTTTTGACAACAGCGCCGGATCCGAAGTTATTCTGAGTATGAACACATCAAAACAGAGAACAAAAAATGAAGCTTCCCCGATTATAAATATCTTTGTAAACAATATCAGATATTTGTTGGTACCTCTCTCAATTTTCATCCAATAGAGATTGCTTACAAGAAAAATAAAAAAGTAAATCTTTTTGGTTTCGCAAAAGTTGCAAAGAGACTTTATGAGAAACTTTTGAATCAAAAACTTAAAAAAAAACTTTGAATGACTAAAATAAAAAACCTCATAGTGATAATTGACTCGAATCATGTATTAGAACATTTCATATATCAATTTTCAGCATACAGTCAGAATAAAAGAAAAAAAAGCTTTCATTCGCCTGAAAACTTGAATATTTTCAAATAAAGTTCACATCAAAATGATGGATTAACGTCTCAACCTGTAAAATATGTTGCCGTCGGAAGCAGGGGCATAGTAAACAGCGATGGCTGGATGTCGAATCTTTTGGAGAGGTTCGATTTTTTCTGTGAACCACACATATATTCTAATAACCATGGCTTTTTACCTGGCAATTTGAGGTCGAGACCAATGATTCCATTATGGGAAAGGAAGATTTCGTCCACCGAAGTCCCCATGAAAATCAACGGAGACTCCAGAACAATGGCATTTTGGTCCACGGTATAATCAAGAATCTTCAAATGAAGTTATTCCAAGCTCAATCCATTATTCAGAAAACCTTGTCCCCGGCCCCCGGTCCGTTGGGATATAACTCGCTGCTTACTGCTTGGAAAAGTAGTAGCGAAAGCAAAAGTTTCGGTTTCATTTCTGGAAAATAAGTTGGGTTTGGAATTGTTGCGATGAACTCAAAAAAAATGTGGAAAGAAGTAAGAAATCGGGTGTGAAGAGTGAAGAAGATAGGAGGAAGGGGCGTGGCTTGGCTTTCCAACAACTCTTATTTCTTATGATCTCACAGTTGGAGCGAGACAATATCTTTCTGAAAGGGAGCCCCATACATTTTTGATTGGAAGAGACCTAACAAAAGCTCATAAAAGCTAGAAAAATCTTCGAAAAAAAATGAAGCTCGATAAGCCGAAGACCTTTTCAGAGGGAATAGGAGCCTGCAAACGTTGCTGAGAAAGTTGAGGGCAGCGCTTATCACTCACAATATTTCGAGAACAAAAAAACAGCGATAAAGGTGCCATCGGCGACCCGGCCGAAACGTACAGCGTCTGGGAGGAAAGCGCTTCATTCGTGACTAAGGCGGTGAGCCATCGACAGAATGTTAACATTGGAGACATTCAGATCGGAGGCGAAGATGGGGAAAAAACAATAGACTTCTGCTAGCAAGTGGTCAGTATGTGATAAGAAACTAGCAAGCTGATAACTCGCCTAGTTTACAAATGACAGAAATCTCTCGCGAATGTCAGTCAGAAATTGAAAAATGCATGAATTTTCTGGAAGAGGTCGTTAAATGTTTTAGAAAACACAACTTCAAAGATGATTTTCTTTGGACTTTTTTCGAAGACTTTTTTGAAAAGTCTATTTTCACAACGAAACAAGCTGACATTTAACAGCTACCAGAAGAAAAGAGTTTACCAATAATAGAATATTCAACTCAGGCTGCAACATGAATTTTAATAACAGAATAAAAACCGAGAAGTTTATAACCTTCAAAGGAACTATGTTTCTTATACATATAACGTGCATTAATTTAAAAAGATCTCTCAAAAAAGTTTTCTCACAACTTGATTTGGTGATTTCGATTTCAGACGCTACCGAAAAAAAAACTAGAAAACTATAAAATTTATTTTTTCTGTGAACAGCGGACTTTTCGGAAAAAAAGAAGCTTAGACGTATCTGTGAAATTCTCGACAGCTAACGATAAATAAAGTTTAAATACAGTATATGATCGGGACAGCCGCGCAGCTGCGAGGAAAACGATGCAAGAAACGAAATGAAACGAGGTTTTTAGATGAGTGTCTGAACGCATCTGGACTCGTTAACAGTCCAAAAAAGTGCGTCGGAAAAGAGAGAGGGGAAAAAGTGTGGGGGATAAGATGAGCTGGGCGAGCTGAAATAAGAAACGGTGGACACCTGGCAGAGGATGTCTGGTGACCCCCGCGGAACGGCAGCGCAGTAAACGGAGAGTTGGACGACTTCCAACGGCCTTCTCGGCTTCTCGGCTTCCGTTTGACCCTGCCGAGAGCTATTCTTTGGCAGGCTGTAAATTCCGATCACTTCGGCCACGCTGTTACCACCAATTTCTCACCACAAATCTCTTTTTTCGGCCGTAAAATATCTTTTTCTTTTTTTGTACATATGATCCTAAAATGAATTCTGATCAATCTTCCAGGGGGAAGGACTGTTATGTATGTTGCAGTACGTTAAATAGAAAAATAACCGTTCACTATAAATAGAAAATGAAGCTTGGAATCAATAATTTATTTGGTAATGGTGGGAAATTCGATTTATACAAATTGTGCAAAATACTGCTTTGGAAGCAAAAATCAATCATAGAAACATTGAAAGGCGCAAATGAGGGGATATTTCAGACTCGATGGTTGAGAATTTCGTTGAGCTGAGTATTTGATGAGGATGGCGCCGCCCCAGTCAATCTGAAAAAATTCGCATTTCCCATGAAATCGAGGTCAAACTCAGCGTGCGAGAACAAAATTCAAACACAAACTTGTTCAAAAATCCGCTGAACAATTCGATGGGGAACGGGAAAATAACCGTCGTGTTTTTCTCAGCACTGAAACAAAAGATTAAATGACGATAAACAAGGTGTGAAACGTGAGTTGCCATCGACCCACGCAAGTTAAAAAAAAGTCGGGGTTACCTGATAGTTTGGAGAGTCTGAAGGTAGCGGAGCTGCATGGCGCCTGGCGCGCTGTTAATCTTAACACATAATCATCATTTTCCGGTCACCTTCTCCGGTTTCTTCAGGAAAGAAGAAAACTCACGACGGAGGCGGCGTCCGACAGCGCTTGTGAAGCAACAAACTCTCCCTTGGCGGCAATCAACTGAAAACGTGTATTTATTAACAGACATTCGGTAACTGAGGGAGAAAAACTCGTTTTCAAAAATTATCAAAGGGAAAAAACTCGTATTGAAGACCAAATAGGATAAAATTTTATAAAATATGAGCTATTTTAGATTATTGCTTTAGGTACGCGAACTGAAATACTGGAAGGAATTCATAAAATCAGAAACGTTTTTCAACTCTTTCCTCAAGTTACTGTTTTAACGGTACTTTCTGATTGACCTAATAATTCTTTGAGTAGAACTTTCATCTGACTCTTATTCACACCCGGAAGAATCCGATTCTTGGTAAGTGGGAGATGGAAGTACCTTGGCTCCGGCTTCTCTGCTGGCCTCGGCTTCGGCGGCCATTGCTCTCTGCATACTCGACGGGAGCCTCACGTCTTTCAGCTCCACGCGTTCCACCTTCACGCCCCAGGATTCCGTGGCTTCGTCAAGAGCAACCTGTAAACTATTCTTTGCGCTTAATTATGCTTGTAAAAAAAATATATATAGCAAATTTTGATTGTGAAAATGTTCTCAGAAAGACGTTTAAACACAGGAATGTGATTGGAAAAAAGATAGATCATCTTACCGAGAAGAAACAAAAAACGGTTCCACTGCATCAATGCGCCGGTTTTTTTTTTTGTAAAACGGACAATAAATATCGGAACCAAAGACTCAATGTATTTAATCTTTGATTCTTAGGTGCACTCAAGGGATCAACCAAGTGCTTTGCGAGAAAAAGACACAAACAAAAAGCAAGAAATATGTTTTGACGTTCTGTGCGGTTGCTAGAGCTACGCGTGCAATTTTCATTCTTTGTGAAAACCGAATCAACCTGTAACTGAAAATATTTACAGTTCTTTTCAGCAACTAGTAGAATATTTTGAACTTGGATATCTAAAGAAAAACCTTTCATAAATCCCATAAAGGCTATAACACCTTCAAATACGGAATAATTTATTCACCGTATTATTTGAAGAGATAAAAAACAAGAACTTTTTGTATAAAAATATTTTTCAAAGCTAAAACTTGAAATTTTCAATCTTTCAATCCGTAAAATCTTAAAGAGAAGTAAACCTGCATATGATGAGAGATCGATTCACGTTCTGAGAGGATTTGTGTCAAAGTGTGGGTTCCAAGGATCGTTCGGAGAGTAGTTTGAGCTAAGAGTTTTGTTGAGTTTTCAGCATTTTCGACAGCAACAACCTAGAAAAATAAGAAACTAGGAAAAAGGATAATCTTAATACCGCAGTCGTCGCGTCAGTGATACAGTAGTACACCACAGCATCAACGGTGACAGTGACGGAATCTCGAGAGAGAATCTAAAACTAAACACATCGAAAAATAGCAGCCATGCGTCATTGAACACCATTGTGTTCCCAGGTGGCCGCAAAATCAAATGAAACATTTTTTATTTTTTCAATGGTGAAATAACGTGAGTCATATTTATCAAAGACGCCATGATGTAGATGCTCTTTTTAGTTCGAAACTCTTCCGTGGTGTGCAAGTAAACATCAATGTGTTCAGCAAATATTTACGTTTTTCTTTTTCACCGGCAGCCGTCCCCTGACACTATAAAGAGGTAGTTGTGCTCTACAGAATCCATCAGCCTCTCCACAATGACTTCTGCCACGATTCTTTTGCTCATTTCTGCCTCCCTAGCCCCGATCTCCGAAGCCTTGCTTGGCGTCGGTAGAACTCAATCGGTCGCCGTCTCCGGAAGACTGATCTGTAATGGCCAGCCAGCCTCGGGCGTCAAGCTGAAGCTCTACGAGAAAGAGTCGAGTAAGTTTTAGTGCACTGTCACGGTATTCAAAATGATTCGAGTAGTCATTTCGAATAACTGAACTTATTACTCTAAACAGTTGACGACTTGTTTCATAGAATTTCCAGATAACCTTTCATAACCTAAACGCTTTTAGCTTTCGATGTGAAAATGGCCGAAGGAACGTCTGACAACAACGGCCAGTTCAGACTTACTGGCTCAAAGACCGAAATTTCAACTATCGACCCAAAGTTGAACATCTATCACAAATGCAACTACAACGGGGTAAGAAAAGAAATGAAGAACTCTGTTCCTAACTCAAAAATGTTTCAGCCGTGCTACAAGAAGATCGGCATCACGATCCCAGATAACTACGTCACCTCCGGATCAAATGCGCAGCGGACCTTCGACATTGGAACTATCAACCTAGCCAACCAGTACACTGGACAAACCACCGACTGCATCAACTAGAGCTTCAAAAAATCATCAACCTTCTGCCACATATGATCGTCTTTTTTGTTAATATTATACATACATGTCGGAAAAAAAAATTATGAACTTCGACTTGGAAAAGAGGAAGACAAAAAGCTTGAAGATAAATAATCTCTTCTTTCCAATATGAATGAGAAAGTTAAGAATCAGGATCACAGAAGATTAACTCTATCTCTACCAACATTCAATGAAAAAGAAACAAACAAACAAAAGCGACCAGAACAAATACGCCCATTTTTTTAGGGATCCGCTCAACTGTTTTCAAGTTATTTCAATTCCCAAAAACCCATTCACTTCCGCGAATTGTTTTTGGTCACTATAAAAAGTCCGTGATGCCGAGAACTCATCGACATTTGACAGAAACTTATTGAAACCAAAAAAAGGAAATAATTTTCAATCAAGATGAAGCGAACCTCTTGAGGTGGAACATTGTAGGATTTCAGGCGCAGATCAACTTTAATGAAAGTGTCTGTGAAAGGCATGATGAAGAATGTACCTTGAAGCAGCTAGAAAGTAATCTAATGAAAAAAAAAAAAACTAACCTGGTCCTTTAAGTCCACTGACAAGTCGACCCAAACGAAACACAACCGCTCTTTCGTACTCATTGACCACCTATAAAAAACTAACATAAGAAAACTTCACAATACGGCAAACCTTAATGGAGCAAAAAATTGTTATCGGGAAAGTGAGAATGAAAATCAAATAGCTTAGAATCGTGATGAAAATTCCACAGCCGTTGCTTCCGGTGTCTCGAGAAACTCCTTAAAGTACACTTTCTGAGGGATATCCAAATTTTGAACGTGTATTCGAAAAAATGCGTATTTATACATGAAAGCGGGAACAAGACATAATATCAAAATAAACTTTTTCCTCGAAAATAATTATTAAGTACTATAGTTTTAATTGCATTAATTGCATTTATTGCACGCATGTTTGAGACAGTACTAGGGCGGCCGGTGGCCGGTCAATATTGCGCAGTCAGTTTCGGAGTCAAGAAAATTTTTTAGTTTTCTTTCTTTTTTGAACCTTGTCAAGGAAATATTTCTCGAGGCTACAAGGTAAGTTACGTCACAAAAAGTACACAAGTTTTAATTTTATTACCCGAAAACCTATCCAAACTACCGTAATACGACCGGCCACCTTAACACACCAGTTCAGACCTACAGGGACCCGTCCGGTTTGCACTGCACCGTCTCCGCTGTCCATACTAGACCATTCTCGATCATTTTTTGTATTGAATACAATGAAGAAGGCAATTTCTGACATTAATAGATAAAAAATTACAGAGAAAAAAAGACTTTTCACTTACTAAAGACGCATTTCACGGCGTTCTGCGTAGTGGAAGAAAAATGTTAAATTTTTTTGAAAATGTGGAGCGGCTTGGAAGGGTTGCTCCACCTAGATTTACGGTAGACAGCTTGCGCGCGAACATTTGAATTTCTTGTTGCTCAAGTGCTTCACGTGATTTTTTTCATGTTTATATAAACATAATAATTATTTCAGCTGTATCTTTATCTGTTTTGTACTGATTTACGGTAATTGTTTTTTTATTGCGACAGCAAAATGCGAAGGAACTTTTTTCAATTTTTCAATATTAACTGCTGTGTTTTTGACCAAATTTTCCCTTTAAAGCAAAAAAAGCCTTTCAGCAACATTTTTCAGTGTCAAATTAAAATTTTTTTATTCGAATCAATCAATCTCTTCATTTTTCGCAACATCAGAATGGTATGGCGATGTTGCAGAGGAGAAAAAAATACCACTAGGTGGATGAACTAAACTAAATCTGTAAAGAAAAACTTTTTTTGAATTTTTCAATAAGTCGGGAAAGACACATAGAACCACAATAAGTCTTTTCGACACAAAATTCCACGTTTTTCACTCAAAAGAAGGACTTTAACCAATTTTGAGGATGAAAGGTATGAAAGTGTTCAGAAAATAAGAAAAACTTTCACCCAAATGTTTTTTGTCAACTAGAAAAGGAATTGTGAAAAGATCGATTTTTTCCACGTCTATAGTTTTGAAAAAACCCTATTTTTCGAGGAAACAAATTATTTTTGAGTTTAATGAGTATGCGAGTTAGCGTCGTTCTGTGTATGCACAAAAGACATCAAATATTACGGAAATTGTGGGAGGGGCGTCGTCAAAAGAACGCCGTGATTTCCCAAAGTAGGCCATTTTTCAAGGCTTGCCAGCGTTCGCAAAAACTTGATTATTAAAACTAAATTTGTATCTTTGAATGTTTTATATTCGTTTTTCTTCAAATTTGTTTATTTTTTCGTACAAAAACCGCGTTAATAACGAAGATATCGCCCAAAAACCGCTATTGGTGTATGCACAATTTAAACGTACAGTGTGCCAAACCGGACGGGCTGAACAGATGTGTTAAACAGGCGTGACTGGTCCGCGAAAAACGCTACTATCTCGAAAATTTGAAAGAAAACAATGATAATTAATTCAAACAAAATTTGAAATTTCAGTTTTGCCTTTTATTTACAAATATTTTTTAACAAAGTGATTGTATACATGCAAGTAAAACTTAACGCCGTTTAAAAAAAATACTGAAAAAAAATATTTTTTTCGCGAATTTCGCGAATTCGCGTTGGTCATTATATGTTTTGAGTTTATGCACCGCTACGGTCGAAACATCGCAATGTACGGAAAAAAGATGTTTTATGTGATTTTTTTTTCTCCAGCTGGCCAGAAGCTAAAATTTTATAAAAACCTCTAAAATCATATAACTCTGCCGACCGTCTGCTTATAAATATATGATTTTTTCGTGTATATCATCGTTTCTGTTGATGGTATTCGTAGATAAATTTATTGCAAGTAAGTTATTTTTCTTTCAAAATTTTTAGCCAGTAGAAAATTTTTCAAACATTTTTCTTATAAGAGTTTATTTTCTGTTGATTTGGCAAACGAAGATCCCGGTCGCAGACAGTTGAAAAAACTCTTTCGATTATCATTCAAATTTTTGAACGTTTTATCTAGAGGTTTATCTAGAAACAGCGATTTTCTCTTATCAATTTTGGTAAGGCTTTTGGAATGGAGAATAAATGTAGACCTGACTGTTTTTTTTAAAATTTTTTCCGTTATTTGATGATTAAAAAAGCTTCATTCCAAAACGTACCTCTTTGACCATAGACGGCACCTGTGACGTTGTTTCTTTTAGCAGTTTCGATGTCGTCCCCCATTGCAAATGTGTTGTTGAAGAAACAAAATCGCGGAAGAGAAAAGGTTGGGAAAGGTTGATCTGAAACCGGTTTTCTCAATTGAAGATCTTCCCGCGCCTAAATCAGGTGCGTTCTCAGGTAAACAACTTCTAAGAAACGTAAAGTCAAAAAAAAAAAAATAAAGACTTCAGTCTGCTTACGAGCTAAGATTCGAAATTTATTCCATACAAGTACGGCTGAAAACACTTTTTGGAGGAGTAAATTTTTTTGGGTCAAGAAAAAAATGAAATCGGAAAAAAATGAAAAAATTTCAAATTTTTTTATTTGAAGATTTTTTTTTTACAAGAAATGAATGAAAATTTCAATTTTAAAAACATGATATTTTCAATTTATCTGTTTTATTCGAAAAAAAAGGAGATATGAGTATTAGAAAGGGAGTTATAAAATGTTTGATGATATGAGAAGTACGTAAAGAATTGAGAAAAATATAATGAAGTTGGAAACTGTTGTCATGTTTCCAAATCGGGACTTAGTCGTAGAAAAATTTTTAATTTATTTTTTTTTAATATTTCAAAGTTTTTAAACTGCTGAGTGGATTGATTGAATTTATTTCGCAGAAAATTGGAAATCGATTCGCTTCGTAAAAATTGATTTGAGTTTGAATGGTTTTCTTTAAAAAGATGCTGAAAAACCGTTCCAATGACTTTTTCGACCCGTCTTTTTGTTTTTATACTGAGGTTGTTTATAGTTTACCGAGTTTCGGCAACGATCCAAAGTGGACGAACAAGGAAGTTGAAAACGAAGGAATCGGAGAAAGTTTTTTTTTTAAATTGTTTTTAAGGCATATTAGACTTAAATGGAAGACTGAAAGAAAACTTGAAATTGCGCTTTTCATGCTAGATGAATGGGAAAGTTAAGAAGTAGTACAGGCGTTGCTTATGTATACCACCTTGTACAAACATGCGTGATGACGTCCGACGTCATCGGTACCAGACTGGCAGTTCCCAGCGATAACGTAGGTCCGCAAAAAGACCAACAATACGTGCTATTATTCATCCAGAAACAAAAGTTTGCGGTTAGGACATAGAATGAATTTATTAGGTTTTCTTGAACATCTTTGGCTTTTTCGAAACTCTCGAAGCTTTCTTTTTCTTCTGCTGCTTCTTCGACGGTAACTTCTCGCCAATAGCTTCGTCGTGAGCCACTCCCGACGTGATGCACGTTCTGTGAGCAGTAAGGTTAGATAATCAGAATATTCATTAGCAGATTTTTAACTGAAACCGAGATGCTCGACAACAATCCCAAAACAGAAAAGAAATCGAAAAGCTCCCTTTCTAATTTATAGGAAAGTATTCTAGCAAAAACGTCACATGACCGGAAAAAGAGATATGAATAAAAAAGTTCAGTATATGGAATTTTATATTTATTTCTCCAGATTAGAATATTTTATAGGATAAACAATATTTCTCGAAATCCTTCTATCAAAATAACTTGGACATTGAAACTGTAATTAAAATGATCGAGATTATCGTCAGAAGATTATCATCTTCAAAGAAAGCACAGCTTTCGAAGTTATTTTTTCTCGAAAGGCTCCAAATTTTAGCGGTTTACCTTCAATTTTGAGCCACTTGTTAATTATTCAGAAAACGAAAAATTTCCAAGAAAAATAATCTTCTTGAATGCAATAAAAATTTAAATAAATTTTTGGCTCCCCAATTTTGACTAAGTGTCAAAGAGCTTCGGAGCAGAGTGTTTCGACTCCGAGCATAAGACAACTGTCTGGAATGGTTATCTACGAGAAGAAACGAAAAAGAAACCTAAGTAATATTTCGCGAATGATCTGGTAGTGGTCCACGCTGCGGAAGCAGCCATAACGTTGAGATTTGATGGCGATCATCGTCTCTCGAACTCCGACCTGATTATTTTCCGATCTATTCAAGGAAGGAGAGAAACGACTACGTTTCGTTCATCGGCTATTCGAGCCGTGACGATGTCTAGGGCGGCGTAGGACCCACATCTGTTGATTCCAGTTGGACAGACAAGCAACATCGGTCCTTTGAACGCGCCGGGGTTCTTGGCTTTCCGGACCATTGTGATTTTCACCTCAAACCATGTTAGTTGGTCGTACAGATTGATTACGTTCACCATGGCTCTCAGATCCGAAATGTACTCGGGAAGTGGAGATTCGTCCATCCATTGATGGAAATGTACCAGCGCCAGATTGTTCGTCTCCTTCTTTGCCGTCACAACCAAATTGTAAGTGTTCATGTGTCGGTCCTTAATATTTTTTTTCATGTTTCAAAATGACTTAGTCAAAAGGATTTCAGTGAAAAAGAAAAAAAGTGAATTTTCTTAATGATGAAATAGATCATCCGTTTTTTTTTCGCGATTTCGAATCTCAGCTCCGAAATCCCCGCAGAGATATTTGATACATTTGATGAATGCTCGAAGTTCAATAATCTTCCCGATCGAAAGATGAACCTTATGTCTATGATAATGAAAATATGTTATATTCGAAAAAAAGATGTAAGAACCAAAAGGTAAATTTCAGATGTGAGATCCTGTCTCTAAATAAGCCTAAATTATTCGAAGCGTGGAAATATTGATTTTTTCAACTTTGAGCGGCCATAACTTTTTGGAAAACCTCTTCGAAAAATTTCAATAAGAAAAGGATGGGAAAACTCACATTATTGATAGATTCTAGTTTGACCTGAATAGTTTTTTCTTTACAAAACTTGGACGTTGCACCGGCTTCCATTGGCCAAAAGTATTTTGGAATGTGCAGTTTAGACGTCTTCAAAAATTTCAGTTCGCTTTTGATTTTTTATGAAAGGGACTTACTGCGTCGTCTAAGCTAGAAGCGCCATATAAGGCGAGAAATTTGTTGCTCCACTCGGGGTTGTCGATTTCAACGTTGAACGCCGCGACTTTGTTACCTTGGGCTTCCTGAGAAACGTGTAGTCGCTCTTTTGACCAAAAGTCGTCTCACGTCGATAGAGCCCATCACGATGATTATCGAAGGCTTCACGTTGATGACGAGCCGCCAGAAATCTCCAGTCGTTCGGTCATTGAAAGGCGCCTGAGAGAAAACGTACCCTCCTAAACATGCTTCACATTTTACGGAAAGCAGTGGAAAGAACCTTTATTTTTATAACTATCAACGAAAGACGCGTTGTAGTAATTCCCTTTGTCTAAGTCGTCATTCAGAACAACTCGCGTGTGATCATAACACAACTGCGAAATCGTTTCGGAAGTCAGACTGAGATAAAGTTTCGGTTGAAGCTACCAAATGAGGACATCTATTGAGAGTGAGGTCATTGAAGAAATTTTCGAAAGTCGGAGGAAAAACCATGGCGGCCGCGTGCATGTCCGCCAAAAGATTCACCTAAAAACGTGCGCTTTTGGGCATTGGTTTTCTTGGATTTTACCGGTTCCGCCGCAATAGCCATCATGGCTTCTTTTGGCGTCGTCTCCTCGGTTTCTGGTTTGTGAATATTTCTGATTTTCCGATCAGTCGCATTTAGGTTTAGGCTGATTTTTCTCTATTGTAGTTTTTTAAGGCGACTCAGTGGCTTTGCTCAGTGGTTCATTATACCGAAATATAAATTTGGCTTTTGTTCGAGAATTGATCATTCAAATTTTCAAAAATCGAAACAAGACATGTATTGTGGGAAAAGTTCAGTTGCCCTAGGATATACCTTCTTGTTCTTTTTCTTTGCCGATGGCGGGCGTCGGAGCCGATGTAGTCTTCAGTGGATTGGCCATGTGCAATTTGATCTACCACTGAAATGCGTGAAAACGACGCGAAAGAGCGAGTCGCAAAATCCGCCAAGCGACCCAGATATCGATACGAACAATGGCCGTCTTCATCACCACGTCCGCGTCTCATTCTAATTATTCATTTGTTTTATTAACTTTTTTGATTAACCGTTTCAATATATTCTTACGAGAGGACTGTGATCTCGAATGTTGAAAGTCAAAGAGCCGAACATATGCGGTTAACCGGTTGTTTGCAATCCTCTTCATTGAGAAAAAAAAAATTGAGAACTCGGCTTTGCTGTGTTCTTTTTTTGTGACGGAGTTGTGCCGCTGTTGATTTTACGCCAAATATCTCGGACATTGCAAAGCCAGGAGAAAAAAGGCGGTTCCCTGGAGGTTTTCCAACTTCTCCGCCTTGTACTTCTCGCATGGCCCACACATCTTTTCCATCTTCCATGTCCATATTCGCCTTGCAACTTTGTTGAATTCTCTCCTTTTTCTCTACAATCAGCTATGTAGCCAAGTTGATGTTAGTCACTACGATTCACACATGTTCTAAGAACCATTGTTGAGTGAGGTTTTTTTACTCAGAAAAAATTCAATTGCAGAGGAAAAATGTCTCGAAAAGTTCTTTGAGGAACTCTTGTGAAAACTTCTCCGTTCCCAATCGCTTTACTCGAGCTACCAAGGTCCACTAGTCTTGGATATACACCGGACTCCCGAAAACAACCTCCCACATCCATATTAAACCGCTTTCGTCTGCGTTCATAAATTTTGAAATTGCGCTGCTCCACGTAGTTAAGAAAATTGGATAGACTTGACTAAATTTTTTAAGAGTTTCTCTAAAATAATTTTTCATCTTGCCACAAGTTTTTTTTTTTGCGTTTTAAGACAACGGAAATTTTTTCAAATTGAAGGGTGAAAATTTTCTATCCTCTGATCATAAGAAGCGTTACTCCATTTCACAAATCCATGAGGATACCAATAAAAAAATAATGCATAGTCGAAGGCTAATTTATTGAATTTTTTTCTTCTTTTTATGACTTCAAAAAGTTGACATGTGAATTCATTATACGCGATACGACCTTTAGATATCTTCCCTTCATCGTTTGTTTTGAATTTTCGAAACAAGAAGATTTTCTCAAACAAGTTCCATAATGTGAACTCATTTTCTCTGCGCTAGTTTTTTGGATTCAGATCAAAATTTTGCTTCTATGTTAAGAATCTTTTGCTTTTTTTCCTACTTGATTGAGTTTTTCGAATGATCATTCGATTTCGAGTTTTGTATAAGGCTTTTTGAAATAAATATTTGTGGCTTAGACAGGGTCGTTCAGCGTCGAGGCGAATCGAGTAATGTCATTTCCTGCTGGGCGGCGGATAAGAGCCAGTGATTGTGCCCTTGGCTCTGCTCCGATTTGTGTACGCTTCGGTTTTGTCGGACTGAAATAACTTCTTGATTTTTGGTCAAGATTGTTACAGGATGAACTTCTTTTGTAATTCTGAAGGGCAAAGGAGGAAAGGTAGAGGAAAAAATGAGGTAGTAAGCTTCTTGTGATTGAGAAAATGAATAAGATTTTGAATACTGTTCTGTGATTAAAATAGCTTCAAGACAAGAGTTCCGGAGTAGTGAGCCCGGTATTGCCTGGCTTTACGGATAAAGTAATAGTTTTTCTGTTTACTGATTTTTTTTTCGTCCAATCATTTTTTTTAACGAAAAGCAATCTTTCAAATCAGCGGTTATTTCGCCAGAGGCCGTACGCAAGGAATGAAAAAAGGTTCCCCCAAAAATGGTGAATGGCTCAAGCTTTTTTCAGAAGTCACAATAAGTTTTTCCCTATACTTTCTTTAATAAAGGGCCAGAAAATTTTTTTCGAAGAGGTATTAGATTTTACAATATCTTGCATAAGTCCACTTGATTAATTTTCTGAGATTTTGAGAATGGGGTACTTTTTGTAAGCTGTTCTGTCCTGAGAACAGACGAAGAATAAAGATTTGCGGGGTCTATGACAGTAGATAAGAATTAAATGTCAGGTCGGATCTGGACCGCCTGAGACGTACGTGTGAAGGCTCTAGGAAAGTAGAGAGTGGCCGGAAACCAGGATTCCGGTCTGTCGCAACCGGCTGCGGGTCGCGGGTCGTTTTGCCGCTGGCGTCTGCGCGTAGGCCGTCTCCGCGACTCGTCGTCCTCTCGCGTGTACATTCCACGAGTTATCCCTCCACAGGCTCATCCAACTTTTGCCAGCTACTCTATTTTTGATTTATTTGACTGCCATGGTAATGATCTTCAGTTTTTTGTATGTTTTTGGTTACAGGTGGCTTCAAAATTTTTATGGATTTTTAAGTTTGGTCTTTTTCCCAAGGAACTAAACCAGTTTGAGCTTTTCAGTTCTTGTTGAGGATAAAAGCCTAGTTTGAGTAATCACAATCATCACCTTTTGGAAATCATGTCTCCTCACTTTTTCTTCGAGGACACAGGCTGACCAGATATTCGTGGAAAATAGGCTTCCCATGGCAGTGACTAATATTTGACTGAGTCTTGTGACCCTCCAATCATAGATCTTTTGGAAATTTCAAGTTCCAAACCTATGACGATCGGGGATGCGTGCACCTGCCCGGGAGATCGTCGGCGATTCTGCTGATTGGGTCCGTTTTGCTGGCAGACGTACGTCTTCGGATTAGCCGATGATGCGACAACCTCTTGTAATCGCTTGTTAATGCAACAAAGCAGATGGTCCACCCGCAGCGTCTTTTGGCCTTTGGCGTCAGTCTTTCTCCATCATACCTATCATTTTTCCGTTATCTTTATTGATTAATTGAGGTCGTATACAATAATTTGACAAAAGGTCACTCAGGCGATGTATTAACAACTTTGGCTTCGTTGACTCATGTTTTGAATTTTTCTTCCTTTAGAATCCTTCATAAATATATTTTTAAAATAATGAGAAATTTTCAAATTTTCTTATTAATTTCTTACGTATAAACGTTTTTTAATATTCTGTAATCGTTTTTTCAAAGTTTTAACATTAATTTTTCTCTCAGTTTTGTAGAACTACTCTGGATTATTTGAATTAATTATTTTCTTTTTAAAGTATTGCCAATCTATCTTCTCTACAAGGATTTTTCAAGTGTTCAGGGTTAAAAATTTTTTTCGTATAATTGTCTTTTTGTATAGGCTACTGTTTGGGTTATTCAAAATCAAAGTAACCCTGAAATTTGGGTAAATTTTATATCCTGGTAGAAAGTTAAAAAAACTGGAGAAATTTTTGATATTTCAAATTTTGATATCATTTTATTTGCAAGAAAAATAGACTCTCTGAAAGTAGCCAAACTTTTTTTCACACCTTAGAACAAGTTTTATTTCCAGTTCACTTCCTTTTTATAATATGAATATTCAACTTTTTTTCTTTGCGTAATTAAGAAAAATATTATGTATGATATAAGGAGTGAAACATGGACTAAGTGGAAATCTGAGGCCGAGTTGGATGGAGTACTGGGAGAAAGTGTGCTCGTGCGGAACAATGGGGGCAAGCCGGAAGACGGCTTGAACGGCGCCACGCCCTTATTGCCGGCAGCCGCGCAACTTTGAAAGGCTTTCGAAGGGCCATGTTTTTCCGATAAGAAACTTCTAATCCCGCGTCTTATTCGCGGCTTCTCCGTTTCCCACATTCCGCGTCATCTTTCTCCCATCTTTGGCTTGTCGGTCTTGTGCAAATCTCAAGGAAGGAGGCCGTTGAAGGCTCTCGTAAGAATGTAGGAAGATTCCGACTTGGCAGCTCCTTTCTTCTATCTCCTCAGAAAGAAAACGTACTTCATTTTAATTCCGCCTTTTTTCTCAATTCCTTCAAACTAAAAATAGAAAGGTCTGTTTTATTTTCTCACGGCCATGCACTCTTAGTTCATTTTATTCGAAAAAGAACAATATCCTTTGATTCCGATATTTTTATGATTTCAGAGATGTATTCGGGTTCAAGTTTATTTTTTTTTAGAAATCAAGTTTATTTTTGTTCTTGATTTATTTTTATAAGTCAACAAGAAGTAGAAGTGCTCATAGATTTTTGCAACGGTCTTGTTTATTCATTTGTTTTTTTCAAAAAGTCTCTTGTTTTTTCTCCATATCTTCAAAGTTACAAAATTGCATTCAATTTTGAGTCAACTCTTTTCTCTTTCTATATCAAAAAAAGTAAAAAGCTTTTTTATAGCTGTAGGCTTAGCCACGTCATTGAGACTTTGTTCAAAATTAGATTATGATAAAAATTAATTTTCAGTTTATTTTTTCACATGCTCAACCAGTTTTCAATCCCTTTGCTTTTTCTCAATCTCCAGTGTTAAAATTTTGTTCCGCTATTGCCGCTATTGCTCCGAGCCATATGTTTTCAATGTGAGTTCGAACCGCGACCTGCTTTTTGTCACGAATTTCTTTGCTTCATTTCAGACTCTTATTTTTTACTTTCATTCGTATACATGGCGGAAAAAGTCTCAATTTCTGCACTATTTATGTTTGTATCATTTTTCCGAAACATTTCGAAAGATATAATTTTTTTTCTCAGTTTTTTTTAAAGTTTGTCTTTGGGATTCAAAATTTGCTATTTGACACAATTGAACTTTTGAAGACCCTGTCAAAAAAGCAGGAGAATGGTAATTGAGCAATTGTTAAAAAAAGTCAGCAATATCGAAACAAACAATTTTTTATTGCTTTGTTAGAGAATTGTTGACAGAAACTTTCTATTTTCCTTCTCTCTCCAGACAAGATTGTTCAATTTATGACGAGATATCCCACCGATTTCGTTCTGAACTGGATGGTCGGTCAAGTTCCATCTCAAACATTTATTTAGTTTTCGGTTCGAGCTTGCTCGATAGATCTTCAAAGTTGTTTGAAAATCGTTGGATCGAAGCCAATTTGGTAGTATTAAACACCTCGTTCAGTCGAGAACTCTAAAATAGATCATCGAAAAGAAATCAGTTACTTCATTTGAAAACTCCGAGTTATAGCTGCAAATGGAGTTTTGTCACTTCCTTCCCTAATGCTCTTAGTTTTTCTCAAGTCGCTCCCTTCCTACTCTCAGGTCTCGACTCATCCATTCTCGAGGAACATACTTCGAAGTCCAAACGTACTGTGTAATAGAGCGCGGCCGTTAATGTTGCTAAAATCGCAACTCCAAACTGCTATCAGAATCCGGAGGTCCGGCGGCGGTTTGGCAGCCGTCGGAGCGAGAGTCAGCTGCTCCTCTACAGCATCGCACTCCAATGCCTCGGCAGTTCGGCTGGGATGTGTAGGAGAAGTTTGCTCCACCAGCAATTATCGATTACCGTTCGTCTGCACTGATATCCTCGTCGGCCCTCGAGAGTTGAGTGATTGGCAATCCCCCAAAATTCCGCCACCTCCTTCGAACTTTTGCCTCGGCTTTTTGTCGCATCTTCATTTTTTGCTTGGCTCTTTGAGATACACCTTGTCTTGACATTGAAGTTTGAGGAGAGAGAGAACGAATTGCTTTGTTTTTCTCTTGAGTTTTGTTTTTCGAGTTAGATAGGTTACAGTGATTTTTTTTTTCTTTTGTTATAGCAGTTGATCACAATATTTTTCAAGGAAAATGGAGGTATTTCTTGAGAATCGAAGAGAAAAGAGCGCTGGCGGTTGCAGCCGGGTGTTCCGAAGATTTATGGGTCGCCAGAGAGCTTTTGGCAGTGCTGAACCGCCACGTCCATTTTGAGAGTCTTTGCCCTGCCGTTTTGCGTTCTTCTCTTTCAGGTCATTTCCTCAACTTCCGAGCTCTGCTTTTTTTGTTGATTTTCTATTCATCATGTACTATTCCAAAGGATTTACTATGAAGTTTTCTTTTTGATAATTCGAAAACTTTCTTTTCTTTACACGTGGTTCCGATTATGAAACATTTTCGAGAAATTGTTTTCGGAATGATAAACGAGGGGCTGACCACTATTTTAAGGCTGGAAAAAGAATTGAGAAGACCCTTGAAAGCACCAATCCAATTTTAGTATGTCAAAATCTCATTTCGAAGACTACATTTCATGGTTTTTTTTTTCCTTTCAGACTCTTTATTTTAGCGTGTCGTGACTTCTTTGTGTTCGACATCTCTTTTGTTCTGTCTTGCAGTTTTTAAATGAGGCTCTTTTCGCAGCCATTTTCCAATGTTTTTGAAAGCAGACATTTTCTTTTCTGAGATTCTTAATTTCTACTTTTTTGAATCCACAAAAAAAAGTAAAAAATTGAGATAAGATGCAGTTTCAGAAATGAAAACATAGAATGACGTCATCATCGGAGGGAGAGATTCTGCAGGTGGGGCAGGTCATCCGCGAACGATGGAAAATCGTACGTTTTCTCTTGATTTTCCTCAGGAAAACCAATGTTTGATTTAAAAATGTGAATAATCGAAATGAGTTACTCAAATTCATTCTCCGTAAGTCTTTTTTGCCTTGCGTCTCATCGCAGCTCAATATTTTCATAAATTTTTCTTTATTCTCATTTTTGAGTTTTTGGAAGTTTTTTTTTTGAATCACAAGATATAGAACATCAAATTGATAAAAAAAAACCGCAGTATGAAAACCTGCAGTTTGTGGATCCAGAGGGGCATAAAACTCCAGAAAGCGAAATTTTCTCACGCTTGCGCAAAGTTCGGCTCTTTTAACAATGAGGTAAAAGGCCGACAAGAAACTTTGATACCATAGTATTAGATAAATTTTTCTTAGATTGATGTTTTTCAGAAATCGAAAATTGGCGGCGGTGGGTTCGGCGAGATCTACGAAGCCACCGACGTCCAGAACCACCACGAGCGGGTCGCCATAAAAGTCGAATCGAGCAAGGCGACGAAACAAGTGTTGAAGATGGAGGTCGCCGTCCTCCGACGACTTCAGGGTCCATCTTTGAACCTTTTTGGGTTTTCGTCCTTCGCGACGTCGTGAAGCGGAGGCTGATTGAGCCGCGACTTGTTGTCTTCAAAAGACGTCCTTCTTTTTCAGGAAAAAAGCATGCGTGTAAATTCTACGGGTGTGGTCGCAACGACAAATTCAACTATCTCGTCATGAGTCTTCAGGGCAAAAATCTCGCCGATTTGAGAAGAGAGGTGATTTGAATGGAGTTCTTTCTGTGGTTGCGTTGGCAAGTCTAAGCGGAAAAAAAAAATCAGAAGCTGTCGTTGATCAATCGCGAATATCAGCTTCTTCTCCTTTTTTATCGTTTTTTTTTCAAGTTGAGCACGTCACAGTAAATCAGAAACAGTACTGAAATTTAAAAAATACCAAGTTTCATAGCGTCCTCACTAAAAACTTATTCCTGGAAGATAGCTTGAAAGAACTTTTTCTCACAATAGCACCTGCTAAAATCATTGTTCCTATCGAAACATTCACTTGGAAGTATCTTAAAAAAAGAAAGGTTTATTAAGGCGCCGAAACAGTGCTTCAGTCTCAATACAGCGGTTCGAGTTGGGGTTCAAATATTGAACGGAATACGGGAAATCCATTCAATCGGTTTTTTGCATCGTGACGTCAAACCTGTTAGTTCCGAATCGTCTTCCCTAATTCTCCACTCAAAATCTTCAGTCAAATTTTGCCATGGGCCGCACAACGCAGACGATGCGCAACGTCTTCATGTTGGACTTCGGCCTGGCGCGACAGTACCTCAACGCAAAGGGCGACATCCGCAGTCCGCGCAGCGCTGCCGGCTTCCGTGGCACCGTCCGCTACGCCGCCGTCACCGCCCACAAGAACAAGGTTCGGCGAGCTCTCATATTCTGCTATGCAGTGGAAAAAGTTCTAAATTCAAACAATACATGGAACGGCTTCTCCAAGGGTTGAAAGATCGATGTGAGAAATATTTTTCCAGTTTATTTTCTTTTCAATTTGTTAGAGTGCCCACAGTACAAACTATTGCGAGAGAATTTTTGGAAGTTTCTGAAAACCATCAGCTTTTCCTTCAAACTCACGTTTTTTTGAAGGTCTGTTCTCATTTTGTAGATCGATTAGAATGACTTTGTGCGATTGCTCTCTCGTCCAAAAAAATTTTTTTTTTCGGCTTCTTTGTTTTGGCTGGGTTTTGTTCATAAATAGAGAAATTTTGCGTTTTTTTTGAAATCCGCTTTTTCATTGGAAGGGTGAAGTTAAAGATTATAGAACAAAGTATAATTAAAAAACATTGAAAAGAGAAGAACTTTTAATTTATCCATCTTTTTTTTTATCTTACCTCATCACTAAGAATAACTGACGAGATAAACGCGAGGTCGGTGGCGGTACATTGACGAACTCGCAAACATGTCGCTTTTTTCTAGGCGCGATCTCGCATTTTTCTAGGCGCGATCTCGCATTTTTCTGGGCGCGACCTCGCATTTACAGTACCGCTCAAAAGTTTATTAAGTTTTGGTTTTTTGAGGATATCTCAGCGAGTACTTATCCGATTTATATATAACTTTCAGGGATAATGTAAAAATATACTTTGAAACATATACGGCATACAAAGACATGTCCGCAATCACTGTGACGCGTTTTAAGAATTTTTTATTGAATTCAATTTTTTTTGTTTTTTATGCTTTTTATTTTTTTATTTATTTTTTTATTAAATTTTTTTAAAAAGTAATAATGTTGCCATATGATTTTTTTCATGTTTTCAGACATGGGAAGGATCTCTGGAAAAAAAGGATTTGACTGATAACGAAAAAAGAGCCATCGTTGTGGGTCGTCAAAATGGACTGACCATGATGACGTTGGCAGGAATGTTCGGCGTGCATTTCTCAGTTCCTAAAGCGTTGGAAAGCTCAAGATGGCTCTACTAAGAGCCAACACACTGGCAGACCACGTGTCACTGATCGTAATGACGATAGAAACATTTTGAAGACGTCTAGAACCGATCCAAGACTCACCGTCCTTGCGATCAGACGGGAAGTTTGCTTGAATTCGCCATCTCCACCATCCGTCTCGACCGTGAAACGACGTCTGAATGCTGCTGAAATCATGGGAAGACGTTCAGTGATGAAACCGCTGATTTCTGAAAAGAATCGAGCCGCCAGGGTGAAGTGGGCGAAGGAGCATCTCAACTAGACCCGTCAAGACTGGAACGAGATTCTGTGGTTCGACGAAACGGTCCTCCACCATGTTTCACAGTGGGTAATTGGTATTTTGGATGATATCTGGACCCAATTGGTCTACGAACCCACTGAACTCCGTCACTCCCGAAGAGCAGGAACTTGCTTTCGTCGGACCGCGTCGGAAATGCACGCCTCTGTCACGCCGAACATTCCTGCCAACGTCATCATGGTCAGTCCATTTTGACGACCCACAACGATGGCTCTTTTGTCGTTATCAGTCAAATCCTTTTTTCCAGAGATTCTTCCCATGTCTGAAAACATGAAAAAAATCATATGGCAACATTATTACTCTTAAAAAATTTAATAAAAATAAAAGCATAAAAAACAAAAAAAATTGAATTCAATAAAAAATTCTTAAAACGCGTCACAGTGATTGCGGACATGTCTTTGTATGCCGTATACACTAAGAATAACTGCCGAGATAAACGCGAGACACTGGCGGTACATTGACGAGCTCGCAAACATCTCGCATTTTTTCTCGCGCCGGTTTCGCATTTGTTTGGGCGCGAGCTCGCATTTTTCTAGGCGCGAGCTCGCATTTCTCTCGCAATTTGAAAATTTCCGAAATGCAAGATAAATGCGAGATGGCGCCGAGAAAAATGCGAGGTCGCGCCGAGAGAAATGCGGGATCGCGCCTAGAAAAAAGCGACATTTTTGCGAGTTAGTCAATGTACCGCCACCGAGCTCGCATTTATCTCGTCAGTTATTCTTAGTGTATGTTTCAAAGTATATTTTACATTATCCCTGAAAGTTATATATAAATCGGATAAGTACTCGCTGAGATATTCTCAAAAAACCAAAACTTAATATACTTTTGAGCGGTACTGTATCTTGCATTTCGGAAATTTTCAAAATGCGAGAGAAATGCGAGCTCGCGCCCAGAAAAATGCGAGACCGGCGCGAGAAAAAATGCGAGATGTTTGCGAGCTCGTCAATGTACCGCCAGCGTCTCGCGTTTATCTCGGCAGTTATATTCTGTTCAGATTTTGAATGTCAAGCAGCTAACTCCACCCCCAAGGCTGCAATATCTTTCGCGTCAATGTTTTATCTACAGATGACGATGGCCCTTTAATAAGGCTGCGTTTTTGACTTCTTTTTCTATCTTTTAGATCAAAAAAGATCAAAATCTGAACAGACTATATTCTTAGTGATGACTTTTTTAGTCGGTACTTTTCACGGGGATTTTTTGATTGAAAAAAATACCTATTTGATCACTTTTATCTTATTTTTACCTTTTCTTTCATTTTTATATTGATTTATTCGAAAAAAAAACTCCTTAAGCGTTTTTTCTCAGGAAATGGGACGTCAAGACGATTTGTGGTCGCTGTTCTACATGCTCACCGAGTTCTTGCAAGGGCAGCTGCCGTGGCGGAAAATCAAGGACAAAGACGAGGTTTTGAGGCTGAGACAAAGGGAAGCGAACTGAGAAGTTCAGGTGGGTCGGATGAAAGAAGACGTCGACATGGAGGCGCTTCTGGAAGACTGTCCCGCCGAGTTCCATCTCTTTGCGGCTCATCTGAAGACTCTCGGCTACCCAGACACTCCTGACTACGACTATCTCGAATCTCTTCTCAACCAAGTCATCGTCAAGTTAGTTACTTCCAATGGCCCAGCGGGAAATCATAGATCGAAAGTATCTTCACTTAAACAGGCTTTTTTAGTTCTGTAAACTTCTTTAGCGTTGAGTTCGTTGTTTTCCCGAAGCAATGATCGAAGAACTGCTATTTTTTCTTTCTTAGGATAGAGTCATTTCGCGTTGCTTTGAAATTACAAAAGTTTTTCATTTTTTTTTTTGAAATTCTTTTAAATGGGCTTTTTGTTCAAATTTTTCACAAGCTATCACAGGTAGCTGGAGTTCAAAAAAGCTGAAATAGCCCAAGAATTCTTGACTCCTGTTCATTTTCTTCAATCGATCTCCAGCGAATAGTTTATTTCCTACATCTGATACACGATTACTGTACGGCACATTCCAAAATAAATGATTTTCTGCTAAAAATTTAACCTTATTTATTAATTGAAGGAATGACATCGCTTGGGATGAGCCTTACGATTGGGAGATGGGCTACGAAAATCTATCGGCCCGAAGCAAAGCCAACGGAAATATTTCTGCCAGAATGAAGTCTCACACGACGGCCGTCATCCGTGACCAGAGGAATGAGAACAGGTCTCTCCAAATTCCTCTTTTCCGGTCAAATATTCTTCTGGGTTTTTCTATTCATGTATTAAGCAGAGGCCATCAATCTTCTTTTTTTCTAGAATTTGGATTTTCTGATAATCTTTGGGTTTCCACTTTAGAGAATGAGAATTGAATCGAATTTCATTTCTCTTGTCCATTATATTCGTTTTGAAATCTGTTTCAGAGCTCTGGACACACAGGCGCCGATCACCATGGGCGAAGACGAAGACGAGCAGACGAATGGCCAATGTCCGCACATCGGACTCACCTTCGAGAGTGCCCACGAGAAGGCCGCCGAGAAGCCGAAATACAAGCGTCACGAGTTCTTGAAGTTTTTTTCCTTACTTTTTGGCCATTCACGGCGTATCGGGTGTCGGAGTTGAATTGATAAATGTGCAATTTTTTCGGTGGGAATCAAACAGGTGTTTTGACATTGACCTTTTTTCTAATTGCCTCTCAGTTCTCAGTGAGCCTCATGGTGCGGCCTACTTCAGTAAATTTTCAAATTTTTTTTTTGCGCGCAAAAGGCTGGGATCTAGCCGACGTGTGATACGAAAATACTAAAAAAAAGGCTTTATGGTTGACTATTTTTTTTACAACTTTTTTTATTTGAAATGAGATCAAATTTTGTTTTCATACATTCTTTTGTGACAACTTGAATCGAATCTCATTTGTAGTATGTAAAAAGATTCCGAATAAAATTTTTCTTCGTTTTAAATATACGACTCTTCTATAAAATGATAATTTGACTTCATTATAAAGGTTATAGTATAACCTATCAGTCACGTTTAAGAAATCATTTATTGTGAAGAAACTTTCAAAGCTCCTAGACCGAAGTATGGAACTGTGAACTTGGACGTCATCGATGCCGTGAACGCCCGTTTTGCAGCTTGTGACGAAGACGCCAAGCAGGACTCTAACAACGTTGAAGTGCGTTGTTCTAAAACTAGAATTTCTCGAAATGAAGACGTTCAGGCCAATTTTCAACTTCCCTCGTCGATCTTGAGAAACCAGGCCGTGGCGGAGTCGTCCCTCTCCATCAAAAGACCGCGACAGCCGTCCAACGCTCCTCCGAACCCAGACAAGACCCGAAGCAACAGGTCGATTACGGTAACAAAGCTGCATCCGGCCTTGAACAGAAAGAATCTTGCAGTTGTCCATCAACAATCGGTATCCCAAAGCGAAAACGAACAAGATCTCTTCGCTCAACACTGTCGATACTCAGGCTCAAATGGACGACGTTTCAAATAACGCGAGGACGGCTCAAACAATCCTCAGTCGCTGGCAAGGTTCGTAATAAACGTGAGAAGTTGAAAGGTTGTGCAACTCTAGAAATTATTCATTACTCAGGTAGGTCCGTGTCAATAGCAGTTTCACTGAAAATAAAAAAGCTCAGATTTTCTAAGATTTGGTTTAAATTTAAGCTGATGCGAAAGACTTTTTGCCGAAGTTTAGCACTGGCGAAGTCGTGCTCATTATTCAATTAGTAGATCATTATTCAATTAGGCTCTCATATTAATCCGAGTTTATTGGGTCGAATCTACCTAGTTACAGGATCGTTTGACGCTTCTTGCGATGACGTGGGAGATGGAATGGATGACCCGCCTATTGAACGACAGCAGAGACTTGCTCCTTACGGTACATTTATTTCCATTCACGAATCTATTCGACCGAAATTCAGGACACAAAACGTCTCTTCTCTCTACGCCTCGCTCTCTCGATTCAAACAACACTTCGCCAGGCGGATCGCCGTCTTCTCCCATGAACCCCCGAGCTTCTCCTTTGGCTGGTCGGAGTGCAGGCTTCTTCTGGCAACTTCATGAAGGAATATTTCAGCGAGAAGAGCGTCCAGGTCTGAGAAGGAGAGGCCGTCGATGCATCGGACGGCGAGTTGTGGAGCGCCTCAACCGTCGAGCATCATCAGCCACTTCAAGGGCCTCATAAACGTAAGTCCAATTTTCCGTATTTGTCCGTTGCAGTTTCTTTTTTCAATTCTCCTGCTTTGAAGAGTGGTTATTTTGGAGTTGTATCAAGCTTGATAAGGGCGAGTCATGTCATGTACTTAGTTTCGACTTTAGTTACATAACTTTCAATAAAGCTTTTGTGAAATTTTGAAAAATTCATTAACGGTGTGGTATATTTTGATCATAGGACTATGCGACTATCATTTATAAAGGTCCTATTCACTTTTGAACATCATCGAAGATTTCTTCTCAAAGAAATTCTTTGAAGGGTGTTTTTAGAACTTTGAAAAACTTCAGGAGCTCCACCAAGAAGATCCGAAACTGTTCAATCAAGTTTTTTTAGAGTTGTCGAAGGAAATCGTTTTTTGAAGAAAACCAAATTGACTTGAAAGAGGCAAAAAAGCAGAAATGAATGAACGAAAAGTGCTTTCAGTCGTTCAACAACTTTGGAGTGGGCAACCGAATCTCGAGGACGACCTCCATAGATGAAACGGCGGCGCGGCAGTCGAGTCCGTCGCAGCGGCCAGACTTCGACTACGGGATGCGACATTCGTCGTCGATGCACACGCGAGACCCGCGGATCCCGACCCAACGCATCACGGCCACTTTCAACACGCCCAACGACACGAATGAAGAGCGCGAGAAACGTCGCGAACGACGTCTCAGGCGTCGCAGCGTCGAAAGCAACCTTCGGGTTTGTCCTCAATTCTTCTCGTTTTTTCGGATTTTTCGCATCTGAAATGGAATATTTTCAATTATTTTATATCTCAGGTACCACAATTGGAAGAATTTTTTTGCCTTCTTTCAAAAAATGTTCATCGCTTCATAGTCCAAAAAAATATTTCTTAAATTGAATTTAAAAAAATTAACTTTATATATGTATTAGCTGACAAAAATAATTGGGATCTCAATTCCGTTTTCTCGATCCCTTCTTGACGATTCTTCTTCAGGCTGAGCTCGAGACTCCGCCGCAGTCGGTCAGGTCGCCGGTCGTCGTTCAGAAGGCCGTAGTCCATGCTCCTGTGTCCGGCGTCGCCAAAATCCGCGACAACGGCGTCGATGAGAATTTCCGCATTCCTCTCGAAGACAACAACAAGCCCCTTCTCTTTTACAAGTTTGTCTTTTGACTCTTTCCCATTTTTTTTTTTAGTTTCCATTTATCATTATTATGAAAGTTCACTGAACAAGTAAGAAGCACAGTTTTGAAAAACTACGAAAAATTATGTCTCAGCAACATAAGCAGTGTAGCTCATAAAAATGCTCGTTCAGTCAAAGATCCACATTGACAATTTTGAAATTGATCTACTGAGTTTCTATTTTTCAAATTCAATTTTTAAAAGTTTCATAGTTTCCACAATTTTTCTCTGCTCAGTTTGAAGTACAATGAGTTTTCAGACGGAAGCGGTACCAGTTTTTGAACTTTCCGCGAGCATCGTCCAAGTCATGACGACGCCTTCCTAACCCCCAAAAGCATCAGGTCTTTCTCTTCCCAACTTCGTTCTAGTCCTTCATTCGCTTCTTTCTTTCTTTTTCTGCATCATCATGTGCCAAAACCTTACGGTAATTGTTTCTTCTTGTACATTGTATACTGTGCTCCAGCAGATGTCGTTTTCTTATTATTTTTTGTCTTCGTCTGCACTTTTCCTTATTTTCTCATAACTAAGTGCGGTTAAACTCGAATACACTTCATTGTTGCCTATGACCATGTTTGGTTCTCCTCAACTCGATATTTGCTCATGATGATTTTTATAGCAGTAAAGTATTGCAATTTTTGTGTAAATTTCTTCTTCAATTCAAAATGTGTTTATTTACAGGACCGATTTTCATTTCTGAGACTTGATAATTTCTCTAGTGGTAGTGTACTTTGGGACAATGTAGTCACGGGAAGTCAATCCTTGCATCTGAAAGTTTCTTCTGTCTTTTTTTGAGTCTCAACCGAAGGCAACTCTAAACGGAGCAGTGTTGTGGTAGACGTCGGCATATACGGCCTCCTCAGGCAGCTCCTTATCTGTCGTTGCAGCAACCACCGCTTTGTCCACAACTTTCCGCACATTCTGAAAGAAGATTACTTCGAGAACAATGATTCAGGTGAACCGCGTCGATAGCTGCGATTTCAGCTTCATTGACAAGTTTAGCATCGATGATGCGCTTTTTGAAAAGGAGAATCGGATCGTGATCACGGCGGATTCCTTCGAGTTCTTCAGGAGTGAATGGCCTGGAAAGGAAAAATCAACGGCAGAAGACAAGAAGACAAACTCGAGAGATGGATGACCCATGGAATGGCCGTAGAAGCGGAACATGACGCTCTCCAGAAGGACGGGACCTCGTCCGGCGTTGCAATGCTCTTTGGCCCAACGCAAGGCTTCGCGCGTGGCCAGGACGTCTCTGGCATCCACACGGATTCCAGGAATGTAGTCGCCTCTGAAGCGTTTTCATCTAATTCAGCAGAAACGACGGCCTGCCTTGTGTAGTAGTCGGGCTGAGCAGCCGACTTGTTGGACTTGGTGGTCATCGCCCAGCCGTTGTTCTCACACACGTAGACGACCGGCAGCTTCCACAACTGCGCCATGTTCATCGACTCGTAGAGTTGTCCTTGATTGGCGGAGCCGTCGCTGAAGCAAGTCACCGCCACGTTCTTCATATTCCTGAGATTATCAATATCTTGAAGTGAATGAAAACTGGAAAACCGGTATTTGAAAGAAAATGCGACTCCGGTGCCCAGTGAAGTCTGGGAACCGACGATGGCATTGCCTCCGAAGAACCTTTTCGTGTGCATGTGCATGGATCCTCCTTTTCCGTTCGCGATTCCCGATACCTTCCCTACCATACCAGTTCATTAAGAGGGAAAAATGGGTCGAGAACCGGTCATTTCAGCGAGAATCTCCGTTACGGTCGCTCCAAGCAGATAGGCCCAGCCATGGCAGCGGTAGGACGTCGTCGCGGCGTCGTCGACGTCCATCGCCGAGTTGAAGCCGACGGCGCTCGCTTCTTGGCCTGAGTAGAGGTGGCAGAAGCCGTGAATCTTCTTTTCCTTGTAGAGCTTCATTCCCGCGTCTTCCATCTCGCGGATCATCTGGAATTCCGGGATGGTCATCGCAAGACGGCTCAAATAACCTTCATGTTGTCGTAAATCTGGAGAGCTTCATCTTTCTTCAAAGTCACTGTGGTACTTGGACCATTTTTGATCTTGTGGAGTTTGAAGGGCTGAAAACAGAGAATTACTCTGGGTCGATCCTTGATAGAGGGCTCACAGGTATCGTGAACTTCACTTCGCTAACAAGACGCTTCTGCTGAAAAAGTCTTCTTTGAACACCGATCTGAAAACCCGACAGTTTTTTTTTTCACATCGCACAAATAAATCACCCGAATCTGACGAATAGTGAATGCCATAACGAATTCTTTAATAAATGGAAACGTTCGCACTTTTCACGCATCGTAGCGATTTCTTTTTCTTCGTTCTCCATTGACAATCAAAAAAATGGATGCTTTCTCTTTTTAATATGAACATTTACGGTGTTGAAAAGTAACCCGATGTAGTTTTTATAGTTTGCGACTGTTTTTTGAAATAATTTCATATTTCATTCGCATCGGCTTTAATATTTGAATTTCTACCCGCGAGTCTCATTTTATAACACCATACTGTAAGGCACTTGTGTGCAGGAGTAACGAGATACGTGTAATCTTACGACACTGAAGGAAATTTTTTACGTTCGAATTATTTTATTGGAATTTTTATTAAATATGTTCATTCTTGCTTACTTGTTCAATTCTCAACGAAATTCGAAGCATAGTAAATTTCTACAATATCTAAGTTTTCATTTTTAAATGAAAAATGGAATATAGCTAGGTTTTCTTTGCTTACATTACTATGTTATAACATAGTATTTTTTTTCCGTGAAATCGAATGTTATGTGATGATTTTTTTAAAGGTAAACTTGTAGTATAAGGATGGGCGCCCTTCTGGTGGCGCCACTAGCCGCTTCGGTAAGATATCAATATTATAAAAGTTCATTTCTAAAACTCATTTCAAGATGGCGTGTTGCTTCGGGAGCGCTGCTTGTTCGTTATGTTGCGCCGTATGCCCAAGGACCAAAAACTCGACGACGACTCGGATAATGTACGCGACGATGCTGTTTGTAAGTACCTTCATATCGTGTGTGATGCTGATTCCAGGGATTCAAAGAAAACTAGCCGATGTAAGTTTTTTGTTTTTGTTTTCCTCTTCATTATATATAATTCAAGAACGGTTGGTTCTGTCAAGGTCTGAACGAAATCGCAGGAATCAGCTGCGCTCGCGCGACTGGTTTTCAGGCCGTTTACAGGTGTCAAAGCTTTCTATTTTGAAATAAATTTTAATTTCAGAGTTTGCGCCGGAACCGCTTCTTTCTTTTTCATACTGATGCTTATAATGTTGGGAGTAGAAACATCAAAAGATGCTCGCGCTTCGATTCAGAACGGCTTCTGGTAAGCATATTGTTTACGAATAAGTTAATTGTTTTATTTAGGTTTTTTAAATATTTGCTTCTCGCCGGCCTTGTTGTCGCATTTTTCTTCATTCAAAGCGAAACAATCTCTTCTCGTCCGTTTTTTTCATTCTTGTTTTTTTTTTGAAGAGTAGTTTAGAGATTATGAAGAACTTTTTCAGCTCTGATGTGGATTGGAATGCTTGGAGGATTTCTTTTTATTCTGATCCAGCTGATCTTGATCGTTGATTTTGCACATGGAATCGCTGAAAGCTGGGTCGACTCGTTGGTTCCTTTTCTCTTCTGATTTTATCATTATCATTTGAAGATACGAAGAGAGCGATTCCAAGGTCTGCTACTCGGCCATAATAATTGTGACTTTTGGCGGATTTGCTCTTGCCTTGGTCGCTGTCGTCTTGATGTTCTACTTCTACACAACTGTAATAATTTCCAAATTTTCTATTTATGTTCATTTGGTGTCGTTCAGGGGGAATCCTGCGGTCTTCCGAGATTTTTCATCATCTTTAACGTCCTTCTCTGCGTCGTCCTGAGCGTTCTCTCGGTGATGCCATTTGTCCAAGAACGGTTTGCATCGGGAAAATATCGGGAATGGAAATTGATTTCAGAATGCCCCGATCTGGTCTGCTGCAGGCGGTGATAATAAGTGGATATGTGCTTTATCTCACATGGTCTGGCCTAGTTAATAACCCCGGCGAGTTGACATTTTATCAAGTTCTATTATTTTTCATTGTCATATAAACAAGGTTTCTTTTCAGTCTCGCATCAAAACTAATGAACATTCTCTTATGTTTTCTTTACAGTGTTTCACTCTGAAAAAAACAAAAACAACATTCTTTTTCAGACAAGGAATGCAATCCGTCGTTATTGAGCATCTTCACGAACGCGACACGTCCCGAAGACAAGGAGGAACAGGTGAGATATAAAAAAATTCACGATAGAAAAATTCCCTCAGAAATTGTTCCTTATAATTTCCTTATAAAGTTTTTTACACCAAAAACAGACTAAATTTCATATTTTGGAATCCTCGGTTCTGATCATTTTAATGATTTCCAAGAGAATAGATGATGAGAAACGCGTTGAAAGGTTACTCCACTAGTTGGTTAAAAACGATTCGAAGCTACTTTCTGCTTTACTTCACAAGTTTTTTACCTCATCAATTTTAAAGATGAGAATGCCATGCTCTCATTTTGACTACCCCGAAAAAGTAAAAATGTCGGTTGACCTCTGTAGAACTTGAAGCAGGGAGAGTGTAGACCTCAGAAAGTTCAAATGAAAAATGAATTTTGAGACATTCGGAGTTCCTCTGCCGGCGCAGTCGATCGTGACTTTGTTCCTGTGGTTCGGCTGTCTTCTCTACGCCTCGATCCGCAATTCTTCCCACACTTCCCTCGGAAAAATCACCGGTGGCGATGAGAGCGTCAGACTAAGTTCGTCGAAAGAAGAGTTTGTGAAAAGCGGTTCGTGCATGCTTCGCTTCTGTTTCGTCCTCGTTTGCTGACTTCGTACAGTTTATGTCATGCCCTGCATTTTTCCGAGCTAATTGTAGCACGGCAGGTTGTGTTTGTGTCAAGACCCCGTGAATTCTCAACTTTCTCTTTCCATGTTTTGTCCGACGTTCGCACTGGTACAACTAGTAAGGTAGTTTAGAAAAATTCAAAAAAGGGTCATTTCACTCAGAATTTAATAATTTTTATGATCATTTGCTTAAACAGCATCTGTTTTACTGGATGGAGATCCTGAAAGTTACAACTACGGTTTTGGGCCATTTTTCAGCAAGTTTAGACTAAAATGACCACCTTTTTAATACTCTCGTTTCGTTACACTGTATTTTTCAAAATTTATCTTTTTGTTTGTTTATACAGATTTTTTTTTCCGAAATGCAGAATTTAGAATGTTTGTGATTCGCTGTGGAGAGCGTCCATTTTTTCACGGTACTTACTGCTTTTCTTTTTAAAACCAATTTGCCTATGTAAACGCATGATTTCTCTGTATATTTTCAAACTGTGCGATCTTCTGTGTGCACAATGAGAAAAAGAACCGATTGATTTTTTTGTATTTGATTTCCATGGAATTTATGTTAAAACTGATAAAACGAAATTTGATGGAAGTATGCGTTTGAAAGATGTTCGGATTTGAGATTCGGACTCGAGTGACTCGAAGCGCGTGTGGGACAACGAGGAAGAAGGCGTCGCCTACTCGTACAGCTTCTTCCACTTCATGTTCGGTCTCTCGTCTCTCTACATCATGATGACACTCACCAGTTGGTACAAGTGAGATTCACCAGCTTCTCGCGTCCCAGTATGCCGAGTTTCAGACCAGACAGCGACTTGACCAACCTGAACTCCAACATGGCGTCTGTTTGGGTGAAGATGGTCTCTTCGTGGGTCTGCGTCGCTCTTTACTGCTGGACCCTCGTCGCTCCGGCCATTTTCCCAGATCGCGACTTTTAAGTCTATCCCTGATTGAAAAAGCTCTTAATCTAAAAGCCAATCCATCCGATTTCTTCGTGTTAATTCTATTGACTTGAAGTATTCAAAATTGCTGAATTTCAGCAGCAGAATAAAAAATAATAAATACTTGAATTTAGAAAAGAGTTTTATTGCGCGAAGATCTCAAGTCCAAAAAATTTTTGTGCATAATTAACTGATCTATTACATCCCTATCTGATTGTGAATAAATGTAAATTTGTTCGGTCTTATTTGTTCGTTTCGGTCATCGTCTCATTTCGATAAGATACTTGAATATGGAGAGAAAAACAATTTTGCGAATAGTTTTTTAGAATGGACGTTAACACAATGCCCCGATATACCGGCCCGGTCAGTTCTATAATTTTTCTTTTCTGATCTGAACTTTCTGCAGATTTCTGATGCCAAATTCCCCCATCTGACCATCATTTTGTGTGCGACAGGTCTCCTTTTCGCCTCCTGGTTCATGGTTCTTGAGGTTCTTCCCTTTTCCCGGCATTTTTCAGTTTCTTTTCAGGTTACCTCGAACAAGTATAACCGAAGCATCCTCAAGGAGCTGACAATCGCCTCTTTGGCCGCACTTTTCCTCGGTTTCGGTACCACTTTCCTGCTTCTTTGGGTTGGTATCTATGTTTAAAATGCTGTATCCATTCTTTAATTTATTCTTGTTAAGTTTTTTCTTGTGAATGGTTTTATTTTTACATGAAGTATTTACAAACAACTTGTATGCCAGGAATGAAAGTACCGCAAAAATTAACCCGTTTGGATTTGCGCTATACTGCTGAATGTTGACCCGGAAGAAGCAGCGATGGATTTTCAGTAGAGTCATTTTTTGCCCGACAGGACGCAGAGCTTCTGGCAATCTTCGAGGTTGGCGAAACGATTCTCGTTGCCGCCGCAGTGCTGCAAACCGTGGATTGTCTCTTTCTGCGGGATGAGAAGGGCTTGCCTGCACTCCGAATGGATAACATTGCTCCGTGGCCGTGTCGAAGTAGTAGCGCGTGATCAGATCCAACTCAGAAGAGTCCAATGTTGCCGACTTTTTGCAGAGTCCGGAGTCTGGTAACTCCATTATTATTATCTGATTCTGAGCGGGATCCTTAAATCAGAATGGGGGATATTGACCCCTAAAAGGGAGAAGCTCAAACAAGGCCACAGAAAGGCAACAAAAAGAGTCCATTCATCGAGCCTTCCATTTCATTATATTTTCAAAGGATCAAGAAATGGTGGGAAAAGGGAGAGGCAGTAAAAATGGCGCATAACAGCTGATGGAATGGTGCAGGCAAAAAGGAACCTTCGTCATCCTAAAAGGAAAATTTCTATGGATCCTTTTTCCACTCTTCCGATTTTGCTTATGAACATTTACTTCTGATCGCTCTCGTTCAGGGCTAAATTCTAGATCGATCTTCCGAAGGCATTTATCGCTTTATTGGAATTTCCTCATGCTTTGTTAAGAAATAGCAATAACTTTGAAGATGTTTTGAAATATCTCAAGCACTTATTTTCTGATATACAGTAGCCAAAAATCAAGTTCGTAGAAGTTTTATTTTTCGAATTTCATAAAAAAATTTTTCAAAAAAATTGAGAGAACAATTGAATGCATTATGAAAAATTTCATCAATGTTTGTTTCTTATTGGAATGAACTAAAAAAAGTTTCATTAAGTCTTAAGACTTCGTTCATCTTATCACCGAAAAAAACAATCGTAAAAAGATAATTTCTTGGAAAGAATTTCATTAAATGGAAGCTCAAAACCGCCACATATTAATTACTCTGGTTTTTTTTTTAGAATTATGGCTTCTTTGTGATTTCAATTTGAAGGTGTGGGAATGACTAATCTTGAAAAAAACTGTGAAGTTAGTTGACTTACAAAACTAGAACTTTGCGTTTTTTTTGTTACAAATTGAAAGATAGGTCCATATCCGCGCAACCTCGAAAGAATATTGAAATATGTGTGTCAGAGTAATTTGCTGTCGCGCATAGGTACTGTGCATCCGGGCGTGCCTCATCCGCATCCCACCGGGAAACTCGCAAAATCCCCGAAAAATAATTACTCGTGAACTTAATTCGAAATTTCATTAATGAAAAGTCCACTACTCTTCTAGAGCTTCCTCTAGTAGGAGTAACCAGAAACTTTCGATTTTATCATTGATTAAAGACGGCATATACTGATTTTATTTTCTTTCTTGGAATATGTTCAGAGATTGTTCAATTAATGAGTATCTATACTCATACTACCTCATTTTCCGTCCTCACTATGAGGTGTTTAAACTTTTTCAACAATTTGAACTGGTTTGTTATTCTAGCCAAAGTGTTATGAACCACCTGGAGGAAGGTAACAGATGCTGGGAAACGTCTCGACGGCGGCAAAAACTGGAGGATTCGGGAGACGCGAGCGAGCGAACGTCTCCGCGGAGAGGACCAGAACGACGAGCGCCGTCAGAAGCATCTGAAAGTTTTTTTTATGACCGAGACCAAAGAAAAAGACGTTGCGCAACAAAATATCAACCTCCCACGTGAAAGTGAAATAATGAGAAACGAAACAAAAAATAGTAGTTTGATTTAAAAATTACAAGAATTTTTTTTAAAATTGAAGTCAGCATACATCTGTAATTTACTTTTTACCGTTGAAAGTTATGATAAAAAAATTTTTTTGATCTAGCTGAATTTTACGTCAAAACCTTCAGAAGCTCAGTACGGTATTTTTCCAAAAAAATCATTCTTACAATAAATTTTTCGTTTTTTTCTCAAATTTTTTTGATTTAATCCACATTCGTTTATTTTAGAGCTGCAGAACAAAAAATATTTCATAAGATTTATCAAGTGAACGAAATTTTGTATGGAAGGCGAAAAAACAAACGCAGCGAAATGAAATGAAAAAAATGAAACAGATTCCCACGAAAATTTTATCGCTCTTCGTTTTTGCAAAAAAAAAAAAATGGAAGGACGCTTTTATTATTTCATTTTTGAAGGAGGAAGGGTTGATTGCGTTGCGTGTTCAGAAAAATTTGAAGATGGGGATGTTGAAGCGGTTTTTTGGCAGCTATTGTGATTTTGAAATCGATAAAAGATGGAAGGAATGAAAAGACTTGTGGGAAACAGTCTGGAATCGGCGGAAAAAGCAGCCAACTTGAAATCGAAAGATATCAGCAGGGAAAAGGTACACAGAAAAGCGGAAGCGCCGCACTTTCTTGTTTTGTGCGGCGGGTTTCTGTAGACGCGACCTTTTGCCCTCCGATTTTTTGTCGAGTTGACGAAAGGTGAGCCACGGCAACTCTGGCGCCAGTTTGCCTGGGTTGTCGTTTAAAGTCGAAGATTGGAGATTTCAGGTATCTCGACTTCCGAGTACAGGTTGGAAAATTTGTTGGTTTTGAAGAAGGCGGCTAAAAATACTTCAAAGCACTCTTTTTCGCGTTTATTCTGAGCGAGAACGTGTTTGGTGGAGTTTTTACTTCCAGTTCGTGCTTAAGAACACTCTTCAACATTTTTTCTATTACAGGATTTTCGGTTCGAATCGAAGTTGATTTCAATTAAAGAAGGATTTTGAAGCTAAAAATGAGTGAGAAAAAATAAAAGGATCAAAATAAGCTGAATAAAATGGGAAAGAACATGAAAGGGTGGACGCCGATGTGATAACGAAAAAGCTGAAGTAATTTTTTATTTCAGCGGGAGCAATACATTTTTTTCAGAGCGTATGATTTTAATTTGCGACAGTGATCGGAAAAAATAAGTTAGCATCCAATTTTTAACAGAGAAAAAGCCTAAAGATTGAAAACTTCACAGAAAAAAATGAAAAATATCGTCGCGAATTTGGGCATTGAAAGTGTTTTTTTTTTCTGCGCACCTTATTTTTTTGATTCCGTGTGCGACGGCAAATGGAACAGGTCGACACCGATTCGGTCACACGCCTTGCCGCTGTAAAAATGCCTCGGCCGCTTGATGAACCGCCTGCGGCGAGTAAACGCATCCGAATCGCGCTTCCAAATATTAATATGAGCCTCAGTGAGTTGCTGTTTCAAGCAAAACGGCAAACAATCGGGAAATATTCATGACGTCGAATATTCAAGTTCAAGGTGCGGAGCTGAGGATGGGCCAAAAGAAAGAAGAAGTAAAAGCAAAATTGGCTTTCAGAAAAACGCAAGTGTGCCATATTTATTGTCAACTCATCAAAGTTGAATTGTTGCTGTAGACGTTATAATCATGGATGAATCGACTATGAATTAGAGCTTTTTCATAATTTAACATTGAATCTTTAGGTATCTTTTTTTGACTTTTTGTGTTGCGGAGACAGAAAAAATTTCTCTTCTGGCGGCTAGCAACAGTTCAATAAGTCGGGAGACCATATAGTACGAAAAAAAAAACACCAAAACTTTCCGCAATGTGAGGTTGCATAGAAAACAAAAGAAAAAAGGCCGAGCGACGCCAAGTTCGTGTTCCTTTCAGCTTTGCCTGATCACAACGTCGAACCGGGCGAAGCAGCATAAATAACGACTGTATAGAACGTTTTGAGGAGAACATTTTCCGAGGGAAAAGTCATCAGATACGCAAAGGTCTTGAGAAGGTCTTCTTCACGTGCGATACGATCTTCTCCTTATTAACGGTTATCGTGGCGTTGGGCCACGAATTTAAGAACATCCAGGGCTAGAATCGAGTTCAAGAAGGTGCGGCCGAAGTCCTTCGAGAAATCCATTAAAATCCACTCTGAGCTCTATAGTTATCAGTTTCATTCTGCAGAATGAAATTGATAATCTTTCAGAAAATGTGAATTTCTAGAATTTGTGCCTTTCCCAACGGGCCAAGCGAGAATCAAGATAAAAACAAACAAAACGCGTGAAAAGGTGACTCCATAAAAGGAAAGTAGCAGGACGGTTGATGGAAAGTTGGCGCCACCCGCGGAGAGTCGGACAATTTTGCGATTGGACCAGCGCGACGATCCTCCGAAGAAGGTCACACCGCGTCGCCGTCTGCTGATCCTTCCTGAAGGCTTTTGCGATCCAATAAAGGCTCCTATTTTAATTTTCGGCTTTTAATCAATAATTAAATGGTTTATTTCCAAACAACAACGATAAAAAACTTAAGGACACGACATAAGAAATTTTTGAAATCAAATTCCAAATTAACATGTAAGGATGAAGTAAAGTTTTTTTTTCTGAAAAATTTTTATTGTTGAAGTTTTCAGAAAGATTTCAAATAAAAAGACATGTGAAATATAAAAAAAGAAGATGATCTAAGAGTCAGTTTTGACCGCTAAAAACAATTCATCAATCTTTTGCTCTTCTTATTCAGCTCAACAACCTGTTCCTGTCCATCTCTCAAAGCTCATCCGAGTTCCGCCCATATCTGGATATTATTGGAGGATAGCGGCCAGCAGAATCTATTTATGTTATTGACCACTCCTCGGGAATCGAAAAAAAAAGTGATAGAATGCTAGTATCGATTATATATCGATAAAATGAAGTATAATATGACCAATGTGACGGTAACATGCAATGAAAACAGTAAGGTCTTTGAGGAAATGGAAAAAAGCCAAATTTTCAATATATTCACATCCCTTTTTGAAAAATTGATCTGAAGCAAAGTTATTTATAAAAAAGGCTACCGAGCCACCAAAAATATTTTGTCAAAAAATCGAGGTTCGCTACAAAAACGAGAATGTTGTGCCGAAGTTTGGGAGGAGTCGCCGACGCGAAATGCAGAAAATCAACAAAAAGCTTGTTTGATCTGCTCATCGGCCGAGTTTTTGTCCGAGGTCTGGAAGGATTCGCTGAGAAATTAGACTAATGCGATGCTTAATGATTTTCATCTTGCTTACTTTTTTATTTGAAAAAATGAAGTATCGACGAAGTTTTTTATTACAAGGAAGTAATATAATGTTTTTCTGAGATAGTCGAGCTAAAAAATCAAAAAAAAAATTGCAAAGAAGCCATTAAAAAAGGAAGACTCTTGTTTGGCCAAACACAAAAGGCTCGGCAGACAATTGGAAAAAAAGAGTTGAAAGGACGAGTGGAAGAATGAGAAGAATGACCGAGTCTGAAGAAGAAGAAGAGGTTGTCGTGACGACTCATTGTTCGGTCGGTACGGCTGAAACCGAGAAGTCGAGGGTCGCCGCAGGTAAGGAAGTTGAGGGTAAACGGAAAGGTGCGACGGACGAGGCGCCAAGAGGACAAACACCCGTGAACGAGCCGGAAGCACCTGCGAAAGGGCTCTTTCCTCTTTGGGACTGTTCTCGAGTGCGTAAAGATATCCTGGAGTTGGAAACCACTCGGATTCGAGAATCGACTTCTGGGTATGGTGGCTTTCGGCGAGAATTTCTAGTTTAACAAAAAATAAAACTGCTGAAGTCTCCATTACAACGTAAAAAAATCTTCGAAAAAAATTCAACAAGGTTTTTGAAGTTCATAATATTGGGAAACTATGTTTCTTGCGAGAAAAGATAACTCAATTCTTCTATTCATATATATTACAATGATCTGAGCAAAGAGAATTATTTTTATTAATTAGAATTTAAAAAAAAAGTTATTTGTGGCACTGATTTGATTTACCGTCATTGTTTATCCAGAGTAAACTGGAACCGGTTTCTTTTTAAATTTGTCTTTTAATTCCTTAAAAATACTCAATTCCTTCTTAATGTTATCTTCTAGGGTAAGTTTAAGTTAAACGTTAGCTTTTAGGTTCCAGCCCCCTTCCCAACTTACTGGCTCTTGAAAATTCCGATTCTTGAAATTTTCAAAATAAGAAACAACGCTTTTCCCTTTCTCAACATTGTTCATCAAAATTAGAGAAGAAAAGCAATTTAAATGGTTTTCAAGACGTTCTTCTTCATTGCGATCTTTAATTAGAATCCCTCAAAGATTCCTCGGATTCCTGTCTTCTTTTCCTTTTCTCGAACAGCTGTTCTTCCAAAGAATAACCTTTTGCATCAATTTTTTATGGACAGAAAAGGCTTTAAAGAAAGAAGAATGCCGAAAATATTTACCCTTTGTTTATAAAAAGAACTTTATAACAAAAAAGAAAGGCTGCAAATACTGGTCCTCTTGACAAAAGACAGATTTTCAGTCGAATCGAAAAGTGTTTGTGAAGTCGACAGCTCCTGAAAATGAGCAAATAACACGTAAAACGAGAAATTGTTGTTGAGAAGTTTCTAGCTAAACAGTTTGTTTACGACTGTTCAGTATTCAGTTTGAAGGGAAGGTAGAAAAAAGTTACCTTCACACTATTGTTCGAAAAAATATCATTCGACACGATAAGAATAAGCTTCTCTTGTGACATAGTCTATTCAGATTTTGAATGTCAAGTCGTCTCTCAAGCTCCGCCCCTAATGGCGCGATAAACCAATCAGAGAGCGAGCCATCCACAGAGTGTTTTTGAATGACGTCATTGCACTTGACATTCAAAATCTGAACAGACTATACAGAAAAATTTTACAAAAAAAACATCTCAAAAAATTGATTTCTTTTTGAGAAAACAATAAAATGGCCCGTTTTACACGCCGCGGTCCTTTTTGTGTCATATCCCTACGAGTTTATAATGAAGTTGAGGACTTGCTAACGAAACTTTTAAAGGAAAATATTTTTAAAATCCTTCATTTGGACCCTCCACCCGACAGAAATCTCTTCCAAACCGTTTCAGAAGATTAGAAGAGCCGGAAAGTGCAAATAACAACGTCTACACATCCCGAAGAACATGTGAAAACACTTTGGCCGACGCATCAGCTAATGGAATTACTTTTCCACGCCCAAGAAGCAAAGACGATGCGTCGCATGTGAACCCAAAGAGCCCAAAAAGAGTTGCGTTTTGCTTTTTTTCGCCGACTTCCGAAGAACTCAACCGATGTGCCTCCCACAGTTCGTCGTCTGTGAGATCAACCGTCGATTCGGTTGGTTCTTTTTTCCTTTTATTTCAGAAAACTGTTAAAAAATGGTTTATTCCACCTCGACTTAAGAAGAAAATATGCAAGTGACCTTTCGAGCTATGACGGCGGATAATTCTGTAGCTCGAGCAAAAAAATAGCGAAGTTCTTACGTAAGGATTCAGGAGTTATCATAGATACTTCCAAGGTTCCGGATTTTCAAAGACTGTTGACAGGTTTTTAAGCCATCAAAGTAAGCTCAACGAAAAACTTCGAAAAAGCCTTGTCCATTAAAAATAATGTGCTCGAACGCCCAGTTCCTAGATATTCTAAACTTTCATCTTTTCCAAGATGTTTCCTGATGAAGAAAATGATCTAATAAGAGTGACTTTTGTTCAAACTCTTTGCTCAAAAATTTGTTTTCTTTTTTGGTTGCATTCTTAATTTCATTCAACCTTCTGGTCAAAAAAAATAGTTGTTTTGATTCCAATCAATGAGAAATTTTGCTTGACCTATGTCAACAGATGTTCGCAGTGAAAAAAAAAATAAACGCTGCAAATTTAAAATCGACATGCTCCGTTCCACATGTTCCACCGAGATATGAAAACTTTGCAAGGCCTTTTTTTTTTACTGAAATACGGACATTTTCAATTTTTTTTTCTTTTCAAAGGCTGTTGTTTTGAAAAACCCTTTTTCTTCTTGTAACTCGCGATTAAATGCTAATTGCTAGGTATATTATTTACTGAAAAGCATAACTACTGCCTGACTTTTCAGCTCTCATTTTTAGGACAAAATCAAAACAAAGGCTTTAAGTAGACGAAATTCACAGAGATCTTCTCAATTATGTTGACAAAATTATCCCTTGAATTCATTTCTCATTTTGTCGCATTTCGTGACAAACGAAGCCAATTCGAGGGCGTCTCAGAGTACCAATCGGGATCGTTTCGTTCCAATTTTCATTCTTTTCTTTTCGTTTTTTTTTTCGTTTCTCCGTCTTCTGCTTCTATTTGTTCTTCTCTAAACATTGTCCACAAAGTGTAAGTGTTCGTCTCGTCATGAATCTACAAGAAAAGCTTGGTGGCATTTATCCAATAGGAGGCGGCAATGTGAAGATTTTCAAATAGTACGAATCAAAATAATTTTGAACAAAAAGTAGGAGTTACTGGAATTTTCGTGAAACTCTCCTCGCCGCTTTTTTTTTCTTTCTCTTCATTTGTTAATGTCCAAAAATTGCGAAGAAAAAAAAAGTGACAATTAGTTTGGTCTAACAGCTCTGGAAAGTTTCATGGCAAAACATATAACTTACCTGGGGATCTATGAAGTTAATTCGATTTTTTTCGACAAAATCAAAGTTTTCCAATAAGATTATCTAAGGAGGTCGTAAAATGTAGACACCCTTCGGCCTTTTTCAATAACGTCCCAGCTAAGTTGAAGCCAGAGTCTGAAAAAAAAAGAAAAAAAAATGATAAGAGAAGAGAAAAGATCTTGAGCCAAGCCAAGTAGAGAATTAATTGCAAAATGAAGGAGGCATGGGAAGAGGCAATTTTTCGCCGGTTGTCGACGTCGCAATCGGCAGCTCTTTCCAGTAGTCTGACGATGCTCCTGCGGCGCGCGCTTCTCCTTTTCCTGTTGGTCCTCGCCGCCTCCGCCATCTCCTACTCCCGATTCGGCAAATATCCGCAGGAGGAGCACAGGTGAGACAATTGGAAGCCTCTTTGAAAGTTCATTTCAAACAGTTGACCATCAGGCGCGCGTAAAAGGAAATCAAGCTTTTTCAGAAGTTTTTTGAAGTTTTAAACTCCAAATTTCCTCCTCGCGGCTGCTCAGGACAGTCTGAGCTTCCTGTGCAAAAGTGGAATATTTTCACGCGTTCTTTTTATTTTTTATTTTTCTGGTAGCACGATTGCACAGAAAATCCATGCTGTTTGACTTTTCGCCAAATAAGTTATAAGTTAACTGGTTCTTAGTGGTGATGAGTTAAACTGAAATCAAGCTTCTTTTCAAATATCTTTTAAATTTCCAACTTTTTCTAAACTGATTCTAGAAATTTTTTCAAAGTCGTCAAGACTTAAAAATCTGAATCAAAAACGAAACTTTATCAAAGGCCCATTTCTTATCAGGGTTATATTCGTTCTCGCACGATTACCGTCATAAAAGGTGTAGGAAGCAAAAAACGCTTCTCGAAAAGTCTTGTGTGTTTTGTGTCCCTTTCATCGACAAAAGATGATATCAACTACATAACTCGGATAGAAATGAAATTCTACACTTGAAACAAGGTTTTTTCAGAGAGGAGCAGCCGCTGAGCATCAACGAGCAAATGATGAGGGGCTCTCCAATCGTCTATTATGGACGCTTCAGGTGGATCAGTTTATTCCAACAGACATGGAAAGTTCTTTTGGCGTCCATACTTTTTTATGAAATCGCTCGAAAAATCTTGAAGGAACTTGAACTCCAATTCATATGGGGACTACCGATTTTGGAGATTCGATTTTTCGAAGTTGCGAAATGTTGGTTTGCAACTTTTTGGGAACTTCATATGCCCGAAGCTGGAATTCAGATAGCCTCTATGCGAACTTGATTACCAGGCTATCAGATCATTTTGAGCAACCTCCTGAAATTCCAGTACAAGCGCTAAAATGACAAAACAAAAAAAGCTCAAAAAAAAAACTTCTCAAGGATGAAAAAATCATTTGAAATATTCCCACAAAATTCCTGTTTTCCATGCAGAGACGGCGCCGACGACGTGCTCAACCGCTTCTTCAACCGTTTATGACTTTCGCCATATCAATTTGTTTCTCGATTTGTTGGAAAATAAAGCCTTTCGTACAGTAATTGATAACAACACGATAAACGAGCACTTTGGCACAAACAAATCGAGAAAGGCTCCGATAAGCCAGTTCTCTTGAATGCGCAAACTAACTCTGGTACTCCTTTGCGCCGCCTATGTGGTTCGTTTGAATTTCTTTGTTTCCAGAAGGCGACTTCTCGTCAGTAAAATTACATTTTAATTTAAAAGGACTGTTCTTTTATTAACTTTCTACAAGGCCTATTTCTTCCAATTTTTTTTTCCAATTATCAGAAGGGAATTTCAAAGCCTACTGTAGGGTTACAAAATACCTGAAACTCGAGCTTTGAAAATTGAGCCGAAAAGCGCCATTGCACAAAATTAGGAAAAACTTCTCTTACAAAAAGATGTGATGGGGAAACTCATGTTAATGTTCGGAAACCCTTTTCAACTGAAACAGAATCATTTTGTGTTTCGTGAAGACGTTTCCAGACGTAATCAATGATTATCTCGATTCAGGCGGCCAACGTGCTTTCCCGACATGACACCGACCACCACAGGTGAGCTGATAACAATATTATGGCGTTGAAATGAGGCTTCCAACTCCTGAACAGATAGATTGACAAATGATATTTGATCAGCAATCCTCAAGAAACGTTCCCGAAAAAAATTATTCAGATACCGTCGGGACAGTGGAGATCTTCATGGCTGGCTCACCGAGGAGCAAAAAACCGTCCTCAAAAAAGTCGGCCGAAGTCTATCTCCCTTTAAAAAGAAGACCATTTTTCAGTTGGACATTAAGAGCCAAGAATTTGTCGACAAAGTGATGGAATACTATGGAGAACTTCCAAAAGATCAGAAGGAAAAATGGGACAAGATTTACACAAAAGAATGTATGGACTGGGTAAAAGATGCCGCCAGTGAGGCCGATTACAAAGAACTGACGGATCTTTATGCCGCCAAGAAGTTCGAAAAGGCCGAGGAGAAGCTGGACGAACACACCAATCGGCTGGAAAATGGACAGAAAAAACAGCAAGTGCTCAATTGGGATGTGAGTCGTATTTTCCAATACTTTGTAAATCTTGAAATTGAGGCCCCATGCAAAAAATTGTTGCGTGGCGAGACTCGCTTCCGTCGAGAAATCGACCAAAACTTTGCCGAATTCGCATCTTGGATGACTGAAGATCAACGCAAGAAGGTCGACGAACTCAAGGTGATAGAGTTCAAAAAACATTGAACTCACAAAAAAAGTGTAGGCTGCTGGAAAAGGCTTCGAAGATATTCACGAAGAGACCAAAAAGTACTTCCAAGAGCTTCCGGAAGCACGTCAATCAGAACTGAGAACGGAGTTCAAACAGAAATGCAAAGTAGGTCAAAATAATAATGAAACTGAATTATTTTCAAATGAAGGCCTACTTTGCGCCGATGCTGACCTTGGAAGAGAAAGAAAAGATAAAGACGTCGCTAAGTGCTGGAGAAAAGGTTTGATACTCCCTCCAAAAGGTCTGAAAAAGAACTACCACTCAGAATGCGGCGAAAGACATCATCTCAGAAGTCGTCAGCAGACAGGAGGGCGACAAGAAAGTCTTGGCCGGCAAGATGCAGAAGGTTAAAATGACAAATGATCGGAAAAACTGTTTTGACAGCTCTGCGAGCAAATCTATGAAGAGGAGAAGAGAATGAGACGTGATCTGGGGGAGAAGATCTCGAAGCACCTCGGCTGGCTGAGCGAAGAACAGAAGGCCGAAGTGAAGGCGATGGCCGACCGCGGAGAAACCAAAGAGCAGATCCGGGCTCATCTCTTCAAAATCATCGAGGAGTACGAGAAGAATCCGGTTAAGAAGGAAGAGCTCAAGTTGAAGATTAAGGTGAGAATAATCTGAAATTGTAGAGCAACAGAATGGTTCTCAAATTACCGGAAAAAATGTATTTAAAAAAGTTAAAAATACGCCTAAAATGAAAAAAAATGATGAATAAGACACATTTTCAGCAATGCTATCTTTGGATGGAACGCGTGGCCTCGAAAGAAGAAATTGAAGCTCTGCACAAAATGCACGAAACCGACCATGACGGCTGCAAAAAACGCGTTCGCGAATACATCAAGCGTCTTCCCGTTGAAGATCAGGTTAGCTCAAAAATATAATTTGTAAGCGGATATGAAGTATTTTTGTAAATCATTTTGATTATAAATAAAAAATACCAATTTAAAACAAATCTAAAAAGGCTTTTAGTTTTTACCGATCAACCACGACATACGGTTTTTACTGATGGCTAACAAATGAGACTCTTTTTTTCTGTACATAAAAAACTTTTTGTAAAAAAATGTTTTTTTCACTGTGAAGTTGAACCAGTTCCGTTCTCTCACAACTGCCTTACAGAAAGTCGTCGAAGACAATCTGCCCTACTGCGAGAAACTATGGTACGGATCTCATGACCACTCCAGCCATGGCAGTCACGACCACGTCGGCCACGATCACCACGGACATCATCATCGTCGTCGGCGCCATCTTTCTGTTATCGACAAGTATCTCGACTGGATGGACGACTCCAAACGGGCTGAGCTGAAGGTTGTAGAAACACTCCTCAGCAATCCAACACAAACGTCCTTGCAGACGCTAGAAGAGTCCGGCTCGGATTTCGACATCGTCATCGAAAAAATCCGAGAACAGTTCAAAAAACTGCCTGAGGATAAGCAGAAAGAGCTGAAAGAAAACTTCAAGGTATCGAAGAAAAAATGAGTGGTTTTTAAAAATTGAAAAATTAAGAATCGATGCGTGACGTGGGCAAAAGAAGTTGCGAAACCTGGAGAGTGGGACGAGTTGAAAAAGCTACACGCGCAGAACGACCACGAAAACCTGCGGGAGAAGCTTTTCGCCCTGGAATTCCGCCTCACCGAGAACCAGAAGCACACGATTGAGCATGTCCGCGACATCTGCTACACTCTTTGGGACATCAAACTGCCGTCTCGCGCAGTTCAAGTCACGAATAAGGACGAGCTAGTGGTGAGCCGATCCTCGCACATACTTTTTTCATTCTGATTATTTAAGTCGAGACGCCGCCGCGAGTACCTGGCCACCGAAAAGTACGAGAAGCTGAAGGAGTTCATCGGATGGCTAGAGCCAGAACAGCAAGAGAGCATCAAGAAGCTGATTGTCGACGGCAACACTAAAGACGTGTACAAAGAGATCATCAGTTACTTTGACGAGACAGAAGGCGAAAACAGAGCCGAAGCGAAGAAAAGTCTGCAGAACGCTTGCAAATTTTACGCTGGCAAGATCCTCGGCGAAGAGAACGCCAAGGCGATGGTAGCGTTGAAAGAAAGTGGCGCAAGTCGCGACGAAATGATCAACAAGGCCAATGAGATCCTCAACGGCATCAATGACGCCGAGCACAAGGAAAAAGCGCAGAATCTGATCTACGGCTGCAGAAAGGCCTTTGAAGCATCCCGCCGCCGAAGAGAAGAATCGTCGCTGGACATGGCCTTGAAAGAATTCCTGACTTGGCTCACACCGGATCAAGTCCAGAGCCTCAAAGAGCTGAAGGAGGCTGGGAAGAAAGACGTAATTTACAAAAAGATCATGGGATACTATGACGAAACGACAGGTGACATCCGTACGAAAGCCAAAGAAGGTCTTCAGAATGCCTGCAAGTTTTACGGCAAGAAAACACTCGGAGAAGAGAACGTTGCGGCGATCGGGGAACTGAAAAAGAGCGGAGCATCCGCAGCTGAAATGAATGAAAAAGTCGACGATATTGTAGCCAAAATCGAAGATCCTGAGAAGAAAGCCAAGGCGAAGACGATAGTCGACGGTTGCAAGATAGTGTACGCTCCGGTTCGCCGCCGACGCGAAGAAATGTCTCTTGACACGGCTATCAAGGAGTTTCTGACCTGGCTCACTCCAGAACAGGTACAAAAGCTCAGAGAATTGGAAGCAGAAGGCAAGAAAGGCGAGGTCCAAAAACAGGTGATGGCCTACTTTGATGAGACCGAAGGCGAGGTTAGAGCAAAAGCCAAGGAAGAGCTCAAGACAGGTTGCAAATTTTTCGGAGTGAAAGTTCTGGGAGAAGCCAATGTGAAAGCGCTTTCCGAACTGAAAGCAAGCGGCGCCACACACGAAGAAATGAAGGCGAAGGCTGAGAAAATCGTGGAGGAGATCGACGACGTCGAGAGGAAGAAGAAAGCCCAGAAGATAGTAGAAGGTTGTGCGAAATTTTACGCTCCGGAAAAAAGACATCGTCGGGAAGAAATGTCTCTTGACACGGCTATCAAGGAGTTTCTGACCTGGCTCACTCCAGAACAGGTACAAAAGCTCAGAGAATTGGAAGCAGAAGGCAAGAAAGGCGAGGTCCAAAAACAGGTGATGGCCTACTTTGATGAGACCGAAGGCGAGGTTAGAGCAAAAGCCAAGGAAGAGCTCAAGACAGGTTGCAAATTTTTCGGAGTGAAAGTTCTGGGAGAAGCCAATGTGAAAGCGCTTTCCGAACTGAAAGCAAGCGGCGCCACACACGAAGAAATGAAGGCGAAGGCTGAGAAAATCGTGGAGGAGATCGACGACGTCGAGAGGAAGAAGAAAGCCCAGAAGATAGTGGAAGGTTGCGCGAAATTCTACGCTCCGGAAAAAAGACATCGTCGCGAAGAATCGCGGTACCAAGTAGCTAAAAAAGAGTTCCTGACGTGGCTCACAGCCGATCAGCTGCAGAAACTCGACGAGATTGATGAGAAAGGGAACAAAGATGAGATCTACAACCAAATTCTCGCTTTCTACAAAGAAGCCAGCGGCGACGTCAAGCAAACTGCAAAAGAAAACCTTCAGAACGCCTGCAAACACTTCGGGAAAAAACTCCTGGGAGAAGAGAAGTCAAAGACTCTCAGCGATCTGAAAGCAAGCGGCGCTACCAACGAGGAAATGTACAGCAAGGCTAAAGAACTCGCTGACAGCATCGAAGACCCCAAAAACAAGAAAGGAGCGCAGAAGCTGGTCGAAGGGTGCAGGGTTGTGTACGAGCCGACGAAGAGGCTCAGACGTCATCATCACCACCTGACGCTGGAGACAGCCCTCGACAAATATCTCACTTGGCTCACGCCAGAACAAGTTCAAAGCCTCAAGGACTTGAAGACAGAGAACAAGAAGGAGGAGATCTACAAGAAGATTATCGAATACTTCGACCAGGCTGAAGGTGGCGTGAAGGAAACGGCGAGAACAGAACTACAATCGGCCTGCCGCAGCTACTTCACGCACATCTTAGGGGAGGAAAAAGCCAAAGAGTTGAAAGATTTGAAGGAAAGCGGAGCTACAGACGAAGAAATGGGCCAAAAAGTCAAAGAAATGGTTGACGCCATTGAAGATTCCGAGAAGAAGGAGAAGGCCAACAGACTTTTCGTCGGCTGCAAGAAGGTCTACGCTCCAAAGCGCCTCCGCCGTGAACTATCGGTAACTTTTTTTTTTTTTTTATATAAAAAAATAAATTCATGCGAAATGAATCAGTGAAGCTCCGAGAAACCAAACTAAAAGATTTACTTTCAGTTCTACGATCAATTCTAATCAACACCAAGCATCAACTTCTACAAGAAGAAATGTACAGTAATCTATTATTATAACTTTATTTGTTTAGCCACACGTATATAAATTATTAGAATGAATCCCGTTTATTACATTTATACATTTGTCACAAAGAAGGAAGTGCGTTACAATTTAATGGGTGGATCAAACTTTTCGGCGGCTTTCCTTAGGCCACCAGTGCAAGAACTGAGGGTCGATCTTGGTGCGTTGGGCTTGCGCCACGCGTTTTTGATAGGCCTCAAGTTTCTCGTCGCTTATTGCGATGATGTACTGACCTTTGTAGTATCGGTACAGCTCCAAGTGCTGAAATTCAGAACTTGTGACTATTTTTCCGTCTTGAAGTAAGGGCGGAATTGGAAGAAATCTTTGATTACCCCTTCTTGCCTTTGTTCTCATGAGACCAATTATTTTCATAAAAATCATAAAATTATTGTTTGAACTCTTCCGACAAGACTTTTGAGCTTAATTTATAATCGAATTCAAGCTTAATATCTTCCCTTCTACTTTCGAAAACTTCTATCTTTTATCAAAACGTTTGAAACTGGAATAAAAAAAAATCGCAAAGGCCCATAAAAACGGCTAAATTATATGGTCAGGCGGTAAAGCCGATGTATACGATTCAATAAAACACATAGCGAAACGAAAGTTTAGAATAAAACTTTGCGGTAAGACACTACATTTTTCGGATATTTCAAAAGAATAAAAATACAGAGAGAAAAGCTGAAAAAGGTTTGTGAATCTTTTCACGCGGCCTTAGTTCCACTTGAGCATTTCAAAACGAAACCCTATTTGTAAGTTTCTAAATGAAGCTGATTGGAATAGAGTTCTGTGGAAATACCAAAAAGGAACTTCAAACGTTTAGCTGTGTAAAGTTTCAGATTATTATTATAAAGTCCATTCAAAACCACTTTTTGAGCCGTTTGAAAGCGCAAAGGTTGGCTCAGTCTTCATTCGTAATGAAATGAAAAATTTTCGTCTCTTTATAAATATTGCTGCTTTCAACACCAACCTATTTCTGAATCAAGAATACTGATTTGAATCTACATCCAAATAAAAACAAACAACTTTTTTCGCAATACCTGAAGAGTCGAAACTACGTCTTCCTTTCGTATGGAGGTCATCGACGTGAGGTCGACGACTGTGATCGGCCGTTCCTCTTCCAACATTTTGTTCTCCTTCTTGAACGCCATCAGTTTCTCCATTATCGCCAAAGCCCAGAAACTTCGGTAGGATAGCTAAAAAACAGTATTTGCAACATCAATACGATTTTTGCTCACGAGTCCAAGGTCAGAAAGCGGCTTCTCTGGAGAGCCTGATTTTCCTTCTCTTTTCGACAGCTCATAACTGAAAAAGATGGAATGAATAGGAATTTTTTTCAAGCAAAAATCAACCTGAATTCGATGAGTAACCGTCCATATCCTTTCTTCTGATAGGGAGGAAGAACGAGAATACACGCCACGTTGTATTCTTCCGCTGATTCTTTTTCCTTAAATTAATTTGCTGAAGGAATTTTAGCAGTCAAAGCTAGTAGATAATGTCGCCATATTTCATGAAACGTTGGAAATAAAGTGAAAAGTTATAAATCTGTTTTCTCGTTTTTCGAAAAGCTTCATTCCAACTTTGACCATTTCTATTTTTATAAACAAGTTACTGAATTCGTTAATCCGTCATTGAACATTTTTTACTCGGAATGAGGTTTTATTGTAATCGATTATCCAAGGCACTTTGACTTTCATTTCTTCGCAAACTGAGCGAACCTTGGAAAAGTAGCCGACGATGTGATGGCCGCGGTCGTCTTCTTCGGCCAGGACGTAGAACAAGAAGGGATCCGTGTCGTAATACAAAGTCTTGTGGTCCAGGAACAGCTTGGCCAATAGACACAGATTTTGAGCGTACGACTGCAATCGTTATTTTCCTTTTGTTTATTTCCACGATTTCAACCTTGTTTTTTCTTCCATCTATCTCAAAGAACGATAAAGAATCCTTGCTGTAAATCTGATTGCCGGGCGGATGATTGATGTTGCATTTCGCCTGGAAAATTAAATTTTCAACGCATTTTCATAGATTGACATTGGAAATTTGGCCTTTTAATCAAGGATTAAAGAATGAAAAAGTCCCATTTAAAAGAGAAAAAAGCTTTTTGCATATTTTTCTGAGGAAATTGTTTTTATAAGCTTCATTCCATTTATTTTTTTCATACATTTCGCAATTTATTGTAACTTATTCAACCTGATCTCTCACAACATAACTAACAGTTTTCTTTTCCTAAATTCTCTCTTTTTTCTTTCCATTTCTCCCGTAAATCAATCAAAAAAAAAAAATCGAATTTTATCTCACAAGCTAAATCGAAAATGAGCTGATTCAGTTCACCTTCCTGCTTAAGTTCTATTTTTATCCCATCATTAGCTCACCATATGCCGCCGTAAACACGTGTCGCTTTTCAGATACTTGAGGCAGAACTCGCAGATGAAAATACACGGTAAATGGGTCAACTGCTGTGGATACGGCGAAAAGTACCACGGCTGTATTCGAAACCTGGAAAATAACTTTGAGAAAAACTATGAGGAGGACAAACGAAAAGAATATAGTTTGATTAACGCCGAATAAAGTCCGATAAAATTTTGCCGAAAAAATTTTTAAAAAAGTGCAACTTTACAATATAGGCGTTTTTTGAAAAGAATCTAGGAACGTGTTTAAAAAAAAAGCGTTTGGAGAAGGAAATGAGGATTCCACTTTTGGAATCAATTTTTTTGAGTCAAGAATAAAAAAAATATTTATGTTAAAATGTTGATATTTTTCCTAAAATTCATTTATATCTATGTTCATACGTAAATACAACTTAGAGAATAACTTTTTTTTTCTGTAGAAATGAATTCAAAATTCTGACCTTCCAAGCTCAATCGCGTCGATGTTCCGGATCCTCGTCAAGGCGTCTTCACTGTGACCGACCATCGACATAGACCCTCGTAAACTTGGAGCAGACGATGTTTCTCAAAAGAAAAACGTCTGAAAGGATCGAACTCGACCTAAAGTACTTGTCTCGACGGCATCCCCGCCATTCTCGACTTTGGGCTCTTCCACTGGTAAAAGTGGGATCTTCCGTTTCCTGCCAACCGACTTCTTGCTGACGTCGTTGCGGTCTGGCGACCCTCCACGAGACGAACTGCACAGAACGATTATTCAGAAAGAAAAATTGATAGCTCTACAGAAAAACAAAAACACGCAAGACTTTAAATGCTTTTTGTCACTTCCATCAGAAAGGATTTTTAAACATCTGAAAATGGAGAAGTGAAGCATTTAAAAAAAATTCAGTCTATGCCGCGACGATTAAATCAGCAGAATTAGTGGGATAACTTTATGATTTTACAATCGAAATCGGAACACACAAAAAATGCTTATTTTCTATTTTCTTTTTTTCTAGTTCTGATAGAAGCCGTTCTAAGAAAGTCTATTTTGTTATAGTCCTTATTTTCAACCACTTTTTTTTCAAAAGAAAGTATCTAAAAAATAATCGCGGTGATTTTATCCCAGATAACCTTGTACTTTTACTATTAGAAAAATAAAATACCTTTCAATAGGCACATGTCCTCCTTTTTTGCTCCCTCTTTGAGGCATTCTGAGGGACGAGAGGTCGAGGTTCTCGGCGGTGACCCATTCGTCCAACCTTAATCTCTTTTTTTCTCAGAACGAATTCAAGAATAACAAAAGCTCGATTTCTTATATTTTCTTTATCACGTATTGCTTGTATTTCTTTTTCATTAATCAAGACACGAAAACCTTCGATTGCAGTCGATGTAGTGAACGTAAAAACGTTGCTTCCCATCAGGTGTTGTCGTAGTAGAGATTATATCCGCCATTCCTGTACAAAATATATTGAACTTCTTCCAAAATATCTTACATATCTCAAAATTCAACCGTTTTTTTTCAATACTTAACTATTGAACCCTCATCTTTAATAAATGAAAAAATTTTTCTTAACCCCTTAGATACTATTTTGTGAAACTCATTGAGGAAGGCTTTGACAAGATTCAAGGACTCACTCCATTCGTCCTGCTGAACCATACGAACCATGAGACGGCATCCTTCAACCACCCTGTCTAGTAGAGAGCTCTCTGCCACGCTTGGTTTGCCATCAACGCTTCCTTCTTTGGTTTGTGACTGGGTCATATCTGAAACAGAATATTCTTGAAAATTTCAACAATAAGAAAAACTTAGATAAGGCGAAACCAAAAATAGAAAGAACATCGGGAAAATTCTCTAAAGCCGTGGTTTGAAATCTTCCAAAAATTTTTGTGATTTTTATTCATAGAAAATCATTCAAAAAAACGTGATAGAACTCCTATTGAAAAATTTTTTTAATTATGTGAAATATCTAGAATGCGAATATTTAGAAATTCGAATTCTTTTTAAAAAAATATAAAAAAATGAACAGGAAATTTTTTCGCAAAAAAATCGTGAGCAAAATTGCGCCAGTGTGCAGTGCAGTCGGGGCTATACACGTAGTTACAGTAGTCTCACTATAAGAAAAAAGAACTGCGTATCCCTATATCAATCAAAGTAACCATTTAAATGGGATAATATTAATCAAAACAGACACTGACAGCTTTTGGAGAGCGTCTCTTATAAATATGTAATATTTGAAAGGAGTCCCATCTATTTCGATTTAAAAACGTTAGACTCTTTTTTTTAATACTTATTTTACCCCATCCATGTCTAGTTTCAAAGTCTGCTTGCCAGCAAAACTAACAAATTTAACCAAAAAAAATCTCCGAACAGCGGTCAGTTTGAAGATTTGAGCGCCTCGGAAATGATTGTGAATCATGTGCCGGCACAAATTGGCCGCGAGCCGCCGATTTGTCAAGGGCTGACGGATGGACCATTAATTTGTCGCAACTTTATCTCTTTCCTATCAATCGATCGCCCGTCGTTCCTTTACACAATGGAATTTCGGTTCCTCCAGTTTCTCAGTTAGAAATTTCAAACACGAGATGCTCCCTATCCGGATATTCGGCTTATCTAAGTTGGCGGGAACAAAAATTCTCCTACCTTTCATTTTTCTGTCTTTACTGCCGTCTCCTTTGCAACCAGCCACAGTTGGTTTAAATCAAAAAACGTTTATTAATGACGTCTTTAAAGTGATTGGCGTAATCGGAAATAAAATCACGCACAAGTGTGTTAGATCATACCATACTTCAAATTCCTTCAGGAAGTCTTACATGTTGGTTTCGCAAATCCACTTTCACAACGTCATAAAAGTTTTGTTAGGGTTGAAAATGTTTTTTTTTTTCTGAGGAACCCGATGACCTCGAAGGCGACGCTGCGTTCGAGAAGAAGCTGGTGGCCACCCGAAAAGCTGTAATTATGAAGCTGGACCAATGCACTCATTGGAGAGACCAAGTTGAGAAAACAGAAAAAGAACAGATCGAGAGACTTCTCATGATGGGAAAGTTCGAAGAGTGCAGGTATTTTTTTTCGAATAGATTTAAACTTCGTTCTTTTCCAAGAGATCTGGTGTTGAAAATCGCTCGAAACCACTTTCCTGACAGCGCCGCCTGCATCAAAAGTGTCACGGTCCTTATTAAGAAGTATCGTCGAGCACTTGAAGAAAAATTCCGGTGAAATGATTTCCGCTTAGAATTCAATTTACCCTTGTCATTCTCAGGAAGTTCACTTTCGAAAAAAGCAAAATAGAAGATTTTCTGAGTACAGAACAGCTGCAAAAGCTTCACGAGTTACTGCAATCGACTAATAGAAGCGACATGGTCGAAATTGCGGTGAGAATTCCGAGCATTTATTTTTAAGTTGTGTTCAGCTTCAACGTTACTTTGGAGACTTGTCGCCCGAGAAAAGAGAGACCCTAGTGAAAGAATTTTTCGCATACAAGGTTGAGCTTCGGCGTAAGCCTAGAAGTGTCAAAGGTAAGAAATTAGAAAATTATAATACATAGGGACTTTGTAGATGAGACGACGGAAGGTGTCGAAGGGGCAAAAGAGAAAGCGACGGCTCGAAATCCGAACCCACTGAAAGAAGAATGTCTCGGATGGCAAACACGGGGACAGGTACTATTCGATGTATCTGTTGTTGAATGGTTTTGACCAGAAAGAAGTTGTCCGAAGGCTGAGAGCTTCTTCTGCCTCGGAGTGGGACATTCTCAACTTGATAGCAGATCAGTTCTATCACGCCAAAAGATCTCTGCGCAAAAGATATCAGGAGTGCGTACCACATTTGAAGAAAAAAAGATTTATTCTCCGATAATACTGTTTCAGGAGTTTCATCAATTACTGCAACGAAAATCTGCGACTTCTGATAGGAGACGAAAACTTCGAGAAAATAAAAAAGATGTACAACGAGAGCGAGAAGGTCGACCGTTTGAGTGCCAAGTTCCAGCAGCTCGTCGGGGAAATGCAAAACGAGACCGACCGCCTCACTGCCGGTTTTCCTCAAGTAGAGATATTTTTTCATTTTGTTCTCCCAGACCATTATGGCGTGGTTTGTCGCAAATTCTACCGACTTCTTCCCTTCCAAGCCGACGACCTTACATCTTGGCTGACGGCTCAGCAGAAGCTCAGAATTGGTCTGATGATCATCGATCCAGACATTAATGACGCTCAAGTTTATGATCAAGTGAAACTGCGTTTTCTGCTCTAAGGATCTATTATTTTTTTGTAGCTTTACGAATGGTTTTCCGCCACAAAAGGAACTCAAAAGGAAGAAGCTGACGAGATTATTATCTCAGGATGTCGAAACTTTATCGCTTTGATGTTTGGCGACGACGTCGCGGAAGTTTGTTTTGATGAAAATTAGAGAGTAGAAAACGAGAGATTCAGACTAGATTTATAGATAATTTGTTATTGCCAAAAAAAAAAAACTATCTCCGCACATCACAGAACGGTAGAAAGACCAAAGACGAAGATTATGAAAATGAGTTCTGAATAAGCTCACTCCGTAAAACGACTACAGCAACACGTCTGTTTCAGGAAACAGAAGACATGCGTCTTGCCGGAAACGTGTCAGCCCAACACATCGTGGCCAGACTCGCCGAAAAGCTGGCCGACATTCCACGAACCGCTAATCGCAAACAGGCCGAGTTTTGTCTTTTCGATATTTTTCTCGAATGAGAAATGTTTCCAGAGATTCCTTATCAATCTGCAAACGAATCTACCTAAATTACAACGGATCCTGCCACTGCAACGGACACGCGACGGTTTGCGACTCCCAGCTTCATTCTTGTCTCGACTGCCAAAACAACACCGCTGGCTATGAGTGCGACAGGTGAAACCATCGAAACATGTCTTTTTGAGATTTCATTTATCTTTTTGAACTTTCAGATGCAAAGACGGATATCTGCGACAAACAGACGGCGCGTGCCTCCAGGAAGAAAGTGAGCCGCAAGAATGCAACTGTCACTCCCATTCGCAGCGCTGTCGATCCAACACATGCGAGGTCGGAAATCCACAAGGTTCAAGATGACGTGACTGTAGGCCTGCAACCACAACACGACGGGCGACGACTGCGGCCTCTGTTTGCCTGGATTTTTCGGCGACGCAACTCGAGGAACTCAGGAAGACTGTGTCCCTTGTCCTTGTCCGTGAGTTTTCCATTCTTCATGAAGCACGGACCTTTGATACCAATTCAGAAAAGGTAGCGAGTGCACTGTGAGCGAGGAGAATGTGGTGACGTGCTCAACTTGTCCAGAAAACCACACCGGTCTCAATTGCGAGGTTTGCGACTTCAGAAAAAGGCTCGATGCCTAGAGAACTATGTTTTTTCTTTACGAAGGCTTTTTGAATCCAAATGAACTACGTCGCTGATTGGTTGAAAAAAACCTCTATTGTTTTCCAGGCCAATCGTTTTCCAGGCCAATCAGAGCTGTAGTTTGTTAGAGCGAACTTCTCGCTGACGTAAATAAAGTGTGTCGGCATAAACTTTGAACCTAAAAAAATTAGAATAGGAAAAAAAAGTTTCAGATTGAAAGTGAGACGGAGGTCACAACGAAAGAAAAACAAAAGGACGCGATGTCGACAGAAGAAGTCAAAACAAGCCCTTCTTGAGGCAAAAAATGCGTGAGAAGGCGTGCCGAGTGTCCGCCGCGTGGGAACCGAGCCAGTGTTTTGCCTCTTGTTGTGAATTTTCGCTTGTGATATTTTCTCTCGATAAATTGCTTCTCGTTTCCTTTTTTTGCCATCGTTTGCGCCTTGACTTGAAAAAATCCCAAAAGGCGTCTTCAAAACTTCTTATTCATACTTTCAAGAAGAGTTTAGTTTTACTGACGAAATTTAATTTTCCGTCTAAGTTTTTCAAAGATTGTCCGATAGAGATAAACTTTCTAGGATTTTGAGATCACTGACCTTCGAATAAAAAAAACGTTAATATTTTTTTCGGGGCGCAGTGCACCTGTCCTAGAGAGCGTTTTTGTACAGACTTTTTTCTCGACTTTCGAGAAGTTCAGAAGGATTGCACTCTATACTAAAACTTGCGATAAACAAGTGAACTTGTCTTGGTTTTTTATCTCTTGCATATTCCTGTACATCACATAAGATAGTTTTCCCGATTTTTCACTATATTAGTGTGATTTTTAACAAAAACATTGAGTCTCATTGTAAAGAAAATCTCTTGAAGAACCAAGGAGATAATATTTCCTAGTTACAGAAACAGAACCACATATTTGCAGCTATTTTTCATATGTTTTCCCGAAATCTTGCAGTTATCATTTTGCGGTATTCTTTCATCTGATTTCCTCAATATCATCCATCTTTATCTTCCGAATGACGTGTGAACTGCCGGACACTATTTATAAGGTGTTCTTTCATCGCTTGTACGTCCAATTTCGCCCCACTTTATTTATTCAGCCCTAGAAAACTCCCCTGGGAAGAAGAAAATTTGAAAAAGTGGAGAATACTTCCAAAGGCCTCGGGATAGTCCCAGGCTTTTTTTTTCAATGGGAGCATGGAGCTGGCCAAAACAAGTCTGTTTTCTTGTCTTTCTTTTTTTTCTCATTTGGGGGCGTCTCTCGTGTTTGGAGCGTATCTTGAGAGGTGCAAAAGAATGCGTTATGATCGGCGAGGACCCCTCGGCCTGCATTTCCGTGATTGAATTCCCGAACATCAGCTCTCGAGTCGTCTTTTCTCGTCCATCCGCTTGTACTTCGGAACATTGGACTTTATAGGACGCTGTCCGACATGAATCAACTTGCCGAAATGACTGTCGACGGAGGCCAAAGCTCCACTGATGAAAGCAGGTTGACTTTTGATACAACTTCTGTTCTTCAAAATAATCATCTGAAAAGAAATAATACTCAAATATGGACAATTCATATCTCATGCTTTCGAAAAAATAAACTTTACTGAAATAAGTCTCCGCGTATCGCGAAAGAAGTTTGAATGCAACGCATCTCGATGTAGGCATGAAAAAGTTATGAAGAAAAAGTTTGACGCGCCGCGGACCACATGTTTTAGGATAAAATGTTGCTTTTTGTTATCTAGAAGGTTCAGAAATATTAGTTGACCATGTCATTAGCGAGAAAATTTCATAGTACTTGAGGGTTTTGCACTTAAGATTCAAACAAGGCATACCGGTTTTCTGGAAAATATGAGGCGCTTCGAGAAAATCATTTTTTATTTGAAAAAGTTTAATTTTAGTTTAAGTACTCGGTTTATGATTGAAAAAAAAAACATAATCTCAGGAAATCAACTCATCCTTATATGATGTTCTTCTTATATTTTTAATACCAAAAAAGCCTTTAAAACCTTCTTTGGTATTTAAGCTGAAAAAAAAAATGCAAAAGGCTAATAAAACGAAAAACTTGAAAAATGAAATTTAAAAAACGTTATGAAATTAAAATATAACTCGAAGAAAGATTTTGAACAGCGATAAAAAAGGGAAGTTTGCAGTGATTTTGTGATGCTCCTTGTGATCTGCGGCATTTGCGGGATCATCCTCGGCGTCGCCATCAAACTGTGTTACAACTATTCGCGCACCTTCCCGGGACAAAAGGTTGGATTTCTTTGCCTCGCAGTCCGATCTGAGGTGTTTTCCAGGAAAGCGAGACCGTCCAGGGGTTCAACCGCCGCGCCATATCCGTCAAAGGCTCTCGAGGCAATCGCTACTCGGTCGCTTGATCTTCTCTTTCTCCGGCTTTCTCATTTCCATTTCTCAAAAATTTTAATACTTAGTTTCAAACATTTACCAACCCTTTAAACACTTTCTAAAACTTTTCCTACCGGGAGAGCAAATTACCTTATCTTAACTTCAAAAGTTTTTTATTAGATAGGTAAGATAGAATATAGTTATTTTTCATCAGAAACATTTGATCTCTTATAGAAAATTATCTTGTTTTTCTTGTTAATTTTACAAAGTCTGCGAAAACAAAACGTTCTTTGAGGTCTCACTTGACAATGCAGAGGAACTTTTTTCGAGGATCTCTCCTCGAAACGATTTCAAAACCCAGTTTTCATGAGGTTTGAAAAAAGTTCGAGCTTTTCAAACCTTATTTTGAGCTCCGGATAATGGCTTTAACTTCAAAAGTTATATGATGAGCATGTAGTTTAAAACCAAAAATGTCCTAGTTTTTTAGATAGATAACTTTCTTTCTGTTTTTCGATCTCAAAATGTATTGAAAGCGCCTGAGTTCACAGAACAAAACAAGAAAAAAGGTACTTTTGGAAGGCCGAGAAGCCGCCAAAGCGTGCTCGGACAGCCGTCTGGCTGGCCCACCCTCACCCCTCGAATAGATCTCCTCCAGATCCGATTGTCCTTCTCATTTCTGTCCTTTCTGTCATTTCGTCTGGTTTTGATACTCTTGAAATCTCTAAACTTGTAAATATATACTTTTCTTCACATCGATCAACTTTTCCATTTCATGATTTTATTAAAAAACGCTCAACAAAGAGAAAACCACAAATGTTTTTTTGGTTAGGCTCACAATTAATCATTTCGAAAATAAACATTTTTTGTACATAGTCCTCTTATTTTTCGCGAATGAAAAAATGAAGATCGTTTGAAATAAAGTTGCGATTCTGCGAGCGGCCACCAAAGCTCCTTTACAAAAAGTGTTTACCAATCGTTCCGAACACATGATTAAAGTCGCGGCGACTCGATTGCTGCAGAAAAAACTTTTGAAATTTCCCAGAGGATGAAGCTCGGCTCTCTGCTGCTCATTTGCATTTTGGAGATCTTCTCTACAGAACTGCCGTCGCAGTACAAACTGGCGAATCGAATCCTCACTAATTACCAAAAAAGACTAATTCCCCAAAAACAAGCCAATGAGCCGATCAACGTCTTTTTCTCAATGGAACTGTATCAGGTCATAGAAGTGGTTAGTGCTGGGAAAGTCGCGAAAATCCTTCCTCAAACTCTTTTAGAACGAGCCGCAACAGTTTTTGATGATCAATGCTTGGATCGCAGAAGTACGTTTCTTCAGCTTTTCATTTATCAGCGTCGTTTGCAGCGATGGGTTGATAAGATGCTTGGTTGGGAACCAGCCGAGTTTTCTAACCTAACCGAACTCATGATACGTCACGAAGACATATGGGTCCCAGACACCACGCTCTACAACTCGTGAGCGAACGAATTCATGTTTTGGACCCGTCTTCTCAGACTAGCAGTGAACAACGACGAGTCGCGACGTCTTCTTCACGCCAAGCTGACCACGATGGGCCGACAAGGAGCCATGGTCGAGATTCTCTATCCAACCATCTACAAGATCAGCTGCATGCTCAACCTACGGCATGTTTTCTTCTGTCCCAGCCATTTTCTTTTTTTTTTTCATTCAGGTTTTTCCCATTCGACGTGCAGGTGAACAAAGACCGCAGCGATCCTTGAAGACGTTTTCAGACCTGCAAGATGACATTCGGCAGTTGGTCCTTTGACAGCACCCTCATCGACTATTATCCCAAAAACGAATCACAAGGCATCGGAACGATAAATTGTCTTGAAAATGAAGGCTGGAGCATTTTATCCTCTCGTGGTCGAGTTCCAAGGCGCAACGTCGGAATGGAATGTTTACAGTTCAACGTGTTCAACACAAGTACGAGTGCTGCCCCAACAAGTACACGCTCCTCGAGTTCTACCTGAAGATTCAACGGAAGCCGCTCTACTACATCATCAACCTCATCACTCCCACATCCATCATCACACTCATCTCAATCGTCGGCTTTTTCACGTTAGTCCTTTTGAATGTTTAATTTATACTGTACAAAAAGGAAAAGAAGATAAAATCATATTTCGGCATTGACTTCTTTTTTGAAGATTTTCAATATTTTATTCATGACTACAAGAAAAACTAAACTAAGTTTATATTTAACAAGAGCGTTCAAGGATTTGTAATTGCTCTTTTTTTCGAACTCCTCAAGTCGGGAGGTTACTTTCATCTGACCGCTAGCTTTGAAGATCGGCATCTATCAACGACATGAGGCAAGAAAAGATCACTCTGGGAATTACAACGTTGCTCTCGATGTCAATTCTCATTTTCATGGTTTCCGACAAAATGCCCTCGACCTCGTCCTTCATTCCCCTCATAGGTAGGGCAGCAAGCAAAACATAATATCCCTTTAAATCAGGCTGGTTCTACACGTCTATGATTCTGATCATCTCGTTTGCTACAATCGCTGCATCTATTGTTATTTATGTTCAGAGAAAAGGTAACAAATAAGTTTTGAAAAAAGTGCAAAGAGCTTATTAAAAACAGCCACCAGGGCGAGGAATCGTTAAAAGTGTCATAAAATGGGTAAATGTGAAAGAACTAGACTTTACGGCGGAGCTTGCAGGAGTCATTGGAAAGCCACCGCAGCAAAGTACAATGAAGTGGGCAAAAAGCGTCGCCGCGCTTGTTTCCATCGAAATGCCGATGGTCATGCGCGAGGCTTACGCCAAAAAAGAAAGGGTCATCAAGTTTTTATACTTCAAACGGAAATTGAAACTTTCAGGAAGAAAAACTGAGACGACGCCAGCTTGGAATAGGTCGAAGAGACAGTCTGTGGAACAAAGTGTACCGACTTGCCAGGGACCAGTCGCAAGTTAAAAAGGTTGAATTCCCAAGGACTTTCTAAAAAATTTCGTTATGAAGTTGAAAAAAGAAGACGAAAATGGCTGGCCAGTTCTTGGAAATAAGTCTGGGACCGCGACACCAACAAAGAAGTTTAATATCAACAGTGAAGTTGCCTTTATCGGTTTTTCTTTTCTTTTTTTTAATCTAAAGTAAACGTTGATTTGAGGCGATGAGATGAAGAACAGCACCTACTCGGACATGTCGACGTCAGAAAACGGTTTCTCTTCGAGGATAAATCCCGCTCAGGACTTGACTCGAAAAGAGCAAGCCAGTGACGAATTTCCCGAAAAGCCTATTGAAGGTGTTGCACTAGCAGAAGAATCGGTTTTATTCAAAAGCTGCAGTTCAAATTTCGACGTTCGCGACGCGCAATTTGGCGCAGCTCGAGTGGGACTGGCTGGCGGCTGTCGTCGAGAGGGTCATGCTCCTCGTCTTCATCGCGCTGTTCCTTTTCTCTTCGGTCGGCATCAACCTCATCGGCTTTGTCCATTGGCGGTACGAGGTCGGCGAGGCTATCCAAACGTGGTAGAAAGGGTCAAAGCAAGGTCCTGCCTCGATCCATCTTCCCTATTTGATTATCTTCAGTTCTCTCAATTATCATTCCCGTGATAGTTCACAGCTAGCCAGAAACAAGAAAAAACACACAAATTATCAAATAAGGTTTTCATTTGCGGCGCTTCTCATTACAGAAGCAAAAACAAAAACAATTCTGATAAACATTTTTTTGTCGGTGATTTCACTTTTTCTCATTTTCTTTCAATATGAAAGTACCTTCTTGTTCTGCTGAACTCCCATACTTTCACGTGATAAATAAACATATTCAACTTTATTTTTCCACTTCTGAGATCCCGTGTTCTTTCAAATTTACAAAAATACGAACCGAAAAAATCAGCTAACTGTACTGACGGTGGTCGAGTTTTTCTCGATCCGAACTTCCAGCGGCACCAATCTTCTCCAGAAAACTATCGTCATGATCGCGCCAATGGCGAGAAGAACCAGAGTCTCCACACTTATCCAAATGTAGCCAGTGTGCGAAAAAAGTGTCCTGAATTGAAAATAAAGTAACTTGATTAAGAAGAAACGAGAAACTAACGTTGTGATGATGGGAGCCACGCAACGGCCGATGCTTCCAACGAAGGCAAAAACTCCTTGCATAATTCCCTGAAAGTAACAGTTTTCTAATCAATGGACTTTCTCCTTCATTCTGATCGAAGTCCGACAAATTTTGAACTTGAAGCACAATTACCTGTTGGCGCGGCCCAAGAACTTCTGAGAAAAGAGTTCCGACAGAGTTTCCGATGTAAGGGAAGGCCATGCCGAAGCCAACGATGTAGGCGATCACGTAGGCAACGAAAGGAACCCTGGAAAAGGGATTGACTCAGGATTCTCGGATGTAGATCACCTGCGAGCATTCTGACACCAAGGAAACGTGCACGCCCCATCTGTAGCCGTCGAGTTGTAGGTCAATCTGGTGGTGTAGAAGGGCCAAGGCAGAGATATGAGGTAGTAGATGGCGAACACCGTGATTCCAAAAACTATTTGCTTCCGTCGGTCTCTGTAACACGTTTCGCGGTCTCTAGTTTCCAATCTACTTTTCAAAGCCCTTTTTTCAAATTTTTTCTCCTTCTGAACTTTTATAAAAACTTTTTCAACTTGCTGGAGAGTGACCAAACATAAAAATCTGAGAAAGTTAGAAAAGCGCAGTTGCAGCGATTTGAGAAATTGAATTGAGAAATTAACTCGATTGAATAAAATCGAAAAATTGAACAAAAACTGACATTTTGCCGACCCGAGTGAAGGCCACGGTGAGGTACTGGCTGACGCTGAGGACGCAGGACGCCGTCTGAATAATCCCGTTGTAGACGATGGCCTGGTTGTTGGTCCAGCTGTAGATGGCGATTGTGAACGGCGAGCACAGCCTGAACAGTTGTTTCAAACTTCGAAGCCCTTTTCAGACCTACGATTCGATGTTGACGCCGATCGTCTGCGTGACAAACCACAGATAAATGCAGATGAACGCGGCGATTCTGTCGAATGGCGGAACCACAATCTTCTCATTGCCTTCGCCTTTCTCCTCTTCGTCGATGATGCCGACGTAGCTGTCCGTGAAGAAGTAGAAGGTGAGTACAGCGAAGACGACGTTGACCAACGTCATGAGGAACGCCGGCAAGGTGTAAGAGTCCACTTCCAGACGGCCGATGTACAGTCTATTCGAGCCCATGAGACCGAAGCCAGCCTTTGAAATACTTTTCATTCAATGAATAAAGCATCGTTGTCGGTTCAACCATCATTCCGCTGGCAAAACAGTATAACGAGCCTTATAAAGTGGGAGAAAAACTCTCGATTGGAGGGAATTCAATGAAGTACGTCACTTGGTGTCAGTTCTAATATCTGATGCCAAGGTTAAACAATTGGCCCTAATTTTTCACTTTTTTGCTTAAGTCAGGGCTAAATTACTTTACAAAGAATAGGTATCTAACAATTGATCAAAAATTCAGAATTTTTTCAAACTTGAATATTTGAATATTTATTTCACTTGGGAAGAAAAGAACCTGGATGACAGGCCCGATGATCATTCCAGAGACGTATCCGGCGATGGACGTCGCCACGGCCTTGTTCCTGTCGGCCAACGTCGACGCGGCCGAGGTGAAGGAGCGGAGAACGGAGAGATTTCCAGAGCCGACGCCGACGATGATGCGAGCCGCCAACATGAGCCACTTCGGCTGCCATCCGATCGTCGGCAGCAAACCGTACAGCAAATGACCTAGCAAAGAATGCTTCTGTTGTGGCGAAATCAGTTGAAAAGGTACCACAGGAGCACAGAACGAGACCTGTTGCGATGGGAGGCTTGAAAGATTCTGTCTTCTGCGACCAGGTTCCGAAAACAGGAGATGCCTGTAGATCACTCAAGATAACCCCCAACTGCTCATAACATACAATAGCCTGGCCAAAACTGAAACTTGCGAGGACGACACCGAAAAAAGAGAGACTGGCAGAAGGATCGAGCTGAAAGTATTCGAATTATTGGATCGAAATTCTAAAAAAAAACCTTGCTCAAGTATGGCCACATAGAGGTGAAGTACATGGAGAGCTGAAGTCCTAGGACAAGTTGAACGCCGTTTCCGAACCAAAGTGCAGACCACGAAGACTTCTGGCCGTCCATGTCCTCCCCCCTAGGGTTTTCGGGTTTTGCGGAGTGAGGTCAAGAGAAAACTGTTGCCGTTTATTAGTAAAGTAAGGTAATTGGAGGAAAGTTTTTTGTTTATTTTTTGATAAGGTCCGAGTAAGACCATTTGTATATTTTTCCTTTATTGACAGTTTTCAGAAAACCTTGTTCAAAATTTTTGAGGCCTCGGATCCACGGGTCAAACAGTTCAGTTTGATCTCGAAGTTTGTAAAAAAAATTAATCTTATTTTGAACTTTTTTTTAAAATGTTATCGTCTCGTTAATGCCCTGTTCGAAGTTATTCCGCGAAATCCGAAATAACCATCAGAGAAAGAAAAAGATAAATAAACTTCGGAGAGTCAGAGATAGTTTTGCATTTCGCGGAAGCTAGTCTGAACACAGCATGAAAAATCAAAAATCCAAGAAAATTGAAAGTGATTTCCTACACTCTGCATGTACCGAAGTTGCTAATTTTTTCACAAACTGATTTTTCTTTTTTCTTTTCCTGCACATGAAAGTTGATTCATTTTTTTTTCCAAATCTTACTCATAAATACTTATCCGGAGAGCAAACCTGGTTTCCACTTCCTGAGGCAGGACCTGGATATTGGGAAAGGACATGGAGCCGGCGGAGACCGCAGAAAAGGCTCGAATCCGCGACGCCATTTTCGGAGACTGCAGGATGTTCGGTTCTATCGCTATCTTCCAACCTTTCTCCTCGTCTAATACCCTTATCTCTTCTCAATTTATAATCACCTCTGCCCAGTTATAATTCAATTGTCATTCTGATATTTCACTTCTCGAAGGGCGCAGTTCAACTTTCAGCTATTATTAAGCGACAGCTCTGACTGACTTTAAAAAAAAGTCTTTTTAGGGAGACAATCGTCATCATTTTTCGTCATTCGTGTGACCGTTTCTTGTGCAAACGATGAATGGAGCTTCCAAATCATTTATCAAATACGAATAATCATCCAAAAAGGCGTTGGGGGTGGTAAAATGGACGCTTCTCCGCCGGCTCTAATGATTTTTTCCTGAAACATTGCTCACATTTTTGATTTGAAAACCTGACTTACAAGAATGAAGCTATTTTCAAGAAAAAAAAACAATTTAAGAAAACAGAGCTCAGGCTAGAGATTCATAAAAAATCCATCGCAGAAAATTTTCAAGCATTCTAATGTTTTTTTCTGGTTCTACAAAATTGATATTTGTTGACATTATCGTTTATAATTGAAGAATTGTTGCTGTCTAGAAAAAAAATATAGAAGTCGCGTATGACGCGTATGATTACTTATTTCATAACGTCGACTAGTCGGTCTCATTGCCGCTCTCTCATGGGATAATATTCCGACGCCCGTCGGCCCTGGACAAGCTGGGCGCTGTACTGTTCCAACATGGTGAAGCCGTTTATTCGCTGGTACTCCCGACGGGCCCACATTATTTCCCAACTCTAGCTGTCACGCCGGGACTTATTGGACAACTATTATGGACCGTAACCCGCACCTACGGCTAACTCTTCGATTATACCATGATTCAGGAGAGATTTTTTCTACATCTCACTCGGAATGCTGAATAAATTTTAAATTGTAATTGTATGACTGCAGTCCTCAATATTTTTTCAATCGAATCACCAACCTAATCTGGGAGTTTTCTGTTTGCTGGACAGGCTTCTGACTGACAGCATCGTTCTAATAAGAAAATAGATTACACAAAATGAGAGATCCAAACTTTGAGGGAGTTGATGAGGTCGACTTTGGCGACTTCGTCTTCTGGAGTCGCCGCATCGTCGATGACTCGCACCGTGTTCAGATTGGGAAGACGGAAACGTCTCAGGTAAGGCGAAGGAGCATGGCCTGTAAGGCCGGCATGAAAAGTGAGATTTGATAGTATTTTTTTTTTTTCTACTTTACTTATGATTTACATTCTAACTTTGCGTGTTTTGTCCGTGGGGTGAGTATAACTCTTTTTTTTTTTGATTTTCTGCGCGAGGAGTTCAGGTAAGGCGAAAGAGCATGACCTAGGAGTTTTTCGTTTTTCGAATTTTATGTCTGAAAAAAAAAGAAAAAATCCAAACTATGCACTTCTCGAAGAAACTTTCTGCTTTTTTCAGCTGAAATTTCATTGATGCAGAGAGAAAAATAAAAAGAAACCTGTTGCGACGTCGGTTTTTCGGGACATGGGCTCTGAGGGTCGCGCAGTGATGAATGCGTCAGGACTTCTAACCGACGGGCGGCTCGTTATCGTCGCCGCGATCGGAGTTCGTCTCATCTGGAACGGCTTCTGACTTCTTTTTCTTTTTTCGCCGCCGAAAAACGCAGCGACGTGAAAAAACAAAAAAAAAGCTAAAATCTTCGGCTCAGTAGGGGGAAGGAAGCGAAACTCACGAGAGCTAGAATGAGTTTGAAAAAGTTTTTGAAAAAACTAGCTTTTCGAAAGCTCAATATTTTCTTCTTGTCATAAATATAAATGGGAGTTAACCAAAACTCTGATAATTCGAACTTGACAGGTGGAGTAAAGGAATCTTTTTGATTAATTTTCTCCGATTTTTTTTTTTACAGTTTCGTGTTTGATCATCACGAAAACAGACCGAAAAACGCTGTTTTCCCATCTAAAGGAGGCGTAGTTTTGCGGTTTTAATGATATGAGAGTGCTGGCTTGAGCCTATTAATACACAACTGATTAGGCAATTATCACGGAAGCGACCAGAAAAACAATTATTGAACAGAGAGGTAGAGCAACACTTGCACGAAAAGACTTCTTTCTTTAAGACTACCTATTGGTTTCTAAAGTATGAAAATCAATCAATTCACTAGCTTGTCGCAAGCTAACCTTCTTTTCGAAAATAACTTTTTTTTTTCTCAAAAACTTCTAGATATCTGAAATGTAGTGAAACTCTGATAATAATTTGTTTAAAAAATTTAACTTTTAAAATGACGCTAATAAAAAAGTATCGGAAAGATTTGGCTCTTTTTGGAGAATGTGCGTGACAAGAAGAGTGAAAAAAGCGGAGAAATTAGCACGATTGGAGCAGTCGATGGAAGGCAAATTGAAACATAAAACTTTTTGGCGGCGGCCGAACGGAAGATGGCTTCTGGATTGCGAAACACGCAAAGACTCCGCATCTGACATATCATCAAAAATGAATGAATTGCCAATATATTTCCGCGTTCCTCGAAGCATCGGGATGGACATCTTCTTGGTAAAATACAGAAGATCGGAGAAGAACTCATTCCAAGATTGAAAAGCCTTTGTGCTTGTTTGGAGGAGAAAAACTTGCTCTGTTGAGACATTTCGGAAAGATCTACGCTTTTTTTTGTAGAAAAATACGAAGTTTTTCAAAATTAACCAAAAAAAAATCGGACCTATCAACAAAAAAACATGGACTTGGTTTGTGAAGTTTGAGGTTGAAGTTCAATTTGACATTCTGGTTTCAGGTTTTTTTTTTTGCGGTTTCAGTAATTGTCATATTCAAACCCTTCTCAAAAAAGACTTTCCGTACTAAAAAAATAGGGAAGTGGACGTTGAGAAGAACTCGAAAAGCTCTTCTTGCTTTTTCTTCTTGTCTAATTTTTGAATATCTTTGAAAGATTTCGAACATATTCAGTAATAGTAAACTACTGCTCAAAGATTAGCAATAATTTATTTTTAAGTTCGGTGAATTCACTCACCCTCTTTCTTTTAGGGAGCGGAAAATTTTTTCCACTTTATAGTAGAAGGAAGATCTGCTCAGCAACTGTATCCTCAGCATTCATCCCAACGCTGCCAACAACGCTTGCGCGGCGTGATTGTTTGACGGAAAGTTATGTTTATTCTCGAGGTTGACGGGAGTCGACTGTCTGCGTCTCAGCTGACCCCCGGTGTGGCGAGACGTTCTCGACGAGGGCGCGGCGGCCAAGACGCCGACCGGTCGTCACAGTTCTCTTCCCGAGAGTTCCTTTTCTATGTTTCTTCGCTGCCTGGCTGCCTCGATTTTGCTGCTGCAGCTCGCGCAGGCCAAGGTTAGTGGCAGGACCCTGAAGGACGACTGATTTGCCTCCAGGTGACATGTCCACGAGGTCCGTTCGGCACGCAACTCGAATGCGCCTTCGAGTGTTGCACGTCCTTCGAAGGCGATGACCATGTTTGTCTTTCGAGTGTTTGCATTTTTGTTTTCGGTGGCAATTTGTTATTCTCACCCTTTGGCCGTGTTTCGGAAGGGATACAAACAAAGCAATGGAAAATGTTATCAAAAAAATTTTTAAAAAAATTATAACTGGACTTTTTGTCAAGAATTTTTTTAAAAAAAAGCTTTCGTTAAGAATATTTTTTTCTTATGAGATTGAACCCTTGAAAAAACGATTGCTGGTTTCAAATCGAAAATCGTAAATTAATTGAATTTCTCACAGCGTCAAAACATGAAAAAATGTTTTCTATAGAACAAGGACCGTCCGACAGAATGATTAATTTACAGAGTTCATCCTTTTTTTTCCGGAAAGAAACTTTTCAGGGCTACTACTGTTGTGGACTGGAAGAGAAACAACAGATGGACCGCGGAGGAGACAAAAGCCGCGCCGAGCGGTTCATCTCCTACGGCAGCACCTTCCAGTAGGTCTTTCCGGCGGATCCCCTCATCTCTGCCTCCAGGATCGACTACACGATGCTCGTCATCGGCCTGATCATCTCCATCGTGCTTTCGATCCTCTTGTCCTTCTTCTGCTGTCTTTTGTGCAACGGCTGCTGGCTCCACCGCCGACGCAATCCCCAGATGTACGAGAGTGTCAACGACAACGGCTGGTATCCCATCTGCTGTCAGTTCTTTTTTTTTCGCTTTTGTGAAAGTTTCATTGCACAATGTAAACAAGAAAGCCCGTTTTATCTGCACTGACCTCTTTTGCAATATATACCTCTCTTTTTGAGGAAATATTATATATCAGTTTTCTCCCTAGTATTAGCTATTCAAATCATTATTTAACTGGATTTTCAAAAGAGGGCATAACTCGGAAGTTCATAGATTGCGATATAGAAATTTGAGAGCTATCAGGTAAAAAAGAAGTTCAAAATCTTTCCCAGAATTTATACTTTTTCGTTCTTTCAGTTTTTTGGCTGTAAGTCAATGTCAGCTTCTTGAAAAAAAAAAATAAATTATGGAAACTTGCATTTTCGTAATTATTTTTGGTCTGATGTGGATATCTCATATTTACCCCTCTTATCACCAAAAATCTTATTGCCTCAATTTCATCTCCGGAAAAAAAGCAATAATATAAGATGCTCGGGAAACTCTTTCGTAAGTGTCAACTTTGAACCGACTTGACATTGACTTCTTTTCTTTTTTTTAAGCTTTACCCAGCGCCGTTTATTTGCCTATGCCGTTTTGTGAGTGGATCGTTGAGTATGAAAATCGATGATAATCGATTAGGAACAAAAGTTGAGAAAAGAAGCCGACGATGACGCACGATTCTTCCATGTTTTGCGGACAAAAGGCGAGCGGAAGAAGGGTCTTTTAGGGAAAAACGCAAATGGGCCACGCGCCTCTTTAGAAATCACTGTTCTGGGGTCGGCCTAATCGAACTTTTTAAGAAATGAGACGCTTTCTAGCGAAAATGAATTAGATTCAAAAGCTCATATTCACAACTGCAAAGAAACGAACAAACTGCCTCGAATTGAAAATTCGATGATTTGGTTGTAGTTTCAAGTATACTTCAATCAATTAATCAATCAATACTTATCTTTTACTTTGGTCAAAAAATAAGATTTTCTGCAGAATTAAGACTGCGGAATAAACTTCGCCAATTCCTTCATGAAGTCTGAAAAAAACCAGAAAATCATAGAAATGGACCTCTTTTTGAGATTGATCTATTTTGATCGAATTTTCAGAGATGTCTTTAATTTTCGACTCGGAATGCAGAAATTTTGCTTTTTAGCATTAGTATAAGATTTTAACGGAAAGCGGGCGTCTATTCTGCGACCTCGGTATGGGATTTTTATAACAAATTTTTAAGTTCCTAAATAATATTGCAAAAAATCTATCAATTTGTGTGAATAGTGGGAATCTCAGCAGAAGCTGCAAGGAACACTATCTTTGAGGAGAAGCTTGATCCGTAGGAGACGTGATTTTTGCAGGCGGCTTCGGAATCCCGATGGGAACTGTCGTTTTCTCCACTCATCCGCCACACTACAGGGAGGACAGCGAGATGTACCACGGCTCCAGCACTTCCAGTCTTCCTTCGTCTAAACAGAGGTGCCGTCGTTTCTTCTTCTCACGATCTCATACGACATTTTTTTCCTTTCTGAATCAATGAAATTCTTTCAGAGTACGGTTCAATCCAGACGGAACGCCGCGCGGAGTTCTAAAAAACAACGGACACGAGTCACAGTTCAGGGACTAGGCAATCTCAGAAAGAATTCAACGACACCCGGTGCTCTTTTCAACAATCTTCACCAAATCAAAAGTCATCTCACGAGAAATTTATTTGAAAATGAAGAAAAAAGTTTTTTTTAATTGAGCATTCGCTTTGAAACAAGGGCAGAAAATAAAATAATATGTATAGAAATTTGTAAAGGACTACCCGTCTTGCGTGAATGAATAAAATGAGTAGAGAACGGAGTTGAGGCAAAAAAGGAGTTTCGAAATTTAACTTTTTAGATGAAAAATGAAATTGAATTCTTCTCCACTGGATTTCGAAATCAAACTCTTGCCGCATCTTCGAACAATTTCTTGAGAGTATCAACAACCTTTCAGAAGGTTTTTCCCGTACAAAATAGAAGCAAAACCTCATAATGCGTCCAAAATAAAGCGTCAAATATAGCGAAAATGAAGGTTCTTTGAATAATCCCAAGTCAAATTTCTGTTCAAAGCTAATAGAAGACCGTCATTCTCGCTCAAAAGAAATCCTAACTCTCTTAAAGTGGCAATGTGACCATGAAAGAGCAAATGGAGAGCTTATCACCGAGAAAAAGGAAGAGCAAGTGAAAGTAAGTCATCGGAGGGACAGGAAAATTAAGAATGCGAGGAAAAAGCCGAGGGAATGGCTGGCGGCCGAGTTGCCGTTGCAATGGTCCGCGTAGCAGGTGCAGACGTCAATGGTCGAGTCGTCGGTCAGGGCGCCGCCGAGTTTGAAAAGCTCCTTTTTCCTGAAACATCCCTCCCAATGATTTTGGTTCACCGTCTTTCCTTTTTGTTTTTGTGTACCAACTGAGTATCAAGTACCTTTGCTGTTTTTTTTCAAAAAAATAACATCATTGATTTATGTCTGCAATTCTCATAGATCTCGAATGACCTTTCAGTCTTCCAAATTTGCAAAAAAATAGTCAGGGACTATTGAAAAAAAAACGGAATAAAGTTGTGAAAAGTTGACAAAAGAAACCGATAGGGTCGACAAGAGTCGCGATGCATCCAGCGATACCAAGTGACGATCGTCTGGTTGAAGCCGTTGATGAGGACGTCGTTCATGCAGCCGCGAATGTGGCCTTTTATCCGCACGCCTCAAAATTGCCCACATATCAGCGGGGCGAGGATCTTCTCACCAGCAATGTTGGGTTGTTCGAAAAGGGACACGCATATCGTTGGACAATGAACTACCGGAACCTTTCCTTCGGCAATGTGCTCATCGTCGCAATCGTCTGAAGATACATAACCATTTTTGAATGGAACTGGTAAAGACGCCAGTCAAAAAAGTAGACTCAAAATAAGAAGTTACACTGGAGACATCAATATTCTACTGAAATCGCCTGAAAGTTCGTATTCTCTAATAGAAACATTTAAGTTTGTTGTAGTGTCTAGATTTCACCCCGTAAATCTACACCATTTCAAATTGCCGCGCATTATTAAGATGTGCAGGCCACCTTCACAGTTCCACTTTCTGCGCAATCGCGTTCCGCGATTGCTTCCTACATTGTGTTGTCTTCGTTTTTTTACTTTTTGATTTGAAGTAAATAGTTAGTAACTAACAGTTGTATATATTCGCACTATACAACAATTGGCGATCAGGTAGTAGAACGTATTCCGCGTGTCTACAATAGTTTTTTTAACTGTAGTTTTAAAAAAACTTAATTATCATTTTGGTCAAAAAAATATTAATATTGGGTTTTTTTAACAAAAAAATTATTTATTTTTTTGTTTTTCACTTGTAGGTTGTTTTTCATTAGATAGGTTTGTACATATAGTAGGTTGTGTGTTTTTATTGGTGCATTCGGTAAGACCGAAGAGAGACCCGTCCCTCCACCCAATTCCCAGCACAAAACAGCGTCCTCCCGCGCTGTAAGCACTCAAGTTTAGTGAGATTCATTGTCTTGAGCCACGAACACAACCCCAATTGGCCCTCATTTCCCGACCTAAAGTCAGTTCATTCACATCCCCGTTCCTTTCTCTCAATCAGTTGCGTAACTTTCTCGGATTGTTCGAACTGATTTGAAGATGTCCAAGACCCCCGACGTGAATGAACTTGTCAGCTTGATAAAAAAGCAACAGGACGAAATGAAGGCCCAGAACGACCTTATTTTCAGCCTTCTCCAGGCTACCCTGAAAACAACCGCCCCCACTGTTGCCAACGCCCCGACTGACCCATCTTGTGTCGTGGCAGCGTTATCGGCACGCATACCCATGTTCGAATACGATCCGGAAGCCGGGAAAACTTTTTCCAAAAATGGATTAACCGATATGGAGAAGTTATCACGGTTGAAGGAAAAGTCCCTCGACGAGACTACGCAAGTCAGGCTTCTACTCAACAAATTACCCGACGAAATCTATGAGCAATTTGCTGCAAAGATTTGTCCCAAGAACCCCTCCACGGAATCTTATGCGGACGTAGTCGCTACGCTGAGCGACTACTTCGATGTTAAAAGATCCCTGCTGTCCTGGAGATTCGCATGCACGCAAATGAGTCGTCTGGATGAAAATCCAGCGGCTTACACGTCCCGTATCAATGAAACCTGCGAAAAGGCCATGTTGAAAGACATCACCCCAGAAGAATGGAAAACATTCTTTTGGATTAAGGGCCTTGACGCAGCAGGAGACACTCAGATCCGTGCCCATTTCATCAAGTTCATGGAACGAAGAGTAGAAAGCAAACAACCCACCACCATCATGGACCTCTGCGAAGAATGGCTGAGGATTCAACGGCAGAAAACTGAAGTCCAAGAACTTGGACAGAAGAGAGTTCTCGAGTTGAAGACCAAAGCCTCCCCCAAAACCCCGGTAGCTTCAGAAGGAAATCCTATGAACAGGATGACCTGTTGGAATTGCGGCAGAGACGGGCACTCCTCACCCGTTTGTCGCAATCCCAAATCCACCTGCGACAAGTGTCATCGAAAGGGACACGGCGAAATTCTGCAAGTCCACCCGCGTCACCAACCCCAGGAAATCGACTACGTCAAAGCCGAACACCTGGACCCGGTGCAAAGCTGTCACAGTTGCCAACGCAGAATCCCCCCAAGTGCAAGCCGTCCGACGCTTTATCGATGTCGAAGTCGATGGCGTCCAAATCCCATTCCAAATGGACACCGGCAGCGATTTGACTCTGGTCGGAACCCCCGAGTGGGAACGACTAGGCAAACCGCCCTTGGAAAACGTCCCTTTCCGAGTGAAGAATGCTAGCGGAAGCGACATGGACATCAAAGGCCGCTTCAAGTGCAACTTCCAGTTGAAGGATTCTCACGCCAGCGGCTATGCCTACGTGAGGAATTCCGGAAACTTACTCGGATTGGACTGGCTTGAAAAATCCACCCACATGAACTACCACCTTGACCAAATGATCAATTCCATCGAGAACGGTAGACCGTTCGGTGAACAGCTGAAGGAAGAATTTCCGGAAGTGTTTGCTGAAGGTCTAGGGAAATGCAATAAAGAGCAAGCAAAGCTTATCTTGAAGGACAATGCAAATCCAGTCTTCAAGCAAAAGCGCCCCGTCCCCTATGGCTCCCTGGCAGCAGTCGAAGGCGAACTGAATCGTCTTCAGCAGCTAGGCGTCATTGAACCCGTTACCCACAGCCAATGGGCCGCACCCGTCGTGTGCATTAAAAAGGCCTCAGGGAAGATCCGAGTCTGTTCTGACTTCAGCACAGGACTCAACTCAGCATTGGAAGACGAAGAATATCCCTTGCCCACTTCCGAAGAGATCTTCGCCAATTTGAACGGAGGATCCGTTTTTACCCAAATCGACCTCAGCGACGCGTATCTGCAAGTTGAGTTAGATCCTGAATCCCAGCCCTACGCCGTCATCAACACCCACAAAGGCCTTTTTCAATACAAAAGGCTACCATTCGGAATCAAGACGGCTCCGGCGATTTTCCAGAAAATCATGGACAAAATGATTACTGGATTGAATGGCGTGGCCGTTTACTTGGACGACATCATCGTAGTTGGCCGTTCCCAAGCCGAACATCGCGAAAATGTTCGGAAGGTCTTCGCCCGTATCCGTGAATACGGTTTCCATCTTAAACTTGATAAATGCGCTTTCGAACAAAGCGAAATCAAGTATCTGGGATTCATCCTCAATGCTTCTGGACGCCGACCGGATCCTGAAAAGGTGAAGGTTATCCACAACATGACCCCTCCGAGAGACCAGAAGGTTTTAAGGTCATTTCTCGGAATGATTTCCTACTACGGACAATTCATCCCCAACATCAAAGCATTGCGAGGACCCTTGGATCGACTTCTGGTCCAAGATGAGGATTGGAGGTGGACTAGAATTGAAGAGCGTTGCTTTCAAAAGCTCAAAGACGTCTTGTCCTCCGATCTGAACCTTGTTCATTTTCATCCGAAGCACCAAATTGTACTGGCCGCCGACGCCAGCGAGTATGGCATAGGCACAGTCATTTCCCACATCATGCCCGATGGCACCGAAAAGCCTATTGCGCATGCAGCAAGGTCCCTTACCGAAACGGAAAAAAAGTACTCTCAAATCGAAAAGGAAGCCTTGGCTCTCATTTTTGGAGTGAAGAAGTTCCACAAATTCATCTATGGAAGACGCTTCACTCTCCGCACTGACCACAAGCCCCTTTTATCCATCTTTGGAAACAAGAACGGAATTCCTGTTCACTCCCAAAACCGGCTTGTGCGATGGGCGATCATCCTGCTCGGATACAACTTCCACATTGAATACGTCAACACCGATAAGTTCGGGCAAGCCGATGCCTTGTCCCGAATGATCCAACATCAGGAGGCCCTTCAACAAGACGACTTTGTCATCGCGAAAGTGGAAGTAGAAGTTCAAGAAGTGCTTCGATCCAGCATTCGAAGACTTCCCCTGACCAACGCGGACGTTCAAACCGCTACTCGTCAGGACAAAGACCTCCAACACCTCATGAAGTTCGTGAGATCCGGAAAATTCCCTACCAACATCCCTCCGAATTTGCGTTCATTTGCATCAAAACGAGATGAATTGAACGTAGTCGAAGGCTGTCTCATGGTCGGCGAACGAATCGTCATTCCCAAGACCTTACAGCGAGAAGTTCTCCAAGAACTCCACGCTTCACACGCAGGAATGGATCACATGAAGCGATTGGCCCGATCCGTTGCTTTTTGGCCCGGAATCGATGCCGATTGCGAGAACTTCGTGCGAAACTGCAAAGCATGCAGTTTGCACAGCAAAACTCCCCGGAAAGTCCCTTTACAACCTTGGCCCGCACCCGAACGTGTTTGGCAAAAGGATTCACATCGACTTTGCCGGACCCGACCAAGGACAATGGTATTTGGTAGTGGTAGATGCCAAGAGCAAATACCCGGAGGTAAAAATTGTTCACTCCATCTCCGCCGCCAATACCGTGAAAGTCCTCAAGGAGATTTTTGCCAGAAATGGCTACCCCGAAACCATCGTCTCGGACAATGGAACCCAGTTCACCTCCCAACAATTCGCAGATATGTGCCAGAATGGCCATATCCAACACATCAGAACTGCTCCCTACTGTCCCCAGTCCAATGGTCAAGCCGAAAGGTTTGTCGATACCCTCAAGAGAGCCCTCTTGGGAGAATCCATCAGACGTTTCCACACCAACCAACTCAAAAGTGATCTTTCACACCCTTATCCCGGAACGAGCGATACCTTTGATCCTTGCCTCGACGTGTTGCTGGACACCTACGATGTTTCTCCAGCCAGCTCGAGCTCAAGCAGCAGCAGAAGTCCAATTTGTGCACCGACAACGTCTGGTCAACAAAAGCCGTGCTCAGCCGCTCCTGCAGCAGCCGCACATCCATCGACAAGTCAGCCGAACAGTCAAGCACAGCAGCAAGACCGAACGACTACGGCCGCACCAACGCAGTCAGTCAACGTGCCGCCAGCACCGCGAAGATCTACACGACAGCGAAATCCTGTTTCTCGTTACGATCCTTCACCGTAACATAATATTTCGCTCATTATTGTTCTATCTTCCGGCGCCCATCTAACATTGTGCAATTTGTATTGTTCTATTAACCTGTGCACACCTCTTTTCAAAAAGGGGAGGTGTTGTAGTGTCTAGATTTCACCCCGTAAATCTACACCATTTCAAATTGCCGCGCATTATTAAGATGTGCAGGCCACCTTCACAGTTCCACTTTCTGCGCAATCGCGTTCCGCGATTGCTTCCCTACATTGTGTTGTCTTCGTTTTTACTTTTTGATTTGAAGTAAATAGTTAGTAACTAACAGTTGTATATATTCGCACTATACAACAAAGTTGTTATAGAAAAACATCGGATTCATGTGAAAATAGACATATAAAATCTTCTCTACAAAAAAAAATCGATTTCTCTCTATTTTCTTACTTGAATTTATTCATGTTTCCACAAGCTTGTAAGACACATAATATTCTATACAAGAACTTATTCGGAAAGCGATGATACACTTGTAAAAATGAATATATAATTTTGAGGATCCAGAAGACAAACCTGTGAAATTGCGCGGTCTCTTGTAAATGTGCGACAGCGATGGCCAAACGGCTTCGTACAGGCGCGACATGCAGGAGTAGCACCTCGCCGTGTCTGAACATATCAAAGATCTTTGAAAATGAAAAGTTTCCAATAGTTCCGCCCTCATCTACAGTGAATAGCTCTAGCCATCCGGAAAATCTTTCGGTTTACAAAACAGAAGACGCCAGAAGTTGAAAGAAACCACTGTGAGCGAGACGACCGTCGAAAAGGACGGGGAAGTTGGTCCGTTGGGCTACCGTGAACAGCGGGGCCAGCACCAGGAGCAGCATCGGTCAGTCGCTGACATCAGCTCCCGCTCAGCGAAGAACACATTCGCACTCACTGACATGTGGGGATAACAAGCATAAAACAAGATATCGAGTACAAGACCGAGCAAACAAATTTCAAGTGAAAATCCATTACCAGCAAAATTATGTTAAAGCTTGACAATGGATTCAGCAGACAATTTATAATAACTATATGAGAGAAACAAGATAAAACTTGCAAATAAAAGTGGAGAACCTCTTCAAAATTCTTTCGGTACTGAAGAGCCGGTTATTCGTGTGACTCCCATGCTTAATCTTTCAACTTTAGGTTCAGACTTGTTCTGCGCCATTTGGGTTTAGTTTTCATTAAATCTAAGCCCAACTACACAAAACAGGATCGATAAATACTAAGGAAAAGTTTGAAATGAAAAACTTCTTAGATTATTCATGAATAATGCCTTTCAATAGTACCTTTTATTTAAAAAGAGGTTGTCAAAAATTTTTTTGAATGCGAACATATCTGGCGGGCGTAAATAACTTTTTCGTAAAATTACTTTCTATATTTTCGAAATATCGGTTTTTGAACTTCGTGAAGCCGATAAGTGTTTTCTAAACATCTCTGCCAAATGAAACTCTTATTCTAAAAAAAAGCTACAAAAACCTATTGAAGAGCTTAGCTTACAGGCACCTTTTTGTGGTGAAGAGAGAATTTTTAAAAATAGAAGAGGAACGTCAGATTTTTAAGAAAGGAATGAAACGGGAATACACCATTCAGCCGTAATGAGGCAGCAATAAAAAGTTATTTGGAAACTCATACGAATCGACATGACAACGGCTACCGAGGAACATTTTCGATAGACACATTGGTTTTCGAGAAAATTTTGAGAAACGTAGATTTCTTTTTGGAGAGCGAATTTTTGAAAATGACTTCAACTTTTCCAGGTACAATTAATATTAAAGTTTTTTTATTAATTCATTTCAGACAATGAATACCTTTTTATTACAGACGCGAATTGCAAATATTTACTTATTGTTATCGAAAGGACTTATGCCCTGGACTGTTCAACATATAAAACAAAAGTTTCGGCTTTTATTTTTTTTAAAAAAAGATCCTTACAATTGTACCACCTTAAAAATGTAATCAGAAGACTTCAACGGAAATTCGAGATCGAACTACAAAAATATTGCATAAAAATATGAACTAATGAAGGTGAAGGTTAAAGAGAAGAAGCACATGGCCAAAAGGCAGAAGGCTCGGCTCACACGGAGGATAAAGGCAAGAAAGGACGGGCCGAAAATGCAAAATGCAAATATTAATCTTTTGACAATGTTTCCCACAGGCGATTTCGAGGCCGAAAAGCCGAACGCGAGGACCACATTGATTTGCGACGAAACCGGTGACATGTGGTTGCCAACTGTGTAATAATGGCCATTGAATACAAAGGTAATTTTTTGAGATGAGGGGGTGCCGGAGCCAAGTGTGAAATTGATGAGTTGCCAACGGCAGTCAGCGGATTATCAGAGCAAGAAATCAAGCAGCTGCTGCAGGACAGCCTGTGTCGCCCAAGTCTTGGCCTGGTGTCTTTGTCACTCTTCGAAGGCATGGAAATTTACGGTTTGTAAATGCGAAACTGTAAATAGATTCAAAAACAAAAAAACTACGGATTTGAGCTTTTTATTAACGGAACTTTTTAGAATTTTCAGTTAAACACACATTAACAGTAGTTTTAGGCCCTTCGAAACTAAATATAGTTTAAGTTTGCGAAAAAAGAGTTGAAATGGAAAAAGGAACATTTTGCGAAACTCGCTGAACTAGTCTACTACCTCAATTTTTTTCTAAACTTTGTTAAATATCTACAAATAAGCCAAATTAAAAATCTGACTGTAGGTCATGTAAAAAGAACACATTAATGTTTTAATTTGATTAAATAACTGATAGTTTCAAGCTCGTATACAGAGAAAAAACAATAGTTTGGAAGAATCACTGCTGAAACTCAAAAACTTTAGAAAATTCCGCAATTTTTGCTCAGTCAAGAAGGATCCTCAGAAAGGAGTTAGAGCTTGAAAAGCTTATTGCAAGGAACGGAGTTGATAATGTTCAAGGAAAATAAGCGGCCGGCAGAAACGAGCGGAATCGGTGGAAGATGGAATCCGGCGTGATTATGAACGTGGCTCGAAATCCAATTGTTCTCGTCGGAATATTCGTCCGGTGGCTGCAGCCCTCGTTTCTTCCACAAAAGGGCAGACAATCACTTCGTGCAACTCTCCGAGACAAAAGCTCAAGGAGCCCTTCACCCAGCGCTTCTTCCACGCGATTTTTCTTCTTTTCTACATCATCAAAAAGGACAAGGCCGTAGTTCAGAAGACGTATGCAATAAAGCAAAAAACGGCTTTTCTAAAATAGGTAAATAGCTCGGAGTTTCTTCAAAAGCTCCGAATCGACTGGATCCATGTACTGCTCCATTGAGAACGAAAGAATAAAAACGCCTCCTAAAACAAAAAGTGAACTCCTAAGTGAATTTTTCTTCTGACTCGTTAGAATTCGAACTTCTCTGATCAAAAATATTTGTTAGAAATTTGAAAAAAAAAAATCTTTCGATAGAATATTATCTGGACTCAAGAGAAGAAACATAATATAAATAAAAAAGTCCAGGTGAGTTGAAAATCGCAGTGAAATGGAAAAAGCCAGACTGGAGACGGCTCATAAAATAATCCACACAAAGCAAGTTTATGAGGTCACAAAGGGCGATTGAGTCAAAAGGCGAACGGAAAACGATATTTTCATAGAAAGAGTTCTCGCTTTAAAATCCTCTTGATAAATGTAAAAAAGGCGAAGAATTCGAAACTGACGTTTGTAAGGATTGGGCGGGGCGTCGTCTTCGGCGTCGACGTACTGCAGCGAGCGTGGCACGGTCAGCATCAGCAGCACGACGACGTCGGCGAAATGTCGCATCGAACCATCGGCTGCAAAAACCTCCCTTTTCTTTCGAAAAAATTCTGGTCATCGATTCACACCGACTCGGCAGTGTTTGGTCGAAAGTTTGAAAAAGTTAAAGGAGAAATGTGATGTTTGAGATACAGTTAATTGAATGAGATCATTTAACATCCGCTATTTTTGATATTAGAAAAAAAATAGGTAAGGAAAAGATTCACATCTTTCCGTAGTCTTTTTTCCGAACCTAGAGCTATCAGTGAATTATGAGAGGATTCAAATTCAGAACTTATTTCGAAGCACTTTCAAAAAGTTAAAAAACGTTTGAATTCTAGCGCGTAACCTAATTTATAGAAAGTTATCGTGATGGCATAAATAAAAATCATCACAAGGTTTTTTTACGCTGCTTCATTCTGAAGTCTTCTGTTATTTCAGAAAAAAAAACCTCCGCTACATAAAGTGATTTAGAAAGAAGCAACTCATGAAAACTTCTCATCTTAATGAATTTCATTTTTTTTTTGCCTTTTTGGCGCAAATCTTTTGTTCTGAGATTATTATCTGAAAAGTGAAATCGATTATTGGATTCCGAGTGAGAAGTTCTGAAAAACTGCAGCTTCACCTAATTTTATAGTGACCTTCACGCAAAATAAAAAAGATAGAAAATATTGTGTGCGAGAGACAGAGAAAAAAAAAGCACGACTTGAATAAAATTGTCCAAACGATTCAGTATTTTGCAAGCAACTAAGTGGCGCTATAACATAGTGGGAGGAGTGACTGGATTTAACCCCCACCTATTTCCATACCAAAAACAAAATTAGTAGTAGGACAATATTTGGCACAGAAAAAAAAACAGTGACAAAAATTGAGAACTTGGTGAAAAAAAAAATTAGAGGAATGAAAAAGACAGTAAAGAGCAGTTGAGGAAGTGAAAACCAAATGAGGAGCCGTCAAATCTGATTAACATTGATTTGAGGGCAAACTTTGGCGACACCAAAAGTTCACAAAATTGCTTCAAATAGCTCAAAATTTGGGGGACGTTCCCAATCTAACACGTTTATACTTGTCTTCTTTTCGGCGTCCTAGGGGAAGAAAAGTTCAAAGAAAATGTGGGAAGAACTTCGAATAAGATGATAACTCGTAAGAATTCTCGAAAGTTTTTAGACTGAGTGTCGAATTTATCAAAAACTTTTTTTTTCCCCCAAATCTTTGAAATAGCTGAAAAAGCGGCTCTCAAGCAAGATTAACTCACTCATTTTACTTTGATAAATTGGTAATTCAGCTGGAAACCTTCTCAGTGAACCTTCTCAGCGTCGAACACATGTTCGAAAATTCAATTCACGGTCAAGAATCAAAAAGAAAAAAAAGTCGTAGCTATGACTGGAAGTGTAGCTCAGTTGCTAAGAGTTATTCATTGCGGTCACAAGTCGTTGGTTCGACTCCTAAATGATTGACCAGACTTTCTTCTCTTGGGTAGCCAAAAGAAGGAGCTGAACTGAACGGCTGAAGAGCACGAATCTTGGTCGTCCGTTTTCGGAAAGAGCTATTGTGCAATTTCTTCCTGACTACTCTCGATTTTGTTCTTCTAAAAGCGATGTCTACGTTTTATGTGCCTGAGCCATAGCTCCGACTTTTGATAGTTCCCTCAAAACGTCGCAAATTGAATTGTGGGAAACAGTTTTTGACAATTGAAAAAAGGCACAAATGAGGAAGAGCTTGAGCTTTGGTGCAAACCTTGGGAGCCGAGGCAGGACAAGGCGGTCAGGACTTGCGGTCTGTGGAGGAGGAGCAGCTTTTCGTGTTTCCTTTTGCTTTCGACTCCTCGGATTCGTCTCACTCGCCAAAATTCAATTCCCCACGCAGAGACAATAAATGTTTCGGCACTCGTTGCCTTTCACCTCCTCGGCCCCATGGGAAGACGGAAACAAAGTACTTAAAAGCGAGAAAAAGCTGAGAACGACGGCGAGAAACGAGCTGAAAAAAAACGGAAACGACACCTTTTCAAAGCCTTTGATACTTTTCAAGCCATACGAAATGTACGCCAATTTAGTTCCATACGAGTTGATTTCCACTTCAAAAAATTTAATCAACTAGTTTGGATAGCAAAAATTCATTTTTACTTGGCCCATTTACTTCCAAATTTTCAAATTTTCCAAAACTAGATAAAAATTTTGTAAGAGTTTTTAGGGATTTCGAGGATAGATAAAAATTTGTGTAAAAACTTAGATCTACCCTCAAATACGAAACGCTTTGAATAAAAGATGCAAAAATTCGCATGAGCAATGATATGAAAAAGGCCTGGATTCTAAACAAAAATTCCACGGAGAGTGCTCCGCCGCATAAATTGAACAAAAAAAATATGTTAATTTCTTTTCAGCTGAAGCACTTTCCTTGCTGGAATCTCTCACCGAGCGTTATTTCCCAAACATTCCTAATCTAATGCATCCGCCAAAATGAAATCCGCCGCCTAAAACACAAAGAAAGGAAGAAAAGGGCTAATGAAAATTGGGAGAAATGCCGAAAGACAATGAATCGGTGGTGGATCTCATCAAGGCGGAGCACTTGGTCCAATCAGAAGGCCCCAGGAGACAGGTCGGCTCCATTTGGAGCGCTAATGCCATCGTCACCCAGACGCCTACGGTGCTTTCGTGTTTTTCGTGGGCTTCCGAAAAGAAGGAAACGGGCGAGAAGGAGGTCAAAATCCCCTGAGAAGAGGTGACGATTGTTGGAATTCATTTTCAGGCTGTACAACGCACCAACAAGACAAGAAGCCGCATTGGGACTGCCGCCAAATGGATTCGCTCCCGTCGGCAGATGGGGCCAAGGCTTTGGCAAAAGTTTTTTTTTTCAAGAGGTGTCGCGAAGGGATTTATACCAGATTTTTCCTCTCTCAATATTGAAATATCCATGTTGGATGAGTGTGATTCTCTAGATAGAGACCGCCATTATCACAATTGAAACTCCTAACTAAAACTCACTGGAGCTCACTTTTTTTCAACTAGTTACTAGTTACTCTTTAACTCAACTACTACAAAAAGACGGAATTCTAACATAGGCAGAAATAAAAAAGAGATCAACGACGAGATGATTATCTTTAAGAAAATAACGGATGGAAAGACAAACTCCGGTGGCCAAGACGGAAAAAAAGGCGGCAGGGCAAGATTTTCGGGCGCGTTGTCGTTGAACAACCATTAATTACGTGCGGAGCCCATCACTGTCAACTCAGAGGGGTACGCGCACTTTTGCTCCTCGACGAGCTGCTTTCCAGATTTTGATTCAGGTGATTAAACCAAAGTTCTTGCATACTTTCAAAGAATCAGACTTGCTAAAAAAGTATAAAAACCGTTTTTTTTTTTGACCAAACATTTTCAGATAGCCTAAAAACAAATAAAAAGAAATTTGAAAAATACACCCGTCAACCGAACTATTTTCTGGAAACATGGGATCAAAAATTTTTTTGACTTTTTATTTTTATGGAACATTGGAAAACTACGAGGTCAAAAAGAATATTAAAAAAATATTTACCTGTTTAGGGGAAATTATTTTCTGTCTTATTGAACACTCATATGGTTAAAAATAAGGATGAATATTCAAAGATGTGAGCAGTCTATCTTCGGAAAACAAACTTTCAGCCTAAGCTTGATTTGAGCCCAGTTGTTTTCATAAAAGTTGAGAAGAACCAAACGCGTTCAAGCATGAGATCAAGATACACGAAGATATTGTTATAGAACAATAAATCCCGAAAACTTCCCAACCGCGAAATTCCACACGCAGAGATCAATTATTCAGCGAATTGAATACACCTGATGACTGACTGGATCTCAAAAGAAATATGTCAAAAGTCGTGTCGGCAACACGGCACCTGCCGCCTCCGGATGCGACAGTTGCGTCAATTAAAGAATTGATCGAGGATGGGTCTATCCATGAGAAACAATGGTCTCAACGTGCCCACTGGCTGCAAAAATATAAACAAACGATGAAAAAGTGTTGAAAGTTCCTAATCGCCGTCGTCGCCTTGAAATTGCAGGACACTCGGCGTTTTGGAGTCGGAGGAAAAGTTTCGCGACTACGAAGCAAAAGAGCAGGACGCTGAATGAGAGGCGAAAACTCGCCACTTCCGGAACGATGTGAGAAGAAGACGTCGCCGCCGTTCAACCGAGTAAAGGCTATCCGGAGGCAGCCAGCTTCACACAGAATTAAGACACGTCATGAATTTATTTACGCAAAACAGATTAAGAGACCCAAAAAAAAATATTCGACTCAATTCGAGAAAAGTCATCATGGAGAAAGAAGGGATTGTTAAAACTTGGTTCAAATATATTTCTCACAAAAATAAAAAATAGCCGATGATAAAATATATCGGAATGAAAGTCTAGAAGACCAAATATTGGGCACTTGTGAAAAAGATTGCTGAATATACGTCGAAAAACAAGAAAAAATGTAACTGGTTCTACTCTCAACGAAGAAAAGAAAAGCAGAACCCATTCCAAAGCTATTTGTCGGATATAATCCTCCAAAATCTTCTGGAGGCTTGATGTTTTGTCTAGTTAATGGGAAGAGCGGCTGCAGATTGCCAGCAATTGTTCCGCTCTTTTTGAGTCTTTTTTTTCAAGTAAAGCGTCGGGAAGGAAAAAAAATTCATTTATGTGGACCCATTCGGTAGCGCAACGGAACGTCACAAGGCTTACATCAAGAAGTTTGAAATGCCCGCAGGTCCTTGTTTGCCTTTGCATCCACAAAACGTATCAAATTTTGCAAATTCTCCGAGAACCACCGAATCCGATTTCCGCTGAACCTCTGCCGCGCTTATTGTTATACATATTGACTCCCCTAAAATAATTTCTATGGGGAGGTTTTTTTTAAGTGTGAAATACTAAAAAATAAAATCTGCAATTTTGGACAATGACGGCCGCAGAACGAGAGCCGAGCCCTTAAAATTTTGAATGCAAAGGATTTGAAATTTGACTACAGGCCTTTGTTATACATCAAAGCACAATAGATGAAAACCACTTATGCAAAAAAGAACCTCTGAAGTGGGCATACCAATTCAAAAAAAAAAACTACAATTTATTCCTGAAAAAATTTAGAGTTCTTTTTTAACAAAAACTCTTTGAGCAAATGCAAGCGAGAAAGGATTACGAAGATTGATGAAAAGCTTAAACAATATGAAAACGTCCCTTATTTTGTTCATTTTGGAAATGACCCTCTTTATCGAGACTACACTGTCCTATGGATCGAAACAACTTACACGAAAAGCCAATCGTTCAGAAAAGCCTCCAATCATTTATTGACTTGATCCGTCTCGGAAAACTTTATTTATTTGGAACTACAGCTGCTGGTTCGGCGAAAATCGGGTTTTCTTTCGTCGCTGTGTAGAAATCGAGTACCTCAAAGTAAAAAGGTGACTCAAGACCGAATGAGTGGAAAAACCATGTGACAAGTGCGATCAACGGCTTCGTTCGACCAGTTGGAGACGTCCTGTTCCCACCAAGTGTTTTCCACGGCTCCCAGCTTCACTTCCTTCACTGTGAATGCCAAGTGCAACAGAGCAATCGCGATCAACTTCAAAAAAACAAGTGAACAAAACGTGTAAACAAGCTAATATTCATGGAAAACCTTTTTTATACCTTTTCAGTTTTTTTTTTAGTAGACTTTTACCCGGTTACTATTGTCCAGACAATTATTCCAAACTGTTTGATCAAACTTTAAAAAATAATTTAAACACGTTTTTAATTAAATTTTTTTTGATGTTGCGATACTCAGTTTTGCACATTTCGATATTCTCAAAAGATGCAGCAAAGAAAAATTGAAATAAGACAAAATAGTTGAAATACCATGAGGCGAATGACGATTATAAACTGGAAGCGTTTTGCACTATCCAATAGTCATAAAACGTAAGCTAAGAAGAAATACGAACACTTTCAAATAATATATTCACCAAGTTTCTAAAGTACCTGTGCTTCTACAGTGATGCAAAGTGTCGTGTAGTAGCTGTCGTTTATGAAAGTCCACGCAATTTGAATCGTTTCTGACATCTTCAAAAGAGCTCTTGCCACAACTCGTGCGACAAAAAAAAACCTGTTCCTTTGAAACTCCTGGGAAAATCTTGCCGTATTCTAATAAAGCTTCATATGGGAGATCGACTTGAAGATCAAACTTCAGAGTTTGTAGAAGTACTCTTTCGATTCCCATAACTTCATCCTATAACCAAAAAAGATATTAGTATAGAAATGAATTTACTACAGTTAGAGATGCATAGCTGTTGAAAATATCAGGAAAGCGTTGAACTGCAGAATTACAGATATCCCGACACTTTTTTGGAGTTTCTTCGACTTTGCCCGCAAGGAACAAACACCCCAAAGCCGTCAACTGTAGCGAGATTCAATTAGCAGATTTGAATCCACGTTTTCACCTCTCTTGGAAAATCGCTGAATGTATGATACATATAAAACCTATGAAAATATGTACTAGCAGTAGCCATTGTAGGATTGGCTTTCCTGAAAAGTTTTTATTGAAATTGCACAATATATAAACTGACAGTCTCAAAGTCGACCCAACTTCCACCACAATTTTGCATCCTTCCCTTCTGAGCCGCGTCTCTTCTTTTTGACTCATTCCAGCGCGGATAGAAGGTGCGTTCTGAATGAAAACAATTAGTTCATAAAAACAAACTGTCAAACTCGCCTTGACTTCATCACTTGTCCAAATCCACCGGTTTATCATAGCAAATTAGATGTTCTGTAGAAATTTTCAATTCCTCATTAATTATTCAGGAAGTTTCATGAACAAAGTATTCAAAATGCGAATAGTGAGGATAAAGATTGATATCATATGTAACTAAAAATTACAGCTTTTAGAAATTTTAAGATTTTTGAAGTTTAAATTTAAGTTTTTCGAATTCCTTTTCGAATTTCAAGTTCACAATAGTAGAAAAAAAGTTAAATGATTACTTTTTCAAAAAAAATTGTAAGCTTCAACTCAAGGCTTTCAAAATACAAACTGCATTTTCGTGAAAAAAAAGGTTCTGAGCCGTAAAGAACTCGAAAAGGTAGAGAAAATAAAAATGTAATAAGCAATTGCTTAGCAACTACAAAAAAGCGCGATGCTATCGATGCTATCAAAACACATATAGAATTGTTGAAAAATCTCGAAAGACACTTTCAAAAAGTACGGAAACTTAATCGCTTAATATAATCCACAATGGAGAAAAAGCAAGAGAAAAAAAGTTGCGAAAAAAAAACTTTTTTTTGTGCAGACACGCCTTTCTGCAAAATTGAGCGCGGAATAACGCAAGGTTCATGCGTATCGCATAGTTTCCGGCTTTCTCCATTTTTTATCATTTTTCTCTCAGAATTTCTAAATATTTAAATAAATGTGCATTCGTATCTCAATTGACAAGAAGCTTTATGTTGAATTTGTTTCCTGATCGCTATTTATCCGCAGTTTTCCTTTTTAACAAATCTTTCGGAGCTTTTCCGTAAATTTATTCCTACCAGTGCCTGAACTATTTTTTTCATCTCCTCGCCAATTTAACTGGTTTTCTTTACATTTCTACACGATTGGTTTCCAGACTATGCACATCGGTAGAGGAGGACGTCGCGGCGGGAGGTTTGGTCCTCCCGGTGGTGGTGGCGGCGGATTTCCAGCTCGCTCTCCAGTTTTCGACATCAACACGTGCTCTTCTGACATATTCAGTGCTTCAGGGGAAGATGAATCTTACCTTAATGAGGTTTGGAAACACTTCTTCGATTTTTTTAATTATGAAATTGTGTAGGCGATTTCGGAAAAAGGCGCTCAATTGTCGTTGGCAGAGGCGAGTAAAACTGCGTTGACGACGTTCACGAAAAAAGTCAAGGAAACGATTGAGAAAATCAAGACGGACAATGTACTTCCAGAATTGGTAATCCTTTGTTTTCTGTTCTTGTGTTAATTGATGTTACTTGAGAAAATCGAGGAGGTTCACATCGTTGGATCTTTGGCTAAGGACACAGATTTTTTTCGCTCCAGTGTTTCTGATATCGCAGTGGTTTTGAGATCTCTTCCTACAGGTATCAATATTCATCTTATTTGTAAAAAATTTTATCCAGTCGAGTCAACGATGGAGTTGGGAGAAAAAGTTGTACAGGAACTTCGCAAGGAAGACGACAAAGAAGGTGAGATTTCCAGGATTTTTTTTCTGTTCAAAACAAATTTCTTTCAGTGATATCTTTCTACCAACGAGAGTTTGGCTGCCAAATCACGTCGTTGAATGCACAGGTGAGTTTCTTCGTTCGAAAAAAGAAGAAGAACACTTTTAAGGTCAAAATTCTAGTCACGACATTGCCTGAAAACTCCAGCAAGCTCGAGCCTGACCTTCATCGTTTGTTTTTTTTTCATATATTTTTGATTTTTGCTTTTGAGTGTCCGAAAAGAGTCTGATGATTAACTATTTCTCAATCCGACATGCGAAATGGTTCGCAGAAGTCAACTCCCAGTATCATTTGAGGGTTCGTGATATCTTCAATTTCTTAAAGAATCGTTTAAAAAAAGTTTAGTAGAGTATGTAATCACTAACATTTGTTTCTTTGTATTTAAATTTTTTTGTTCATATATCGGATCAATGATTTTATCCTATTATAGAAAAATAAATGAATTTTGAATTTGAGAGATATTTTACGATATTGGTAAGACAATTTTTTTTTTCTTTAAAGCGAAAAATCAAGTGTGTAGTTAATTACTTGAATAGGAAGTTTCTTTTTGAATTTATTTCGCGAATATTTTCTTCATGCTTAGTTCACTTAAAAGTTTGGCGTCTGGAAATAAACGAAAAAGAAGAAAATATCTCGAAAGATATCCGGTTACCGATTGATTCCGAAAATGAATGAAAGACGAAAAAGAAATTGTAGGATATCATCACTGGGTGAAAAATCGAAGTGATATCATGTTCATATGAAATACCCAATCTCTAATTCACTCGAAAAGGTTTTCAAGGATTTGGTTCGAGTCTTGAAAGACGTGCGTCAGCGACACGTGGGTCTGCACCCGCTCTCCGTTTGGGCTCTAGAGCTTCTGGTAATTCTTAAGCAGACTCTTATATATTGAAACCTCACGCTTCAGTCTCTTTACTGCGTGACCAGTACTCAAAACCGTCAGCCGCTGTCTTTAGGACATGCCTTTAGAAGAATTATCCAAGTCATCGCTACTGGAATTTTCCTCCACGGTGCACCGCCACTCGTTGATCCGACTAATCCCCTCCGAATCGCTTTTGATCTCACTCTCCCAGAAATGGTAGGCGAACTCAATTTATTGAAATAATATATATCTGGAATTCCTTCCTAATTCAACCTATTCAGACCAAAGTTATGGTCCCCAGTTCTGAAAAAAAGCGTTCCGGTTATTATTATTTTTTTCTTTTTTTATTCTTATTTAGCCCGTCTCAAAAATCTTTTTTTTTTTTTCACCATAACCAGATTTTTTTCACTGAAAAAAAGTTAACTGTAGGTAATACAACAAATAAAAACCAAAAAAAATTTAATTTATTTAATTTTTTTTTGATGTGTTCCACCTCAAGCTCTAACCAGAAATCACTATGTACTGACAATAAGACCTCGCATAAGCTCAAACATTTCCGGTGAAAATAAAAGAAAATCAAGATCTTTTAAAGGTGAAGAAAAAAACCGATCTTCAAAGACTTTTCGAAAGATTTCTGAAATCTCAAAATTTTCCACAAGTTGGCTCCAAAGTTTGTAAACTCAGCTTTTCAATCAGCGTTAATGAATCAAAGCTAGAGATTCTTGTTTATTCTGAATTCGCACTTTGAGTTTAGACCGTATTCTTGTAAGTAAATGTTTTTGAGTCTCAACGTTTAGATCCTACATCAGTCGAACCGAAAAGTTTTGTTTTTTCATTGCAGGACGTCGTCTGCCTGACGGCTCACACTCTGTTGCGCATAATGAACAGCGGACCTCGAGGATTCCGTGCCGTCGTCGGCTTGGACTCTGTCTACGCCAACGAAGGTTCCCCAGAAGACTCGTTCCGGCTTCAGATTAAGTCTCTTCAGATCTCACCAAAGAACCAAAGATTTGGGACGGCGTTTTGATTGCTCCTGGTCAGCCAGTCTTCTCCGAAGAATGCATGACGCCCATGTTCAGCGAACAGGACGAGGCTCTCGCCGACAAGATGGGTGCCGTCACCACCCATTGAGATCTCTCTAACCTCTATTTATTTTGTTAAAATGTTTCGATGTCAATAAATGTGTTAAACCAAATCGTTAATATTCATTTAAAATCGTTCTGTAAGAATATCGGGTTTTTTGGGAACCGGCGGCGGTTGGTCGGTTCTCTCTGGTGCTTCCCTGGAACCATTGTATTTCTCATTGAAAATATTTAGAAACCCAACGTCCGACTGTCTTTTGCAACGATCGTCTTGTTCGTGTATTCATCCTTGCGATATTTCAAAGTAAGTTCACGTAGACGATCTTCCAAGGAAGAACCAATCGGCTGAAAATCAGAACTTTGCAACGCGAAAAGAGTAAAAAGAGATTTCAAAACTAGAAGTATCTTTATCTTTTTTTTCCTGCCATTAATAATGTTTTCTTTTTTGTGCTTTCAAAAATCTATCGAAGAAGTTCTAAAAGAAAAACAAAATGACATAATGTGGGTCATTGCCAGTCAAAAAAATATAGAATTCAGAATTTTTTTCAAAAAGAATAATAAAAAAACACCCACATTTGCAACGCTGATACTGAAATCGCTGTCGTCGGTTTCTATATTGCGAACACAATAATTGTTGTCTTTATCCATGTTGATCTTGACGTGGGTAGTGGGTGTCCGTTTCGGCGCTCTTCTTTTGTCGATTTTTGAGGCGATCTTCCGAACCACCGTTGAAACGTTTCGAAAAGATTATAAGCTCCTACCGTACTGTTTGCGCCATGAGCGTCGTCGACAGAGCCGTTCGTCTTGGCGCAGCTTTCCGAGTCTTCGTTCGTCGTTCGCGTCTCCTCAGCTCTCTTTCTCCTGTCTGTTCACAACGGGGTTATGCTTCGTTTTGCGCCAGCTTGTCACGTTTTTCTTTCCCCCAAAAGACCGTATACCAAGTTGGAATCAAAATTGAGGCATCTTCGTTTCAAGACCTTTGTTTTTTGGCGTCATAGGCGAATCGAGAAGGGTATCGCGAGACCCTCTGAGGTATATCGCAGACTCCGAAGTCTATCGATGGTACCTCGAGTATACCTCTGAGGATTTTGACCAAAAAATCGAGACATCTTCGTTTCAAGAGAGGGGCTTGAGAGAGACTCTGGAGTACCTCCAAGATAGCCCAGATATAGCTAAAAGGTATGCCGGAGGTCTCAAGATGGACACATTATCATACCTTCTCGATTCGCCTGTGGTCTTTTTTTGCAGTTTTGTGTTTTAGAGCAAAATTCTGTATATATGGTAACTTTTACTTTTCTATTCTTTTGAAACGTGACCGTCTCGCGCGGAAAGCACTTTAAAGGTACACCATTTTAAAAATGATTATACTTTTTGAGACGTGACTCATCTTGTTACCGCGAGAGATAGGTTCTGAACAAGTTGCAAAGAAAAAAAATTCAATAGTTGTTCAATCCGACTAGGACCTGAGAGAGACGTATAACTGACACGCCTGTTTAAGGCGGCCTGTCAAATTACGGTAGTCAGGATAGGTTGTTCGGTAATAAAACGAAAGCGTATGTACTTTTTGTGACGTACCTTATCTTGTAACCTCAAGAAATAGGTCCTTAAAAATTGCAAAAAAGAGAGAAAGTTAAAAAAGTTTTTGGCTCCGAAACTGACGGCGCAATATTGACCGGCCGACGGTCGCTGTAGCACTGTCTTAAACATGCGTGCGGAACTTAATACTGCATTAAATGCAACTTTTCGAGTAATAGTTTTGAACTCGGCATATAAAAGTAGTTTTTGCGTGAGTTTTAAAATGGTTGAAGCTAGGAATCACAATGGTCTAATCCATCCTTAGGGACCGCAGACCAATTTTTCGAAAAAATTTTTTCAGCATTGAGCTTTGCATGGTTTGATAGCTGTTTCGATTCGAAACTCAGAACCGTTTAGTTTTTTTCGGAAAAGAATGAGGATGAAAAAGTTATGACGAAAAAAATGTGGCGCGCCGCGCACCATTTTTTTAGTACTGAAATTTTGGTGTTATCCATTTTAGACATTTTTTTCTCGATTTTTTTCTTTTTAGAACAAGTTTTTGATACTGGTCTATTATGATGTAAGAAATCATAATAGAGCTCTATAATGATGAAAATTAGCTAGTTTGCCGAAAAAAAGTCGGTATTTTTCCAGAAAAACAAAAAAACTGACGCTTGCGGGTATCGAACTCGCGACCTCAAAATGAAAAAAATCGCAGCGCACGCGCTGCGCCAAGTTGTTAGGTCTGGCGAGGGAACTTCCATCCGCCATAGCCTTGAGCCGTTTGAATAGCACAGATTGCCTATTTCAAAAAAATAAAAAAATTTGAAGTAATTCAGCTATTTTTTTATCAGAATATGTTCGCAAATCTTTACTCAAATTTTTCCGTGGAAATTCACTTCGAAAAAAACAGTTTTTTTCAGTGCTTTTTTTGCCTCGTTTAACGATCACTGCATTAAAACGGCCCCGTAAATTTTTTTGGCAAAGACGAATTTTTTTATTTTTATTCTTTTTAATTGAAAGATTTTTTTACTAATAAATGTATATAATCGTTTGAAAAAAACCTGCGTTCGACCGCTTTCTGTGTGATAAACGCCGCTAATTTTTATTCTCTATTTTCAAGTGCATTTTTTGCGTATTAAACAACTTTTTTTCCAGCACATATGCTGTGGAGAAAAAAATTTAAGTAAGCCTATGGTCTAACTTTTGAAAAAAACAAAAAAACTCGATTATATTCGCTTATTAACGATATTTTTGAATTATGACTTTCGGCACTCCCTAAAAATTTTTTTGGCAAAGACGAATTTTTTTATTTTATTGTTTTAAAATTACCGTTACTTGAATCAAAAATCATTATATAAAAAAAGAAAGAGTGCGTTCGACCTGAAAACACATGAAAAAAAGCAAAAAAAATGACAAAAATTTTTTTAGTTCCATTCACGTTTTTTTGTACGACATTCCGCGAGAACGCATCAAAAAAAAGCGTGAAATATTTTTTTAAACGAAAGAGGAAGCTTTTTCTGTACATGTGTGTCAAATTTTATTCGCCAGTTCCACATATTTTACAACTACAACAAAATGAAAGTTGAAAACCAAAAAAAGCCACTTTTTTTCTATCGCGAAAAGGGGCGTGGCTTTGCGGTCCCTATCCATCCTTTTAAAATGTCTTCAAAAGTTCTGTGTAAAGATTCCACACAAAAGCCGCACTGAGTTTTGTGCGCAAAAAAATTATATTTTATGAATTAAACGTATACGGATAATTGCTTTAACATGTTCAGAAAGCAAGGTTGACTTTGAGCAACATTCTCAAAAAACCGAAAAAAAAAGTTCATTGAAAAACACAATCGGTGGCATTTTCAAACAACTGAGGCTGCCTCAGAAGATAAATATTACAAAAAAGACACATTGGATAAGTAAGATTATACCTTTAAGCTTTGAAGCCATTTGTTGGGGCAAAAATAATCGATGGCGAGAAGAAAAGCGAAGAAGAAAACTCGAAGACTGTGCGAGTGCGAAATGATTCGTAATGGATGACACATCTTGGAAACAAAGCCTATCGCCCATGTTCAACTCTTTTTTTTTCTTTGCAACGCGAAAAAAAGAGCTGGTGGAAGAACGTTGTGAGAAAACATCGGAGAAGTTTTCTTGAGAAAAGGGGAACTCAGGCGGCGACGTCGTTGTCGGGAAGGACCGACTTCAGATGCGACATGTCGATGGTGGTGGCCGGCAAGATCAACGAGTTGCGTCGCGATTCGATCCCTTTCTCTTTCTCCACAAACTCTTTACAGCCGCCAGGCATTCTGCAAATGGTTGCAAAGAAATACTTTTTGAGTTTTTTAGTTCTAATTGTTGTTTTAGATTTCTTTTCTCCAATTTCATCGATTTTCTAAATATTTTTGTGACAATATATTTAACTCTCGATAGATTTCAAAATAATTCCGACGAAATTCTGGAAACATTTCTGCATGGAGACAAAAGACGTGTAATATCTAGCACGCAAAATGAAATTTTTGTTTCATTTTCGTGAGTCTAAGTCTCGGACTTTTTACGAACAAAAGTTTAAGTTTGGAAATTTATGTTTCGACTCAAATTGAATATAAAGAAATACAAATAAAAACCACAAAGCAAAAACAAACTTTGTCTGGCTGCTGGAAGGGGACGCGGTGGCGAGAGAGCCGTCGCTGCTACCGTGGTTGACAAGTGAACAGGCGCTACCTCTTCTAAAACCAGAATTAGAGCGTAAAAAGGAGCCTGACTGATCACCTCGAGTTGGCGAATCCGTTGGTGTCAGCGAAACTTCCGCGACGTGGGGCTGCTCTCAGCCGGTCGACCATCGCCGCTATCAGCATTGTCCAGGCCCGACACGCTTCTGGGAATCCACGTACACAGTCCTGAAAATTTGTAGCGTACTATTGTAGTTTATTCACTGGAATGATGGCGGAAAAGTGAAAGAGAAAATATAAAATCTATAGTACCTTGGGAAAAAAAACCCAAAGAAAGAGCCTTCATAAACCGCGAAAATCGGGTGAAAATGAAATAAAGGATACAGTTTATTTTCAAATAGATTCTACTAAATGACAAAAAAGGAAAACATCAGAAAAAAGCTACCCTCACCTGTATTACTACGATGTCGACGAAATATTCTCCAACTTTTTCCCAATGAGTTGCTTTAAAACCGTATTTTCGAAGGTAAGCGTGGTTGCGGCCTAAACTCCAGAAATACTTTCACAAATCAGTATTGAGGCAACCTAGCATGTCCAAGTGCTCCAGAATCCTAGTGGGATCGATGTCGAGACTCATTACAACCTGGAACTTTGACGTCTGGAGCCTTGGTTTCAACGAAGTCCCACCTGAGACACGAGGGAGACGAAGAAGTGAGTGTGGTCGCGGAGGGTGGCTATCGAGCCTGATCGCCTATACACACAACATTGCGGTGTGACCTGTTCGTCTTCGAACCTCCTCTCACAACGTTCGTGCATCGAGTCGACGAACGCCGCGTTGTAGAATATCGTCCTCACATCTTTGTCCTTCTGAAATGGGTCCGACGAATCTCAGATTGTGGAAAGTTCGGAACTGACGTGGTCGAGCTTCTCCCAGACGCGTTCGACGAGTCCAACGATACCTTTGCAGTTGAATCGTGGTGGTTCACATAACCTCGCCCAAGTCATTTTCAGTGCTCTAACGTGTTCATATTTGAGAGACCATTCAGAAGCCTGCAATTGATTTCTGTTGGTGATGGTCCTGTTTCTCAAACCAATGTGTTGAGCTTGATAACTGGAACGCTGCCGCTTCTTCTTCTCATCGTTTCCGGAACCGCCAATCGGGTGACTGATTTCGAAGAAAGAGTTTGCGAAGACGACGGCGAGTTTGTTTTTTTCGATTTCTGAACGTGTTCTTAACTATACATCGAGAAAAAAAATTGATGAAAAAGTTTTACAAATTGGACTTCCAAACCAATTAGGGTCGTCACAAAACATTAATGAAGGCTATGGCCAGAAAATCAGAGACTTCGTTCTTTAGAGCAAATTGATAATTGGATACTTGATATACTTTTATGAGATGGTTTTAATTTACATTTTTAAGATTGAAAATCACGATCTTGAAGAAATCTTTTCTATTCATATCTGAAATAGGTTATCATGATTACCATTGGAGCTTTTTTTTTCTCACACCGACTAGATTAAAGACTCACCGAATGTTTTTTAATTCATAGATTAATTTACCATCTGTTGCCTTTACTCCATTTTCGAAAAAGCAAAAAATTGAGCTTTGCTGGAAAAAAAAACCGTGGCGCAACCTCACGTGTTAAGCGGTGGCTATTCCCCTGAGAAATACGTGGGCCCAACAAGAAACGACATTAGAGCACATTTTTCAAAAACGGCTTCGATGCCATTTTTGGAAGGCAGAGGCCAACTTGTGTCGTCTTTTATCTTAGGTATCGTTGGAAAAAAAAAGAAGATCGAGAGAATTTTCTCCATTTATTTTCTGACTCGAGACTCCCGCTGAACATTCAAGACTACAAGGATCATTATCTCATTAAAGTACACAGTAGGAAAGTAGAATCTAATTTTACGACGACCTCATTTAGGGAATTTTCCTAACTAATTCTAATATTTTAATTTTAACTTTTGTTTGAAATACCTTGTTGTTGTTTATTGGAGTGTGCTTTTTGTAGCGAAATCCGGTGCGTCCGGCGCCCATCATTTTTGCTCTGTGCAAAATTTTTTGAATCTGTTTGAAACGGAGAAGTCTTTAATAATCTCAAACCACTTACGGTTTTGGCTTCAAAAGAACGTAGAAAAAAAAGTTGAAAGACAAGAAAAAAGAAGAAAAAAGCGAAGAATGCGAATAGAAATGAGGAGATAAATGGGTGACCGGCGGTCCCAGGAGATGTCCAAAACACGGCACTCATCATGACTCTTTCCACACGCCGTTGGATTTAACGGCTCTGGATTCTTTGTTCTGCCGGCATCCGTCAAAAAGAACCTAAGAAAAGAAGTTGAGAGAAGATAGTAATCTGAACAAAAAGGTCTAAATCTTCTTGATGAACTTCAAATATACCTAAGCTTCAAAAAGCGCATTCACATCAAAAAATTGTATCCACCCCTGGAATCTGTAAGCATGTCGAAAATCAACTAGACTAGAAAGAGAACTTAATCACAGTTTCGAAAGAAATCATATTTAATTGAAAAAACCTCGAATCGGATCGATGATGTACAGTTTTCAAAATAATAGAACTGGTAGAAAAAAACGCAACATTTCTGGATCTTCTTAAATAACGTCCTTGTTTAAAGACCACCAGGTTCTTGAAACTATTATAAAAATTAATTTTTTTTTTTCCAACGTCCAACCTTCCAAAAACGGAAGAATGAAAAACGGAAGAAACTTTGCGAAAAAACAAGAAAGTTTGGCGACATGATAAATGTGGCAGAACCAAGGCGAAGAAAAGAGGCGCAAGACTTCGGACTTGTCCACCCACTCTTTTTTGCTTCTTCAGAATTTGATACTGAAGTTATGCGCCACATCAAACATATTATGGCTTCGTCATATGTCTGCTTCAATTTCAGTAGAAAGTCCCAAGTGCGGACATTAACTGCACAAATATATTGGTAGAAAAAGAAACTTCCTGATGGCATCAGGAAGTGGACTTTTGGACAGAATTCTGATCTCAATTTTTCTTCAGACTAACGAATCAATTTGAAAAAGAAAAAATGAAAAACTTCCTCAAATAAATTTACCTTAAGATCACATCTGAAATACATAAAAGTAATACTTTTAAAAATTGATGGAAGTGTTTTTATTCTAAATAGGAGTTCTTTGATGTGAAAAATTTTAAAAACACTGACTTTTGAAATCCTTTCCTTTCTGCCTGAAGCTTCCAGTCCAAATTTAAAGTAACCTTCAGCTCTTTGATATAAGGAAATGATTAAAAAAATAGAAAAAGATGAGTTTTCGAGATCCGAAGTAGCTCAGGAAACATAAAATTTGCGGCACTCCGTTTTTTTCTTCGAAACCTTCAATTTGTTCCTGACTATTCCATCTTCTAGGCACTCTTCAATATAAAGAGAAGAAATTAAATTTATCGGCTTTCATGGATAAACAAGGTAATAATTCAGGCGTTCTTGGAGAATTTTCGGACTCGAATAAATATTTTGGCTTCATGATTCAATTCTTCAGATGGGTAACACAAGGAGCAAACAGATGGAAATTTGTTTGTTTGTGTCATTTGAAGGCGAGAAAAACTTGCCAAGATGCTCTATAAATGGCGGCTGAGATAGCACAACATGGGCGAAGGTAATTGAATTTTTCCGGATTCGGCTGACTCAACGGCGAAAAGCCGAAAGATCGTGTAGCCTTCCGATGAGCATTACAGAAAAATGACTGGATTGCAGTTTTATGAAGGCAAAACCTTTTCCGATTTAAAAGAAATTGGAAACTACATTTTTTCCTGAATACGGTTGTCTTTTTCTTTGAAATGGATGCTTTAAAAAAAACTGATTTAAGGCATATCTGTGAAGCCACGCCCTTTTCTGTAATGGATCATCCGAAAATGAGTGAATAAATTGCCCTTTCGTCAGCCTATTTTTTTATTGTACTTTCTTTTTCATTATTCGAAATTCAAAAAAATATTGACCTCAACACTAGAAAAAGTTTTTGATATGTCTTACGCAACTTTCAAGTAGAAAAAAACTCTAGGATTTTTCTGTAAAATTTACGGTGTTACGAAAAATTTCAAAGAATTTTCTTGATTCAACCATTTTTTTTCTGCTTTTGTTTTGCGTAAAAGTTCACGTGCTGATGTCCTAAAAAATAAATAAATTCCCCGTCAAAGTTCGGCGAAAATCAAATTTTTCTAGGAAGCATTTTCAATCTTGTTTCCTGCAGGCGCCTTTTTTCTACAGCTGTCACAGAGAAAAATCAAGAAAAGCGCGGAAAAAAATTCAGCACAGTAGTGTTAGATAAAGGCCGACCGGAGCTCTGATCGCTTACGAGTTTAAGTTGCCTACAAGGGAGCAATGTCCTTCACAGGAAAAAGAAGTTAGTGATGTTCAAAAACCGGAAGAAAATTGAAGAGCGGCATGAGCAAAAGAAAAAGTTATGAAGGGTTCTTGGGCCAGCTTAAGTACCTATCGTGTTCGGGAGGACAAATCGCCGCGTGATGGGCGTACGCATCCAAGAAGTATCGGAGAAGACGTGGCTGGAGCCTGAGGGCGGGCCTTCAGGAGCATCAAAGAGCACGACACCGCCGTCCGCCATCCGTCACGCCTTCATGTGTTTCGCAGGAATCCTCCAGATTTATCTGTCCGTAAACACACCGAAAGGCGCCGCCACAAAAGTACCAATCCCTTCGCCGCTGGACAGCTCTTCACCGGTCATAAATTGTTGCGGCGTTTTCTGTTTTGGCGCTGAACATTGGCCACTCGGTTCGAAAAATGTTTTCGTTCAGTCATATTTTATTACCGTACAATGTTTGAAGCCCAAGGATAGAAAAATGACGTAACATTAATCCAAACAGCTTCAATTTTTTAAAACAAAAACAAGCCCTTCGGAGACATTTTCAGAATTAAAGAACAGTTTTGAAAATCTATCCCAGCTAAAACACTGTTAAATCATGATCTAGGACTTCAGTGGTACTGACGACCGTGAAAAAAATTTTTTTTTCTTCAAGAAACAAGCCTAATATTTCAAAAGCCTTTATTATCACAGTGAATCAAACCCCGCGAAAAAATTATTATCCAATAAAAACAATCATCAACAATCGATAAAAAAAATATATAAGTTAGTAAAGCTAATGAATTAGACGTATATACCAACCCAGAGAAGCAGGAAAGTGGTGCCGAACCCTAAGAAAAGAGCCGCCAAAGAGGCGATCGTCAGTTCTTTGAGAATGCTCCGGTTGTACTTGTTCGACGTAACCTAGAATGACAATTGAGAAAGTCCCAGCATATGAAGGAAAACCTCGAGAACCATGAACCAAGCGGCGAAAAGCAGACCTGCCGCACACAAAATTATGGTCAGGTGGGGAAAGTTGGCCGCAGAAACCTGCAACAGCAAAATCAGACTGGATAAAGGCGAAAAACTGACCGGTCCAGTGTATCGTGGCATCTTGCTGACCTCCATCTAGAAGAAAAAAAAACTAGAAAAATTGTACGAGCCTTTTTTAAGAGAAATAGAATGGTTCCACGAAACCACGAAAAAAACATGATGAAAACTGTAAGTTTGAAACGTTTATCTACAGTATGTAACGCATCATCGGCAGAAAGTTCGATTTACAAGCTGACCAGAGTTGGAATGAGTATTCACAAGATGGATAATTATGAAAGAAGAGAAAAACTAGAGCTTTCGAATATACAACAAATTGGTTCGAAGGAGGGAATTTAGAACTCCCGATCTGGGAAAATGGCCGGAGCAAGTAGAGTCCAGCAGTAAAGAGAGACGCACACCCACGAGGAGACGATCTTCACCCACACAGAAGCCATATTCGCATTGAGATGCGTCAGGTCGTTGTCCGGTCTGAAAGAATTGTTGCTGCTCCAAGTCATTCAGATACCCTCTACTCACTTGTACCAGCTGGTCAGGGTCATCATCACGTACAATGACGCGAGGACGAACATGAAGTGGAAGAAGCTGTACGAGTAGGCGACGCCTTCTTCCTCGTTGTCCCAAGCACGAGTCGCTGCGCCGGACTCCATATCGCCTTAAGACAAAAAGATCAACTTTCTAGGATTCGACAACATTAAAAACTTGATTGTCTAACTCGGGCAAAGTCGGCACCGCTAAAAAGAAGAGACTCAAAAAAGGCCGCAGGAAGGCAGCAAAGAGAGTCCCTTTATCGAACCTTCCTTTTTTTTGGAATTTAAATGCCAAAAAATGAGGAAAAAGGATGAGGCAGCAAAAATGGTGCATAAGAGCCGATGAAATGGCGCAGAAAGGCAGCAAAAAAAAAGCCTTTTGCATCTTAAAGGAACATTTCTATGAAGCCTTTTCCACCCTTTCCGACTTTGCCTATGATACTTCTTTCCAGTGCGATAGTTTTACCAATTAAGGGTCTCAGAATTAGCTAAGGGTCCTTATTGAACTACGTGCAGAAGAAGAAAGTAGAAGAACGTGCAATCCACTTTTCCTACTACAAGTTTCGACAAAATCGTGATCAGAAAACCGACCCAATTAGAATGAAAGGAGAAATAATTAGAAATGGATATATAGGGAAATAACATGCACGAACCACTGTTCACAATCGCTTCTCTCGACGAACTTAGTTGGATATTTTCATCGCCGCCAGTGATCTTCCCCAAAGAAGTGTTGGAAGAATTGCGGATTGAGGCGTAGAGAACACATGCGAACCACAGGAACAGAGTCACGATCGACTGTGCTGGCAACGGAGTTCCGAACTTCTGAAATCGGCAACAATTCTGGTCGGAGATTTTTAAAAGGCAAAAGAAAGTGAAAAACGGCTCAGTCAAGTCAAATTTATTTGGAAAACGTTTTTGAAAATCCTATTCGGTTCATGATTTGCTTGGAAGGACCTCTGAAATAAAGTGCCAAAACTATTTCTTTGACATACACTATTTCGTCGTTTTTTCGCAGCTAGATAACGACGAAATAGTGTGTAACAGAGAAAGATTTGTGGCGCCCTTTTGGCGCTTTATGTCAGAGACCTAAAAAAAACAAAAGCCTTTCCAAATTTACGAGCAAGAGCGTGGGAAATCGCAGAGACTTCTGACAACGAGAAATCTGCGTATTTTAAAGACGCCGCTGGTTTTTTGCTGGCAATTTTTTACGACCCCTATTTTACATCCTATCAATTTTTATACGATTTGAGAAAAAAAAATTGCATTTTTCTATTTGACGTTTTTTTCTTTACAAAAACTGAGTTTCCCAAACGTTTTTCTTCGAATCCCATGAAACTTGAAAGAGGAAAGATTTGAAATAAAAGTAAGATAGAGGATTACTCTGATTTTCTCTATTACTTTTTCATAAAGTATCGACGAAGATTTATTTTAAATCAATTTGACCCGCATTGGACATTAACCCTAACAAAATTTTAAAAGAACAGGAAATGAACTTTATTCATTTTTACGAAAGAAAAAAAAGGCACACTCCTTTCGAAATTAAACCAAAGAGTCTGTTGCAAGATCAGAGCTCTGAGATTCAAAATTCCTACGAGCACAGGTACTACTAGACAGGGAAACGTACATGTGGCTCTTCTTTCCCAGTGTGGCTAGTGTTAGAGAAGAGGGTGATCAACGACGGATTGCACTCCTTGTCTGGAAAATTGAATCAATGTATGACTAATGCTTCGTAGAAGTTACCTGGATTATTGACTAGAGCCGACCATGTCAGATAAATCACGTAGCCTGTGATCATAACGCCCTGTAGAAGACCAGAGCGAGGCATTCTGGAAACAAAACATTGAAAGTCGAACTATGAAATTTGTACTCAAATATAGATTCTATTTACGAAATTAAAAGCATATGTGAAGCTAAAAACCTTTCTTGAACAGCGGGAGTGACTGAAAGGACGCTGAGTGCCACACAAAGGAGAACGTTAAAGATTATGAAAAATCTCGGAAGACCACACGATTCTCCCTTAACAAAAATTTGGAAAAAAAAGAAGAAAAAATAAATTTGTTCAAAGAAATCTCCTTCGGTGATATTTGAACGACAGAAAACTACACTTTTCAATCTCTCGAACGAAAAAAAAGATTTTTACGCACCATAATAAGTTGAGAAATTTTTCAGCTCACCGATGTGTAAAGAACGAACATGACGACAATAGCGATCAGGGCTAGGAAAAAGCCTCCAAAAGTCACCAACAGAATTCCTCCGTAGCACCATTTCGAATCGCTTTCTTCGTAACTGAACATTCAGTCATATCAAATCATTGATTCGCATGCAAAAAAAGAATCAAAATAATCTCAATTGGTAAAACGCACGACTCGACCCAACTTTCAGCGACCCCATGAGCAAAATCAACGATGAGGATGAGCTGGATCAGAATGAACAGAAATCCTCCCAACATGCCGAACCACATCAGGGCTGAAACCGTCTCATTGGATGAAAATTCGAAGCAAAACACATACGTGTTGCAAGAGACTCGCTACGGATGAAGAAAAAGCCCACAATGAAAACGCTCAAAAGAAAATATTTGAAGAACCTGAATCAAAAACATATTTTTAAATTTATTTTTTCGATAAGGACAAACCAATATCCATTCTGAATTGAAGAACGCTTGTCCTTGGAGGATTTTACGCCGAACATCAGAAGCATGAACACGAAGAAGAAAGACGCCGTGCCTGCGCAAACTCTGAACGGATTTAAAGCATGAAATTTTAAAAAAAATGTGGATACTCACCTGTAAACAGCTTGAAACCCTGTGGCATGAGCACAGTTAATCCCGGTCACTTCATTCAGGCCATCACAAAACCACTTGTTCTGAGAATAAAAATATATTTCCAACTTCGATTTCTTCACTCCTTCTTACGTCGGCTAGCTTCTTCTGGATACCAGGAAGTAGCATTATACAAGACAAAACGGTACTGAACAGTAGCATTCCAGCATACATTATTCTCGTAGAAGTGGAATTCTTCGATGTCGGACACACGGAGCAACACAAAGAACAGGCCGCACTGCCAAAGCAGCAAGCCATCTGGAAAAAAGATAAGTTAATTGAACAAAATTCAATTATTCTACCGATGACGCTATGGCTGGAGCAGCCATGAGTGCTCCCATTGTAGACGAAGAGCCTGTAAATTTTAAACGCAATTAAAGTACAAAAAGTAATAGAACAAAGCATCTTATAACTTCAGAATATTTCTGATTGAAACAAGCAGCTTTTTGTTGTTCAACTCACAAATATTTCGAATTAACTTTATTACATTCGTGAAAGAATTGAGTCAGAAAATTTCTCTATTCCTAGTGAGGTTAATAAAGATATTTTTCGAAAACTTGAACTTGAGTTAGTTACAACGCTAATTAATTTAACATTGTAAGTAGCTAACACGGAGCGGTTAACTGGGAAATCGATAAGAAAAAACAAGAAAAACGACTCCTGCGAGGCGCTCGCCAGCCCACGAGATGGGGCGTGTCAGCTTGCGCAAAAGGCACACAACTTTTTTGCAGTTGCTGCTCCTTAAACAGTCATCATTATGAATTTGTGTTCTTAAAATTTTTCATCTATTTTCCTGACTTTTACCTAAACGACCTCACTTTTTGAATCGTTTGGGTTTCCCTTTTTTCATTGAAACAAAGATCAGTACCTCTTGTGTTATATAAAATACTCATTGAATTTGAAAATTTCAGGATGTCTCTTCTGCAGTTGTCCAAACGCACTCCGGATCTTTTGGCAAAAGATTCTGATGTTCCTGAGGAAGAGTTCAAACAAATGCAGCTGGCGGACAAGAAGAAGCTGGAAGCCCCTCAAACGGTGCCCTATTATATAAACGAATTCTCATGATTTAGTTGCAGTTGTCAAACGCAGTGCCTCACGAATTACTGAGCGATACTTCTCGAATGACACCGAAAGTTGAAAACTATTTGGCGGCTCAACGAATGCTTCTCGGAAACGCCCAGACAGAACAAATGATCCTGTCAGTTCAGTTTTTTTTTTGTTAGTTGAGGTTGAAAATTGCAGAGAGCTTAACTGTGCATCCCAAATCAATCGCGGCCCAGAGGGAGTTTTCGAGTCATCGCGCTTGCACTGGGACATGCTTCTCAACAGGGATGAAACCATTTTTCCTTCGGATTATTTGAACTTTGATGCCAAGATGAAGTTCTGAAACTCGGTTTTTGATCTATGATTCTTGTCGAATAAATTATGATTTTATTTACCATCTTAATTATAGAAGGTTATTGGACGATCCGTGAAAAATTTTTGACGAACTTTTTTTTCTCGGAAAGTTTTCAAACTATTTTTTCCAGTTTTTAGACATAATAGAACGAAGTGAAAAAAAAATGCGTCACGGTCAGCCAGGTAATTTCTAGCGGATTTCTTGAAATAATAAAGAATTGGTTGAGGTTCGTCTGCACCGAACTCTCTACACATGAGTTTCCGGAACCCAAATTTCCCACCAAATTTCATAAACGCCGAAAATGTGCTTGAATACTTCTGCAATCCGGCTAACACCTTCTATGACATGGCATCCTGCAATCAGCAGATCAAAATGCAGAATATCAATCGACCTGTTGAAGAGTGTTTGCTGTAAGTTTCCTTTTCAAAATCAAACTGGCGAATAGAAGAAGTTTTTCAGGAATATGCCAGGCATTCAATACGTTCTCTGGAGCTCACAACCGCCGCTTTTCGTCATTTGCAAACAACGAAGAAACAACACGCAGAACGGTTTCCGAATCGAGCAATAGCTATAACGGATAATTCCTCGCTTCAGTAACACCATTAGCATATTACTACGTAATAAACGGGCTGATCCATCAAGCGCCTGATATGCATTCTTTGGTGCAGTCGAGGTTGTTAGGTGCGATGGAACCTCTCAAAGACGCCTTCGAGACGGTTCTCAACTATGCAAGGTGAAAACTTTCGGAGATCAGTTCAGTTTTTGGATCTCATCTTGGGTCTGACATTTCAAGCTATCTGTTCAGATATAACGCTGCAAAAGGATACTATTGGGAGTTCAGAAGCGGAAAACATCCTTTGAGAAACAACAGAGACGAGCCTAAGGTAGTTTTATCAGGCTCGGGAACAAAGAAAACATCTCGAACAGGTTCAAAAAGAGGAAGAAAAGCCGCTGGAGGCGCGAAGTACGAACTTCCAGCAAACGAGGACGGCGATGCTCATTCAGCAGTTGTTCGCTGAAATGCCGGCCGACAGCGCTCTTGAGATTCTGGTTCGTTCTTTTATTCATAGGAATTTGAAGAGAAAACATTCTTTGGACATCATTCTTTCCTATTTTTGTTATTTTGGAACAAACAACATTTTAAAAAATCTCTTCCGGCGGTAAAAATTGATATAGGCGATCTACGATTAGATCGGGACAAAAATGGTCCAAAAATAACGTAACTTGCGCGCTTCGAGTTTTTTTGAGATAGCTTTCGAAGAATTTTACCCTTTCTTTTTTTTTCTTCCATCTTTTTTGGAATTGGTTTCGATTTTTTTTTTTGTAATACTTTTGAAATCGCAGAATATAATGAAGAATCAATCTTGTACAAGAAGCACTCTGAAAAAAAGAAATTCGGTATATTTTTATTCTTTGGTGCGACTTTTTCCAAGAGCTACGGCAAAAAAAATAATGAAAAAAATTTTCAAATTTCCTAGGCAAAATTTTTCAATAAATAAGTTTCGAGAACTACTTCACCGTTCAAGAATAAAAGAAGATCGTGTATTTTTCGCAACAATTTGACTTCAAACTTATCGACTTAAACGGCATCGTAGTTGAAGATTAGATTAGGGAAAGTTTTCATTCTTTTCATAAAATCGATTTTTCAAGTTATTCTTCTGCTTCTCTGCTCTTTATCCTTACTTTCTTCATTCCTTTTTGAAATTTTCTCAGAATTTTCCGCATAATACCTGGTCATTTATACCAGTTATTAGAACCGAGATTGAAAGGAAATCAAAAAACGCCTAGTTTGAAAATAGCTGTTATACTTCAAAAATAATACTATTAGAATAATCTCCATTCACCTAGGATAATTTAAAATAGAAACTCCGCACACTCATAATCTCTTTCTTCGCTTTTCGGTTTCAAATGTTTCTCAAATGGATACTTCACGAGAGATTCTTGCCTCAAATTATACCATAAATCAATTTTTTATTGATCAAAACAGCGAAGAATTAGTGGAAACCGTAAAATGTTGAGGAGCCGAAAGCGGAAGGAGAGGCAAAGGCCGATGAGATGCCTGCGACTGCTGAACCGGCAGCAGCAGCTGCACCTCCGCGTGGGAACGTGTTCGTCGAACCGGCAATTAAAAAACTATAACACATTTATGTACATTACCAGCTATTTCCAATTCTCTCATATCTCACGGGCAGAATGTTGTTTTGCTACGAAATCATTCGGCAAGTCTCATAAAGCAAAAAAGTCAACAAAGTCTCGAGATGCTTGTGCATGAAACAGAGAAATCGACGGAAGTGCCAAACGTGACTGAAATGGTAATGAAGCGTCTTTATCGCAAACGACCGCCCTTTCGCCGCCTGTCGTCGTTGGATTGAAAAGGCGGCGGACGTGATGTCAGCGGTGAAGTGCCACCCACGCGAACTAATCCAAGCTCGAACCGTTGCGAGTTGGGCGATCGGGAATTTTCTTCGACGGCTCAGCGTGCCTGAAGTTGGCTGCGCAAGCGTGTTGGCGTCGTTTAGACGCCAACAGGGCATTATCGCGCTTGATACGAGAGTCGACGCTGATATTCAGTCCTTAGCGCGAGCAAAACGTTTGATAGTCGTATATTTCCTCCCATATTCGTGCACCTATGTCCAAGTTCTAATCACTCGTGTCTGAACGACAATCGATTGGCTCCTACTGGGAAAAAGGTGAGTATCTACCGCCATTCATTGATTTTTTTTTTCTTTTAGCTTGCTTGATATGGATGACAGTCCATTGACCTGTAGGCGGCACCAAACATCAAAGATTAGTTAACTCAAAAACACGAGGTGCCATATTTATAAAGTGAACTTTTTCAGGCTCTAAATTTTTCGTGTTTACAACTTTCTAAGAATATAATCGAAATATGAGCATAGTTAGGGGTATAAAGGGTCAACAAGTTCTGGATTCGGAGAAAAAGTTCAAATTAGCTGTTTTATTTATTTTTTTTTGCTTCTGACTTGTACCTCTCTCGATAAGAAAAATACTTAACTGAATCACGAGTAACATTTACTTTCAGCGCGAAAATTCCCTTATGTAGTTTGAAGCCTCCCTTTTTTAAAGACTGTTGGTTCTTAGTGATATTTCGGTGGGCATGAAGGTCTAATGTTTGATTTCAAGTAAAGTTCTAAATTTCGATATCAAGAAGTTAAAAAGCCACTGTGTTTGAAAAATTCTAAAAATTTGAGCGAGTAGAAATTGAAAGTGTTTTTTAATACCAATCTGGCTAAGTTTAACGGCTTAATAATTTGACATCCTCTGTGATTCAAAGAAAAATACTTTTTACTGTATTCTAAGGTGTTTTTTTTCAAATTTATTTTGTAAGGAAAAAGAAAAAAGAACGTTCAGACGCTTTGGAATACGGGAGGCGCGAGATGTTCCAGCGGAAGATAGGCTCATCCAGTCATCCGGACTGTGGGCGGAGCCAGCCGCTGGCAGACTTGTCGGCATTTGCTGGCGACGCCACTGCGAGCGAACAGACCCGCGACGAGCGACCAAACCACGAACACAACGACGAATCCATGCGAACACAGACGACTACCCTCGAACGACGGCGACAGCGACCCCGTCCGACAGCCGCCTTCGGACAACGAAGAGCACTGTTCGCTGCTCTGTTGCTGTGCCTCTCGACGATCGTCAGGAGCGCGCCTCTCCGTGGCGACGTCTCCGCTGACGACGACACGCCTCTCTCCATCGCCGACGGCTTCATTCCCTACTCTATAGGTTGGCCTTTGAGCTGTCTTCAGCTCCTACCCATCCTTTTTCCAGGAAACGACACAGGACTGAGGGAATTTTCAAGAAAGGCCTTCTTCTCACTTCACAGCACGACCGTCGAAGCCAAACTTCTGCCGCCAGCAGAAGAAGTCCAAATGAAAAGTCTCAGTCCAGCCAAATCTAGGTCCCATCGGAAAAAAGGACGGCCAGGTTAGCCTTTCAGTCTTCCTATCCTCTTTTCTCTCTTAATGAGTTATCAAGTATTCGGGTTGATATTTTATAGAGTATGAAAAATTTTTAAAAAGTATTAGGGGATTTCTTATTAACTGCCTCAAAGGAATTTATGAGGGTTAAAGCTTCTTATCGAGACTTTATTGATAATTTTCATACGTAGAGCTTTTTATCGAAACTTTAACGACAATTTTGATATCTTCTTCGTTTTTAATCCTTTTTTATTTTATTTATCGACTCCAATGTCATTAATATGATGCAAACCTATATTTTTTGCAGAATTTTCTCTATTTAATGATTTTTTTTGTGCTACTAGCGAGTCCGTGTCGTTTTTTTTTCAATTGCGTTTTGCTTTCTGCTGCATCTTCGAATTAGTGTTCTTCGTCAAATGAAAACATCATTTCTTGCTTGCATTCTGATTCTCATATCCTATTGCTCATCGTACAGTGATTCTTCTCTTTTTCGTTATTTTTTTTTCGAACCATCAAGCCAGAGAGCCTCTGTAGCTCGATTCGTTCAAATATGTGTTATCATTATGTTTAACTCTTTGCTGATCAATTTCGAACGCTTCTAAGTTAAAGGAGAGAAAATTGGGACCGGCGAATTGGCAACAATGCTTGACTTGAGTATCCATCATCTTTACACCGGTTGGTGCTGATTCACCGGCCCATGCAAAAAGCCGTTGGTTTTCATTGACAACCTCGAGAAGAAGTCGAAAATCGATGGCAGGTGGGAGCTAAGTGTTATGATGCGTGACACATGTCCGCGGTTTCGAGTTTCTCGCTTCAACCTGCTTTTTTCGGTTTACCAACAATCTTGGCCAATAGACGACCCTGAGGCGATTACTGCGCCTTTGCTACACCGATTTAGTGGCCGCTTAGCCGTGTAGATAAGCTTTTCGCGGCAGCCTGTATCAATCGTTGCGGATTTTCCGGCAAATTTTGATATTCGTACTGTGCTGATGAACAAAGGACAGTTCTGGCAGAGAACAAACAAAAATGGGAACCTACGTAGAATACTTTGCGATTATTTTTCCAGTAGGAATCGCTTTCTTCGTAAAAAAAAAACTTCAGAAATATTCAGAGGAGAATTCGTTTCTATGTGTAAGAGTTAGGGTTTTCTCTGAATTGTATTTCGAAAAAAAAGGTTCGAGAGGACTTTATTTAGTCTGCAAGCTCTCTTCTTGAATTATATATATTTTTTGACGGAAGCAAGAAAATCCGATTCCTCGTTTTTCCATCGGTGCTTTTTCAGCACATTTCAATATTTTTATCATGTATCACTTCAAAGCTTCATCGAAATCAGAAAGCAAGTAAGCTCAAAAGTTGTAAACCGCGTCAAAACTATTATTTTTTTGCGGTGAACACGACCAAAGTATTTGTGAATGGGCTTCTTTCACACTTTGATGACCTCCTCCTCATGTCTTTTTTTCCCTTCGTTTCTCATTAAACTTTCCGGATGTTAAACGGTGTGGCCATCGTTTTAGTGAGGCAGAGTTTTGGTTTGCAGGAAACCCAAGGAAGAAAGTTCTCGACGGGCGGAAAACGGCTTTGCTAGCCGTCGCCGACCCCGACGCGTTGCGGATGCAGCAGCGCTGCGAGGGACAAAAGTTCAAGCAGCGCGTCAAAGTCGACGGTTGCCTCACCAAAATCGTCGTTAACAGGTTCGTTATCTCGAAATCAACTTCTTTATTTGATTCCGTCTTCTTTCCGAATTATTCCTTTTTTTCTCAGCTGATCTGCTAAATCCAGAAAACTTATCTCTTGCTTGTGAATTTTCGAATCTTAGAATTTCTGATGCCGTAACTTCTCTATCATCTTTGTTCGTTCGTTGCTAGAATCGTTCTTGTAGCACTTTAGAACAAAACCAAAAAGTGTTAGCTGTAGTGCAATCGCTTTCTTCCATGCTCAAAATTATGTATTTTATTTTGCGCCCAGTTTCTCCAGAAGAGAATTTGAGATTTGCAATGAATACATTTTGAACCTAGCTTTACTAAAATGTATTCCACATGTAATTTTACTCACTATTTGAGGGGAAGACACCGGCCCTTGAGTTGTTTTTGAACTAAAAAGAATCCTTCCCCTTCTTTTCATGCGACCGAAGAACTTCAGGTTATGCCACGGCACGTGTGCGAGCTACTTCATTCCTCGAATGCATTCGAAAAAGCTGAAGGCGTCGTTCAAGTCGTGCGCGACGTGTGCGCCTTCAGACTACGACTTCGTCGATGTGACGTTGGACTGTCCGGGGCAGGATCCGCCGCAAGTCACGCGCAGAATCATCAAAGTGAGTTCTGTTTTCTTAAATCTTTATTCTATAACGGGGGAATATTTCTAAAACCAAAAATGTTAGTCTCATAAAACTTTAAGAATTTTCTTTTCCATACTCATCTTGCTTTAACTTAATGATTAGAGGACTTCAAAATCAATTATTGGTTTCACGTTAATAAAGTTAATAACAATAATTACTCATCATTCCACAGATCAGCTGTTAGATTTATTCGATTGCTTTGATGTTTTTATTTTTTTGTATTTGTCGTGCAGATTGCGGAATGGCGAATAAACATTTGAAATGAAAAAAATTTTTCTTTTTGAACAACCATGTTATCCCTTTAGATTTGAAAACTTTCATTATATACCTCTGGCTATTTTGCTACCTTTTTTTAATATAATTATAGAAAACCAAATTGCTAAATTTTTTTCGCTCCGTGATTAATATTGAAAGAGTCAAAAAAAGAAAAAAATGGTTACAAATAAAGCGATTTTTAAATTCTATTCTAACAAAAAAAATGTTATATTCTCTCGATAATCCTTGAAAAACTTGTTGAAATACTCATTTCACTTCTTTTTACTCAATCAAATCTGTGCGAAATTCCCAAACCTTCTTAATTGAATTGAAAATCCTACTTTTCTGCAAATTTTCACTCTGCGCGAAATTAATTTTCAAAAAAGGTTAAACAATCAATTTCAACGCAAATAAATTGAGTTTGAATGATTAATGTGCAAATTGTTTCACAGGTGAAGCAGTGCCGGTGTAGAGACGTCGACCTGTCATCATTAAATTTTTGATCTATTCTCCCAAAGATATCCCCTTCTTGTTATTTTTTTTTTCTTGTTTTTTTTTCTTACGAACACCACAATCATAGATCTCAACATCAATTCAGCGACATTTCGTTTGCCAACGTGTAACTCTTCATTTTCTTCGCTTTCCGTTGCCCCAATAGTTTGTGATTGGCCGTCCAAAATCTCCCGCTTCTCCTCCTCACCGTCATTTATTTTTTTTTTCATTCTCTGTCGGTTTTTTTTTCGTTGTGTGTATCATATGAGATACGAGGTTATGTGAAGTGCAAAATATAATAAACTTCTCCAATTTTTTTTTTTCTAATTTTTCCGAATAAAAAGACTACATTCCTGGCATCACTATAACGTTGTGAGCGGAAAACTATATCTCTGATTAACTTGTCACATTTTTCATTCATCATTCAGACGAGGCTATACAATCATAATATGTTATTTAAAAAATCATAATCTTTTTCTAAGAACATGTTTTTTGATCTAAATAGAAAGTATTAGTTTAACTTAAAAAAGGTTATAGAAAAAAAAACATCAACGAGGAAGTTTGCACATCAAAAAAACACACTTTTTCCATATTTTCTCCACAATTCTTCAGAAAGTGCCTTTGATTCTCTTTTTACCTCGTTTTTCGAAATTTTACCAAAACCAATACTCGATTCCTACGCAGGCAATAACCAAAGTTCTTAATAGACCTAAAGTTTTCTTCTTTCAATCAGTGGAAGTAAATTGGTGATGGGAGCCATAAATATGCAAGCAATACAGAAAGATGTCCGGATTGACGTCATGCCTGGAGAGTTTCGCAACTGCGAGTCCAGAAAAAGAAGTTCCCGTCGAAAATGAATGAGCTAATTCAATCCATTATTTAGGCCGCCAGTTGACTCACTCTTTTTTCTCCCGAAACTTGAGTTATTTTTAATGGTTTCATGGAAAAAAAAAAACGTTGCTTTAAAATTTTGCGGCCGTTTTTTCGCTATTCTCGTCTTTGACAAGTTCTAGAAATCGAAAAAAATTTATTACATTGTTCAAAAGGCTACTACTAAAATAGCGCAAAAAGAATGAAAACGACTCGTTGTTAAATCCATTTAACGGAGAAGATTTGATTATTTTCAAACAGCAAACTTGAGCTGTTCCTTTCGGGGAAATTAGAAACAAGTGGAAGAAGCAGAACAAAAAACAAAGAAAAAAGTTGATCGTTCCAAAAATTTTCCAGAGGAAAGCAAGAACCCTTCAGAAAACAAGTGACGTCCACTTGTGGAGAAATTAAACCAAAACTGGGATCATCGGGATCGAAACTAGACTGACTAGGCATTATGAAAGATCGTTTGTACAAAAACAGTTTTGTTTCTCGATTAATCACATTCGGAAAGGAAGAAAGTACACTCATGGATATTCTAGCTAAGATATGCGAGGCTTTTTAAAAGATGATTGACAACTTTTTTTCTCTTTCGCAAATCTTAAAAGCCTCGTCAACCTTAAAAGTGGAAGGAAAAATGAAAGAAAAAAAAAAGTGAGATCAGTTTTTTCGTTTTGACTAGAGATTAAAAAAAAATGCGTTTCTTAACTCACAACCTTATATCACATTTACCGTTTTGATGCATTATGAGCCCATAACCTTCACTTCTTTTCGTACATCTTTTTCAGTCGCTCCATCTCCCGTCGGGTGTTCTCGTGAGCTTGTCGTTCCTGTAAGAATTTGAATCATCATCGTAAGAAAGAAAACATCCTCTTGAAATGTTCGAGGTACATATGAAAAACGGGATCAATTGGAATTATTCTTATTTAACGATCAGAAAAAATCTTGTCACAAAGCTCAAAAAATCTTTTCAATTACGCTTATCTATGCTATTAGGTTTCAGAAAATTTAGTTCTTCTACCTCAACATTTTAAACAACATTAAAAACCGAATTTTCGTCTTTGAAGCTCGTTCCTTCAAAAAATAATTATGAGAGGTTTTAGGCGTAACGCGTTAAACAAATTTCGAAAAAAAAAGTAGCTGGCCACTACTGTCGTTTGCATGTTTCCTTATCGACAAAATGTTACATGGATTAGTTGTTTGCGAAGCTGCTGAGCGAGCATCTCCAAGGCCCGTTTTTCCTGCACCGTCCTCTCCAGATGCGCCTGTACGCGGAGCAACTCGCTGCTCTCCCGGTCGTTGGTCGACTCCCTCGCGGACAACGGAGCCTGCAATTGCTGACGTCTCCAAGACCTGTCTTCTCCGGAAACCTTTCTTCCGATGTCCTCGACCAGCGGAGACCTGAGCTGTTCGTCGGACTGAGCGCGGTTGAGACTCTTCGGAGCATTGAGCAGTGTACACATGTGTTCGTGAACAGAACTGCTAGTGACGGCTGTTGACCGCGGAGACGGCACGCTGGAATCTCGGCGTTCTTTCGGAAGGCAGCAAGCTCAATAGAACCTCGAGTTGCTGTTCCGCGCTTCCGATTTGCGAGTGCTGAAACTGAAGGTCCGCTCGTCGAAGGAGGAAGCGGGACTACTGCTCGAACTGTTTGCGTACTCCCGATTTCGCATCCTGAACATTTCCTGATACCTGAAACAAGAATAATCATCATCGGGATCTTGGAATGAAAACAGTTTGAGGTTTGAAATTTCCTACACATTTTTTTCAAATAATCTCTGAAGGTTATAATTGATAAACTTCTAGCTTCAGGTATACGATTTTTCGAAGAAGGGTGATATTCTGAAAAACTCTACATAAAACCAAACTTTTTGAAAAGTGGAAAATTAAACTTGAAATTAGGGAAAAACTTTATGAAAAGTTTTTTATATATTTTCCTAGCAAAAAAAACGTTGACAGGAAAACCTACGTGATCGGTTGCTTCGCAAACGCGTCCGGCGTGAGCATCTGTTCGATTCCTTTCATAGCCGGACAGTTAGGATCTTCACAGCTGCAAACAGTTTCATTTTACTTTCTTTGAATTGATCTGTCTCTGATAAAGTGTAAGATCATCTATTCTACATATATTATGAAATTTAACAATGCTTCAAAGGGATTTCGCGAAGAAAACTTAGAGAATTTGAAAGACGAATTTAAAAACTGACCCTCTTCTAGGCGAACCATCCTGCGACGGAGAAATGAGCAGAAGTCGGACACACTCGCTGACGGCGAGCTGGTCGCAGATCTTGTCCAGCGTGAGGGTCGACATGGGCATCGCATCGATCTGAGCGGGGACTATCTGTCAAAGGGAGACCTCGTGAACACGACAGCACACGACGAGGAAGTGTGTGCTGGTCCGTATGAGTACCTCGACGATGCGACTTCCTTGTCGGATTCCGGCTCGCCACGCCGTCTGGTACATCTCGACGTCCGTGACGACGCCTTCGTCCTGCACGTGGAATCCCCATGGATCCGTGGTTCGAGGTCGTCGAAGCACGACCTGCAACCGAACAAGGTGATTTCTTCGAGGCCAAACTTGCCTCTTTTGCTTCGTCGCCCTTGGTGACCTGTTCGAGCCGCCTCAGCAACTCGTTCAACTCCGTATCAGTACCCGTTTCGGCGTAGCAGCGCAGCAGCAGCTGATCGCCATGGTCGTAGTAAAGTTTTAAACTGCAATAACCAACTTAGTAAACCACATCGTTGAAGTTCGGAGAGCCCAACTGAGGATAAAATAAGCTGGGGACCGATTTGACAAGTTTTGACAGACTTCCGAGAAGAAAGAACTTCAATTATTTTTGTGAAATCTGCTGAGGGTAGCTAGTATAGAAACTTTTGCGATAGTTTCCCAGATCATCATCATACATCAAAACAAACCCCATATCTGTGTTGGCCCAGCCAATGATCGAGTGAGTAGGCGTGGTGAAAATGACGGCTCCAGACGGCCTTTCGAGAAGAACGACGGCGTCTTGAGACACTCCCAAAACGCAGCTCACCCTCTGAAGTTGCGGCATGAAAGAGAGGAGCTGAGTGAGAGGAGCGACCTGGTTGGTAGAGTAGTCATGAACGTCGACGAGCCACGAGAGAGCTCCTCGCATCGGGGCCTGCGACGGCTTCGGATTGTGGCGTTCACGTCGTTTCACGCTGCCGCCGAGAAACCGACCTGCAACAGGAAAGCTGAGTTGAAAGACCATTTGATGAACAACGTGAGACTTAATTAATTGGACTGTTAGGGGTTTCTGTGAGAGACAGGCTCAGAAAACTTCGAAGACTCAAGAGTGGAAAGATACTTGAGCGAAAAGGTTTTTAATTGATTATCTGCTGACTCGGCTTTTCCAAAAAGAATTACTGTCAAAGTTTTAAAAAATAGTGAAAAACATGGATCTGCTGTATATGCGTGTTTTTTATTTATTCGAATAATGATATGGATAAAATTTGAAGATGATAAAGTGATAAAATCTTTTTGAAGCTAGTCAAACGAAAGGAATGATTTGCAATGTACTGAATTTCTAGCGAGGACCTCTTCAAAACTTGAAGGAAAATGAGGAAATTCATGAAAAAGACGGGAACGAACTAGCGATCTTGCTGGCTCCTTCGTTCTGATGTGAGCCGACGTAGTTTTCGACGAGGTCTCTCAAAGCTTCTTTCCGCGTCCGCGCGGCCATCGTCGCAAATTTTTTTGACCGATGAACCGCATTTTCGGCATTGATTACTGCCAAAAAAAGGCTTTAGAGACGAGAAAATACATCGAAATACTTTTGGTGAGAAGCCAGTCGTGGAACTCTGCACATTTGCTAAAGCAGGCTCCCTTCGGCACAGGCGGTCCGAATGGCGGCACGTCCTTAGATCTTGAAACAGCGACGCTGAAGAGAAAAATGGAAAGGTGAGGGTTCGGATCATCTTAGGATACCTGTAATTGACGCTGTCCGTGCAGGCATTGTGTGTTCTGACGATGATGAAGACGTGTTGGAAGTGGCTTCGGACGGTTATTGGGGAGAACGGCTGAGCTCCAGGCTCTTGGAAAATGATCGTCACCATGTCATTACCGATGTGTCGCTTCCGAGACAGCTTAAATTATACGAATGTAATGATTAGACTAATCTCATAAAAAGGAACATACTTTTTTTCAAGAATAAAAAAAGAGAAGTTTCGATGAAAAAAGGAAGATTGAAAGAATTTAATAATTATTATCAGATCACTTCAGTTGTGGATTCATCATTCATTTCCGGTTTTTATCTCAAAATTTCTTTCAGTTAGTTTCAAACTGACGCTTTTTATTACCAAATAAACTTGAAACTTGCATAGATTGAATGATCATAACATAAAACTCATATGCAAGCTGGTCTAAGGATTATTAAATGTTTGATTTCGAAGAAAAAAATGTATCATATCCTTAAATAAGCGTAGGTCTAAGAGCGGAAAATGAAGTTTCTGGAACTTTTCAAACAAAGAAGAGTATTACACATAGCGAATGAAGAAAAATTCATATTTTTGGATTTTGAAAGGAGAACATTACTTGCTGACGGTTGCTGGGCGTGAAGGGAAGAAGCGTCGAGACGTGGAACATGATCTCGTGGGCCTGGTACTCCGAGTAGACTGAATGCGTCCCGGTCGTGTCGCCTCTTGTATCCAGACCTCCCTTGAAACTTTCTCTCTTTTAAAACCATTTTCTAACATGTTTTCCTAAAAATGATAGGAAAAAAGTCCGAAGCGCGGATTTTGTGTTGTTTATAATTTTTTTGGAACGCAAATCGCAGATATAGTACAACAGTTTTGGTAGATAGAACTAGAGAGGCGTATTCGAAAAGCAAGAGGTAGCTTCTAGGCTTCCCAAATTAGGGAATCAGACAGGCTTTTGCAGAAAAAACTCAAAAACCGCGGTTTCTTCCTGGTGTTTTTAAATTTCAAAAACAACCCTGTTCCACTTGAGAAAGCTTTCTCTGAAAGTTTTCGACTTTTTTCTTTTTACCCTATAAAGTTTAGTAAAATAAAGATGTAAACCTCAGGTGCAACGAGTTTTCAACGAGCAATGAGTTTTCCAATTTCAAAGATTACTGTATGCGAAAGTCCGAATTCAATGCGTGTACTTTGTGTGACGTCCCCGCGACGTCCAACTCCGCGTTTTTGTTTTACGCTTTCAAACATCGAAACGGATTTAAACGAAAGAAATCAGTCGAAGAACATTATCTATCCATTCTGATTCATTAAAAAAAGTTAAAAAATTGATAAGAAAATAATAAACCTAAAAAAATTCACAGATGGACATCGCGATGACGTCACGCAACGAGAGTGCAAAAAAAAAAAGCCCATTTAGATAACTCGGACTTTCGCATACAGTACTCTTTAAAACGGAAAACTCGCTCTTCTCGTAGCACCAACAATAAGTCAACCTATTCAGATGAAATTCCCATTTGCCATTCGTAATATTGGTTTATTTTTTTTCGTTTGTTCAACTTCAAACTTTTTTTCTCACTTTGTATTGATCCCAGCCCTTGAGAAGAACTCGCTGTCCTAAAAAGTCGAGAAACTCGTCGAAAGCAGGCGTGGAAGACTCTTGAAACATTTGATTGGAACCCTCGAAAAAAAAAATCATGCCAACCATTATTGTACATCTGCTCCTCTGTGCTCTGACCCGCTTTGCACAACATGATGCCGACTTTATACCGCGTGTAGATTGGCTGTTCGTCGATTTTCATCAGAAGTTCTTCGACCCGAGGCGAGTTGAGAGCCGGCCGCAAAGTGCCGAAACTTATCCTCGGACAGACCTTCCGGGAAAAGATCAGAAAGACCTCTTAAGGACACTTACAATCTCTAGAAGTTCTCTCATCAGCGGCCGCGTCGACCTATCCGAAGACTCGGATAGCGCGTCTTCTGGAACCGCGACTCGCATGGTCCGTTGCTGAAGTCGAAGAGGTTGAGAAGCAAGAAAGAGAAAGTTTGAAACGTCGCTTATTCGGATGATGAGACGGTAGATGGCGGCGCCCTGGTCTCTGCGGTCGATCTGCTCGCGGACCATCGAAATCGCCACAGGACCCAGCATTTCGTCCATGCCGAAGAACTCCACGTGCGCTGCAAAATACAGAAATTCGTAAGACAAAAATAATCCAGTTTTTAGTTTTTAAATTTTTTTTTGCTTTGAAACTTTTCTTTTAGACGTTTCAAATGATTTTGAAAAACCAATTTAACGCGAAAAACACGGAAAAAATAATTAAAAAGTTCTAATTATACTCGAATATCGCTCGATTTTTCAATGCAGTAGAAAAATCCAAAAGCCACTCAAACTTTTGAAATTGAAAAGTTTGAAAAATTCTCAAACACAGAGTTCCAAAAAAAAAGTATATATATATCGTCTAGAATGGCTTCCCTCAATTTTCAGAAAACAGCAACAAATCTTCAACTTTTCATCTGCAAGTCTGCAGCTTTCAATCGTCAAAGGTACCGTAATAAAGTTCAAAATTATGATGTAGAGCAGTTTACACCAGTGCAATCAAATTAAACCGAAAAAAAAAACAGTTCAGGAGTTTAGTACAGACCCCGTCCGACAAAGCAGTGCCGATAATAATAGGAGCCGATGTCCTGAGGTTCGATGACGGTCTTGGGCTGTCGAGCGGCGCAGAGACGGCCTCCGAGGTAGACGTTGGACACGTCCTCGAGGATTCCCGCTTCGGCGGCCGCGTGTTCTCTCATCCAACTCTCGCATTCGTGAGCCTCCACCACGCCGTCGTAAGTGTACCGCGACAGAGCCAGTCTTCTCGTCGGCTCCAGTCCGAGCTCGTTTCTGTAGTTTTATCCCCGTTTCCATCCAAAAACGCTCAGACTTCAATGTAAAGCTACCAAAAACAGTTTTTGGAAAGAGCGCTGTCAATTTTTTTTTACCACCAGAACCTACTTAAAACAGCAGCCCTTTTTTTAGTTTGTCCATTTTAAACTAAAACTACCGTCTGAAAGTCTCAAGGCCATTTTAAAGAGAAGCCAGTGAAGCAATAAGAAAATGAAAAACTATCTGATTAAATTTTTTTGAAACTTGGCAATATAAGGTGAAGTTTGAGAAAAATGTACACTTCAAATTGACAAATTTTCAAGATTTTTTCAGAAAAAGTCTGGGAAATCCCTAGTTTCGTGGCAAAACAGAATTAGAGAAAATTGACTTTGAAGAACGTACCTGAAAGCTGGACAACTGGCGAGAAGTTCGTTGAACTTTCCGTCGCCGGAGTCGTCCTCACATGGAGACTGAGCCTGACTCGCGCCTCCAAATGGAACCGTAGGAAACCCGAAAAAAGAGTGGAGAGACCTGTGGGCTTGTCGTCGAGCCAATTCGGATGAATGCCGAGAGACCAAGCCGAAGCCAGAGATAAGCAGTCGTGGAAGGCCGTCAGCCGCGGATAAGGGGGTCGCCAGTCTCTAAAATCAAAAACCATTCGCAAAACGTTTTTTATTCCGCATATCGTTGGGAAAACAGAGTCGCGAAGAAATGAGCCGCTATCAGAATCTTTTTCTTATTTTTATTTTTTAAAGTTTTTTTTTTAAAATTGTGACCAATATTTCTAGTGCAGGCATGAGGAAACAGTTGTGCGAAAAAATAAGCTTTTTTTTGTCGATGGCTTCATTTTCAGATACCTATTTTATTTAAAGATTTTCAAAAAATTTTCAATTTTTCTGCAACATCAATAGAATAAATTCATTTTTTTTTGTGCGCAGGTTGAATGGAAACGTACGAATGAGGATCGAGATGAGCGTGAGAATCGGGGTCTGAGTTTGTGGACGGCTGGTCCGACGGAATCATCGACGACGACGTCGACGGACACGGAAGAACGTCGGCTGTGTTACCTGGAAACGACTGATGCCATTCGCAGGTGGTGATGCAACAGGTAGCAGCTCCAGCCTTTGAGAAAAAACGTGCCAAAGATTTAATCGAAAGTTAAGCTTATAAGCTCCACCACAGAACAAAGAAGGTCACCATTCACATTGAAGCGCAAAATTTCGAGAAGCGAGTTTCTGAGAAATATTAGTTCATCCTAATAAAGTCGTGAGCGTCTGTTAGTAATTTTCTTAGTAGGAGAACCCTATAACATTTTACTAAATTCGACTTTCCGAGCCATCATTATTTTTTAAACTTTCGCACAGCTTTTTGGTACACTAACTTCAAACTACGGGTTTATAACCAGATTAATTACGTGACTAAAATACAAAATGTGAAAGAATGTTTGAAATCGCTACAAATTTTTGCAACCCTACTTCAAGATTTGAATTATCAAAAAAAAAAACCATGTTCTGAGCTTCTTTTTTCAATTTTCGCTAAAAAGCTTAGTCACCTTTTTTTATTTATTCATTTTTTTCTCGGGAAAAAAATAGTACATGTTCATATCATTCATTAAACTACTACATTGACAGAAAAGGGTGTTAAAGCATTAGCTCGACTTGCCCCAGAAGCCCTTTTTTTTCCTATTTTTTTTTTCTTTTTGCGTCTCAAATGCAATCAGATGGCTTCAAAGGCACTTCGAAGACTTTTTCACGGGTGAGTAGAAGACCTCCAATGACGACAGCGATGACGGAACCTCGGCGATTGAACATGTCGAGTCCACGGGCTGTGGCTCCGCAGCAGGCCTCGGTCGCCGTCTGCGGCTCCATCACGACCCGACGCCAGACCACATCTCCTTTCTTGGCGTTGCGGACCTCTCAGAACCTGGAATGAGTATCGAAAACTTTTCGAAATCAGTGTTGAAAACGCAAATGAAGCTTATCAAGGAACGAAAAAAAGAGCCAACGCATGAAAACTTCTGGAAACGACGCTTCAAAAGATTACAGGAAAGCTTTAGAAAAGGTCCAAGAGCGGGAAAGTGAAGAAAAAAAAAAGAGAAAAGTCTTAGCACACTCTCAGAAAAATTTTTTTTTTTCAAAAAGTTATTTATCGCAAATTTATTTTTCTCATTTGCGACCCTCTGGGCAGTGGACAAAGTAATAGGAATAATTTTGTAGCATGTAACAGAAAAAAAAAACCCAGGACTAGCTTTGGGAGAATTCGCGATTTTGCCCATTTACTGAAATTTGCACCAGAGTTTCAGTTAACAAAAAATATTTAAAGCGAGAGAAGAGCGTGCTATTTACACAGAGACAAAACTTACGCAGGAAAATTCTAGAATACATCTGATGAGAAAATTTTGTAATGAATCATTATAAATGTCCGAAAACACCTAGAAGATTTTAATACTTTCAGGGTGAAGAAAAAAAGTCTGTCAGAGAAAAGTACCATGTTTATAATTTAATATAAAATGTGCACAATTTATTGATAGAGATTGTGAAGCTCTTTTTTTTATTATCTCTTAACTCGATAAACGGCGGAGAAACTATCAATTGCAGGAAAATTATATGTTGCGTGAGCTGAACTTCCTGCTGGAGCACACCAAAAAAAGTCAAAAAAAACAAAAATTTTTCTTCTTTGACTGCTTCTTCAAAGTCCGTTTCGCTTTCTATGAAACAAAACAGAGCAACATCGATTAAATTTTTAAACTTTCAAGGTTTTATGAAATTTCTTTTTACATCATTTGTCATGAAAAAAACGATACTAAAACGAAATAAAAAAATCTTCAAATGTTTGTTCGAGTCAAATAGTCAAAGTCTCGTCCCATTTTTTCCTAGTTTGATAGCAGGTATGAGTCCAAACCAGAAAAATTTCGTACGTATAACAGACCAACAATTTATGTTGTTAATTCAGAGAGAATGCGGCAAACAAAGTGGGAAGGAGAGTATTTCCGAAGAGAAAAATGTTTTCGATAGCTCCTTGAGAACATGGAACAATGGAGGACAACGGCCTTGGGAACGGCGGAAAGTAAGAGGAAAACGGATGATAATTGCAACAAGTTTTTTTTTTTGCGTTGGCCATCACGCTCGAACTGAGTTCAACGAGGCAGGTCGAGTGATACGACAAAAACGGCAGAGAAGCTCCGGCGGTAGTTGATTCAAAGAGCTCGAGAGGAGCCACGGAGCGGAGCGTACGCGTCGCGGCGCGGCTGCCTGCTCCTAGTAGTAGTAGTGGCGAGCTTTTGCCTGTGAGTGCGTGAGCGAGCGGCCGCTCAGCTTCCAACAATGCTCTCTCGCCTTCTCTTCCGCTCCGACGCCTACCTCCCGCCGCACTCACTTCTTCATATCTACTTGGGCCAGACGGTTCTCGGCTCCTCTTCAACTTTTGATTCTATGAGATCTTCGAAAAATATTCGGATCAGGGGGGTATCGGCAAAGAACCAGTCATTATCATTCACCAAGAGGCTATTTCAATAAGTTTCGAACTTGACAAAAACTGATGATTTAGCCCTTCAAGAAACAAGAAACTGAGTAAACCTAAGTAAAGTAACAAGGAAAAATTTATGAGCCCAAAATTTTTTGTAAAAAACTTTTTCATTAGACGAGACGGTTTCAAATTGAAACTAAGATTTTTTTGAATCATTCAAAAAAAAACCTTGGCATAAAGGCTTCAAGGGGTGCCCTTATTATATATTGTTTTTTTTTCTTGGTTTTCCACAAAGGCCTCTACAGAATACCCCAGAAGCATCGCAAAGCCGTAAACCATGACAATTACTGAATTTGCCCTTGTAGCTTTTCGAGTCTCTCGAGTTGGAAGTGCAACATCATCATGAAAAAAGAAAAATGTTAGCCGCCCCCTGAGGCGTTTCCATTAGGCGAGACGACAGAATCTCTACTGAAATGACTCCGCTCGTCACCCTCCCAATCAAGTGTTTTCAGTCCGTGTAAGCTCATTTATTGCTCCTCTAATCAACAACGCCTTTGGGATTTTCGAAGCGAAAGGTGTGAGGCTAGGCACAGAATCATAATTTTCTAACTAACTTGCAAATAAATGATGACAAAAACACGGGGTTTTCTTGGAACAGAGAAGCTCGAGATTAGAGTGGAATAAAACTCACAGAGAATTTTACTGAACCGCCAGAAAGCTTTCAACAGTGCTGAACAGGCGTAAAAGGCGATGAAAGCAGGTTGGCCACAAACGAATCGGAAGTATAACCATAATATGTCGACGAGTATACCTCTCAAAATGCATTGTGTGTATCCAAAAATATTTTCATCGTGAAACCTCCAATATACCTTACAGCTCTACCTGTGTCACCGGAGGTGCTTGAGAGCATACCTCAAGTCTATCGCCCATTGCTCAAATTTCGCAAAAATATACTCGGACCATCTTTCGACTTCAGACCCTTCTATACGCCTCAGATTGTACCGTACAACCTTTCCTCGATTCGTTTGTGGCAGAGGTGACTTGTTGCGCTAGCGACGCGACTTAGAGCGGGAAATAGAAAATCAAACGAGAGTTTTGAGAAGATGAGGGAAAATTCCGTGTTTAATGTTATTATTTATTCAACCGAGATTGTGATTCCACGAAAATTAAAAAATATCAACACAAAAACTACCAAAAAAATAATACTAATTTAATAAAAAAAAAGACTGCGAGAGTTTGAATTTGTTTCTTGCCAAGAGCCGCTTCGCGATCGCAACAGGTTTCCCCCGCTAACCTGATTTTCCTTTCAATTCGGGAAAAATCGAAATCCTTCTACGCCACTCTTAAAAAGACCAAAATTTTTTTAAGCTTGGGTCGTATGAAAAAAACGATGAAAAATTATTTTTTTACAAAAAAACATTTTTTTAAATAGCAAGAAAAGTTTTTTTCTTAACTTTTTGTTTATTACATAAGAGAGTTCCGTGAAAATAGGCTTGAAAGTCCTCTTGACTCATTATTCGAAAAACTTCATTCAAAAAATCTCAACTGCGCCACATTCTTGAAGAGCCTGAGAAGGTGCATGAAATTGAAATTGATAGCATTTTTTTTCCATTTTGTATGAAATTCGAAAAAATGATCCAAAGTCATGACTTTGCTATTTTTTCTTAAATATTGTTTTTTTTTTCCTTCAAACCGTTGAAATTAAATTTTTGTGAAACATTTTCATTTGCGATAAAATAAAAATCAATCGTTAAATCGACATGATTTCCAAAAATGATTGAGAAACTCTGAGAACCTGGATGCAGAGCACCCTTAAGTGATTTCTTCAAACGATTTCGAAGCGTTTCTTCTGATAACTTCGAACGTGCTTTCACGAAAAAATGGGCTTCTAAAAAGCCGTTTGATTTTATCTACGCGAAAAGTTCATTAAAGAAACGCCTAAAGGAGCCTCTTGTACGTAGTCTAACAGAGCGCGTTTACATCGCCGCGTCGCATCTTATTGAGCGTTTCACTTTTCAAAAAAATTGATCCTATTTAAAATTAACTTTAATGGGGTGTTCATCGGAAAAAAAAGACGGCTGTTCTGAAACGTAAGAAAGTTGCTTCAAAACAAAAATTAGTACTTTTTTGGAGCAACTTTGGAGCGCCCGCCGATGAACACTCTTGAGTTTTGAAACATGTTCTGTTTCTCCGTTGAAGTCGCCATACATTTTTTTTTTTTGGTATTACTATGATGTCTAGCTAGAAATTGTCGAATTAATTTATTTATAGTATAGTGATATGCGATCGTTTTTTTAGATTATATAATATAAAAAAATTTTTCCAAGTTCTTTTTTTATCCTCAACTACGTTCGAAAACTCTCATTGCGGAACATTATACTATCAATGAACGAAAGCTAACGATGCTTTCTGACCTAAAAGGCTTTTGTTTCCTTGTTGTTTGTGATAAATGGTTGTCTTTTTCATATCTTTTTTTTCATGGTGTTTGATGGACGTCATCATTTGAAGAAGTCCTATGAAATGCTAACAAGTATTATTTTTTTATTAGGTTTCTTTAGGAGCTTGCTGTTTTTTTTTTACTTTTTTTTTGTTTATAATTCGTTCTCTCCATAAAAATTCTCTATTCTGAAAATTAGTTCTTTTTCAGAGCGTATGAGTTCAGAAGAGAGCCCGGTACACGAGTTTTTCTCCGAGTTCAAGTTTCTGTTTCAAAAGGAGCGGCTGAAGACCTACAACAGATTCATTTTTGACAAAAAACCAGGAGCACGCTGTACCTCCGCCAAGGTTTTCAAGACAGCTGAATTATTTTTTTATGATTTTCCAGCTCGCCGAAGCCGGTTTCCGCTTCACGGGTAGTAAAAAAGAACCCTCCCTTGCACAATGCTGCTTTTGCGAGAAAGAGATGCATTTTGAAATAGAAGATGATCCTTGGTGAGTGGATGTTCGAACTTTCGTTTCGAAACAGTTTTTCAATTTTAAATAGGAAAAAAATAGAAAGATTATTGGTTTCAGGCAAGAACACATTGATCACACGAAAAATTGCCCCTTTGTCAAATTGAACAAACTCGATGAGAACGAATGGACGCTACAAGATGCGTTGGCTCTCGTTTCCGTAGCCTCTTCATTGTCTGCGGTTGGTTTCCAACTTCCTCGTTTCTTTTTTCTCGTTTTAAGCTACTTTCACCCTTAAAATTGGATTCTATTTTCAATTCTATCGAATATTTATCGGGCTTTTAAAAGCAGAAAGCTAAAAATGAGGATCAAATTTAGGAAAGTCAATGTAGATGTCTAGCTTTTAAATGATTTTCATTCGATCTAATTTGTTTTTATACCTGTGATGCTCAATTCTTGCAACGCTCGTTCGACGCAAAACGGTTTGTATTGAGTTTTCTGTTCTAGGCGAACGCGATGGAATATGACGGGAAAGTATTAACGGATAGCAACACGGATCTCCAAGAATTGATTCGCAAGGCAGTTCAAGGTGGAGGAAAACAGAAGACAAGGAGGGCGACGGCGAAAAAATCTTACAAGGAGGAAAATATCTCCGGAGACGAAGAAAATCAGAAGCCACGAAAAAATCGATCTCGTAAAGTCGTTTGATTCTTTTTTCAAGGGCATTGTTATGTGGATTCTTCACTTTTTCTCGTTCTCATCAACTCTGAACTCATATCTATCGGCATTTCAACCGCTCTTCTTTAAATATTTATTATAAAATTTCCGCCAATGAGAAGTTTTCTCTAGCGTTTTATTCTGTTTTTCTTTTCTATTCTCTTACTAGCGTTCAAAGCTGCTAGCACTAATTCCATTCCTGTTCATGCACTGTTTTTTGTGATCTCATCGTGTACGAACTGACTTTCTTCCTGTTTTCACTTTTCCGCGATAAAGGCATTTTTTTATTTTCTGGTGAATAGAATATATTTTGGTTGTCGAAACCTACAATTTATTTTCCCAAGTTTCATTTGCAAATCGCATTGTTTTTTTGTTTTGCAGAATCTTCCCCAGCGCCGACTATGTCTTTAAAACTAAAAGAGTGAGTTTTTGATTTGCTTTACCGGTTGACGGTATGAAAAGATGAATGGTGGATCATAACTTAAAAGGAATTTTGAGGTTGTTGCCGGCTCCAGTCGGGGGAGATGAAGCTGCAGCGCAAATCCGACGAGATCCGTGGTTCCGCGGCCGCGAGGAAGCCGTGCCATCCATGGCGTTGGTTTCAAGGGAACCTCCGCCCTACGGAAAACGCCAGAGTTTCAAGCCACGAGCTCCAGAGGTTCCAAGGGTCGTTTTCTCTAAGTTGACAGACTTTTCGTAGGATTTCGGAGATGGCGGAGCCTTCCCGGAGATCCACATGGCGCAGTTCCCTCTGGGAATGGGGCTGGGCGACAAACCAGGCGGAAAAGGACAGAACCAGATTGCCTTGCAATACGGAGCCGATGGGAAGCTGCAGCACGACGCCATCGCCAGAATCGGTCATGGTAAAGACAAGGTATCGCAGAGGTTCAAAACGACTTGCAAATTATTAACTTTTGGTCCAATTACATGTAATCATACATATTCAACTTCAGCTTCTCGTGTAATAATTCAAGTTCTCCAGTGAAAACTATCTTATTAGGAAAACCGTAAGGGAGGATATGTACTCGAGAATTCATTATCAAGTTTTTTTTTTACATGACTCTTTCTAATTAGAACGAACATCAAGTTTTTTTCTTCTTTCAAAATTTATATAACTTTTTTGTAGGTGGTCTACTCGAAATTGGCGGATATGAAGTCGAAGACGTGGAACGAAGACGACGAAGACATCCAGAGGCCCGACGAAGAAGCCGTCATCGACGAAACGGAAAAGACGCGATTGGCGCTCGAGAAGATCGTCAACTCGAAGGTGCCTTTTTCCGAGTCTTCCCGAATTTTGAGTTCGGTTCCAGGTCGAATCGGCGTTACCAGTTCGACACGCCGATAAACAGGCCCCCGCTCAGTACATCCGGTACACGCCGAGCCAACAGAGCGGCCTTGGCGCTGGAGGTTCGTCAAATCCATGTTTCCAAAGATTTTTGACGTCCCAGACCTTTTTTCATTTAATTTCTCAATTTGCAGGTTCGCAGCAAAGAATCATCCGTATGGTCGAAGAACAGAAGGATCCCATGGAACCGCCTAAATTCAAGTGAGAAAAGAGCTTTTCGCAGCGTTTTCAACGGTTCTTTTAGAATTAACCAGAAAATCCCTCGTGCGCCGCCGTCGCCGCCAGCTCCAGTCATGCACAGTCCGCCGAGAAAGGTTCATTTTCATGCGAAAAAAAAAATGAATTGACATTTAAGGTGACAGCCAAAGACCAAAACGACTGGAAGATTCCTCCCTGTATTTCAAATTGGAAAAATCCAAAAGGTTAAATTTTTTTGGTTTCTCAATTTTTTTTTCCTAAAAATATATATCCACGCGTTATTCTTATCTCAAATACGCGGTTTTTATTCTTTTGGTAATGACTCTTTGGTTTGTTGTCAAGTTTTCTGTACGAAGCTTTTTTTCAGGTTTCACGGTCGCTCTGGATAAGAGATTGGCAGCTGATGGTCGAGGTCTCCAACAGGTTTCTTTTCTGCTCCTCACAGAAACCCCAGTATCCCAGAAATATACTGAGCTCTCGAAATTTGCAGACACACATTAACGAAAACTTTGCGAAATTGGCCGACGCCTTGTATATTGCGGACAGAAAGGCTCGCGAGGCTGTCGAAGCCCGGGCACAACTCGAAAGACGCGTCGCGCAGAACAAAAAAGCCGAACAGGAAGAGAAAATGCGGCAGATGGCCGCCAAAGCCAGACAGGTCCTTTTGCGAAAAAAAATATTCTTTATTTATTTTTATATATGAAGTCGAGGCTCTTTTCTTAGAAATTTTCAAGAAGCCTTTTCTTTGAAGCCGGTGTTCAAAAATAACAAGAAGGCTCTCCGAAAAGTGTTGTATGTCTTTGCAGAGTCTTTAAAGACATCAAATATTTTAAAATCAAAATGAAACATTTCCGACGGTTTTCTGAGAGAAAGTCGATTTTTTTCTCGTTTTATTCATCCTTTCTCGGGAACCTATGAGCACTTGTAAAGCGAAACGTAATTCAGATTTTTAAATTTTTTTGTTGAATGCTTTCCGAGGTTCCATACTTTGAGCTAATTCTGAAAAAGCGCCAAAACTTTTTTTTAGTAGCCACTGAATTCTTAAAAATCGGAAACCATGATTCGATAGGCTGATTTCAAAAACAAAATAAGACCAGAAATTTGGTCTTCCTGTCCCAAAGTTGGGAGAAATTTTCGTTTAAGGAAAGAGCTGGCAATCGGAAACGAGACGAAGATGAAGACGATCAGGTCAAAGCGCGAGAGGAGATCAGGTTCACAAAAATGTCTCGAGTGGAAGTTTTTTTCGGATTCTTTCAGACGAGATCGGCTCGACGACATCCGCAAGGAACGCAACATCGCTCGATCGCGACCAGACAAACTGGATCGTCTCCGAAGGTTCCATATTTATCTTTCTTTTCTAGCAGCCTAGGTATTGACATAGAAGGGGATTCAAAGTTTGTTTTTTTGTGACTTCTGTGAAGAATTTCTCGCTTTTGTTCAACCGGAATCCTTCAGAGAGAAGGATCGCGATATCTCCGAAAAGATTGTCCTTGGGCTGCCTGATGCCAACAAGAGGACCGGAGAGCCTCAATTTGATCAACGACTCTTCGACCAGAGCAAAGTTCCTCTTTTCCGTGATCTCGTCGTTAATCTGAGCATTGCAAGGGTCTGGACAGCGGTGCGATGGATGAAGATACGTACAATCCTTACGACAAGGCCTGGCGTGGCGGAGACAACGTCCAACAGCACATCTACCGACCCAGTTCGTTTTCTCTTTTCGATCTAATCATTCTTCCCTTTTTTCTGAGACTTTACTTAGCTTCTTACCTTCTACTGGTTATATAATGTGATCGGTTTAAAAAGCGAAACTAAAAACTAATTTTTTTTGGGGACAAAACATCCCATTTTGAAAAATTTTCCTTAATAGGTGAATAGAAAGGAAAAAATTCGAATCTTCAGGGCTATTCGAATTACATATGTCATTCTCTCGAAAAAGTTACATTATTGATTTATAATCTCTTCATTCTTCCAATGATATCATGATAAATGAGTTCATTCAACTTTTCCGTAACAGTCGAGTTCAGGCAAAAACATCGACAAGGATATTTATGGCGACGATTTGGATAAGATAATGAGCCAAAAAAGATTCGTACCGGACAAAGGATTCTCGGGGGCAGAAGGCAGCAGTCGTGGCGCCGGACCTGTTCAGGTTATTTCTATTTTTCGTTTTGTTTTTTTCGGAGTTTTCCCTTCATGATCAGTTATTCTGCCCAAAAATAAGCACCAACTCTATCGAGAACTCGCAAAAACATTTTTTCAAAAATTCTGTAGCTTTTTTTAAGGCTATTTCTTCGAATTGTGTAAGCAAATAAGTGGTTAAAATGCACATTTTCGGCTTTTTAAAAATTAATTCAATGGCCTAGAAATTTGATGAAATTTTAAAAAAGTCTGGAAAAATGAGCTTAGGCAATGTCCTTTAAATATTTCAAATCATAGCTCTCTAGTTGTTTTCGTCTCAAAAAATCGTTAGAATTCCCAGTGGACGACCTTTTTTGGAATTCTCAAGTACACGAGCTCGTTGTTGTTGTCTCGAGCCGTGTATTCTACTGTGCTGCGGCGAAAAATGCGCAAAACTGATCGGAGAGCAATTTGATTGTGTTTTTCTTGGGGCGTCGCCCTTACCGAACTATTAATTTGCGTCATGCAGCGCCGTCGCCTTGTGATTTGACTTCATAAACCATCGTTCCTATTCGTATCTTCTTTCGTGGACACCCGCAATCGCACGATTCTTGTCCTTTTTTATCGCAAACATTTTGGGAATTCGCCTTTGATCTGCGAGTCTTATCGATCACAGCAGCCGCCAAATGAGCTGGAATTTGAAGTATTGCTTCCACACTGTTTAGTGAAGTTGGGAACAAGAGTTAGATAAGAATTTTTGAAAAAATTTTTCTGAGAGTCTGCGATTCTGAAGTCCTTAAGAAAAGAAAAACATATTAAAATAGATTTTCCTATTTTCGTGCAAGGAAATAGTTAGACAACAGTGAACTACATGAATATTGAACTTAAGATCAAAAAATGGAAGGGCAGATGTTTTAGCTTTTTTTTCAAACAAACAACTTGTTTTACTTTTTCTTGTTTCTTGCTGGCTCACTAACTTTGAAATTTATCAAATCTTTTTTAAGTTTTGCTAATTAAGAAACATTTTTTCAATGTCGTTCTCGACACGATTGTAAGTTAAAAAAACGTGCGCTTCTATTTGATGAATTTGATAACGTATCATGCATTCGCGTCGAGGACTTCGACCCGGAGAGTCAATGACGAAATTTGAAAAGTTTGTTTGTAGTTCGAGAAGGACCAGGACGTCTTCGGACTGTCGGATCTGTTCCAACAGACAAAGGAGAAGAAACGAGGCGCAGACGGCGACGAAAGAGCTGGCGATTCCAAGCGATCCAAGCACCGAGACTGAGTTTTTTTTTTCATTTCATTTTTTTCTTTTTTTCGTTTGTTCTCAGACTTTTGGTCGCTTACATCCATTTCTAACTGTTGTCTCAGCATTCCTCAGAAGTAATTTTTTTTAAAGAAATGAGATGATTTTTTTCTTTTAATAATTGAAAATAGTTACACAATTTGTTGTTTTGTTGTACGTTTCGCTGAAAAGAAAACTGTTTATGCGGAATAAATAAATATTACAGAACTAATAGACCAGAGGATTAAGATCATTCAAATTATGACAATTTTCGTGTGGGGAATTTACATTAAAGGGAGAGCTTGACGCATCCGGAAAGGAGTTCGCCGATCAAGACATCGCGTTGGCAAACGGCCAGCTGCGAGCTCTTCAGCTCGGATTTCAGCTGCTTCACTTGGTTCCGAAGCTCTTCCAGCTCCTGCACAAGCATTGGAACGTTGTCGACCTTCCGCCTCATCTGAGCTCTGCAACGTTTTCTATCGTCTCACTGGGACTACTTTTTCTGATATTTACCGGTACTTGCGGGCGTACATCCGGCGGTGTCGCTTCTTCTGGCTCTGCGGGTCGTCGTTGTCTTCGATGTCTTGTTGCGGTCGTCCACGACGGATCTTGGCACTTTCTGTTGAAGAACATCGCTGAAAACATGCATTTTGTTCCTGGGCTGCCTTGAAAAGAACTAACCGAACTGCAGGTATCGACTGATGGAGAAGCAGGCCTTTCTTCGTTCGATTTCGGATTTAACTCAGTGGTCGTTTGTGGACCAACTGCTGAGAGAACCGGCTGGCAGAGAAAACTGTAGAAATCGGCGGTGCTGGTTCCTGGAACCCGTTCTTTCATGAGGTGAGTCTTCTGGTGCATCTGGAGCTTACCTGGCATTCCAGGGAACGAGAAAGTAGTCGGCATGTGGAAAGGGTACACTGGCTGAGGGCGCGGCAGCTCGGCCATTGTTTCGGAAGAAGAAATGGCTGATAACCTCGTGGCTCCGTTTTATACTCTTGCCGGCGTTATCTTTTTTCGGCTCACCATTGCGTTTTTGTGCGTAATCATTTCCGCACCCACGTCTTGTGAGTCAATTTCGATTAGAAAACTGTGGCCTGAATATTTTTGCGCTCGAGCTGCTGGAAGGACTGTGGTCCACTGAAGACGATGTTGGAAATAAACACGAATCTGCAACAATTAGAGATAGCGGTGATATTAACAGAGTCGAAATAATATTTTTTGCTCCGTTAAAAAATCTCAAATACGCGCATTTCGATCGATTATTTTTTTCTTCTTATCAAATTCTTCTTCTGCATAAATGTTTTTGGTAGTGAATGAATGAAAATTGAAAGGTTATATCATCTTTTTTTATATTTGACAGTATGATTTTTAAAGAGGTTTGAAAATCGCGATTCACTTGTTCGCACGTTTTTATTTTCTCAACCTTTCCGAACGTCTTGAAGAATTTTTGAAAAGTGCGTAGAGGATCTTGGAATTAATTACAGAACTCGTTTCTCAGCTGAGCGTTAGAGAACCAAATCTTGCAAAACTTTTAATGTTTGCTTGAAAGCCTTTTATCATCCTTAAAATGTTCATGAGCTTCGAAAAAAATTTCAGGAAATACTATATATATTTTTTAAAATTTCCTTTTAGATTTTTAGCCTCAATTTGCTATATTGTTGTGTTTAATCATTTGGAAAACAGATAAACTTTCGAGATTCTTCAGTTTTTCTTCACGATGAAGCTGCCAACTCGTTGACCCTCTCGATGGTATTTGCTTGGCCGTGTCCAGCGGGATTACGCGCGAAAAAGGACGTGCCAAGAGGCAAAAGCATCGAATTACGTCCCCAGAATCTCGACAAACACTTTTGCTCCGTTGATAAAACAACAACACACAAATGGCAAGGTACGGTAGCAGTTGGCTGGCACAAAGTATTCGCGGAAACACTTTAGTGGTCAAAATCCGACAAAAGTTATTTTTTGGTAAAAGAGTATTGTTTTTTAAGCCTGAGAGAAGTTTCGTTAAATTCCCAAATGTTTTGTAATTTTGGAAGGAGCAGAAATCGAACTTCCCTAGAATAGTGGAAACGACGTTTCACCTTGAGATCTTAGTGAAAATTTTCTTAGTTTCTTTTTAAAAAACTTTTGAAAAGACTATAGTCCTGAATAGTCATAAAAGTTGTTGCAGGAAGGTTTTCTGTAAACTGCGCCAAACACTTGGTCTTATCTCCGGAAATGACGATTTTGGCGCCTTGATGTCAGTTTTCGAGCAGATCAGCGTGTAACTGTTCTATAGTTCTTTCACAGGTAGCTCTTGAATTCTCAAAAGTGAGCTCTAGCGAACCAGAACTGTCTATAAGGATATCAGATGTGGAGTTAAGAAATGTATTTATTTTCGTATCTTACAGGGAAAAAGAACACAAAGACTTTTTTGGAATTCGTGCTCTGCATCACAAAACAAAGCATGATAAAAACTTCATCTTACGAAATCATTTCGAAACGTTTCAAATGACTGACACTCTGCAAATAACTAGTGAAACCGCCTAGTTTTAAAGACGATTGGGGATCGATCATGATCGCCTGAAACTCCGAAAATTTTTCTTTAATTTGAGAATGCGAAGCAGTATCCAGCTTAGAGGCAAAGGCCTTAAGCTCGAACCAACACAACGTACAATGTTCCTCAGAAGTTTTCTTTGACGGAAAATCTGCTTTACTTGAGATCCAGATGAAGTTGAGGACTACGAAGTTTCCCCAAGAACCTGGATTTTCACGCCTCGTCGTCAAGAGCGAGCAATATGTCGTGCGCCGTGCACTCGGGCAATCTGCCAGCGGTTCCCAACAATTACCAGAGGGTCACTCGAGTCTCTTCAACTACAATGCCTTGCCGATGAAGTGTCTCTGCACAGAAGCCCCTTTTTTCTCGACACAAAACATCTTCGAGGTGGTCGACGACGTCTTGAATGTGGTCAAAAAGTGTTTTTTGAGTACAGGATAGTTAGGGAAAATGATGAGAACTGCTCAAAAAGCGGGTCATTTTACCTTCGAAAAAAGTTAAAGTCTTGGAAAGACAATAAAAACAACATTAGTTTAATGAATGGATATACTCGAAGTTGCTGCGAAACTTCAATTTTCCCGATTTTTTCCTTTGAACGAAAAAGTCAAAGATTTTTTGATACTGTAGAATCCGTTTAAGATTGAGTTCTCGGTAACTACAAATGGTTTTTAAGAAAGTTTCATTTCCGCATGAATTGTGTCCGCGTTTGTATTTAGAAACTTTGTCCCAGAAATGTATACACTATACTTTTCTATTTCAAAAATGTGGCTGTTCCAGTTTCGTAAATATCTTGAGATTTTTCCTTAGAGCTTGTTGAGAATTTACTGTCCATCGATCGCCGTATAACTAAAGGAATAAAAAAATTAATTTATTTTATGCTGTAGATATATTGTTTCTATCGTTTGGCAGCGGCTTAGACGCCCTATCCAGAGTCAGTATTTCACATTATTTTTTTATTTCAAGTTTTACTTCAATTTCTTGGAGTTATCAATGCCGTCGATCGGTCCGATGATCTGACAAACACTTCCGATTATCTATTGCTGACTTTTTTGGAGCTATCTAAAAGTTCTTCGATGAGTAATTCATTTTCCCCTTATGATAAGGACCTTATCATTATAATACGGTTTGGACTCTTTGATATCAAAAGGAACCGCTTGCAAGGGCAACGAAATGAATATGTTAGAAGTTTTGGGAAAATATATAGAATACTTGAAATTGATCTGAGTAAATTGAAAAAATGGTATTTAAACGTTTTTTTTCTCGATAGTGTGGAAATTTTTATTATTATTAAAAAGCGAGTTAGAAAAAGCTTGTAAAGACTTCTCGATAAGCTCGAAAAATTTTTTTCGGATATTTCAGCTTCGGGGGTACTCGATCTGCGGAAGATTTTTCCAAGAAGCTTCGAGAGTCTTCTTTTTCAGCTATTCATAGTCCATCAGCCGCTCGAGACCACAAAAAAACTTCTGTCTACTGAATTTTTCAAAAGTTATATGATTGGAATTCTTGAAGTTTCACGTAAAGTTAGGCTCATTTTTTTCATTTATGTTTAATAAAATAATTGTTTTGATTCAAAAAAAAACTTTTTTATCTTCAAATTTCTATCGAAAATGGAGTAAGTGTGATCATTTCACCAAAAATTCTCTTTGGAGCATCCAAATGCCTAATTTTTCTACAGTTTTTCATACGTTTCCAGATTCGTCAAGGTGTTGCGGCGATGTGACGGATGATGGAGCCAAATATTAGTATTTTATAGAAAGAGATCCGTCTGTGAACGGTACTTATCCTGTGAATCTGTTTGTCTGGTCTCCTCCAATTGCAGCATTGCCAACGTTTTTCTCGCTAGTTTTTTATTTATCGAAAAAAAATTGATCATATTTCCTTCGTTTTTTTTCGTGAGAAAGAACATTTTTCAAGAGCTTAAAAAAAATTTTGTTGTGTCACTGATTTCTGAGCGGGATCTATCAAACTTGTGGTTTCAGTTTGACATCGCTTTTAATCCCGATTAAATTCCTGTCTTGCCATCTCATCTTTAGTTTTTCACGCTGCCGTTACTTTTCAGGGCTGAGCAGCTGATAGCGCCTCCGAACATATTTGGAACGGAGAAGACGGTATCTTCGAAAAAAATCGTTCAGCACTTCAGGAGGTTGCGCAACGGCGGAAGGCAGAGACAGGTGCATTCGGGCGGTGCGTCGAAAGTCGTTCTGAGTGTTTTTCTGAAATCCGTCAGATGGCCTCAAGTGGCTCGTCTACTGTATCCAAAAAAGACTACGGTGGCGTGTCGCTATGAATGCCTTTTTGATGTAGTGACCAGTCGAGTGGAGCACTCGATCATTCAGTCATCTATTCTTCCATCATCACGTCGACGTGTTTGCGAACTTTCCGCGAACACCTCGAGCACCGTAACCCCAAATTGGACTTCCTCGTCGTTTTTGCGTCGCGCGTGTGAACCTTTTGGTGGGGCCGACCATGCTTCGCTGAAAGTCAACATTTGTTCGCTCTTGCTCCCATAAATCCTCCTTGGCGCCACGATTCACGGTTTAATGCGAGCTTGAGTGGTTTTGATAGAATCGCAATGGGTTTTGGCCAAAATAAAAACAAGAATACTAAAAAACTTGGATTTATCTGGTATATGTTTCATCTTTTGGGGTGATTAAATAGAAAAAATTGAGTTTTTTGAAAACATACTGATGAAATAGAACAATTAAACGAATTTTGGAAAAGCTTAGAAATGCTGAGAATTAATAATTCCAATTTTCTTTTCTAGTTTTAGAGCTCTACTGGACTACATTTGAGTTCGCGCACTTCTCAAACTCGCGGAAAAGTTTGATTTTTTCAGAAAAATATGTTATCTTATGAGCAAGTAAAAAATAATAATAAAAAAAAAGTGAGGTAAATATTTTTTAAATTACATAACCTTCTATTTCTTAGTCACTCTGGCCAACTAAAATGATTTTTCGCGCAATTTTGTTGAAAAATTTCAAAGATGAGTAGATTTTCGAGTAAAGTAGAACTGGCAGCAAGTCAATGTGAATTTAAGAGAGAGCGTGTTCTAACTCATCAATTTGTTTGGGACAAGCTTGCCTAAAACCTCTGATACACTTTTTGTGGTCTCCCCAGTGAAAAAAAAAACTTTGTACGCAGACGACCCCAATTATAACGATGGCGCATTACCGGAGTCAGTGAGAAAAAGTCGCCGACATCGGATGAAAGGAAGGATTTGTGTACAGCCCTCACCTGCCCAGACTTCCGAACGAGCCAGAGGCTCACGCTTTTGTCCCAAGTCGCATCCGACCGGATCAAGGCGCTAATGCAATTTGGCTTTGTTTCTTTTTCCTTGTCGGAAAAGTGTTAGATCCGCCGACTTCTTCGCTTACAGTAAGGATCAGAAATAACGAAAGTCAATGAACATTGACACAAAAGAAAAACAAAGCTCTTAAATAACTCTCGATAACTGTAAGTGTTTAACTTATTGTAATTTTTCGAATTGCGTCACCTGAGTTGAAAACTCAAAAGCGAATTATCCTTGAGGTCCTTTTTCATAACCTTCAGGCTTTTTGGATCGAAGATGGAAGTACAAAATATATTTAAAAAATCTGTGTTGATGTCGGTCGATCGGAAAACCTTCATATCTCCATAAGTGAAGGTTTTTATAACCATAATTCATTTGATAAGTCATAAAATTATATTCATGAAGTTTTTTTGAAAAAAAAAATTATCCTGGCGTTTTTTTTTTTACATAAGTTGTCGAATTTCTCCCCGAAAACGTTTTCTGAGTTTTCAGAGAAGTGTACACACAGGGTCAATTTTATACATTCAAAATCAATTCTTATCGTTTTTTTATCGATCGAATCTTGAAAACTCGTAAACAGTGGTGTAAACACCACCACAGAACCTCTTTTAAAATAAAACTGAAAATAGAAATCTCTAGAGAAACCTAAAAAGATGATTAGAATCCCCTATAACCATAAATACGACCAAAAAGTGGTGGTGATCTGAAAGTGCGGCAAAAGGAAGGTTTGTTGACCAAAGGGATAAGACTACAAGCGGTCGCGAGATACCCATCAAAGCACAGATCGACGATTTCCGCTGCCGACCGAAAAAAAAACAGCGGAGCTTCTTTTCAAGGTGGTTCCCAGTCGATTAGGATAACATACACAGGCCGATAGTTTGCAAAAGAAGGTCAAAAACTTATGCTGTGTCTCGAAAAGAAAGAAAAAGTTATTTTACTTCGAAGTTAATATAATTCGAAAGTTGAACTGCTTCAAAGATGAGAGATATTAAAGTACGGTCGATAACGAAAAATATATCCACGTCCTTCGTCGGAAAATTAATTTTTTTCAAATACTTCAAAATAACCAATTTTTCAAATTGCAATTCAATAAAATCACAACTAATTTTATATAAAATGAGATTTTTTTCCTCAAACTATAACGTTTTTCTTATTTTTTTGGAATCAAAGCATTTCTAACCTATTCTGTAAAAAAAAGTCCCATTTTTTTCGGCTCAATCTCAGCTAATAATCCAAACATTTGCAATAAACGTCATCTGTTTTTGGTAACATATTGAAGGCGAGGTGCCAACCATAGGGTAGGGGATCTGAAGATCGATGTATCATCGTGACAGACTAACGACTGACACCTTATTAGTCGAGCGTTTTGAGCCCAAGCAGTGCTCGGGCAGCCGTATGACGCAGAATGCGTGCGCTGTGGGAGGTAGACACCTTCAGAATGTAGAGACTTCTTCAAGTGAGTGCGAAGAACCGTCGCCCATTCCAACACAGGTGTCTCTAGTGTCTCCATCCGCCAACAACAGTTCTGAAGGAGGTTATTGATGGTCATCGGAGCAACCCGAAGAGGATTCCAGTCAAAAGTTGACTCGCAAAAGTATAATCTTTTTGTTTTGCAACATGTCCGCCTCGTGTCTTTTTCAAAGATACACTTTTTTCCAAAGCTTGTGAATGTCCCAAAAAATGTCTCAAAAGTCGAGCCCTGAAACCGAAACCAAGCGAAAAAAATTGAGTAAATGCGTTTCAACCAGAAATGGACGACTGCCTGGTGTGGGAAAGCGCAAGTCCGAAGTCTAAGCTGATCCTATTACCTCCGACGCCTACGGTACCCAAACACTTGACGTGCAAACGAGCCGTTTCCTGAAAGAGATACTCTGCCAAACCATGACGCAACGTCCCCTTCTGGACGACGTACCGGTGAGTCGGTATGATTCCCTGAGAATGTTTGTTCTAGACTCTGAGCGCTTCCTCTAAGAGGCCTAGCGCATAAAACAACAGAGTCAATTAACCCTGGCCGTCCTTTTAGCCTTTGAAGGCAGCCGCCGACACCGTATGTCTGCGCAACACTTTTCTGCCGTCCGTCCTCGTTTCCGCTGAACTCCGGAAGAGCGGCGAGTTTTTCCTGAAGACTTGGTCGGTCATCGATTGCGTAACCCACTACTTTTGTTTTTAATGAGGTGGTATTCCGATTCCAAACAAATTTGAAAAGAGTTTGAACGTCTAAAGTAGAAAAAGTAGAGGTTCAAACTTCCTTGCAGTATTATTCGTTTCCGCCGAAGATAAAAAGTAAGAAACCTGCCAAAATATTATACTTTATAATGGGATTTATGAAAAAGATGCTCAACTTTCAATGATAATGAGAGCTATTTCGCCACCCTTCTTCTATGAGAAACGAAAGAGCCGACGCAATTTCAGGATCAGGAAAAGTCGGAGTTGGGGAAGCCGGATGAGCCGGTTGCGCAACGCCGCGACGCCTTCTCATTTCGGATCGAGCAACACCTCATTAATCCTATTAGGCCGTTAGTTGGGCAGGTCTCTCTTTTTATCTCCGGCCAGCTACGAACAAGACGAGAACAATGGCGGCGGCTGAATGAATGGCGTGAAGTGACGTTTTGCTCGCTCCAAACATCACTTAAGGACTACGGTAGCCGTCGAGAGTTTGAAGATTCGCACAGAAAATGAAGTTTTTCATCTGGGAGGAATCATTTATTACGGAGAGTTTATATTTTTGAAAAAAGCAGCTTCTGTTTTAAAAGATCGTTATGACTACGTTTTTTAATCTGATGAAAATTGGTAATCTTCCAAAGATTCTAAATGAGCTTCTTAAAGGAGGTAATTTTAATTGATGCTTTGGAATTTTCTGAAAAATTTCTCGATGACTTTGTCATGCGCTAGATAGAAATTGTAAACCTGTGGAACTACTTTTTATATTTTTCAAATCTCAAAAATGAAGTTCGATGTGAAACTCCCTTTTTTTCGGCAAAATAGGAAGATTTCCAGTATTTTTCATTCAGTAAATCGATCTTTCTGTCGATCACTTTCAGAAACTACGAATCAAAATGAATATCAGAAGTTTCAAAATAAATCAATTTGATCAGAAACTCAACAATTTCTCTTGCCAATGACTTCATAATTTGAAAATTTTTTATTTCTGATGAACGAAAAAAAAACGCCACAGACATTCTGTAGGCAGGAGACCAGCTTTGAAAGCAATAATACATATAAACGGGAAATAAACTCTTTCTCTCTCGTACACACTCACAAACAATATACAAAACTCGAGCTTGAGCACTGTCGCAGTTTGGAAATATGGCAAAATAGCGATATACAAAAAACTTCGAAAAGATCAAACTCAATAAATAAAACAACGGGATAAATGGTGCTCAGAGTCGGAAGTTGGTTGTGAAACACTGAGGCGGAGGATAGGCGGCTGGATTGGAGTAGAAGGCGAATCCTTGCGGCATGTAGGTGTTTGACTGGTATACGGCCTGAAATTTGTTCATTTTCGCTTGATTTTCTAATTTTTTTTCGGATTTAGGTTAAGTCTAACGGTGAAAAATGCTCGACGACATCTGCTCCCACTCTTGGAACACACTCGGTAATTGGATGCAGCTCAAGTGTTTGCCGCGATAATCCAATATAGCCACGCAATGCAATAAGCGAGGAACCGTTTCGAAAAGCGACTGGCCGCCGCCAAATTCAAAAATGAACGGCCGGATATTTAAAAGTCAGAGCTCCAAACTCAGATCTTAATTGAAGTTTTCAAGGATCACTTAATGAATTTTTTTCCTTTTCTTGACATTTTTTCTCTAAAAAAATGAGCAAAATACCTTAACTTCTTCTAGTTCCTTTTTTTCTCAACATTTTCTGAACAGGCCTTTCTTGAGTTTCAAAAAAAAAGCCGTGTGCCATGAGATCTTTTTGAAATAAGCTCTTGTTTCTATAAAAATCCAGGAAAAAGATCCTGCAATTCAAAACGCAAGAAAGTACCGCCAAATTCGCCGAAAGAATTCGAAAAAAACTATTCGAATGAAATATTGAAACCATCCCCTATCAAGTCCCCTGTTAATAGCAGAAAAGCCAACCTGGTGATAGAGGGCTTGGTTGCTGAGGTCCGGTAAGCAGGAAGGCTCGCTGACCACGGGCGAAGGGAAAACAGTTCCTTTCTCGTCGATCTCGGTTTTGATCCTGGGAATAGCAACAATCATCAACTGTTCGGAGCTGTGAAGAACGAACGGTGGACTGTCGTTTCCGCTCCGAGTGCTGTTGGGAGAGTTGCTGCCGTCGCGGGTACTGTGACGACTTCCATTACCGTCCATCCGTCGCTCTTTCTCTTGCCGCTTGTGCTTGTACCGCTGGTTTTGGAACCAGATTTTCACCTAAATCCAAGATTTTATTAGGACTTTCCCATCAATAAGCAGAAAAAAACTTCCGAAAACTTTAGAGAGGAGCAGAAAAAAAAACCTCTTGAAGCTTAATATGATCTCAATTGATGTAATGCTAACAAGGAAGATCATTTTAGTCTGCGGTTAGTATTTTTTTGAAAATTGGTCAGAGAGCCCCATGATATACCAAAAGGAGATCCGTTAAATTAGGCTGTTTCGAAGCTTTAAGCTCTAATTTTTTTTCGAAAACTGAGACTTTCAGGATTTTCTGGCTTCTTCTTTTTTTTTGCTAAATTATTCTTGCGTTGTGTAATTTCTATTTGCTTCTTAAATGGTGCATTTTCTCATTGAGAAAAAATTTCGATAAGGAGAAGGTTAAACACTTGTTTTTCCAGCACTTGAACATTGTTTCCGGAGAAAAATCCCCAGCTACAATTAATTTTGGTGTCCGATCGCGGCTGCCAAAAAACGGGCGCCGCTTTGCCAGCTACAGTAAGTGGCTGCAATTGGCGTCAGCGCAGAACACAAAAGAAAAGTGCAAGAAGAGCTTGTTACGTGCGCGACGAAATGAACCAGACTGCCGCGATTGGCTGTCCTTTTGTGGGCAGAAGCTGCAGATGAAGCCGAGGATCTCACCTGGGTCGGAGTGAGGTTGATGGCGCGAGCGAGGTTCTCACGATCCTGTGCACTGAGGTACTTGTTGGCTCGAAATCTGCGCTCCAACTCGACCACCTGGGAAGGACTCAGAGCTGATAAGTTGGCAGGAGAATGGCGAACCTGCTGTTGAGAGAAAAGGACTCTTCGTTTCCGTCGCGACATGTTCATTATGTTGGAAGTGGTGGTCAGGTTCAGACTCAGTTGATTTGTCGTCCCGAACCGGTTGACTGAAAAATTACAAACATTATTAATTTTTAACTTTTTTATCTTTAAACCTGAAAAATGAACAAACTATTGAATTTTTTCCTCAAAAGAGGTAACAAGTAATAAAAGCTGTGCCATACGATTTCGAAGTTAACAAAGTTTGATGCACTGATTTATGTTTTTCACCTGAAATTTTTATCCAAGCTTTTCATTTCAAAAAAAAATCTGCACTTCTTTCTGAGAGAGATTTAGTAAAGAGAAGTTTGTTGAGAGGCTGGAAGTTCAATAGCTTTGAAGGTACAAAAAAAATGTCTGAGAATCAGCGCTCGACCTGAACTTTTCCCGAAGTTGTACCACCCAGTGAACGGAAGTCAGAACTCAAAAGGATCATTGGAGGTAGCAAGTGGCCAATTTCCGTCGACAAACTCTTCATCTCAAGCGTTTTCAATCGGTTTTTTGTGGACACACGTGCTGTTTGTTGAGGCAAAACACTGTACAAACATGTGTAAATAGGCGTTACCGTTGGCATCCCGCTGCCAGAGACGATCGTGTGGCCCCAAAAACGGACAGTGATGTGCCTAAGTGGCAAATATGTACTGAGTGAAGCAGTTCATGCCACCAAAACCGATATTCCTCATTCAGAGAAGAAATTAGTGAGACGCCACCAAGTTTTTTTTGTCGTTGTTTTGCTTTTTTTTCTCGAACAATGGACCCTAAGGTAAATAGGATATCAAGTTCAACGGATAGGATTGCGCGGGAGTTTGACGCAACATGTTTTCTGTGGTCAGCAGCTCATTTGGGTATGAACTGCGGCCACAAGTGCACCACACCGGTGCGTCATCTGTTGCGCAAGTCTTCTCACACACCAAGATTATTCCACTTGTCCAGCTACCGATCTGCGAGCGCTTGGGACCTGCGCTCGGACTTGCCTACCGAAAAACCGAAAATTGCAGAAGTGAAGGACAAAAAGTTATTTATAGTTTGGATTGGCAAAGCGTCTTATATCCCTCGGATTTAGAATACAAAGAGTCCAGAGTTCTTAAAAACTTCACAGAAAGTTTTTTTAACTTATTATCCAACCTGGTTGAGTTTAATAGATTGAAGTTTGCTCACCAAATTCAAAAAAATGCTATTTTTTTAAAAATCAAATTAGCTAGTTTACTTGCTATTTATCCTTCATCTTACTTGAAAAAAACTTGTGAAACGGTTTAAAAAAAGCTCTCAAACTACGTTCGTTGAGATTTCCTCTAACTCCTATAATTTTAAACTTTAGAGACCTTCTTTACTCGAAATAATCTCACACAAAGACTCAAAGAAAGCGCAAAAAACAATCACAAGGTTGTTGGAACGGTTCGAGTAACCTTGTCCCCTCAAATTCTTCATTTTCAACCAAACAATCTACCGTATATTTTGCCACCGTCGCACCTCAATCGTCCGCTTTCTCGTATGAAAAAAAACGAATCGATTGAAAAGCGTGTGAATTGCAAACTCGTCTGTTCTCTGTATTTGTGCAATCGGCGCCGATCTTCCTATGGCCAAAAAGCGTGGGAGATTACGGTATAGAGGCGCTCCTATCACATAAGAAAACAGGAAAAAACGAGTTTTCAGGTAGGTGTGCAAAGAGGAAGAGTTACGGTAACATTTGCCAATCTTAAGTTATCACATTCAGATCGGGAAGTCTTTCCAAATAAGAAAATGAAAATGAAAAGCAGATGTTTTACTTGATAGAGCTGATTTTTTTATAAAGAAAAAAATTGTCCAAGAGGAAATAGTAATAAGAAAACAAAGAACTTCCCATGAGAGTCCAGCCATGAGCATTTCGTTTGTCGATATTTTTTTTGAGAAATATCAAAATAAAAATTTGAATAGACCAGACGCCATATCCATGAAAGTTTTCGTAGTGTACTTTGTAAAGCTTCATTCTCACAGCCTCTGATTACGAAGAAAGGTCTCGGATTATCATTAGAGCTATTGGCCGGAATTAAGGTGAAAGATAACGTGTCAAATTCAAAACAGGCGGTTCAAACCAAATTCCAGTAAGCCTGTTCGGAGGCGAGGAAAATGGAAAGTGTAATTTGTACGAGGTTCCAGTCAGCCGACTACAAAAATTCGCGACGCGCCTAATTACTCTCGCGCGCTACAATTATTTTCTTTTATGCGGCGAGTTATGCTAACGTAGATCTTTCCTTTGGATTTCGAGACTCAGAAAAAAAAGAAGGCTCACTGGAAAACTGCGGATGTTGTGGGTAGATGTAGCCGGTTGTCGGGTGCGTCGAAACGTAACTGAAATCGGGAATTCTTTATAAAAAATGGTCATCATATACTCTATAAGGAAAGTTTCGATTTAAATATATTTTAGAGATGAAGAGGCACCCGCGCCATGAGAAACCGTCATTATTTCGAATTTCATTCCTGTCATTTTCTATAATACTTTCAAAACTTCAGAAGAATCACCTATTTGAAGCTTTGCTCGACATTTCTTGAGAGACTGTTCGAAAAAATTATTTTAAAATAGGGAAACTTATCAACGGACGTCTTTGCTGGAATCTCTTCGAGGTTTCGACTTTGTTTAAAGAGTAGAAAACGTAGAATAGGGATTTGAATATTTGAAAATTCTTCTCTACAAAAAAAGCAGTAAGCAAAAATTTTCGACTTGGAATACATAAAAAATGAACCTCTGCAAAATATCAAATAAATCCAAAAACTCCTCTCAATTGATCTCTTTTATAAATATTTTTTTGAAAAAAAGGTCATCTTGTACATAAATTCCAGAGAACACAAAAATAAGAATAAGAAATAAAAAAATATAAAATAAATGTTAGTAATTTTCACAGATGTTAAAGAACCCTGTACATTATTTTTTTTCACCAAGGTGGCCAGTGAAAAGAGAAAAGAGAATTAGATTTGATACATCCAGTTAAGAAAGAGAAAATATGAAAATTGTTAAAATTTAGGTAAGAGAAAGTGGTAACCTCGTGAAATCGGTAGGGTACTGAGTCTGGAACGAGCCGAAGTACTGCATCTGAGTGGCTGTGCTGGGCTGAGCGGCCAAGGCGATGCTGCCGAACTGTTCGGGGCAGTTCTCCGTCGAATTGACGGCGCTCGCGTTCGTCGACGCCATGCTCCTGCGTCGTCATAAATTAAATATGCAAAGGTAAAAACGGCTTGGTTTTTGTGTAGTTTGTTCCACACGCCGTAAATGGTGCGGTCAGAAGTCGTAAACGAGAAAGTGATGCGCTAAAAAGTGAAGAAACATGTTTTTTTCAACCTTTCATTAGCCAAAAGGTTGAAGCTGCATAAATAGATAAAGAGAAAGGACATGTTTTCTTAGAGATCTTAATAATGTGTCGAGAAGCAGTTTGAAAGGTAAGTAAACGAACTTTTTGGAATGCTTGAAATTCAAACACCTCATATTCTAGATGAACGTTGAAAGAAAAACATGAAAAAATTGATTTGAATCAGTTAATCCAAATTGGACTCATAATCGTACGGCTTTAGAAGTAATGAGCAGATTCGAAAATAATCGAAAGGTTCGAGGCTACTTGATGAAAGATAGAAAAAAAAAATGAAAAGTTGGCACCTGACTGGAGTGGGAGCGAACGCGAGGCGAGAGCATGGGCGAACTGATAACTGGCAAAGACCTTCCGTCTTCCCGCAGAAGGACCCACTTGCCAAGCGCTCCAACTCCAGCCAAAAGGGCACTTCAACATAACCGTAGAATCTCTTAGGGCTCATTTGCTTCTTATATGAGTGCCAGTTGAGATGGCGAAGCGGCTCCGCCCATCGTCGCTTCAATTGGCCGGCCACCGCCGCTGTGGGCGGAGTCGAGGCCGCGTCGCCGGAGATGGTACTTGAGCAACTCGCACAGATCGAGAAAAGGAAACCATTCCCCATCTGTGAATCAACAATTTAGGTGATGAGCACTTTGGACCGCGATTTTTTCTAATCCCACAAAGATATTTTCGAAAAACTTTCTGGATTCGACCTGGTTAGAGCACGTTTCCAAAGACCGCCTTCTCTCGGGTCTTGCCCAGACTTCATATTTAAAAAAATTCGTATACTCATTTCGGTATCAGAGAAGGTGTAAGAAAAAAACTCATAAAGTCGTCAAGAGCAGCTCTTGACGCAGATAATTTTTTTACTTTCCTTAAAAGTATTAAAAAACCCCCTCTTTAAAGATAATCAGCAAAAAAAATATATTAAGTTTTTTTTAAAAAATAAAACAACTCGAAAGGTGAAAGATTGTAGTCATTAGACAGCAGCGAAAAAAGTTTTAAGAGCAAACAAAAAACAAAATTTTAAAACTTTCATTATTTTTTATGAACGTAATCGTGAATTTCACTGTGAACTCTTTTTCTGAAAAACTGGACCGGTTTTTTTCAATCAATTTTCAAAGCATAGAAGAACTGAGAACTTTTCCTGTCGAAAAATGTTTTTTTTTATCGCTGGCTTGGTTTTTGATAACAAAACTAGAAAGGAGAATAATTGAAACTTGAACCTTGAACCATGCAAAGAGATAGGGTTCCCCTTTTTGCGAGATTTGGGCGTTTAGGGTTCGCCTCGGCATCCGAAGTGATAGCCGTGTCTTCAGAAATGAGGTCAGCCGGAGATTTCAACTTCTTCTTCGGATCTTTCCATTCAAAATGGCTTCTTGCGTCTCGCTCTGCTTCATCCTTTTATCGATTATCAGCACAGGTTAGCTGTTTTCTGTTGCTCGAATAAAAAATCATTTGGTTAGAGTGAAAGTCTCACAAACTCGTTGATACCAACTTGACTTTCTCCTAAGCGAACCTAATTATGTCCTCGTCAGCACAGGTGACTGTAACAAATGATTCACGAAGCCAATTAGTATACCTGAAAGTGAAAAAAACTTTTTTTTTTAACAAAAAAATCTTACGTGAAAAATTTTCCAAACTGGTGAGCTCGGCATGGACATGAGGTCTTTCCAAATTGGAGAAGTTGGTGAACCTTTCAGGTCCCGAAATTCTTTTGACATTTTTTTAAATCCAATTGTCCATGCTTTCTGAGATAGATTTTCATCTCTGCTTATCGATTTTTCCATTTTCAAACTTCATACTGCGTTGTTAGAACTCTGCGTTTTTTTAATACTGTTTTCGGGAGTGATCGGAAAAACTTTTTTTTTGATCATTTCTGATTTAGATATCTCTCGAAGAGAAAATAGTTTTCTCTGATATAGAAAAGAATTTAAGTGACGGCCGACGTGATGCAGATGGTGGACAACGACTGGATGGACAAGTTCGTGCCACGCTCTTACAAGAGGAACAACGAAGACGCCGAGGACGTCGGAAAAGAAAACAACTTCGGCTACAGCGAGCAGGGAATGAAGGACCTGGACGAGGTGATTCTTGGCATCCTTCGATTCGGTTTGAGTGCAGGTTAAGCTGCATCGAGCAGCGACGGTTCACATCTAAAGAGTGACACTAATCGCCCTCAAGTCGGTCGATTGAATTGCAGGTGGGCGGCTTGGTCGGAGGTGGTGACTCCGAACTGCTCGGCATTCTCCGTCCCTATTACTCCATGGTCGAAATGTCGGCCAACGGAAACAAGCAGGTCGGTAGCCTTAATGATACGCTCTGAACCTTAAAGATTTCCGAAAAAACACTCAAAAGGGAGGTCAATCTATTCAAAACTTTGGCATTATATCAAAGCTGATCAAAAATATTTTTATTGTGCTAGATAGAGTTTCTTATAGTCTGAGCTTGCGAAACTTTGTAAAAGAACGGAAATTTCTAATTTCTAATTTATTGCTCAGCCCAGCTGTCCAGTGTTTCAACCGGTTTTAAGAGAAACTTAAAAAAGTTAAATAAACTTTTTCGTATTATTCAATTGAGCTCTTCTTGATTGTTTACTTTTACCTAAATGAGAAACTAGATTTATATACATCTTTACAAATTCGTTTTCAGATATACCCGTCTTTTTTGTTTGTTTTTCGCCTTTCGAGAAGTCAATTTTGCAGGGAATGGGTCAATATCTGCACGTACTGCCGGACTCTTCAGAAGGCGACACCCCAATCTATTCCGTCGGCGGCTCATTCTACGGGGGCGTCGAGCCCGCCGGCACGAAGCTTGGATACATGAACCGCCCATTCGGACGATAGTTCTCATCATAACCAACATGTATATACTTTCCTTTTTAAATAATAACGAGCAACAAATTCATTAATAAAGCTTTTTGATATAAAAAAATTTCCTGTCTTACAGTAATCTATCAACTATTTTTTTAATAGTACACGTGAAGTAAAATGAAAGATTATCAAAAGCGACGAGTAGTAATGAAACGACCGCTCTCACCGACTTCCTAAAAAGTAAGACCTTACTAAAAAATACTTCAAAAACTGAAACGGAGTCTTTTAAATTATTTCTAACTACAAAGATATACTTATCTTCAAATTTAATTTTATATCATCCTCTCAAACTTATAAATAAGCCAGAAACTGAGTGACTCACTTTTCTGTCACAATAGGGAACGGCGACAAATTCGGACGTCTTTTTCCCAGATTCGGCCTCGAAACAAAACTCCTGATAGCACTGTTCGCAGAGAAACATGTTGGGTGAAGGCAGAAGATGGTGGTTCATAACGGTCCATCTGGAGTGCTCTAAAATGAGAGAAAAGGCTTCACAATAAAGCAAACTTGGCCGAGTCACACTTGCAGCAGCCACAGGCGATTCGCCGGAAGTTCCGTTCGACGAGTCTCCGCGGCAGCTCACAGTTTTTGTAGAAAACGTCCCTAAATGGGACATTTCGGACATCTTGCCAACAAAAAATCCCAATAAAGGAGTAATCAAAAAGTTAAAATAGCTTTTATAATAAAAAACGGTGAGAAATAGAGACGTTTGATTAGAATTAAATCGTTTGAATCACAAGGAGCTCTATAGAAGGACTTATTTCTCACAAATTCGAGTTGAAAAATCACCGCAAAACGATGTCGTTGAAGCAGACAATGTGCTCGCAAATCCCCTGGTGCATGTAGACGTACGGCTGACCAAGTCTGGCGATGATTTGGTCCATTCTGAAAGGTTCGAGTAGGAAAAAGTGGGGTGAGGAAACCTCGTATCGCGCATCAAAGCGATCTTGGTAGGTCCGAAAACACCCCTAGAGCTCATCCATTCTCGAATCGGTCTCAAGTTTCTGATAATCAAAAACAAAGAAATCAACTAACAAAGAGATATCTTCGGAGTTTGGAGATTCCATATCAAGATAAAAAGTATCATGAATGAAAAAGAAAGAAGAGGGAAATTTGTTCTGAAAGACTACGATTAATTCCAAGGCAAAAATTGGTTGAAACCTTGGAAAAATCTTCGACCGTCGGGACCTTCTCACTGAAATCTTCCATGAAAGCATAATCGACGGGGCACGAGAAAGATTCCTTCAAGTCGAGCAAAGTGTTGGATCCACACAATTCGATGCGATCAGTTACTTTGAGCTAAACGAGTTGTTCCTCATTGGAAGAACATTTCTAGGCTCACGAGTCTTCCCAAGCGCAATTCGTGATAAGCCAGCTCGCGACTGTAGCCGAAGAAAACCGAAACAGAAACGACAATGTCATTCTGAAAAATATAAATTAAGGAATAGGTTGAGAAGTCAATAGAAAAGTCTTGAAAAAAAAACCTTACGAAATAAAAGCACATTATTTTTTTTGCCAGATTTTTTATGTAGTTTAAAGACTAACTTTCATGAAGTAAATAGATTTTTCTATGCTCTGGTTTCATTTTTCTTGGGGGTTCATTATGCTAGTGTAAAACTGGAAAAATTTGTTTTAGAACACTGTTAAAAGAAAGTTTTTTTCTTATAAGAAAGCAGTTCGGGGAGAAACGAAACTTACGTCTAGCCAGGGTATATGGAATTCATCTGGAATAAGGGGCTCTCCGACGTTCAACGGCTCATCTGGCTCCAGTTTAACAAGTTTCTCCTCATTATAACTCAAATCCTCGGTCTCCAATTTGATAAGCTCGTTATTCGCGCTGTCCATCATATCGAAACTGTCCATCTCTTCTTTCATAACTCCGTCTTCAGTCTCTTTTTTCATTTGGCCTGGCTTATCTGAAAAAATTTTTTGACAAAAATTATTTTTTCCGATTGTCTTTCTTAACATAAAATGGTTACATTGAAGATATTTTTTCCAAGCTTCAGTCATGTGAGGAGCTTAAAAATTTTTGATACAGAGTTTTCTAAAAATTTCAATCAACAGGCCCTTTTTACTAACTCATTCCTTAGGAGAAACGTGAGTTCTTCCCTGAAAGTGAACAATAAATTACAAGGAATCCGGAAAATATGGAGAAATTTTTTCTCTCCTCCGCCCTACATTTGAATTTTTCTCTATACATATTTCAAATCTTCAATTGACGTGCGACCTTTCAATCTATTATTTCCAAAGTGAGTTTCAGTATCTAAGGCCTTTTCGGTTGCATAAAAAATTAAACCTTTTTTGTAAGGCGATTTACGCGCCAAAACGCCGTCTTTGATGTGATCGTATTTCAAAGCCCGCAACGCAATGGACTTATACTGTGGATTTTTTCTTCGTGAATTTTCCGATTTCAAAATTCTCAATAGAAATATGTGAGACGTAGACTGAGGAAAAGAAAACCTCTGAGAAGACAGTCCATGACAATCCACGTCCTCAGTGAGAACTGCGACGCTCTCAGCGGAACGTAAATCGCTGACACTATTTTGAACAAATATCACAAAGTTTTTAACAAGCAAACGAACTCAATAGAAGAAACAAGATATTCTGCAGTGACAAAATCCAAACCAGACGTGGAAGCCAATGTCTCCTCTACAGTTTCTCGTGACATGAGATCAGTGAGGAGTTCACTGCAGCGTGCCGCTGTCACTTGAAACCGACTGCAAAATAATTTTTCCATCTCTTGAAATAGCTAAATTTGAACTTAAAAAAAAAACTAACTCAAAGAAAACAACAGGCGAAACGAACTTCTGCTCCTCGGCTCGTAGCAAGTGATCCATGGACATTGTTTAAAAATAATCTTGAGCGCTTCCAAAACTCGAAGAAAAATATTTTTTGAAAGTCACAGGAAACAATAAGCAGAAAAAAAACGAAAAAAAAAAATCTACAACCCACCAATCTTCAATTTTTACGTGTCAAACTCATTGAAAATTGAGCTAAAAATACGAAAAAAAAATCCGAGAGCATACCAGTAATTCCCGAATCAAAAGAAAATACACATGTGTTCATCGGACAAAACGAAAATTCGAAAATTGCTCTAAAACAAAAATTAGTACTGTTTTGGAGCAACTTTGGCGAGCCGATAAACACGATTTTTTTTTGAAGCATGTTCCGATTTTCCGATGAACACTAAGAATAACTGCCGAGATAAACGCGAGACACTGGCGGTACATTGACGAGCTCGCAAACATCTCGCATTTTTTCTCGCGCCGGTCTCGCGTTTTTCTGGGCGCGAGCTCGCATTTTTCTAGGCACGACCTCGCATTTCTCTCGCAATTTGAAAATTTCCGAAATGCGAGATAAATGCGAGATGGCGCCAAGAAAAATGCGAGGTCGCGCCGAGAGAAATGCGAAAGCGCGCCTAGAAAAAAGCGAGATGTTTGCGAGTTCGTCAATGTACCGCCACCGACCTCGCGTTTATCTCGTCAGTTATTCTTAGTGAAGGCGCCAATAAAAAATAGAAAAATTATCTTTTTGTAAACTGCGAAGCGCAGACGTCTGTCTGCACACATGGCAAATACAAAGAGCCCGGCTCACAAAAAAAAGTCGTCCGATATTATGTTTTTGCACTAAGAATAACTGCCGAGATAAACGCGAGACACTGGCGGTACATTGACGAGCTCGCAAACATCTCGCTTTTTTTCTCGCGCCGGTCTCGCATTTTTCTGGGCGCCAGCTCGCACTTTTCTAGGCGCGAGCTCGCATTTCTCTCGCAATTTGAAAATTTCCGAAATGCAAGATAAATGCGAGATGGCGCCGAGAAAAATGCGAGGTCGCGCCGAGAGAAATGCGGGATCGCGCCTAGAAAAAAGCGACATTTTTGCGAGTTAGTCAATGTACCGCCACCGAGCTCGCGTTTATCTCGTCAGTTATTCTTAGTGTGAATGAACCCTCGACGAAAATTTACACACTGACCAAAAATTTTTAATTTTTAAATCAAAAGATATTTTCGAAAAAAAAGGTAATTAAAAATGATTTTGGATTTCGTTAAATCTCAAACCGCTGCTAGCAGCAGCTGCTCCTTGCGTCACTGTATGAAATCATTTGGTAACGGAGAATACACTAGTAAAAAAATATTTTTTTAAATATTTTTTTCAAGTGAAGGAGCTAGAAAGTGTTCCTTTGCAATCAAAACTGCGCCAACAGATTAAGCTTCAAACGTTTTTTTATTTTTGCGATATTATTATTTCTTACTTGTAAAATTGTTTTTTTCAACTGAAAAATGCGCTTCAACCCGTTATTTTTTTCGATTAACAATTTTGTCCGCATTTAGCTTTTTTTTTTTTGATAGTTTCAAAGTGAAATTTTCGCAAATTTCGTTTTATTCGAAAAATTGAGTCAGTGATCACATATATACAAAAAATCTAGTCGATGTGTTTTTTGATTTCGTCATAGAAGGCCAAAACGAGCGCCGCTCCAGTTCCTCGGTACACATTCGACAAAGCTCCCTGTAGAAAAATTGAGGATTATTCCAACATTTTTTTGTTCAAAAATCAGCTTACGCATCAAGCGTTATGTATGTTTACTATTTCAAGTTTCTTTCAGTTTTCTTTTTTTACAGGTCTCGAAAGAGCAACGCGGACATGGACAAAAGCTTTTCGTGTTTGTTCTGCGGCGTCATGCTCCGGCCGCTGCAAGCCCTAGGCATGGACGGATGTCCGAGCAGATGAGAAATGTCAGGTCTGTACACAAATCCCTTTACTTTTCCTTTTATGGATTGCCGGCTACTCTAATGGCATATCCTGGTAATTTATAGAGTTGGTAACATGGGTCTTCTAAATTTCATCTCGCCTGTATTAACACTAACTAGAATTTTTGTTTATCTCCTAAAAAATTGCGTTGAATGCACAATAAAAACAGAAAGATTTCAAGTAGCATTTTGCAAGAAATTTGACAAGAACTGCAATGCGCAGAATATAATTTCACGAGACTTACTTTGTACATTGCGGACAGCCCTTCATCGCGGACGATTTTTTTCGCGCAGTCCAGAGAGTTTTTATACAGAATATCTTTGCGACCGGATTGCATCATCATTCTGCGTCGAATAGTGTCCCAAGGATACGAAAACAGTCCTGACGTCACTGTCACGGCCTAAAAGATTCGTGTATTTGATATCCGAGAGAACAGAGGCTTACCTGGGCCAGAGCCCATGCGGCAAAGAAGTTTAGTTGCTTTCCATCTTTCATGAACATCGTTTTTCCTGTGTCAAATAGCCCGAAATAGGCTGCACGATAGATGAAAATTCCTTGTACTGAAATCAGGAAGCCTCTAAACATGATGAAACCAATTATGAAGCCTACCAATTCTACCAACCGATAAAGCCCTACTACCCCGTCAGACTTGACGATTTTCACGAGACAGTCGCCCAGGCCTTTGAACTCTCGGTTTTCGCCATTCCCAATGTCTGTGGCTAGTCGAGTTCTGGCAAAGTCGAGAGGATACACGAAGCAAAGAGACGTGGCTCCAGCAGCACCTCCGGACGCCAGATTTCCGAGAAAAAATCTTAAATTTGGAAATTGACGAAGGTAACTCGAAAAGTTCCATACTTCCAGAAGTCTTTATCTTTGTTTAAGTTTCCTATGAAGACTTTTTTGTAGGTGTCTTTGAAGGCGAAGTTCAGCGCTTGCGTAGGAAAATATCGCAGTACGTTAGCCAAATTTCCTGAAAAGATTGATTTTTGCATCACAATGTAAGAAAAACCTCTCCACAACGAATAGAAGCCTTGTTCTTTGGGGACTCTGGTTAAAACGTCGATGATTCCCTTATAGCGCTTGTCTTTGGTAATGGTCGTCGAGGCATCTTGAGACTGAAAAGTAATTATTTCTAAGAAAAAAAAAGAGACAAAATCAACTTGAAGAAGAAGCTTCACGCGATCAATGGGAGCGACGATTGTTTTGGCAATAGCGGCGGAAGTTCCGCCTGTTGCCAGATCCGTGAAAAACGTTTTTGCGTCGACATTTTTGTTTTTATCATTTGTTGGTTTTTCTAAAATATTTATATAAATGGAAAATATTCAGAAGACTTTATACGAACCTTTAGGCATTGTATATAATTGAAAATGGAAGAAAAGAATCGAAGAATGAGAAACAGAAAAACAAAATGAGTAGGAATGGACAGAAAAATTGTTTGTTTGTATGAAACTGCAGGAAAGGACAACAAAACAGAAAAGATGGAGGGCACAGACGCGAGACAGCTTGTTCCCTCGTAAACATGCTTGGTTCACTTCCTTAAATATCGGAATTTAAAAATTGGGAAGAGGAACCGAATGTGTGATTTTTCCCCCAACCCTACTTTTTAATGGGATTAAAAGAATATTATTTTCTCTAAAACGAACTTTTCAATGGTTCATGCAGAACGATGTTTGGAATGTTGACCGGACCAGTTTCCGCATCAAAAATCTTATTTCACAAGGTAAATAATAAAAGTTTTTGTCAGCAACGAAAAAACAAGAACACGTAGTTCTCTGATCATTTTTATGTATCAATTTCTCGATAGTTCAGTCTAAAAGAGCTCATAGACTCAATAAATGAAACGATTGAAGTCATAAAGAATTTTGACCGCAAATTAAAAGAAGAAATCAGTGGCGATAATTCGTCAATGGCGGGCCGGTTCGCAATGCCTTGAAGGCTGTCTTCAATCGATGTTCCCTTGGGTGGTTCTGTGCTTGCTGCCGTTTCTCTCCGCCGAGTTCCTCTACGTGAGAACGACTTACGAAGCTGAGGACTTTGGCATCGCCACCGACGAGCACGAGCAATGCCGCGCCTGGAAGCTCTGGTGGAGAACCCAGGTCATTTCAAGTCGATATTACTGCAAAATATAATAAATCCAGTTCAGGAAACAAATACAGACTTGACCACAAGCGACATAGACCTGCTGGCGATTCGGCGGAGCGAAGTGTGGGTTAACCATCCGGCCCAGGCTGCCCGATTCGACATCCCGCTAGAGTTACTTCAGCAGTTTTCGGTCCGTTCGAAGCTTCTTCTAAATTGGAAGGTAGTTCAGAACATCTACGTTGACTTTGAGAACGTTTGTCGGCTGCATCCACGCAATTTGCGCATCCAGTCGGCCATCTCAGCCATTCGTTACGGCTTCAACGTGGCTCAAGTCTGCGAGGAGCTTTCTGGAAACTCGACGGTTTTCCCTATTTTTTTTTTTTGTTTTGAAGACGTTCCGATTATCAGAACGAAGATAGAAGTTTCCTGCTCAACACGACCGCTTCATTGTTTGTTTTTACAAGCAGAAACTTACTGGAGAACCATGAAAGCGTCTCTTTAAATTTGGAAAAAGTCTGCGATCCGCAAGCCGAAGAAGACCGAGAGTCTCATTTACAGTATTATCAAGGTTTTTTCCAGTCTTTTTCGTTTATTTTTGCATAATTGAACAGTGCCAATTTACAGAAAAATACGGATCTTTTGTTTTCAACGTTAGCGCCCTCGAAATGGATATTGAAGAATTACGTGCTGTTATGAAAAATACCGTTGCCATTGATGAAATTTTGAGGTTTTTACTCTAATTCCGTGTTCAAAGTTATTCTGCGAAATTCAAAATAGCTTTCAGAGAGGGAAAAAGATAACTAAAATACGGAGAATCAGAAATAATTCTGATTTTAGCGGAGATTACTTTCAACACGTCATAAATATCCATTTGAAGCTTACAGAAAGTTTGAGCACATTTCTGAGTCTGCAATTCGTCCATATCCTTCTTCGGCAATCTTACCTTTTCTCAAGAAAGTTCATTATGATTCACGGTAAGACGAACCCTAGAAAGTATCAAGAGAGTTCAGGATCCCTCCAATTTTGCACGTTGGTGACCAATTGGTCGTCAAGTTTGGTCTTTTGATTCAATCCATGAGCAACTTCGAACTCTCCACTATGGCAGGAAACCTTGAAACGAACAAGATAATCTTTTTTTTTGAGGACTACGACGTTGATACTTGGGTTCGGATGGCATGGATAGATCCACGGCTGCGTCATCAGCTGAGCCGACCCATCCTAGTCAACGACTACACGTTCCTCAGATTGATCTGGCGGCCTGATCCGATATTCACCAACGCCAAGCTCTCGACTTTTCATAAGGTCAGCGGAAAATACGCGATTGTTCGAAAGGAAGTCTTTCAAGAAGATATTGTTTAGCCTCTCTTTGTCAGCTTCTCATTTTTTGCATACTTTTTTTGAGAAGGCAGCAACTTCTGCCCTTTTAGGTCATTCAACGGACGTCCTTTTTGTGAATATTGAGTAAATTGCCAATTTTGCCGGAGTTAACTTTTTTTTAAAGTTTAGATGAAATTTCTTCACAGTCGTTACTCTTCGTTTTGAGAAAAGATTTTTTACACGCAAAACACAAAACTTTCAAGCAATACTTTAAACTAAAATTTTGTAAAATAATCTCCAAAAAAAAAAGAGTTTTCATTGAAATATCCATGAAACAAACAAAAATGTGAAAAAGTAAAAAAAAAAAGTTCTCTTTTTCATTCCGATTTCACTCACAAGATCACTAAAAATACTTTCCGCACAACAATAAATTAACAGGTGTCCTACTTCAATTTCTACATGATAATCTTCCCTGGAGGCGAAGTTTTCATGGATATTCGCGTGTATTTGAAGCCGACAGCCGCGCAGATAGTTTTGTGCAAATATCCACACGACAACCCGGCGGCGACGCTCAAAATCAGTTCATGTTTGTGAACATGGCGGCTTCCAGTTTGATCTCCGTCTTCAGTGGGATTGACCAAAGACGTCGTCTCTTTCGAGTGGTTTTCGGCCTTGGAAGACGCGATCCGCATAAATGCCGACGTCCAGATTCCCGAGCTACACATCACCAGCGTCGCCGCCGGCCAGTGCGACGGTACTCGCAAGTCTGGTGAGGAATCCGGGGAGAGAAGGAGTTTTTCCAACGTTTCAAGGCAATTATTCGTGCTTGGAGAGCGTTTTCTACATGAAAAGACACATCGGCTACCACATTGCGAACACCTACATCCCCACGGCTTTTTGCGTGGCTTTCTCTTGGATCTCGGTCTGGCTTCCTGAGGAATTCGTCGAAGGTCGCATCTTCGTATCTCTAACCGTGTTCCTCACACTCAGTGCCGAGAACAACTCTGCTAAGGAAGAGCTCCCCAAAGTTTCTTATATTAAAGTTGGTTTTCACCTAGTTTTCGAAATAGTGGAAAACGTTAGGCGATCGACATTTGGTTTGGCTTCACCTCGATTTTCGTCTTCAGTACGATGATTCAAGCTTTGGTGGTAATTTCATTAGAGCACAACAGCAGAAAATTGGTTTGAGCTCAGAATCTTTCTTTCCACTCGGGTATTTAGAAAACTAAAAGCGAGAACAATCTGGAAGGCTACAGCAAATTCCAAATCACCAAGTCTTTACTGATGAGTCGTTATTATCACAAATTGGCACGTCAGATAGACACTTTCTGCAAGGTGAGCTTCATTTCCAGCGACTGAAAAGATGTGACTTCAGGTGATGTACCCGGTGACGTTCTTGCTCTTCCTGATGGTGTACGTCTTCGTGATAACGGAAGGCGATGAACGCAAATGCCTGCAGTCGACGTGAGCTGTCGGTGGCCGCGCCGGCGCCTTTCCGGTCTGAAACCTGCAATTGTTTATCTTGTGCCCCTATTCGTCGTCATATGCGCTCGAGCAAACCGCTCGCCTCCTCTGAGAACTCCTTTTTCGTCCTCTCTCGGCGTTCGTTTTACGTTTGCTGATTGAAATCTGCCACGAAATTGATACAACTTTATCCTTCTAATTTTCTTCCTTTCGAAAATTTTATCATCCGGGTAGGAAGTTTCTTAACATTTTGGTTCCTTCTTTTTCATCCGAATTTCAAAAATATTCTGAGAATTTTCGAGTATCAGAAAAAACATTAAAGAGAAGAAAATTTCTTGCAAGGAAACTCCGTTTTTTCCGATTCGCTACCATTTGGTTTTTCGTTTTCGCTCACTGATTCGCTAATCTTATGAATTCCCCTCAAACTTTGTCTGAAGTTGATGAAGAAGTTTGACTTTTTCATTTAAAATAGCTTTTTTTCATGTTTTTTTAAGACTTTTACGATGTACTGAGAAAGAGCTTGAGTACCTGCAAGAAACGAAGCCTCGGTTGAATAGACCAAAAATAAAAATGTTAAAATCAATCTGATCTTTCACACCATCAAAGAAAAAAAAACATTTCTCTTTCGATAAATGCGAAGACTTTTGAAGGACGGCGATAATAAAGGCGGCTGACCGTGGGAGTCTGGCACAAAACGGAATAATTTCGGACTGTTGGTGTGCGCGGCCGGTTGACCTTCCTAACCCTGTACCTTCTTAACCATTGTCTGCATGGGTCGTAGCTTCTCGGTCTCACATTCCATCGCACTCTTGCGTCGGAATCCACTGTCGGCGTCTCCGCATCGCCTGTGTATCTCTCGCCGCGGTACTGTTCGTCTGCGTCGCCTCGACGCCTCCGCCAGCCTTTCGCTTGCAATGAAGATTTCGTTGGTCGTTCCTCTGTGGATTCTGGCTGCGCGCGACAAATTAGGACATCCAACCACAGCTGCTTTGACGTCATCTTGTAATCGATCAACTTGTGCGTGTTCGCTTTTTTGATCTGATAGCCATGGCTTCAGGAGTTCTTCTCTGATTCCCTTTTCTCTCAATCGGCACGGATAAATTGCCACAATTTATCTCCCAGAACTAAGTTCATTTCTAAGATAAATACTTTTTTCCTCATCAGTAAAAAAGTCTCTGCGAAATTTGGAGGTGCAGAAGATATGACCTAGAAAAGAGCTGAAAACGATTCTTCGGCTTGATTATTTTATAAAATATGCTCGAAGTTTCTTCAAGATTTTTTTCCTTCTTGTAGCTTCTATAGTCGTAATAAAAAAACTGCCAAAAGCGGGAGACTTCCAAATTAACTATTTTCATAAAATAGGGGAAAAATTTCTGCATATGAGCTTCTCAAATAAATTTGATTATCCCTCAAACAAAGTCTACTCGATAAATTTAGATATTTTGGACTGACCTTTTTACTCTTATCTTTTTCTGCCTCTATATGATAACACATTGAAGGTTTTTTTCGTAGTTGTTCTTGAGTTCACCGTTCTGAGCTTGAAATTCATTTTTGAAAACTTCAGTTGTTCCTTCCGTAAGATGGCCTCAATGAACATGGAGTGGAATTGTCGAATGAAGAGCGTCCAATGCACTTGAACTTCCGAGTGTCGGAATAGCAGGCCTTTGTCCACTTTGGCACAGCTGAATCTCCTTGGTTATGCAATCCTCAATTTTAACTTTATTTCAGAATGTCCAAAACAGTTTTAAAAGGATTTACAATCAACTTTTCGTTACTAATTTTCACAAAACTACCAAGTTCACTTCAACTTTTGCAAAAGTCCAATGTCCTGGTTTTATAGTGTCTTTTTTTAATCTTACTGTGCCAAGTTTGATTTCGAAATTTTTTTTTCATAGTTCTTTTCACTTCGAAATTTTATCTGACTTTGGATATACTGCATTTTCGCGATCGCATGAAAAAGAAATTTTATATAAATTTCAATGAAATATTTCAAATTTGCAGTATGCCTTTGCGCGTAATGTCGCAGTAAGGCAATACATCATAATTGACGACTTTCTGAACCCGGTTCTCCTGTGATTTTCTTTAGAGTATATACACGTATACGCGTATCCTAATCATGTGTTTTCTTTTCAAAACTATTTTATTTATTGTTGGAGTTTTCAATAATGTTAAATGCTTTTACCTCAAAAAAGTTGAAAAATTTCTGATTGTTCGACAGAAAACTGTTATTTGAAAATTTCTATCACGATAGTGTTGCTAAGCCAGAAATTGAAGTATTCAAATGTTGTACGTCGACCCCTTTGAAATCCCAACAAGATTGGAACCCGAAACGAAGTTACGAGCAACTTTCGCGTGGAATCCTTCTTTAGTTATTCGTTTCTTTTCCTGCAAACCGTTAACTCCGTGTTTTCTTCTCTTTTCTGCTCTGACGATGTATCACCATCGTCCGCCAGCCATCTTTTCCGCACTTTGATTTTGTTTTAATGCCCGTGGCCGCTATTTGAAAACATTCCGATGCTTTACACTTTTTCGTTCCCAATTTCGGGTCCCATCGACGTTCAAATTTATCACATGCCTCGCTTATCATTTTTTACTAGACATCAATTTTTATCTGGTTTGACTCAGTAATTTGTTATCAGATATTTTTTTAAGCGTATTCCTTATGTTTTAAATACAGTTTTGTGAGCAGTGTCGATTTGGAATCTGATTTTTTGTTCAAATCTTATCGATTATCGATTGCCGTCGTTAGAAACACGCCGTTATATTTGTTTACTCGAGTGCACAGCATGCGCGATGAAACTTGCGCATCCTTGAATTTGCTTTCATCGTCTCAGCCTGTCGATCAACGTTCTTCTCCGCACGACTCTCTGCTTAGCGCTTCTTTATCTCTTTTCCTGTAGGTTTTTCAAGGTTTAAGGGGTTCAGAAGTCTTTTTTTTTTGATTTGTTGTTTTAAAGTACTCGAGTACGTCTACAATCCGCCCCCCACTTTTTTTATCAGCCTATTTAGGATTCAGGAATAAGAATTGTCTATTCACTCAGTTAGTGGAAAAATCTTAAGTTACACATTTTGTGAAGGATGTTGTTCTTCCTATCCTCTGGCGTAAAGTTTCATCAGGATCATCTCCTAAATTTACAATTTATAACTTTTTATTATCGCTTCATACTAGTTAATCTTTTTTCGTTCTAAACATTTTTATTTTTTTGTTCTACACTACTGCATTTTTGCGGAAAAATCCAATTTTGTTTCTCTTTTCAAGCAAATATGGATGTTTTCTTTAAAATTAAAAATTTTAAGATTTCATTCAAATTATAAGAACCGCATTCTCCATTAACTTGATTGGAACTGTAGAGTTATTCCTATAATATTTATATTTTGAAGAAAAACGAAGGGGCGAGGACAGAAGCTGCCGCTTTTCGACCGCGAAAAGCATGGTGCACGGCCCGATTTCGGCTGTTCCCGTCGTGTCGCAGGTTTTTTTTTTGCTTTTTCACTTCTTTCTTTTGAATTCCTTTAAATCTGACGAAATTCTCCTCAAAAAGGATGTTTTGAGGTGTCACTGGTGCACTCTTCGGACTCAGTACGCGCCATTCCGACGACTTCTGCTCCGTCGACGTCTTCGGCCGTTTTCGCCGCGCCTTCGATTCAGAATCGGGTACGTGGTCCCTTGTTTGTTTCGGCCTTTTAATGGGCTCAAAGTTTTGTCGTCAGTATAATTTGCGCCGTAATAATTTGCGCTCGTCTTTCATTTGGCCGTTCCAATCGCTTGTGGTTTTATATGACCGAGTGTCTCTTGTTCAAAACATCGAATCGATCTGAAAGAATCATTTTTCTGAGGCATTGTCCTCATTTTCATCATTTCATTCGATCAGAAGTATTTTTTTCTGATTTTTACAACCGACTCTTTTTCTTTTCGCAAACATACCTGCGCAACTCTAGAACCGGTAATCTCGAGAGGGAAATTTGACCAACAAAGGTTCCAAAAAATAAGGGGTGTTGGTGAACTTAGAGCACTCTAAACTAAGTGAAATATTCTTTCAAGGCCTTTTTCATTTAATAATTTCTGCTCCCTTGGCAAGTATTTCAAAGTCTGTCGAAGAAATTTTTCAATTATTTTTTTGATATTGTTCTTGGCTTGATTTTTTTGTTCCCAGCGTAAAATAAATATAAAATATAGTCATTTTTTTGCTGGTTTGAAAGGCGAGATGAGTAGATTAGCAAGGGTGAACGTTGCGTACGTGTTGCGGACTACGGCGCGAGACTCGAGCTCGAACGCAATCCTGGAAAATGTAGAAAAAATGAGATTTTTTTAAATTTTTTACTTCTATCCGTTCAAATAATTTTTTTGCCCACATGGAAACTTAATACACAGTGAATTTTAAATTTTAAAATTTTGCAAAAAGCTACATAAGACTTTTAAACACAAACGTTTTGAAATTATTGAGGTAAAAGCGAATAGAAGTCGGAAATGGTCTGTTTAAGTTCCTGTATAAGTGTAGGGCCTCTATGAACGGACGCATTGGTCGTCGGTTCAGATGGCAACAGCGTCCAGCGTCTAGGAGAACTCGGGCGTGAGAGATGGGTCCACGCGACCTGAACTCGAGCCGTTACACCGCTGATGAATTGATGGCTTGTGGGGGACACCCGGCGACAGTCGCCTCGACCTCCGCCGCCATGCGTTCACACGCAAATTCGCTACGCTTCATCTTTTTGTTTCTGAGCAGTCTCTCTGTTTTTTTTTTTCTTTGAAACGGATCTTATTTTAATTAGTTCTAAAGAAGTTTCTTCATCTCTTTTTATTCATGAATTCATTCATTCTTCAAAGTGGTGGTTCGACAAATAAGATAAAATATTAGGATTGAAGTAATCGCTTCAGATTTCCTTTAACATTGGCTCAAACTCCTTTTTTGAGTAAAAAAGTATAATGAAGTTTCCAAAACTTTCCTTTTCGAGTTAGAACGCCTCAAGCTCAAAAAAAATCATCGCATCGGTTGAATGAGCCCTCCCCGAAATTTGAGTTTTTTTCATTCTATTTTGTCAATTGGCACAAAATGAAACTCTGAGGATATGTTAGTGTTCAATTTTTCATTGAAAAAAGAGGTTCAGTCATAATTTAATTGATTTTAAAAGCGAAAAATAAAAGGATCTCTCGTGTGACAAATGTCACTCTGTCAACGCTCTTTCATTAATTTGAGAAGCATTTTTTTCAGAGAGAAGTTTTCAGTTGTTTCATGACAGAGCAAAGTTTTTCTTTATAGAGAAAAGCTTTTTTTGAAAAATTTTTGATTTTTTTGCGCTGTAAAATGTACCAGATCATCTAATTTTTCTTAGATTAAAAAAATTTTTATGAGTGTCATAATCTCTTTCTATTTCTGTCTTCTGTTGATGATTCACCACGAAAAATTTTTGCTGGAAGTTCAAAAGATTTTTAGGGTCTAAAAAAAGTATTGAAGTAGAAAATATGAGAAAGAAACATTCAATTCAAAAGAACTAAAAGCTTTAAAAAGTCAGCTCGTCAATTTCATGTTGTTGGAAAGGTCTTTCACTATCGTTTGACAGCATCCAGCCAATCTATTCTTTTCTTTTCTCAGTTTTTGTTTCTTCAGGCGCTCCCTTTCAGTTTGAAGTTTCTTTCCGCCGCTAGGCTGTTTCGTAAATAATGATCTGTTTTAATTACCCAAAGACTTTTCTATATCGCCATTTTACCGAGTGAAGCCCACTATTTTCACAACTCTTTAGTTTATCCAGTATTGCATACCTCGAAATTTTTTGGTTTCATGTGAATTCTAGTTCAAGTCGATTCATGGAAAGAGAGAAAAGTATTATATGAAACTTATTATTTCTTGCGTGTGAAATAGTAATACTTTTCGTGTTTACGCGTTAACATTTTTTTTTTAAAGAACGAGGAAAAAACTAAAAAAAAAACTAAATAACACTCGAGATTAGCGAAAAATTCACTTGGTTTCGATTCGGCCGTTGAGTTTTTGGGAAGCGATATCTCTTCGCGCAATCTATTGGTTTTGAGGTCGGCGCTCTCGCGCATGTCTTTTTGAGCCATTTTCTTCGTTTCTATCACTTTATTCCAGATTTTTCCTTTTTCCTCGTTCTTTTTGTGCAGACCTCTTTCACTTGATAGGTGATTAAGGGGATTTCTATAGGTTAGGTGTCGCCGCGAAAACGAAACCACCTTTTTTTGCGCACCCGGAAACCCGTCTTGGTGGCCTAATGCGCTACGCTTCACGTCATGTCATACAAGCTGCCATCAGCCCTGCCATCATCTCGTGTCTTTTTTTGTTGCCAACGATATCCACGTCTTTCTTTTCTTCTTTCATCTTGTTTCGGAGTATATTTGCTGGATTCTTCTTGTACATCACAAGATAGCACTTAATTAGGCGATAGTTTTATTTTTCGATTCGGAGATTCAATTCCATCAGGATAAAAAGTTGAATAATTTATAAAAGGTCCATAATCGTTCATATAATATTGAGCTATCAAACAACTTTAGCCATAGCTTTGAAAAGAAAATTTTAATGGCGTGATTAATGGAGATTCTAATTGAAAAGAGTGTGGTTGAGGTTCTATAAGGTTTAGAGAATCTTCCTTAACTATTTTTTATTCCGATGTTTTTAGTTATTTAGAAACATGAACTTCTTCTGTGATGTGTCTGAGTTGAACGATTAGATTAGTGTAGCGACAAGAGAAAGTTGTATGACACCCAGCGAGCTAGAAGCTGCTCCACGGCACATTTTGATAGGTTTTGATGATGGGCTCGTAAGAAGTTCTCGGCTTCACATGTGGAACGAGCGATTCACATGCCGTTGCGCATCTTCGCCCACGCCGTTTTTCGCTTCGGTTCTTCTTTGAGCAATCGTCATGTTCCCACGTGCGTCCGTTTATTACTTTCGACGGCCACAGACGTTTTTTCACTCTTGGCCGCCTGACGAAAACAAAACTTGGCGGTTTTGCGGTAAGATGAAACTTAGTCGCCGTGACGTTTTCATTTTTGCCCAACCTTCTGTGCAACTTCGGAAGTTTTTCGTTCTGGAAAACTTGACCACTTCGTACTGGACATTATGTGAATGGCTAGAAATTCCGTTCACCCCTTTTTTCATCCTTCTAATTTCTCAAAAAAAATATTGGTCTAAACGGGAAACTAGTTTTAAACATGTTTTTTTTTTAAATGGATTCTATTAAACAGCTTTGATTCTTTCATTTCACAACAACAGGGATATATGGGCATGAAGTGAAGCGCTGATTATATGAGATATGTTTTTGTTTATTTATTGAACTGTAACATTGTTTTGGCTCGTTTTTATTTTGCGAAAGCCTTAAAAAATAAATGATTTCAGGAGTTTCCAAAAATTTGATAACCTGATAAAATTTTTTTTGTTCCTTGATTTTTCTTACCGCAAAATTCTTGTTGTTGGCCTCGTTATCTTTTCGGAATGATTTTAGAGGCGCGTTAAAGGGTTTTCTGTTTTCCAACTCTTTTAGAGAAAACTTTTTAAGAACTTTCGTTCTGGCAAACATGATAACGAAACGTGGATTCTGTAAAATGTTTCAAAAAGTCCAGTGTTATTGATCTTTTTTCGTGGAGTAACTAACTCGGAACGATGTGCGAAGGCAGTTTGGTCACTTTTTTTTTCCTTCTGCCCACTCCGCCTTCTCTTCAATCGTTTTGTGCGCGTTTTGCACGTGGACATCGTCTGAGACCGATATTGTTATCGAAATTGCGGGTTGTAGATGTCGAAGCCGCCGGTTCGGATTGTGGCCCAGCCGCCGACAGCCGCCAGTTTCGCGTCCGGTCAGCACCACAAGAACCACGTACCTACGATGCCTGTCCAGCCGATGTCCGGAAGGTTTTAGTTTTTCAGTGTTATGGCTTGAAACTTAACACTTAATTAAGTCGGGTCATGAAATTGCAGTTCTACAGAAATTTTAAGGTATTTGATATTATCTGATTTCAATTTAGCTGTGTTTTGAGTGAATAAGGTATCGGATTTCGAAGTGTGGGAATGACTAAAAAATGACCTAGTAATTTTATTTCCTACAATAGAAGACATTTTTTTAGATCGAACGATGAGTACTCGGTAAAATTGCAGCGTCAGAATGGAGTGCATAGGTGGTCGGAATTATCCGTGAAACTGATTTGACGAAGCATTTCAGTGAGATTCAAAAACCGGAAGTTCTTGCCCTTAGAACCCAGGAGGCGCTGCAGAAAGTGCGCGCCATCAAGCGGCAGGTCGCAGACGAAGAATGCGAATTGCGGAGGTATCCTCAAGAGAAAGTTCGGGATCCAGAAGGTGGAGGTTGAGGTTGCGCGAGTTGGAGCACGAGGCTGGAATCTTGCGGGAACGGAACGGGCGCCGCGAAAAGGAGCTTGAGAAGGAGACGGCCGTTCTGCACGAGGAACAGCTTACTCTGAGGAACGCCACTTTGAGGGTACAGGGACTCACGCGACAGGTAATCCAATCGCCCAAACTCATTAATTGATTGGAAAACTCATGGTTTTTGCTTGATAGTCGGGCAGGAAGTTATGAAGAGTCTACAGAAAGAAACTCATAATTGCAATAAATTGTGTTTAAAGCGTTATGTATCATGTTATTTTTCTGTAGAGTAGTGGCAAAAAAGGTTTCATATCATGCATTCAAGTTTTTTGTTTGTTTATCGAACCCTTTTCCAGCTTGAAGAAATGTACCGAAGGCGTCAGACGGCGGCTGCTGCAGCTCTGGTCGAACACCGAAAAATGCAGCAACAACAAGTTTGCTCTACCGAAAAAAGGAATAAAAGAATGTTTAATTGCAGCAATTGAACCGCTCTTTTGACCATGCCTCGTTTTCGAGCTCGCGAGCCACGCCGCCGCAGGAAATCGTCCGCCCCCGCGCCTCCGTCGAACCATTCCAAGTGGTGCCGCACAGCAAACCTGGCAACGAGAACGAAGTCGTCAAAAACATGGATTTTGTCGATAGGTTTCTGAGACAACGCACGAAGCGATTCTATGTTGTTCTCATCTTAAGTGCGTGTCAAGATGCTGATTCGACGAAACTGGGGATCCCAGCTGAGCCGGCTTATCAGGCGCCGTCGCCAAAGTCGGAAGGAAAACGCGAAGACGTCAGTCCTTCTCCGCCCAAGGATCCGCATCCTAGCCAACCTTCGCCCTCTGTCGACTCCCATCGTCTGTCTTCCTTGTCCGACCAAACCGATCCCGGACAGCTCTACAATAACGCCTTGGTACTGGCATCGTTTTCTTCAGGGGAAAAAGTCACCAAACTAATAGTTTCGAAGTTTTCAGTTTCATTTTTTGAACGAAAATAATATTTCTTGCTTTAGTAACTGAGTCACGTTAGTATAAACGAAATTTCAAGATATTTTTTATTGGCCTTGCTTTCGGAAATATGCGCTAGGTTGGGTTCAAAATAATGGTCATGATATGATTAAAGAAAGCCTTTATCTTCCAGGCGTCGGAAGTTGAGCACCTGAAGTTGGATCGCCCTACCTCGATCGTGTTTGCCGATAGTCTTGACGAATCACGGCTTCGTACTGGAAAAACAGATCTAGTTTCTTTGAGGTCCGACTCACTGAAAGCGACCAAAAGAAGGTATGAAGAAGGTGAAGACTGCTCTCGATTCTCGAGTGTCTCAGGTCCTGGGCGGCGTCGGAGGGAACGTCGATGACAGAAGCTGAGACGATCTTCCGTCTTCTGGAAGAACAACGACGCGGCAGAACCCACTTCATCCCCCAGCTGCCGACCCCCATCGAAGAGCCATCGACGGCTCCGGCCGAACAGCTCGAAGTCGTGTCCGTGGAGAGATCTCCTGCGTACACCAAGACGCTGGAGGAAGAGACAATCTCAGCAAAAAGCGACGACGAGACCATGGAGGTCTGTCGACGTCTTCAATCGGATACAGTCGATAAGGCTTTTCAGATGGAAGTTTCGCCGGCGAAACGTGTGAAAGGCATCTTGCGACCTCCGAATGAGAAGCGCAATAAAGGTCGGATCGAGTTCGATCCGTTGGCTTTGCTCCTTGATGCGGCCTTGGAAGGAGAGCTTGATCTGGTCAAGACCAGCGCTGGAAAGGTTCTTTCGAAGAATTTTGACTAGAAACTGATCATTTTTTTCTGAATAATTCTCATTTCAATATTCGAATTTATTTAAGTTTGCTTTTTTTTCGGAATTTTGTCATGAAAGAGTTTTTCATCTGCTAGAGGAAGATACTGGAATTCAATCTCCTTGAAGTTACGAAGTAAATAAAATTACGAGAGAATAACGTTTTTCAAAAAAACGCTGCGGCCGTTCCGGGTGTTAAAATTTTACGACTTACTTGGCTAGTAAAAAAATACCTCTCTATCTGGCATAAATGAACTTAGGAACTATTTTTTGCAGAAAGGAACATGAATTTTCAGCTACAAGATGTTTCGATGGCGAATGATGAGGGAATAACTGCCCTTCACAACGCGATCTGTGCTGGACACTACGAGATCGTCAAGTTTTTAATCGAGCAGGACGCCGACGTGAATGCGCAGGTTTAGCCGCGCGAAAAAGCGAATGAATCCCGGAGTTGTGCAGGATTCGGACGGCTGGACTCCGCTGCACTGCGCGGCGTCGTGCAACAACCTGCCGATGGTCCGGCAGTTGGTCGAAGGCGGCGGCTGCGTCCTGGCGTCGACGCTCTCCGACATGGAGACGCCGGTCGAGAAGTGCGAGGAGGAGGAGGACGGCTACGACGGCTGTCTCCGATACCTCGTCGCCGCTCACAACGCCACCGGCTCCCTCAACGATGCCAAGGTCCCGTCTTATCGTCATCATTCGACCCCTTTAGTCTCTCCTTCCATCTAGCGTTTTTAATCAACAGTGTATTCTTCGGATAGTCCATGTAGAAGATAAACGAGGTCAAATCACAGGAAATTTCATAGTTCGGTTCGAAAATTTTTGAAGTTTCTTGAGTTTTTTGATTTTAACTTCATGATTCTCAGATGAAATGTTTTTTTGCTGCAAAAATTATCTGACTCTAATTCGCACACGTTGATCAATAGAGTCTTTTTATCCACAAGAGAATAATTCTGCAGATATTTTCAAAAATCGACTTGGAAAGTATATTTTTGGATCAAAGCCAAGTTTTTCGTATGCCAAGCTTTGTTTGCGTGATTAGAAAGGCGTCTGGGCATAAAGTATTTCATTTGCGCGCGTTCCTCGACGGAAAACACGCCGCCAACCGAGTGTAATGAGATTTACACGCGACGGCCACGAAAGACCGATTTTTATGATATCACGGCATGAGGATACGCGATGCTAAGCTGCGATTTAATGAGAGTCAAGGTGTGGGAGTCAAACGAGAGGCCTTATCTCTTTATTGGAGGCTTTTCCTCCGGACAGCTTCCTTTTACACAACGGAAAGCGCGTTTTAGGCTCTAATAACTCCAAATGATGTTGTGAAATGCCAGAAACCCTTTACTCGTTTTTGAAACTTGTAACATCTAGTACCAAAAACAAAATCTCTAAATAAAATGATACATTCAGAAATTTTAAAAGGTCTCTGATACGCAGTATTATAAATTATCATAGGGGTATAACTAATAAATCTATCAGACCGTCTGGCTAACCAAATCCTACTTCAACTTTTCCTCTAAACGATTACTCTTCTTTAGGTCTACGCTGCATACCCCTACGAGGCCCAACAAGAAGATGAACTGACTTTCGAAGCCGGCGACGAGTTGGTCGTCCTCTGCAAGGACGACGTCGACAAAGTTCGTCCTTTACTTGCCCTGTTATTCTCTGAAACTCAAAAATCGTTTTTCAGCACTGGTGGACCTGCCGAAGCACGTCTGGAAGAACGGGTTTGGTGCCTCGGACGTACGTCGCTTTGTATCCCGCTCTGAAGTTCCGCGACAAGTGAGTCGAAGGTCATCTTGTTACGGGGAAGCCTGAATGTGTTCCTTAGACTGGACTTCTTGATGTTCGACATTCCGCTCGAACCAAACAACAACCTCGACGGAGAGAAGGATTAGCGCCTCCGGAAATTCCCAACTTCTTTTGCTCTGCGGGTCACCTCCATCACCTTTTGCTCATCCCTACCTCTTTTGGTTCTCTTTACGTCTTTTTTCGCCCAGCTTCGTCTTTTCGACTTGCCTCTACCGAGTATCCGTCTTTCCACACGATTTTTAATGTTCCTCACCGGCCGCAAATCTTTCTCTAGTGGTCCTGAACTAATTGATTCTTGTAAGCCGCACATTGATACTTGATTTACGAGTTTGAGTAACATTTCGATCTATTTCAAAAAAGTACACTTATACTTTGATTATATGGTTGAACTTGCATAACCTTCTCCAATAATTGGTATGGATTGTTCACGGATAAAACGAAGTTTTTATTTTCCGTATTAGAACAAACGGCTTCAAAAGCCACTAAATATCCATGAAAATATGATCCATATTGTAATTTCGTGAACATTTCATTAGGATATCATCCTACTAATTCATAGTTTTCATTTTGTTCTTGCGAAGTGTTCATATTTCCGACATATTGTTGTGGCCATATTTTTGGTGTTCTGATGAATAGAATATAGTTTTTTTGTGCTTTTTTGCCCTTCGGACGAAAAAAAGGAAAGAAGAGGCTTATCATCAATAAAGATTTTTTGATTATTATTATTCATAAAACAATTCAACGGCGTATAAGGACAAAAAGTACTTCTTTAAAATTATTTTCTTCAGAATCATCATTTTGCAACAAAAAAAGGAACTGTTCGCCAGGCTCTGGTCAATAGGTCAGTTTTTTTTTTTTTTGTTCACAATTTTTGCATTTTTTAGTCAAATTGTAGCTTTTTGTGGTTCAGCTTAACTCAGAACTGATAACGACAGTTCTGAGCGAATCCGCTCACTGATTTTTAATAGGGGACCTTGTGTCGTTTTGAAATCAAGGGGTCAATTCAACTGTAGGGATTTTTCGTTGAGATTTCCTGTAGGACTCGTCCCGCGAAATCTCTGGCGCGTTTAACTTTATCAGGCGACGGCAGTAGAGCTGCTCGGTAAATTGGATTTGACGCCTGTGCGTTTCATTAGGCGAGTGTGAATGAGTCGCAGCTCGGAAGACAGAAGATGTCACGTCAGAGGCCAAATAGCCGCCGAACACGCCTTCGTCGCGGAAGAAACTTGAGCGAAGACTCGCGGACAATTGCGCATCTCAGTTTTGGAGGTGCCGACACTTTCCAAAGTGGATTTGCCCGCCAATGTTATTATGGTGATATTCGCACCGCGGCTCCACATCTCTTCGCTCGTTTTCCATTTGAGAAGGAAATTTTGTTTTTATCTATCTTCAATTTTTCATAAAGATAGGTCCAATTTCGTTCACTGTCTGCGCGGGTGAAAGCTTAGTGGCGAATCTTTGAGGGCACCTTCATTTTTGCACAGAGCTTCTCCGAGAAATTTCCATTGGTTCAAATTTTTGTCTTCCATCCATGTTTTAGAAATTTATCAACGATGTGGTAAATAATGTTCTATTTTGCTAGAAAACGTAGTTGTTGAAGTAAAATATTTATTATATCCTAATACGTAGAAACGATCACATAAGGGCAAACAGCCATAAGCTATGTGATCTTTTTCGTATCATTGAAATATAATAATATTTATTTGCAACTTAAACGGTAGTTCAAAAAAACTTATTCGCTGATGTTTTTTTGAAAAACGCCTAGGTCTCCCATGGCCTAAAAATGACATACAAAGCATGGAAAATGGCTCTTTGCCTCGATTTCATGTATTTTTTTAAACTCTTCAAACCATAGTAATGATCAACAGGTCATGCCCAGAATCATGGCTGAAAATTTTTGATAGGGAGTTTTCGATGTTAAATTCAGGCATGCCCACTGTGAAACTTTGAAAACCTTGGAAAGCTGTCTTTGAATATTTTCAATATTTTTAAAGAAACCTTTATCGACTAAAAAACTCAAGTTTTATATAATTTTTGCAATCAAACAGATCCAAAAAGAAATGGAAGAATTTTCCAAGGTCAAAACGGTTGAATACTCTCGAACTCAAAACTATCCCATTTTTGGGCTAGTCAAAAATAAAGTTTCATTCAGAGTTAGAAAAGCAAAGCATTATTTATGTATCTACACGGTTTCTTAATGTTTGCATCGATTATGCGCCCCACGGCGGATTATGCCTTGGGGGAAAGCCGTTTTTTGGCTTCTTCGAACTGAACGCTTATCTTTTCGCTAGAATATTCCGATTATTTTCATTTCTGCATTTCTTTTCATGCAAAAATTGAAAATTTATAAGCTTCTGATGGGATGAAGCTCGCTTTCCAGCGCATATATTTTATTTGAGGGAAACTTCAGCTACTATTTTGCTTGAAAATAATTGAAGGTCTCATTTCTCTTCGAGTATTTCTTTTTATTGGCGTCAAAAAGTATTGACAGGATGGAGGATAATCCTTCCGGGGCGGCGGTTCGTTTCCAAACGTGCGGCGATTGACCGCAAGCCACATTTGGTAATCTAGCCATCACTCTTTTTTCAACCACCGAAATGCAACAGCCGCCCCGCTTTTCCTGCCCTCAAATAGCCTTTTCCAAAACTATAAATCTACTCTAGGTCAGTTTCTGCCGCGTAGCTGTTGCGAAGTCGTTTTTCTTCGAGCAAAGGATCTCCCTCAATCAGACTCCAAATTGTAATAGCTTTTTGTTCCGTATGACTATATATTCTTCAAAAAGATTCGCTTGGATTTAGATCCCTTTATCTTGAAATTTCCTTATTTTACTATACAAATATCAATTTTAATAGGTTTATTCGATCAGGTGTCCCCTTGATCAATAATTTCTGACTTCCCTTCTGAGCCGACTTAAATCCACTTCCAACATCAGTCAGTATATACTGAGCGAGGATTTTATGGAACATGTCGTAAAAATGTCTCCGAACACTCGGAAACCTTCTCCAGCCGTTCTCATTACTAGGCAACTTTGCAACCGCTTGTTTGACGAAACTTCCTGTGGATTTTTATTCATAGTTTTCTACAGGCCCAGAAAATTCTTTTCGTTCTGATTTTTGACCAGCTTCGGAGCATTCCTTTATGACCTTTGACGGAAAAAGGCTCAATTCAACTCGGAGCCAATTTCCTGTGTCTTTGTGTTGTCCAGGTGTTACCCGCTGGCAAAAGGCAACCGAATACGGGTTTTATGAGCCGTGCCTTCGCATGGACCCGCCTCCGAGCTTTTGTCCTGTCGACCTCGCTTCGGCTTCTCATTAACCGTCCTGTCTTCTTCTGATTAAATCTTATGTTTATCTTCGGTTTTCGTCTCTTTGTTTTTGATTGATCTTTCTATCTTAATGCTGTCCCGTTCATTAGAACACGACATTTCTGAAAACCAGGGAAAATCAAGCCTCGCATCTATCAAATAAATGACAGGTTGAGGAAATTTGAATGAAAACACCCTTTTACCACTTTTTTTGCAGTTTTATTTTTTTTTCAAATGTATTTTGAGTTCTTTGGCCGTCTTCAAAATTTGAATTTATGTTATTTCCGTGAAACAGTTCGAAAAGTTTCAATAAAGAAGGCCCATTTTTTGTCTGAGCTTGTGTTTTTTTTTTTGGCTTACTTTTGCACCTTGAGTTTCAAATACCCAGGACAGGATCTACCTAGCAATTATCTGACCTGGAATTAGTTATTCAGATGGAGAAAAGAAGAACCTCCTCTCTTGGAAAATCATGCATGTTAAACTCACATGATTCAATTTCTAAACATGCAGCTAGCTATTATTTTGGTTAATAAATTATAAACGTCAAAAAAAGAAGGCTTCGTGTCTGCAGTATTCAATTTTTCTTTCTCGGTGTATCTTTTATCGGAATTTCAAACTTTCAAAAAAGTTTTGATAATTTAATGTTTTCAACGATAGTTTTAAAAGTTTCTCAAGAATATGATTTTCAATAAAATTGAAATGTAAATCCCGCTAACTTGATGACTAAAGCTGTTCGCGACGTTTCATAAAGTTGAAATTCTGTAGAGTTTCGAAATTTTCCTTCGAACTCAACTATTGCCATTATTTTCTAGTGCGCCCTTAATTCATTAACCTTGATTTCTGAGGCAGATAAAGCCGCCTTTTCCATTTCCGTCGTCGCACTTCTTTCGCTTTTCCACCGCCATTCGTTGAGCTCTTTCACTCTTGTGAGCTATCAAATCGGGTTTTTCTCTACTTTTTTTTTCTTTGTAATGCATGAATTTGCGGTGAAAACTGGCTTCTTTGTTTAATTTGATCTGTTTAATTGATTTTTTTCTTATTTTTTTTTTCTAATTCATTATTAGGATATTAATTTAGAAAGTATGGTAAACTTTTGGAAAGCCTAAAGAACTGCAACATCCCACCGACCATGCTTTTTTTGGAAGAGATAATCAAGATCTTGAACCTCTCACAGTTAGCTTGAAGGACTTTAAAAAGTAAAAAAATCTGAAAAAAAAACATTTTTTAGCCAACTCGGAATACTCCAGCGAGAGATCAACTCAATTTTTTTCACCCTTTCAGCTTTTTAATAATCAAAACTTGTGTACAAAAAAATATATTTATTGATTCTTCAAAAATTCAGCTCCTGAAAATATGCGAAAATCTCGATTACCGTACCCGGAGAGTTTGAGTTAGCGCTTCGTCGGGTTTGCCAAAGAGCGCGATTTCCGGAGCCTCGGGCCATTACTCGAGTCGCGGCTCTTCTCCTGCATAATAGCAGCGGCGAGTCTGTAAAAGTTGCACAAGTCACCGCCAATTAACGTCATTCGAGCTTAGTGTAACCGCGTTAAGGCGCAAACCAACGCCCTTTTTCTTCCTTTCGTCTTCTATCGACTCTTTTTTTCAGTTATTTTCAATCTTTTCGTTTTTAATAGATATTGCCGTTTCAGAAACCCTTGATGTGGTTTTTTAAAAGTCCTAGACTTCCGTATGATAGATCAACTCCCGAATTTTTTATGCTATTTCCAATAGGTTGAACTAGTTTATTACTTCCTCTCGCTACCTGAAGGGGGTTTTTTTTTTCGACAACCCTCAATCTTTAGTTCAAAACAGTCTGAATCATTTTTTAACATACCGAGTTTGAAATATTTGAAAATTCTCCCTTTCCAGTATGAGAAGAAAACATCCAAACTATAGAAAAGGGACATTCTGATTGTTAAAATGTAACTTTTTAGAATGATAGTGGATAGTATCAGACAAAAATAGTCCTTCATCCTTTTTTGTTTTGCGTTTTGCAAGAGAGCCTGAAGAAAATTAAACTTTTTCTTCGCTTAATCAAGACGTTCTAAATTTCTCACTGGAACATCTTTGGTTTCGGCTGGAAGTTTCATGTCGAGAAATGTACGTGCTCCAGCTCATAATTGTGATGGATTGTTTCTCAACAGCATCATATGTCACAATGTTGCGAGTGTAAATCGTGTCGCTCAGTACAAGTCGGTTTTGGGGAGGGCCCAACTTTCTTTTTCTTCTCCTCCTATTTACTCCAATTTCTTCAAGTTTAATTTTGGTAACGTTTCCTCGTTAGATTGTTTTTTCACCGTTATCCTGCCGGAAACTATCTTCAGTTTGTTAAAGGTTAATTAAAGTCTCGGAATCGCATCTTTGGGTTTGGAATATTATTCTGAAAGTTTACTGTCCATGATTTCATTTGAAATAATTCAAAATAATTCAGAGATGTAATTGCGTTGGTTCAAAAACTGTCTGAGAGTTTGAACTTCAAATTTTGAAACCCAGGGGGAATTTTCAGACAGGCTACGGTTTTGGAAAACTATAAACTTGTATTAAAACATTTTAATGACGTCCTACGGTTTAAAAATCTTTCTTGGCGCATCAAGAAACTATTATTTTTGGATAACTAGTTGGTATACATGAAAAGAAAAGACACTCACAAATGGCTCGAAAATTGAGCAGTTCGCCTCAAAAATAAGTTCAACGGTTTTCTCCACGAAAGTTCCTTGGCCGCGCTCCTATCAAATATAAATTACTCATCACTGTTTTTTCTACTTTAATAAAGGATAATTAATTTTTTAAAGATTCCATTACACGATGTTTTGACAATAGTTAATAGAAATTTGTACGGAAAAGTACATTTTTGAGGAAATTTGTTCAGAAATCTCTGGTATGGCCGTTTAAACCGACAATATTTTTTCCTCGAATCGTTTTTTAAAGTATCAAGACGAAAAGCCGTTTTTAGTATATCTTAAAAAAGATTTAATTAAAGGTTCTTTTTTTTAGCATGAAATAACCCAGTCTTGAAATTTTTTATGATTTTATTCCTTCACATTGAGAATCTATCTCTCTTTTCTTAAAACTAAATGGTCTCACCGTTTCGAAAAGAATCTTTTCATTGCAGACTTTTTTGCAGGAAGCGTGTACAGAAGGAGTGCTGCCGAGGATGCGGAGCTTGGCTGTGTGCCAGCTCTCGTTGCTCATCCGAGCCCTCAGCCTCTTGCTCGCCGAACTTCCCGTTCTCGCGGAAAGAGATCGCCAGTCTTCCACCGCTTGGCGTAACCAGCATCCGCAACAACGCTGGCGCATCCACTGTCAGTTCCGCTTCTCATTTACGCCTTTGTTCGGAAAGAGCTATCAGAAGAGGGAATGAGGACAGAAATGAATCAAAAAATACCAATCGAGTTTTTCTTAACCGAGTAATTGTTGGAAATTTCTACCTACACGAAGAGAAAAAAAAATGCTTGTATGGGGCCGAAAAATTCAAGGAATTAGTTATTATAATTAGATCATTTATTCAGTTCTCAGAGAAGTTTGAATAATCGAAAAATCAGTTGTCGATTTTCGAAAATGTTGTTTATCTTGAAAGTCGCCCTTCTTGTGATAGTTGTAGCCGAGTGGTTAGTGTCCCGACGATCAGATCCCTTCAGATGAAGAAATACTGTTTATTCAATATGTTGAGGTTTTTTTTTAGTTATTTTCAATATGGACGATATAGCTAAAATTTTCATTAAATGATCTTGTGGAAACGCCGGGTTCGCTGATAATTGCGCTAAGTACAAGGAAGGTCATTCCAATTTGCGATTGAGTTTTCTGAAAGTTTGTCAGAATACTTTTTGAAGAACAGAATTAAGGTCCTGAAAGTTTCAACCTGCACAACTTCCTGATTTCCGAAAAATAAATCTTAAAGCCCCTAAAAAGCCTTTATAAACGGATTTTGAGGTCTCGGTTGACTTCGAGGTGTCCTTTCTCCAAAACTAGAAAATTAGGCAGGTTGAGGCTTTCAGAATCTTCATCTTGTACATCCAGAAGTTTTCTGGGAAAATTCCAGAAAAGTCTCAAAGTAAAACTACCTTCCTTGTTAGATACCAGCCGGAGTCAGAAAATCATAAGAATTTCCGCGTTTGAAATCGTGGTGAATGCAGTATAAACATTCCGTTTTGAGTTCAGGAGGTGGTGCTAAATTTCTCGGAGAAGACATTGAGAAGCCGAATTTTTCTTGACGCAGCTTTTCTGGAAACGGATCTGAAGCTTTTCCGTCGTCGATTTCTTTTAAATGAGGCAACAATTATGTAAATTATCCGCGCGGCCAAACTCTCGCCGCAGCTCGACTGCAAATCCAGAGGCAATTCAGCGCGGGATTTTCGAATTTGTACGGAAGGCCTTGCTGAGAAATAGCCCATAAGCGGGCGCCTATCCTCAGGAAAAACGTTCATTTCGGCCGTTCCCATGATTTATGTCCACACCGGTGACGCTGATTGATGGACTTGGGCTGGAATTGTAGTTTTTCATCCTTTTTGCTCCGTTTCATTAAATGTCATCTTCGAGAGAGGAGAGGCTTTAAAGATGGCTGCAACGAAAAAAGGCATATAATTCGATCTGAGATTTGATTTTTCGCGAAGATTAGCGATCTTTAAATTTTCTTGCTCATCTTTGTTCTTCTCACTTTTTTTTAATACGGAAGCTTTTTAATTCTAGAGCTCATTTTAGTTTTTTATATAACAATAACCGAATAAGTTTCAAAAATTTTTGAGATATTTTAAAAATTTTCTGAATTTTCAAATGACTTATCGTTGTTCTGCCAAAATTTATTTTTCATTTTTGATGCAAATACTGGTTTGAAACATCGTTTTTTTGAAAAATTTTCAGTTGAACTTTTTTTCGAATTTACCCTTATACTATTAAAAAAATTTGAAATTCATTAATTAGAATTTTTTTGATCGATTTCAAATTATATTTTCCCTGTTATTTTCGACAGAGAAGATGAACTTTCTCTTTTTTAGTAAAGTTATATAACGATAAAAATAAGCAACAAGAAATGAAGACAAGGTAGATTATCGCCGTTTCAAACTTTTCTAATAGTCTTTCTGGACCTTTTCACAAACGTTGATTTGAAACACTGCAGCGTGTGAAATGGAGGAGATCCCATGTTGGTCTTGGGCTGCTTTTCGAGAACTGTCCCAACTATATTTGTTTTGATTTGAAAACGGACCGCACCTGGCGACTTGGTCCTCCAGTCGATTAATATTTCAGCACGTCGCGTTCTAAGGACGCCAATTTCCGGGAAACTCTTGATAATTCGATAGGGAAAGTGCAAGCGCGGCTAAACAGATTTGGCGGCCCAAAAGCGCCGGCTTTGGAGCCAAAGACCGCTCACAAACTGACGCCCAAAAGTCGCGTCATATCTCATTACTCTTTTGGTTTTCCTTCCTCTGATAGGCCTTTTTCAGCATTCTATAATGAGGCACAGGAGCTTAGGTGAAAAAACAGAACCTCGACCGCCTCATTGGAGCTGAAAAAAGCGTGAAGGTGAAGATTCGCGAGAGACCTGAGCGAAAACAACAAAGATCCGGCAGTATTATATTTTTGCGGAAGTTTCTTTCCGTATCTCTTTGAGCAGACCTTAGTATCACAGACGTCGGACGACTTCTAGCACCTCCTTCCAGTTGACTGAAGTCTGCACCTCAGTCGGAAGATCAATTTGCAAATGAAAAACGTTTGGATGCTTGTTTTTTCGCAATAAAATGCTCAACAAGTAGGAGAGAAGTTTTGGACGGAGAAGTTGAGATGGAAAACGCTCTCGTGGGGATGAGATTTGCACCTGGGAGCTCTCGCCTCTGCCTTTGGAATTTCCATTTCCGAGTGTTTTCGAGGAGCGGCAGATCAGGCCAACTTTTTGCAGGAGATTTATTGGCCTTTCGAGCGTATTCTTCCAGTTTTCAACACTAAAAACGTGTAGTCTTCAAATATTTTCGGTGGTCATAGAAAAGCAGATGATTCCCAAATGACCTCGTTCTTTTGATCATGATATAAAAAAACTGGAAAAAGGTTTTTAATATTGGTAAGTTCGTTGATAACTTTACTCATACGAATAATAAAAGTCTCAAAAAACTTTCAAAAAAAGACTTGAAAATTTTTCTTATAGCAGTTAAGAAGAAATATATAGTTTGTGTATTATCTGTTTGTAGAGAAACAGATTATTTAACGTGGGTTTCAAATGTTTGCCCGCTAACTTTTCAAACCATTTTGAGAAAACTTTCGCTTCATTAGAATTTAATTAATCGCAGTGAAAATCTTCACAAAACATTTTGCAAAACGGATCGAACAATTTTTTTGTTTTGATGTCCGTATGCTTTAAATCTGTATTTTAGTTTTAAACTCTCAAATAACAAAAACTTGCGGAAAATCGCATCTACAAATTTTCCGAAAGGCTATTACAGGTCAAGTACTGATGAAGGCTTCTTTCTCCCATTGGATGTCCATTTCTCAGAATATCAAAGATCAGATTCATGGATTAAGATGAGCTCTTTTTTCTGCTCATCCCAAGACTGTTCTTCGTTTCTCCGTAGTATCGAGGATTTTCAAGAAATGCTTCGGAGAAGCTCCTAGCCGGAACGTCGACTCGTTTCCTGTTGCTCACACACCGCTTAATAAAGACGCCTGTCTTCGAAGGCTCAGTCGTGATCGACGTGACCGACTCGACGACGGATGGCACTCAGAGACGAATCTCGCGAGGCAGCTGGAGCACAAGAAGAAGAAGAAGCCGAGAAGAGGCTCCTGCGGATGCGTCCTCTCCTGATTCGCTTTCCTGCATGGGTAGACATATGCGGCGGCGGGAGAGCGGCTCTAAATGCCGTTAGATTTGTGCGGCCGAAGGCTCGCCGACGCCACGCCCACCTCGGAAAACCGCCCAAGGCGTGGTGCACCTGCGTCTTGCCTCGAGGAGCAGCGCCACCGTCGTTCAGCCACAGTTCAGGACGCATTCCCTCCGACGTGGAGGGATGCCAGATGACGTCACAGTTCACGAAGCTCTTCTCCTTCATCCTCGCCAACGTCCATGACCCCGCCGCTCCTGACGACACAGGTCCTAGATTTTTTTTTTTCAAGTTTTGTATGACTGCTCTTCAGAGGTTGAGTTTATCATGAGATCGTAAACGCATTTTTCTCAGTCCCTAGTTTAAACTTTTCTATGAAGCTCCCATTGAATACCTTCGCAGACTCTTTTCGGTTCTGAACGTATTCTGCATTCATTGAAAGGATCGCATTGTAATGTCCGGATTGAAAGTTTTCTTAATTTTTTGCACAACTTTTGAAGATAGCTAACTAAAAATAGAGGCTTTGATTGGAAATAATAGTTGAAAGAACTTTTAGGATTTATGAAGCAACTGTTCAACTCCTATCTAGTTACGTGTCTATTTTTGAAACAGTGATCTTAGCTTCATTAAATATTATCTCTACATCTTGATTTTTGAAGTTCACAAGTGGGTGAAACAAAAAATTTACTAAATGAAGGGTGCCATAAAAAATATTTTTTATATGTGTTTTTATTTTTTTTTCCTTTCTTTAACCTTGCTGTGAGGGACGGAACTTCAGTTCATTTTTTTCTTGAACAGCTACAGTTTTATTTTTATATAACCTCAGGGAAGATTAAAGTCTTTTTTTCTAAATCGAGAATAATCGAAGCAAAAACCCCCATTTAAGATTTAAAAAAATTCTTCTCTGATGACCATGAAAAATTTAAAAAAAACCTAATTGAAGAAGCTTTTAATGATTTTTCTTACTCTATTTTTTTCAAGATAAGAAGTAAGTCTGAAAAGATTTATTTGAGAAATCTCTTTTCCTCCTTTTTTTATTTCTAATATGGCCACTTTTCAAAGCAGCTAATTTGGCCAATGGTGCAGGAAGCTTAAGAAAATTTCATCGAGATGAAGATCAATCAAAAAAAAAATCAAAACTTTTAATTTCTCACACGAAAGTACTAACATTTTCGAAATAGATGTAGGGAGAATGTGGAAAAATATTTTCTAGATAATAGATAAGAAATTAATTCTTTTTTCGTTGATGCCCACTGTTATTTGAAAAAATCCACTCAGAGAGTTTTCGATCAAGTTTTTATATAATGACAATACGTTTTTGCGCCAGGACCGTTAATATGATCTTTTTCTATTTTTTTAAAAAAACTTCGACAAACTTTCAAGGCTAAAATTTAAGGATTTTTTTGAAATTTTGTGGATGTTGGAAGAAGCACATCGCTACACCAAACCACCAGAAGGAGTTTGTCCACAAGAATTTCTCAATAACTTGATAGATTGGAAGGAAAAAACGAACAAAAATGACAGAGAACACATGTCAGGGTGTCAAGCGACAACGAACGGAGATAAAAACAGGGCAGAAATCAGAGTTGTTGCGGACCTCAGCACAATCGGATGCTTTTCAAAGACTTGTCACTCATCCCGTCCATTCCATTCTCGGCTTCTTCCAAGCTGCTTCGTCTTCTTCTTTCCGCCCCGGACTCCCTCGCGTCTTTTCCTATTTTTTGGGCAACATACACACGTCTGACGGCGATTTCTACAACAAATTGGATGGCAGCCGATGTCCTCCAACTTGTCTCCTACCTTTTAGCCAACGTCTCAGACTTCACCACAGGTTCCTCAATTTTTTGTGACTCTCTGCTCTTTTGGGTCCGGGAATTTTCGCTGAGGATCGATGCCTAGAAGTTTTTGCTTGTTTCGTTCCTTTTCTTAGGTTTCTTGAAAATCGTACTCGAAGACAACCGTAGAAACTTTTGGCTTCGGGTAGATACGCAACCGCGAAGCAATATTCCTCTAATCGCTTAGATTTTAAATGATTTTCTTTGCGGTCTAATGGGAATATTTGGGTTTTATCCCCGACTAAGAGGAATTTAAGGAAGAACAAATATATTAATTCAATTTCAAAGATCCCGGCCAGAATTAAACTAACACTTTCAAAATAGAAGAAATTAGCAACGTTTTTTTCGGAGGGAAATCAACTTTTTTTGAAAGCGACTTTTTAAAAAAAGGAAAAAGAACTATTAAAAAAACTCTCGGTAATTGATATCCTCTAATTGAACAAAAAAAATTAATCAAACTGCAAGAAGGAGAATTAATTTATGTGCTATTGAAGGATCATGGCCCTTTGTGCATTCGGTCGAAGCAAAAGGGGTTCTGCTAGAAAGCTTCAGGTGGTTTGAAAAAGAAAAAGATTCCGTAGACTTCTCCAATTTAATTAGCAGTTCGAGCCATCATGAGAAGAGCAGGAATCGTTTTGTTTTTGATAGAAGACGATTTTTCTCTTAGCTAACGCTCGGTTTCCTGCAGCAGGAAGCGCAGCTCGACTTCAGTTAATTATCGTACATGCAAATATTTCGCGCCTCTCATTATCAGCTTGTAGGTCTAATAAAAAAAAGGCCGCCTCCGTGCCGAACATCCGTGCTCTATTGAGACATTCACGTCACACGTAGTCGTTTTTTTTTTCGGTTTTCCTCGGGGGTCCATTTAAAAATGACGCCGTTTGAACCAATGCAGAGACAAATGTTGCGAAGGGCCAAGAATATGGCAAACTCGCCCGAGGCGATTCATTTTCGCTCTAATTTTAATTAAATCGTCTGTCGACGCACTCATTCGGCCGTGAAGGCGTCGATGAGCCGCTTGATTGTCCTTTCCGCCTGTTTTAATGACTTTTTAAGGGGGCTTGGTGTTTGAACTAGGCCTTAATGCCCTTTCAAACTTTGTAGACATTCTATTTTTTTAACACGTGCTTTAATTGTTAGAAATTGAGGCGTTTTCATATTTTAATCATAATGGATCAAGGGATTTGAATCAAAAGCCTTTAAGCTGCAGAATAATAGGAAAAGGAATTCAATCTCTTTTCCAGCTTGTTTCCATCGAAGAGTAATTGCGGGTCGCAGGAAATTTTTTCGAGAGTTTTTTAGCTAGGTTTCGACTAACTTCTTGAAGAGTCTAGGAGCTTACTGGAATAGTTTTCGTTTTTTTTCTGCATTTTGATCCAGAGAAAAACTTCTGTGGGAATCGGATGAATGGGTCATTGCGATTCTTTAGGAATCATTTGCGCGAAATGACCCACCACTTGTCATGCTTTTTGCTTAGATTCGCCTTTTGCCTACCAGTCGGCTCCCATTGCTTTTCCGATCCGAGCTCGTTTTTGAGCAAGTACTACTTATTAAGTAGACTTATGCTCAATGGCACTTGCGCCGGCTGTCGTTGTTCCAAATGGCCACATAAATCTTAGGGAGATTCCAAGATTTTTTTTTCTCAGCGTCGTTGGAGACGATTCAAGAATTCAGTTTTTGAAGTGAATGATTGAAGTGATTCGGTCTTCAGTGATAGAACCTAGCTGAAGCTTTTGCTGTCCATCGCGCTTGTCGGTGACCACTTCTGGGCGTCGATATTAAATAAAACGTTTGCACGAAACTTGTCTGCCGTTAACAAGTTTTTGTGGTGAGAGCAAACGAGGATGTGCAGCCGCACTCTTTTTCTTTTCGTTGCCTCTCCGAAAAAGCGCCCGAGGGCACAATCGACCTACTCGAGTTGACCTCACCTGCCACGACCATTGGGGTCCCAAGCGGGACTGTCAAAACAAGATGGTAGAATGGCTTTGTGACAAAAAACAATTGTATAGAAACTTGTTATAGGTAAGAGATGGCACGGTTCGGAACAATAGTTATCACTGTAAAATAACCAAACTTTTATCTTTGATTTATTTTGATTTTAGAGCAAGTTTTAAATTACCCATTTTGAGAACGTTCCTCTTTGAAATAACTGGATAGTGCATTTTTCAAGCTTTTTCAAACAGATCAAGGAGATTTCACAAAAAAGGTTATTCAGAGAAAATCTTGCTTTTTGAAAGAAGCATAGGCAAAATTATGTGAAGGTACCGAGAAGAAGAACCTTTTTTAGAAACTTATGACAGCAAAGGAAAGTTTTCCCTTCCCTAGTAATGTTACTCGTTGTTCTATGTAATGAATAGTTACTTTTCTATCTGACGATCGATTAACTTATATTTTCCTAGGAATAGTTACTTTTCTATCTGACGATCGATTAACTTATATTTTCCTAGACCGGATACTTTTTCGGCTTTCGAATCACTCTGATGCTACACTAGTTGTTTCTGCGGCTTTTCTCCAAGTTTGTCAGAAATGCCCAGAATAGTTCAGTCTCCCAAAACGCCGCCTAACTTTTTCTACATGATTGAATTTGTTGCTGGGTAATTGCGAAAGTAACTGGGATAAAGTCCGCAATAGGCTTAAAGGTAAATTAATTATTCGGAAAAGGTCAGCCGACTGTGAATTCCACGTATGGCCCCTAATTGAAATCGTTAGCGCGGAGCTATATATTATAGTAAGTACCTACTCGGTGCAAACTTTCCCGCAGGTAAAGTAGAATCAATATTAAAATCAAAAGATGATATTTCTTTCAAGTCTTGAATTATTCAAACGAGAAGTATCGTTTTGAAACCGTTAATATTACAGTTTTCGGAAAAATAGTCACCTCAAAGCATCGTGTTGTACTTTAAAAAAATGGAAGAATGTTTTAATTTTTACATTAATTGTTTTTTTCCGTTGGAATAAATTTTAAAATTTGTTTTAAGTAAACTATTTCAGTTGGAAATTATATATTTTTCATTACCAGAGACCAAAGTTATCTTAAAAATTCCTATGAAAGAAAATCTTTTGATTGAATTTCTTTGCACTCATTCCAATCTGTCATCGAAATTGAGTGTTTGTTTTCTATTTATTTACCAAATCTCTTGTCCATTTTCGGAGTAACGCAGTAGTCGAATCGCTTTGTTCCAATGAAACTTGATATTTTGAAGGTTTTTTTTTTTGGCCAGAATGCTTTCCATTGTGTGCCGTCGCTTAAATGCTTAGCCGCGAACAAGAAAAAGGATGAAAAGGGGCGCGAAAAATTGGAAAAGCTCTCTTGAAAAACCCATTGTTTTGTGTCCTCGTGGTTCAAATCGTGGCGCCCGCGTGAAAAAGAGTTTTTGGACTTTAAAGGACCATTTGGAGGTGTGAAATGAACAAAAAAAACTAGCAAGTGTTGCGTTTTTCCGATAACATAGTTCTGATCATATAAAATCATAAAACGGCATTCGTTCACTTTTTCTCGCCTTCAAAAGATCTTTCGTGGGATTTTTGATTAATTTACTTTTTCCTAGAAACAAGATAGAAAATAAGCGTCTATAAAGGGAGTTGCAAAGATGATAAAAGGTCCATTAACCATAAAAAGGGCGAAAAAGGAAACTTTTTATCGTATTGTAAAGGTTTTTGAAGGAGTTACATTTCTTCACTTAGGGTTTTTTTGAAGCTCACTTTTTCATACTCTAGTAAAAATCTTTTTTTTTCAGAAAGTCTTGTAAGTTCCGTGAATCGTCTGCCTTTTTTCTGCTAAATTGATAGAATGACTGAAAAACAAACGAGAAAAAACGTCTTTGTATATTTTTTCGATCATTAAGTCAGAATGTTAACGAGCATACTAGTACAATATCTTTGAAAATTTCAAGTTCGCAGCACAAGTCGATCAGATCATTTTCGTGAGTTGCGAAAAAGGAAGATTTGTCTAGCTACTACAGCCCAAATCAATTCAAAACGCGCAATTTTGGGAGATTTCAGCGCTACGGTTACCATGCTACAGCTGCATGAGCCCCTATCTCGAGGACCACTACGGCTACATTTCCCACCTCTACAGGAAGCCAATGTCTTTCGACGTTCATTGCGATAAACATAGGTCTGTTCGTTTTTTTATTTGAGCTGATCCCAAATAGAAAGAAGTTTCGAAAAGAAACAACTTGCTTGCCTGTCAGATTGCGTGATTTCTTGTTTTTTTTGCAATAGTTCTTTCCTTTTTGCAGAAAAAGAAGTTATTGGAAATCTCTACATTCTGATCAGCTACTAATAATCTTAAGTTGCTTTTTATTAAGCCAAATCCATGTTTTTTTTCGATAATGCATAAAAAAAACTATCGAAGGAGCAACATTTTTTTTTTCGAAGAGTCTTATCCTCTTTTCTGAATAAATGTGTGTAAATGTGTAATAGTGTGATCATAACTTTGATAAAGTTCGATTTTCCGTTATTGTGAATTTTTTAAAAAATAATTTTTAGTTTGGATCGAAATTATTTGTATATGAAGAATTGCTCGGATATGTGTATAACGCTCAGGATACACGATGTCGTGGGAGGTTCGTTTTCTTCTCTTTTTGTCAAAGTAGCGAGTTCAGAAGAGAATTTACTCTTTCAAAGGAAAGAGTATAGAGTGTTCTCTTTCTTAACAAGGTTAAAAGCTACTTTCCTAGTTAAAGAAGTTTTTTTCACTCTGTAGCAAGAAGAAATAAACTCCAGAAGCTTTTTAAATTATTTTTTTCCTGTTTTTGTTCGACCAGGCACTTTTTTTCACTTTTTCTTATAAATTAATTCTCTAGAAAGTTGTTTACTTCTGAACAACTTGAAAAAAAGAACAATCATTTTTTTGTTTATCATGTGCGAAACATTGAAATTGAAGTATGGGCAGGGGAGACTGTGATGTGGAAATTCATTCTTTTTTTCTTATCCTAAACTGTTTTGATCGATTTTTTTATTAATTTTGGTTGTTATTTTAAAGATTCTTCAGTATTAGATTGATTGCGTCGTGACTTAATACCCAAAAAAGATCTGAACATAAGAGAATAAGACCTTTAAAAGAGTGCCTTCTCAGCCTTTCTCGGAAAAGCTCTTTTAGGAGGAAAAGATTAAGGTAAAAGGAGAATTCAAAGAGAAAGGTCCTAAAGAGAAAGGTTGAGGAGCGGATAAGACAATTCTTTATCAGCGAAAAATGGGGAAGTTCAGATAAGTTTTCAGAGACGTCTGTCTTCTTTCAAAATTGATAGCTTTTTATGAGATTTTGGAGCCTCCTAAGCTGAAGGAGGGTCAATCTTTGAAAGAATTTCGGTATTTCAATTGAAGAATCATTGCAGGACGGCGAAGACACGGCTACCTGCGCGGCTGTCTGTCGGACCTGCAGGGCTACAATCACACGGTAATTCGTGGACTTGCCGAACGACAGGGATGTCTCGGTTCGTTTTCTCCATTACAATGTCTCCCAATTTATTTCGTTCCAATAGAATATTCCATACTCCCTCACAGTTTTCTTACTTTTCTTTACGATTTGAAATTTTTGGAAAAATTTGCTTAATTACTCTTCAATTGTCTATATTAGTACTTGCGCAAACTTGTCGTTCTTTAGATAAATATTATTAAACTTTGAAAATTAGCTCAAAGCCCATATTTTGCAATCTTGAACAATTATATCTCCAAAACTGATATTTTGTGTAAGTAGTGACTAAAGGGATTTTCAATTAGACCTTTCGAGAATTTTTGAGCGATTCTGTAAGAAATTACAAACGGCAAAGTAAAATAATCTCCCTTGTTATGCAAAAAAAGTTTTTTTCTACTGTTTAATTATCTTTTTCAGTATAACTTCACCTGTATTTTTCGGTGGAATTTTTTTAAATGTTTGATGCTTAGAAATTTCGATCTTGGAATCATGAAGATGGCGATCAAGCTTTCCAAATTTTTTTACTTGCGAAAATATGAATATCAATATTTGAACCAAAGAAGATTTGATTTTGCCAGTTAGGTTTGTTGTTCTGGTCTGACATCTCTTGATTTAACCCAGGTTACGGCTATCCCGATTCTATTTAAGGAAGTTTCAATAACTTTAACTGTTAAGGAGTTGACTCTTTTCAAGAGTTTGCATTTAACTTTGGCTAGTTTTCCTATGATTAAGAATCTATAAAAAAAAATTGATAATCAATAGAGACATTTTTTTTTATTCGAATAGAGAAGATCGTCTGATTTTTTTAAGTTAGAAATTTTTTTAATTTTTTTCTCAGTCATTGCATTTTATTCTTTTTTTGGATATCTTGTATTTCGTCGCAATTATCAATGTGGATCCTGTACAAGGTATTCGTAAAGCGTGGAAAAGTTTCATTATTTTGGATATGAACGAGTTTCTGAATGGAAGAAGGTTTCAGAGACGACAGCTCGGGAACTGTTCCTGCCGACGGCGCAGCGCCAGGAGCTCGAACAGTTGCCTTTGGGCCTGTGCGCCTGCCACAACAGCCTCTGCAACGTGGCGACGTCGCCGTCCGTCGGCTTCTGCCTCGCCGTCCTCCTTCTCATCTTCTTTCTTGTTTTCACCCGCTGATCTTTCTACTAGTTCTGATGGTCTGATGGTGTTTCAACGGGTTCATTCCATTTTTTGAAAAAAAGCCATCTCAGAATCTTAAAAGTTTGTGATTTTATTTGGTACTTTCGCATCAAAGAAATTTTTCACCACCACGCCAAAAGTTCAAGAAAAAACCTTTTTTTCACGGGTCTTCCGGATGCCTCAACGCCCTTTGTCTTTAATCTTGAACATCCTCAACTTATCTCTTAATTTTTTTTTGTTCAACAAAGAGATTTATATAATTTATATGTTTTACATGTACAGAGGAAAGCAATTCAATAATAATTAAAACGTGGAAGAAGTCGCTGATCGGCAGAAAGTTCTCAGTTTTCCATGACATGTGTAACTTTCTTCGATTTTTGTTTCGAAATTTAAAAAGTCCTGCCGTGGGGTTATTACGACAACTGTTACCACGTAGAATTGAATACTAGAAACACGCGGAAGGGCAATCATAGGTTCTGAATGTGGAAAAAGTCGCAGTTGGCAGGGAAGTAGGCCTGTGGATAGGCGGCGTACGGCGAGACCTCAAAAGTCGCTGGCTCCAGAGCCATCGGCGGTGGCTTCGATTCGCAGCCCGAAGAACCGTCGTCGCTTTCAGATTTAGCCGATCCTCCTCTGAAAAGCAATCGCTTTTGAAACATAACAATGCGTTTGACTGCGATATTGGAAATCTCCTGATTTTTTTAAGCGTTCACGGAGGGTGGTCTAACTAAACACTATTTTCTTTCCAGTTTCCATGAACTGAACCTTTTAAGTTAGATTTTTCATTGGAATTTTTTCTTGTCAAATAACGAAGGTAAAGCTGTGTACGGTAGGATAAGAGGGTGGCTAGCCCTCGAAGACTTGCAAAGTCGACAAGACAGCCGAAGTTTGGGGACAGGCGTGAAGAAGCGACCGTACACCCATTGACCTTCCATTGTGCGGCTTCTCCTCAAACACTTCGAGAACGCCGCACACAATGCGCTTTGTCCGGCTGATACCGGCCTCCGTTTAGGTACAAATGGCTCCTTCACGCCATCCCAGCTTACAAACCTTCGCGAGAGGCTAAGGTAAAACCAGCAAATTTAGTTCGATCGAAAAAGCTTATAGAACAGTTTTTTTGAGAGGACATGGACAAGACCGGATATTTCATTCAAAAAAACACCCCGAAATTTATTTTTAAATATAATTTTCAAAAAAAACCTTCACATTTGGATAGCATAGAATAAAAGTTTTTCTGAACTAGACCCAGCAAGTATCGTTTGACCAAAAAAATAACTGGGAATAAAACATTTTCGTTTTGCTCAAAATTATGCAGAAAGTTAAAAACGAATAGTAATAAAAAAAGTCTAAACGAGACGGCTGGAAAAAAGGGGAAAATATATTTAAAGTCATTTACACATTTCTGACCTACAAAATTATTACATTTAATTATTTCATTATTCTAGAGGTCCTAAGTTTGTAGAAAAAAACTCAGAAAACACTGGGAACTAGATAGAAAAAAGAGTGAATGAAAATATTCCTACCTTTCTAAATTGCCGGCAGCTCTTTCTCGTTGTCGCTTGTTTTTGAACCAATTTGATACCTTAACGATTATCGATTAAAAAATATCGATCAAGAAGTTCACCTGAATAATTGAAAGTTCAGTCTGAGCGGCGAGTCTCCGTTTTTCTTCGACTGAGGGATAGTGGCACTTTTTGTAGGCTTCCCGTAAAACATTCCTCGATTTGGACTGAAAAGGATATTTTTATTTTTTCTTGTCGAAAATGGAAAATTTTGTTAATTTTACAGATACATTGATCGTGAAGACCCGAATCCATCTTTTTGAGTCAAATTTTCTTTGTAAGGAATCGACATCTCGGGTCAAAAACGAAGCTAAAAATGAAAAAAAAACGCCACGATCTAACATCAAGATGTTAAGAAACCTCGTAACCTCTCAAAAACATTTGGAAAAGTCAAAAAAAAAATACAGTTTAAGGAAAAGTTTACTGAAAAGCACACTATAATAAAATTTTTTGAATGATATTGGACTCAAAAAAAATGACTCTGTCTTTTTCCGGCCGTTTAAATTATTACAACGTCTTTTCAGAGCTGCCTTGGTGAATCAAAATTGATGTTTTCAGAGAATTCGTATAAAAATACCTTGAAGCAATAATTGGTCTCTTCGCCGTCCCAAATTGTCGGCGGAAAAGGGTTTTTCTTGCGAATACGGTACTTGCAGACGGCGCCGAGTTCACGTTCCTTGGTTTTCTCGGCCTGTAAAGATTACTGTATGACGCAATTGTTATGCACACAAACATATCATAAGCACTTGAGTGCCCTTTTTGTTTGTCGACTTTTGGGCCCAAGCTGCGCCCAACCACGGCAAAAAACAACCAAAACTCACGAAGTTTTCGACAAAATCTTTGCTTGTTTTTACTTTGCATAGTTTTCGATTTTGTCTTGTTTAAGTATGATTTTTTTGCCAGTTTTCTTCAATTATTCGATACGAAACAGAAGACTGAGATTCACGATTTTTTTACCTAAGAAAAAGTTTCGAACCTCTTTATAATGAGCGTCGAGCCAAAGATGCTGCAGTACTTGGTGATTGTGAGGAGCGAATTTATTGCATTCCAAAATTCTGGAATTTTTATTTTTAAATTTTAAATTTCATTAATGATATTTTCCACAGTTTCAGTAGTTGAGGAAAGATCAAACTAATAATTTTTTTGTAAAAAAAATTTCCGTACAATCTGTTTATTTACAGAATTTTTTTCATTGAAAAAAAGGGTTTATCGAAAGTTTAGCTGCCCATGCCGTTCAGCTTCTCTGTGTATGTAGAAGGAACAAACGCAGAGAAAATTGGCAAAATTCACTTTGAGTCTACTTCAATTTTTCGCACAAAAGTTTGAATATAATTGATTTTAGATTCTTCTCCGACTTTTTTTCAAATCCTTGTTTGCATTTTTCACAAAAACTTCTATTTTGAAAGCATTTTTGAACTTCAGCAAGAGTCGATCTTATTCTGATTAGTACCGACGTAGAGCTTTCCGAACAAGGAAAAATCACGCAACTTCATTTTATTTGGTTGAGGAAACCTATTTAAGTTTCTTCTTGAAAATATTGTTGGAATTCGCAAAAAGGCGACAAAGACCTAAAGAGTAAAAGCCGAGAAAAGACCTACCTACGTTTGCTGAAAAGATATAGGAGCAAAAATTATCCGAAAATGAGAGATTAAAGAAAGTTTGACAAGAAAGAGTTTTAAACTGAAAAAAAAATATAAGGCAGCAGCGACTTTCTAGAAATTTCATCGGTTTTAAACGTTTTCTCGGGTCTTAGGAAAAGTCTTCAATGACTAAAAAAAATCCTTTTTTTCGCCTCCTATAGAATGAAACTCGATCAGTTGTATTTTCCCATTAGTTTTGAGAAGGCCTAGCAGGAACTTTGACATTTGCAATAAAACAAAAAAAAGATTCACCGATATAAGCTTTTCCAGTTCTGCTGACTGTAGAGAACGAGCGCCTCTGCCTTCAGGGCACTTTCCAGCCTCCGATGGCACGGCGGCAATGACCACAGAAAGTGTGCCTGCAACGCTTCGATTGGCGCATGTTTGCTTTTTCTCTCGGAATTTCACAACTACCGTACTCTTCCCGACGTGATCTCACTTCACTCAGACTACTCACGGGTTGTAGCACACGTGAAAAAGTTACAGAGAAAACCGAGAAAAAGTTACAGAAGTGTGAAAAAAAGTAAAACTAAACGCCGTAGGATTCGCTGCTTGCGTACTCGATGATAGAGATTGGCATTTTGGTCAATTCTTCGAAAGCCGCTTGAATTTTATTGGAATCTTTTTTCGATTATGATCGCACTATTTTATAGTTAATCTAACTTTTTGGTGTATCAGGTTTATTTTGTAAAATGAAAGAAGTGAAATATTCTTCTTAGGACCGAAAAAACTTCTCTAAATGGCGTGTTGTCTTAAAGAATGTCCGCTAGACTTCGAACACTTTGAGAAATTCTGATCGCGTAAACTAGACTGTTCGCGTTAGCGCCGCCCTGGTTATGAGGTTCCAGGTGTAACCGCGAACGTTCGAGGCGTTTTGAAGAGAATGAGTGACGCGAAACGCGTGACACTCAAATCACGTCAGGTGTCGGTCCCACGGCAGAATATAACCGCAGAATCTTTGCACAAACTCCGCGATTCAAACGGCAAACTTCTAACTTAACGCAAAAAAGACAAAAAACTGACGAGTTGGTCGGTTCTGCCGGTCTGAAGTCCTTCATTGAAGAGGCTTTCGCAAATGCAGGACACTTCCTGCTCTGTGTAAGACGTCCCACTAAAAAAAATTGAGTGCAAAAATTCAAGTCATGGCAAAAAAAATCTAGAATATATGGTTCAAAATTCTCACCCATCTATGAGCTTCCAAACAAAATTTTTGTCTTCGATTCAAGTCACCTAGTCATCATTTTGAGAAGCAAAAAGATTACAGTTTTCTAAAAAAAAAAATATTTTTGAGAGCAAAACTTTCAAACAAAACATATCATTAAATGCAGAATGAAAAGGCTGATCAGTTGAAAAAATGTGTTGTTTTGGAGTTTTTTTACGGAAAAAATGAACGAAGTTTGATCTCTTTTTCACCATTGACTTTGGGGCGAATAAATTTTCATTTCAAAAATTTTGCAGTATTTTCATTATTGGACTTGAAAATAAAAACCCCTGACGCTAGAAGAAAACGACATAAAGGAGTACTCGAAGCGAAGTTCTGTGCGAAACGAATGCTAGAAAAATACAAATGAATATTTCAACTGAATCGAAAATCTTCAAAGAATCGGAGTCTCATTTGTAAAAACGTTGAAATGTCTTCTGAAATTATTCCATTCGAACCAGAAAGATCTTTCAACATCATTTCGAAAAAGAAACAAGATTTTGAAAGGTCTTCTGACTTCTTGGTCGTGTTAACCGTTTTTCAGACACAGTGAGGGAGGAAGAATCGTTTGGAAGCTCAAAGAGAGATTTGAATTCTGGAGTGAGAACACGCGAGCAACCAACAACGAGAAGGCATTCTGCGCACCTCCCGCACACGCAACAAAATATACAAGTGAAAAGGCGAGTCGACGGGAGATCGTAACTGGAGCTTTTTTCCCGAAGGTTCGAATGTTGGTTGCTCGAGTGACATTGCAGGCAGTTGAAAGTTGATAGGGCTTACGGAAGGTGCAGCGGAGCACCCGCATCGTAGGGTTGCATGGTCGGCCGATGCTGCGGAGTCCAGCTCGGCGCTGGCTCGGCAACGCCCCCTGCGTCGTCGTCGTCGCGGCAGCCGTCGCCGCACTCGCCGTCCTCCGCGCTCGCAGGACAGCCTCACCGCTACAGTACACCCACTTTTCACTTTTTCGCATCTGCAAGCTTTTGATAAGGTTATTGTTCAGAAAACTCTGTAGATTTCAAAAACTTTTCAAATGATCAACTTCTTCAACTTTTGCAGCTTTTCATATATCGTAGTCACTGAAAAGTGAGAGGTAGTTCCAAAAGCATGGAATAGAGTTCTCAAAAAAATCGTTTCGGTGTTGTCTTGACACTCGTGAAAAACCAACGCTTAAAAATATGAAGAATTTTATAAATGAGTAATACCAAGGAAAATAGGAAATTTGAAAGTTAGTTTTGGAGTAATTTCTCTTTAGGAATAATAAATAATTTTTTCGAAATAGGAATAAAACTCTTATGTTGATCATGATAAATTCATGATAGACTCAATATTATGAAAAGTTGGTGGAAAAAATTACAAACTTGGAACCTTTTCCTTCACCTTGAAATACTCTTTGCGTGCGATAAAAAAGTTTGAACTTATTTACTTGAAATTAAGGTTTCTAGTTCCACTCACTGATGGTCTGACTTGAGTAACCGTTAGTGGAAATGACTCAGAAGCCTTGAGAAAATCTGCATTTTTCTGCTGTCTTTTCCAGATTAAGAACCTTTGCGGGTTCTTTTGCGGCCAAAAAGTCATCTGGTGAAGCTTCTTTTTGTGTTTGCCGAGCCAAGTACAGGTCATGGAAACAAAATACGGTGCAGCTGGTAAGGCACATGGTGTTGCGCAAACAAAAGCAGATGTATCTTTGGGAGTTGCTCTCCTAATGCAGTCGCGAAGACGAACACGACGTTGTCCTTTTGGCGGCTGGCGGCTGGCGTCGGACCCGTCATCCAGGTGAAGTGATTGACACCCGTGTGTCATCCGCGGAGCTCGTCGAGCAGCTTGTCCGCGTGTCGCTTATCCTGACACATTACACGACATGTTTCACAAGCACGTTCTGTTCTGAAACTCGACCTGTGTCCTCCCCCAAATCGCCGCCGAAGCCTTTTTCTACCGTAGTTTGCAAAACTAACTTTGCACTTGCTTTTCTGTTGGAAAAATGTCCTTTTTTCAGTCCATGCTAAATAAAAGTTGAAAAAAAACTCTGCAGTTTTCTTCACAGTCAACTAGATTCAAAAATCGAAATTTAAGCTTCGTGAGCTCAAGCGCTAGACAAAAGAAAAAAAACCGGATATCTTAATTTCGAAACTGTTCACGTGTATCATTAAAAATAATTTTCTCAAAGAAAAGGTTTTTTCATCCTTCGATCAGAAAAAAACTGTTAATATTGGAAACTTCAACCTTTTTTATCCGAAAGCCAACAATATTCCCCGCAGTGCTCACAAAAAGTTCCTTGACCAGGAGCCCATCCAGACAAAGAGCGATATTTTTCATCTTGACGACCGATGTTTACCTGACGGAGAGCCGAATATAAACACAAAAAGGTCGAATAAACCGTTTTCCCAGTGCCATAACACAAAAAAGGGGGAGAAGCAGTGGGAGCCAAGCCGTTCGACGGTTTTACGGCCTGCGGGTCCGGCTGCCTCGAAACGGCGACTTCAAAGACGCCTCGGAGTTACAGTGCGCCAATGGCGGTGGGAAATCGCGCAAAAAATCCTCACATGTTTTGCATCGAATGGCTGCCTTCCAGGTGTGCAGATCGCCATTTGAAGCTTTTCCTTTTCCTACCTTGAACTCTGTCATATGTGGTCATTTAGTCAAAAAAAAAAGGATAAAGCTTGAGATAAGACCCTTCTCTTGTAGAGCTTTTTATTGCAATCCCAACCATTGAATTTGGAAGAAAAGTTAGAAATTTCGAAGCAAAAAGCGATTGAAACAACGTTCGCGCTTTTCCTCGAAAGTTTTTTTTTGCAAGAATGTGATTCTAAGGACGAAATTCGTTCAGATCACAATAAAGTATGTGTAAAAATTTTCTCTCCTCTTAAATTGACCTTTTATAGGCAACGGGCCTATGAAATGTTTTCTTAGTAATTTTTAATAGGTAAAAGTTGGTTCAGTTCGAACCAATAATTACTATATTACTTCTCACCATTCCTAGGCCCAAAGTAATATGCTGATGCCTTCTGGATGACCTTAAAAGGCAATTCACGAGAGAGAAAAGCGACGACGGGTCGTGTTGTTGTCCCACGACGAAGACTACGGTAGCGGATCGAATTTCAACTTGAGTCTTTCCGTTTGGCCCAGCCTTCGCACGCGCAAACGCTCCTGCATGATTTTTCCCGGGGCCTTGATTCATAATTTCGAATTTCTTGAACAGTTTCAGAAATAATTTAGTATGCAATGAGTAATAGATGATAGTTAGATGGGATCAATTTTCTTTGCTATAATAAATTATGTTTTCTCATATTTTATTTTAAAGATAGATAAAAGATTTCCGACTAGTCCAACATCTTCTAGAGATTAGATCACTTATAGAGTTTCGAGCCAGAGTGTGAATTTGCACTTCAAAACCCAATAATCATCACTTGAAAGAGTCTGACATGTCTGCGCCCTCTTGTTTCTCGCCGCCGAGATAAGGAAGGCAGAAGCTGTTATTAAAACAATCGCTGTGAAGTTGAAGAGAGTACCAAAACGTCAGAAGATATAAAATGTTGGAGAATAAGAATTTCTTTCAATTCAAAAAGTCAAACTGCCAAAATAAAAACAAATTTCTTTCATTGCTTAAGGCTGTTGAAAAAGTCTCTTGGAAGGTTCTTGAAAAAAGAATAGAAGACGTTAAAAAGTAACATTTTTGAATTCCTTCAGAACCAGAAAGTTTTTTCAAAAACTTATGGAAAAAAATATATAAAATCTATCTATTATCAGCTATAACTTTTGAACTTCTTCTTTCTAAAGAGAAAGGTAAATCTTTGTATCCTCTGACAGAGGCATTACCTCAAATCCCATAACCTGAGGTTGTTAGGTAAGCGATCGCAGAGGCACGACGTTCAGCCAAACAAACGTTGGCAGCGTGCGACTTGTGGTGGCGCCTAGTCGATCCGAGTTGCGCAAGCCTCCGTGTATGCACCAGACATACACCTAGGGCCACTTGACGCCGTCGGAGAAGCGGTCCGGCCACAGCTAATCCCCAACATCCATTACCTGATCAGTCGGGATCAATTTGCAGCTTCAAGTACTGTTATTGGCCGGAATATAAGGATGAAAGTTCTTCATTTGTAGCCATCTTTCACCCGGTCTGATGCAGAGAGATTCAGTTGCCATAAGCTAGTTTCAGCGAATAAACTGCCTTCCGTGGTTCAATTTTTATGCTTAATTAAAAATTAAATTTCAGGATCAAATTTAATTTGTTAGATGCGAATTTTCCTAACATACTTATATTGAAATGGTATTTTGAAATACTCAAAAAAGGCCTGAGAATTTTTGAAAAAACTTCCACTCCAAAGCAATTTTTTTTTAATTTTTAAAAGATTCGCTTTCAATGGAACTTAAATTAATAATCATTGAAAAAAAAACCTGATGACTGACCTCGCCGTAACATCTCCGGTCTCTGGTCCAAAGAGATTTACCGCTTTACATTTTGGTAGTCCGCAGCCTTTGAAAGATGATACCAGAAGAGAGCAGGAAATGGCAAAGGATGGCTGTCGTTTGTACTGGGACATTTTTCGATCCGGGGAACATGGTCCTTCGTGGCGGAGTAAATAATTTTCAGCTGCGTGTGCCGTGTCCCAATTTTATTCCGTGTCCAAAGTGATTTGGTATGAAATAGAAATGGTGGAGTGTAAAATATGACCAAACTTTGAAAAGTCAGAGATAATTTCCTATTTCGCGAAAAAAAACATTGAACTCGGTAATATATAACTAAATTTTGGAAGAAAAAAATAATTCAACATTTTGCGAAATTTCTTCCAGCACGACATCCTAACGCTTTCCAAAATTAAGAACACCATAAATTAAATCAGAAAACAGAAGAAAAATAAAAATGACGATGTTATATATAACTGACCCGCAGAGCAGTTTTGCTGCAAAATGCCTTTTGCGCGAGAGCAGGCTTGTGCGTCAGGCAGGCTTGTGCGAGGGCCGGCCCGTCACCCTCCCGGCCCCCCGACCATTTTGTAAGCCCGGCCCGGCCCGGCCTTAGCGGGCCTCAAGAAAAATGGCCCGCCCGGCCCGAATCGCGCAATTTTTTTCTAGTCGGATATCAAGTTTTTTTACGACAAAAAAATTACGTTTTTTTGCTCATTTTTTTCTCTTAAAGTTTAACAAAAAAACTATGATTTGAGAAGTAAAAGTCACATTTCGGTGAAAAATTTTTTTAAATGAAATTTTAAATTTTTTTGAAGCCCGGCCCTGGCCCGCCCGAGCCCACACGGGCTTTTTCCTGAAAATAAGGCCCAAAGCCCGGGCCGGGCCGCCCGGCCTGTCGCACAAGCCTGGCTTCAGATGTCTGTTAAAAAAAAAGCAAAAAATTCAACATGAAGAAATTTTGAGCTTTTTGGGCCGTGCCGGCGGCTTTTCGAAGGCCTGGCCGGGCTTGCCCGGGGCCGATAAGCTGACGGGTCGGCCCTCGCACAAGCCTGGCGGGAATTAAAACTATAAAATTTTTCTCCGAAAAGCGCTTTTCAGGGAAAAAGCTTTTTCTATTCCAATAAGCAAGAAATTTTATAAATTTCGAGAGCTTGCTGGTTAGCTTGAAGATGCATAAGCTGCGCCTTGAAGAAGGGTCCTGACACGATGAAAAAATTTTACCGACCCATCACCTATCGGCCCCGTGTGATTTTCTAAGCCCGAAACGATCTTAGCAAACTTATTCGCAAAAAACAGGCTCAAAACCCGAGCCGGGGAATTTGAACAGAGCGAATATTTGAACGAAAGGAGACCTTTACAAGGTTTGACAAATACTGAAATTTTTCTTTACGCGATACTTGTTTCTTTTTCAAGAAATGCAAATTTTCATTAAAAAATGTTTTATTTTATCGTACAGATTGCAGTGACAATAGAACCGAAAGCAGACAAAATCACATCACAGATGGAAACACGGACTAATCGAAAAGTTTTTTGGCGGACCCGAGTTGTCACTAGAAATTTATTTAGATAGTTAATGGGCTTGGCCTGCAACAAAATGAATAAGTAGGAGCAATCAAAATCAATGAATTGAAATAGAAATTTCGTTATTAAATTATTAATGTCATATCAAGCTGTATACAAAAATGTCACGGAGAAGCAAATGAAACAGTAAAATGTTTCAAGCAGAGGAAAGTTCAAGGATAGCGACTTTTTCGGGAACGAGTGTGATGACGTTCTGGTTGGCGTCGGCCTCCGTTTTCTTCACCTCTTCTTCTTCTTTTGCTCCGTTCTCAACCGCCTGATCTTCCACTTTCGATTCCTCTGTCGGTTTTTGTTCCGCCAGAACTGACGTCTTCTCCTCCACAACTTCAGATGGTTTCTGCGCCGCATCTTGATCTTTTTCTTCTTCTGCATCCTCGACGATGAGGTTTTGTCTCTCTCTTCGTTTGAGTTGTTTCTCCATTTTGCAGACGTCATCGATGAGTCGTCGGACGACTTTTTTCACCGCATATCCGTCGCTTTCCCTTCGAGGACGCGGTTTTCCGTTTCTCGGATTCTCCTCAACAAAAATACCATTTATCCGACACAGTTAAGCTAAAAACCTTGGATTCCTTGCCAGGAACGGCGGCTCCCTTGTGTGGCTTCGTTTTTTCCGGTTTTTCTCCTTCGGCCGAGGTCCGGAGACTGACGACGACCTTCTCGCCACGAACAGCCACTTCTCTCTGAGTTCCACCGTTTCTTCGACCGCCGCGATTTTGTCGAGGCTGAGATCGGCCGTTGACACCAGTCGTGGGCATTGTAACGCGACCTTCCAAGTTTGCCGGAAGCTGAAATCAACGGTTCTACCGGGTATATGATTCAATGTTCGCTAAATCGGCACGCTTGAAAATGGTTGGGTCAGCTTAGACTCTCAGCCTTAGAGTAAGCGGCTACAAAAATCCAGCCGTTAGTTGGCAAAATATGATTTGAATGAGTGCTCCACGGACAACTTGTTGATTATTCAGAAGTTTATATATTTAAATTTTCGAAAAGACGGCGCCAGGGTCTCGCTTGAAAGGTACGACCGTGGAGCACAATTTCAAAACATTTTTTGCCAACTATGGCAAGACTTTCGACATTTATTTCCCACCGGAAGTTTTTTCTCCGGTTGAATTTTCACGCTCTTTTAAATATTCCATTTCATTATATCCTGTATTTCATTGTAGTTCAGTTCATCCTCGTTTTGAAAAATAAATTAAAAATTGAAAAAAAATTTCAGCTGATCCTATTTTTTTACCACATCTGTTCAGCTTCGTTTACTCTCGATTATAGAAAAATAGAATCCTTTAGCTTTCACAAAACAACAATTCACAACAATCTCGAATCACTATTGTAACCAAAAATAAAATCAGTGGAGTCAAAATGAAATCATTAGCAATTTTTTTAAACGTTGAGTCACCACGAGAATAGATTTTTAATTGATTTGATAACTAAAAAAATTATAATCAATTTTTCTCAAAATTCGCAAGTTTGAAAAGCGAGCAAAAAAATACGTAGAAAAGTCAGCATTTTTCAAGTTTTGACGAAATTAGTATAGCTAGATTTTTTCATAGTTTTAAACGATGAGGATCTTTCTTTTTCCAGAGGCTCATCGAATTTTTTCCTGGATTCTACGCTGAAATCTGGCTTGATATCCCAAACCCAACCTTTGGTGAGTTGTTCCCGTTGTGTCGTCCTTCCCGAGGCTCCCGATGCTCCTTCGGAGCTCCACCTCGCTGGGCTCCGCGTCCGCGATGAGCTCCTCCAGAGGCTCCGAGGGCTCCGCCGCGGCCGGCCAGTCTGTTCTTCAGGTCCATCGGTGGGACATTCTCACGCCATGTCTCCGCTCTGAAGTCTCAAACAGGTTAGATCCCCAGTTTGAACGACTGACGGAGTCTTTCCGTGGTCCCATTCCCTGTCCCACTTGCCGTTCTCCTGCGATGACTTCCGCTTCGGCTGCGAGTCTTGCGCAGACTGAAATCTTTTCTTCGAGGCTACTTTTGGATTTGGCCGCAGTTTACCTTTGGAGTTTTGCTTGGACTGTCTTCGTTTCTGGCACGGTCTTCTGCTATCTCCTGAATTCTTCAAAAATCATGACCGCCCTCGAGAAAAAATGACAACCTTGGTCCGCTGCTCGATTTTTAGGTTCTTTTCCCGAATGAGGGCGATCTTTCTGTCCAATTCTTGTTCTTCCTCTGCCGATCGCCGTTTCGTTTCCATCCGCCCTACAGCAAAATCATATGGAAGACTGTGTGACTGGTTAAACGCCAATTTTTTTTTGCATAATCGCGTTCAAATTCGCAACATCGCAACAATATCGATTAAAGCAACACCAAAAAGTGAATATTTCTTCTTTTTGATTAAAATATAATTGAAAAATTAGAGCCTCCTTTGGTCCCTTTAGAATCAACAAAGAACGGCTTTTTGAGAAAAAAAGAAAAATCAATTTCAAGCTTATATCCCTTTATATTTTTAAATATATGTCAGGCCTTTCAATCGAAAATAGAAACGCAATTAGAAAAGTTATGTACTCGGTAGAAATGTTGAAAAAAGAACCAAATTGAATAGAGTATAAGAGGAACTCATTAATTTTCACAACTTCCAATAACTCCCAGGGATTCTAAGAAAATGCCCTAATTCATTAAAAACTGCACTCTGTTAATTACGAAAGTAGTCAATAACATGCCGATGGGGAAGTTATCTATTCGAAAGAGACAGAAAGAACTGAGTCAACACCTATTTATTCAACGGCCCTAAAATACTTTAAAACCTCCATTGATAAAACAAGTGTCCTTTTGAAAGGAACAGTTTTGCATGAAAATATTGCTCAATCGGAACTCGAGGAAAAGACCAAATGAACAGAATTCTGCAGAGATACGAGAAATCTGACTTTAAATCAGATGATGAGAAAAAAACTGAAAGAAAGAGCTGAAAATGAAGGTCACTAAAACTCTCAGAGTCGCATCCCGAAAAAATGTAGTTAGTAGGTGGTATCGTTGGCAAGTAAGGATCAACTTTGAGAATCTCTATCGCCAAAACTAACACCGGAAATTGGGACGGATTCACATTCAAAATTGCAGCAAGACTGAGCGAAATTGCAAAAAATTTATAAACAGCAATCTAAATTAAGCACTTTTGTGGAGGAAGATTCAGTTCTTGTGTCCATTCTAACTTTCTTACGGTTAAAAATAACTTCCTAATACCTTTTACACTGCTCAAAAACTTCAAGGTATCTGTTTTGGATAATCACTTTTTCTTTTCGAAGTTTGGTCCGATTCGTTTCTTTTAACAATTTGAGCGAGAAAATGAAAGAAGAGTTTCAAATGTCAAAATAGAATGACAGGACTGATCCTATCAGAAGGTCAAACTGACGGGATCAGCTCGGACGACAAGTGCGCCGCGTTTGCAGGAAAAATCGATGAATCGGCCCCCCGAAGAACAACCGGCGAGTGCCTATCTGTACACGGAGGACGGGAAATAGCGCCGCAAGGCGAGAGACGCCAGCCGAGTTTGAGTCGAGACTTGTCGGCCGCTGTTTTTCCTGGGCTTCAACAAACATTTTGCCGCTTCCGCCGCGTTCCTCGCCTCGGGGCATTCCGCTGACCGTCGGTTGAGGCTGTCGGATGAAGTTCGGAGGAGCTTCTACTATAGCTGAAGGAAATCAGCCAATCAATGTCTTTTTTTATCAAATCGAAGAGGCCGGAAAAAAAGAGCAAATGCCTTCGTCAAATCGAATGCATTTAAAGAAGCTCAAACTTGCAGTCAAAATTTTGGGAGCCCCGAGATCATTTTGATGGAATATTTTCAAAAAAGCGAGCGTTCGGAAACATTTTATTACGAAGTCTCTTCAGTTTCAAAAAAATGGCTCAGGCGGAGACCAATCTGCATAATTTATTTTTTTGTCTCGTTCGAGAAGATATTTAAAAACTGTTGCAACCAAACCTTAAGGCGCAGAATTCATATGAATCGACTTTTTTTGAGGTGTCTTTTTTTGAAGTCAGAGAGGTTCACATTATTCAAAAGGCCTGTGTACTTGCACAAGGCTCTTAGAAACAAAAGAAATGGGGATCGATCGTATGCAAATCGATTCACTCCACGAAGTTGATGGCCGCCTTGGTATAAAAAAGCAGGTATCGCCAGTTGAAGTCGATTGTGGAGCCAAGGTAAAAGCCGATAATCCCCTAGACACTCTTTTGAAGTATCAAACGATTTTCTAGTTTAATTCTAGGTCCTCGAAAAAATCCTGCATTTGATTAAAAGGTTCCGTGTACTCCGTGTATTTTCTTCACTCGAAGTGGTAGCTCTCTCAATCGGCCGAGGCTACCCTAGAGTGTACACGGCGTCCGTGCCCGAGCCCTACCATCCCCGCCGTGCCCGTACACGCGAAACCGAGGGATCTACTTGTGGAAGAACGAGGCGAAGGACCGTAAGATCATGCTTTCAATTCAATCGACTACATGTTTTGACTTCTTTCTCGCCAAAGGCGGTGTTAGTGCCGCTCAAAAGAGCAATTTTTTCACCGCCTAGTCGATTCCATCTGACTAAAACAACCAATAAATATTGATTGATTGATGATCAGATTGCTAAAAAATGTTGCGCGTGCAATATTTATGTATAAATAAACACAAACAAGGAAAAATGTGTCTGTCATGCGTTTTTTTCGGCTTTGTTTTTGGCCAGACTGCAGACTAAGACTGACTTGAGTCATTTTTAAAGGTTAAGCTCTCTGAAGACTTAGAGCACGATGAAATACCTGGGACCAGTGGTCAACGTGATCCCTGAAAGACTCGAGGCTGTCCTCGCCGTAAAAAAAAAGTCAAATTAAACATTTTTTGCATGTGATGTCAGTCTATGTCTTCAAAATAGCTCATTAAAGTTTGTCTGAAAATCTTTTCATCAGGAGGTGTAACGATTTGAATGCCGTCCAGTAATTAGGCCCATCCATTTGAAATGAGAGAAATACTATGAAGGAAGAAAAGAAGTATAAAAAGGAAAGAAAAAGATGATTGGTCAGAGATGCAAGAAAAAGGTGTTATGGAATATATATGGGCGAAGTGATCTGTGGTGAGAGACTGAGGAAAACAGAATTGGGATGGAAAAGAACAATTTATTTATTCTTCGAGACAACGAATTTGGTTGAAGTATTTGCTCGATGGTCTTCATAATGACATAACTATGAGATTTGGAAGTTATTCTTGCAATTGATTCTATTTTGACAGCCTTGGTCAGATTTTCGATGTCCTAGTCATTACTTTGAAAGGAATCCCTGAAATTCTTATTAGTTCAAGGAAATCTTCTGATCTTGAGCAGCAGTTAGAGATTCTATAATGTTCCCTTGATATATTTTTTTATTTGAATCTTTAATAAATTCGAGCTCGTAGTTATATTCATTGTTAAGTTTGGTGATGAGCATATTATAAATTGATCAAGCTCCAAGAATTGAGCTTTGAAGTTAGTGTTGTTATAGATAACGCGTTAATTTTATTCAGCTCAAGATATTATTTATGAGATTTCCGTGATTTGAAATATATTTATTCAATAACTATCTATGCAATCGGGGACATTAAATACAAGAATTTGAATATCTTATTTTTATTTGATTTGGTTTCAATATAAAAAGAACCAAGAAGCTTCAGGGAATCAGAAAAGCGCAGCGATTCGACCAAATTAATGTTGCCCCGGGCAAGTTTCGCTGATCTTTTTCTCACCTCAACCGCAGTCGTTTAAATTACAAGAAACAAAAAACCGTTTGATTATCAAGTATTTTTCGCTTCATGATTTTAGTTATTTTGAAAAGCGCCGTGAGAAATGACTGTTTTTAGAAACAACGTTTGTACAGAAGTTCAGGTCTGAAATAAAAACAGGGTGAAAAAATACGTCTCGAAAAATACGACCCATACATTGGGGTTACTGTGTTTTCAATATTCTTGTGCAATGATGACAGACGTCGTCTTAACGAGCCAAATGCACGTCGATTACGCAACAACAGAAGCGCCAGACCGACTGCGACCCTTGAGGACGGGGAGGGGAAAATCTGTTGAATTGGACTTTCTTTAGAAGAACATTGTCAGATTCTGCTTGGGTATGTTTTTTATAAAAATATTTTCAAACCCTCTTGAGGGTCTGAAGGTCTGAATGAAAATTCTTCATAGTTGCTACCTGCGCAAAATTTTAAACGTTTGCTCATCGTTAATTGATATGATCGAAACAAAAATAAAAACTAGGAACCTTCATATCTACAAACCAAAGAGCTTTTTAACAAGTAATGAGCGATTTCCATCTAGACTGGAAGAGTTTTTGAGCAAGACTCTGAAACTTCCAAAAACAACTCAAATGAACTATCTTTTCACAAAAGTTTTCTTGATTCGAGAGCCTCACGCATCTTTCTTTCCCATTATTCTTAATGTCAGCAAAGTCACCGGTCAAGTCGTGCAGGGAACTTTCCGAGTGCAGGTGACGAAGATGATTCATGCAGATCACGCATCCCAATGAGGCTTCTGATCACCTCTGACTCACGGCCCCCGAGCCTCGAAAGTTGAATATCATCCTATTTCCTGCTTTTTTTTCTCCCAGACTGCTTCGCGCCATTTTTCGCGTCGGCCAAAGAAAGGTGCCGAAGTGTGAAAGGGGCGACAACTTTCGGCCTTCTTTCAAGTTGAAAATGTGAATTCAAAACTTCTTTGCCCTTCTTCAATTTTTGTGTACTTTGAAAGAACGAGAAAAAAAGAATACAGACTGCTATCGACAAAAAAATTTTCAAAGTCAAATTCTATAAAATCTAGCCTTTTTTTGATAAAAATGTGGGTCCGCATATTCGGTTTCTATAAGGATATGGTATTTGTAAAAACTCGAATTTCGTTTGAGACTTATTGATGGCATTTAGCAAACTCACCGAATCACCCAAATAAATCATCGTTAAATCTAGGGATTTCAGCCAGTATGGTTCTAAAACGTTCGAAAAAAAAAAATTCAGCTCTTTTCACCAGTGACAAGAATCAGTACAAGTCTCGAAAATGTTTAGTCTAGAAGGAAGAACTCTGTTCATTTATATTGCTCGGTGGAAAACCGCAAAGTATTTCGTTTTTAAGCATTGCTGGAAAACTCATAAGACTACAGACTGTCTATCGATATCCGTCAAGGCTAAAAGCTGTTTTAATCAATATAAGGTTATTCAATGCTTCTGTGCCCCAAAACATCCACGGATTTTTTTTTCTTGAAAATAGTATAACCCCGATTAGAAACTTATGGAGCTGGAAGTTTCTCCTTTTTCATGCAACGACAACAAAAAGCCGCATGTTTAAAATAGAAGATATTTGGCGAAAGTTGAACCTGATCTCATTCAAACTTTTCTGGCCAGATGTGGACTTTCCAGATGTTTCGCGGCGGAACTTGTAAGAAAAGCAACAGTCAGAACTGACCCCGTAAGGCGCATTTCGATAAACACAGCTGCGTCTTTAGAAAAAGCGACGCCTTTTGTCCGTTTCGGCACAATACGCTTCCGCACATGAGAACCGAAAAAGACAATTCGCTTCCCAGACAATACCCAACGTTTTCGGTCATCTGTGTATTCAAAACCGAAACGAAATCTCATTATCTTAAACCCTGTCATGGGCTTGATGGAAACTGCCGAATACGCGGAAACTTATCGTAAAACGGCGGGATTTTGTGACGCAGTAAAACCGTCGAGCTTTTTTTTTCTGCTCATCAGTTGAACAGAAGTTTCTTACACTCTATTGATATCATCATACTTCGATGACGCAGTGGCGCTTCATCTTCAGGCCGAGTGCACAGCTAATCATCAAAACCTTCGATATTTGCATGAAGAGAAATTTTAACTTCTATCTAGAAAACTCTTTTCCAATAAACTTGAAATATTTGGTTTATTTATTTGTCTATCAATCAAGAAAGTTTCCCAGAAGATAGAAAGATGATGTGAAACCTGAGAAAAAACTGTACAGATCCACTAAAACCTCGAAAACGTTTATGAGACTACTGTAGAAGCTTGAGACAAGGCGGCCATTTCTATTTTGTTAACTGACTTCAAACTTCGAAACTGTCGAGAACTCTGCTTCTTTTCTCCAATCGTTCTCGCATCCGCTTTCGCAATATTTTGCTCGAGGAGGCATCGATTCGATGAACAAGGAGTCTCTCCGCCCCCGTCCGACGCCTTCCGAGCAGATCACGCGCCGCCGCTCCTCCGCTCCAGCCGCTGCCGCAGACCGTCTTCAAATCTTTTTGCATTTCTATTCTTTTCTACTTGTACATTCTCTACAATCTTTCGAAAATAGTAATAGCTACTCTTATTCTAACACTGTATAAGTGTTCTTCCGATAGTGGCACGGTCTCCGCTAAAAGTGACTGTGAATAAAACTGAAATCATGTCGATTCACAGGGATTTCTAAATTAGAATCTAATGTCAATTTGTAAATTTTGTAACTTTGAAATATCATATCTCAGCTGAAAAAAATATTTTTATCTGGCGTTAGAATGGATCGAATTTTTTTTCAAAAGCTTCTGTGCCAACTTCTAAGAGCAGATTCGGATTCAGTATGAAAAAAACGAAATCTCCTAAAAAGCTTTCTTTCAAAAAAATCTATCGAAATAGCCAAGTAAAATGTATAATCATCGACGTTTATCAAGATCTTTATTTCAACGAAAATTTTTGAAGAAAATCATTGTCCGCTTGCCAAGAAATCAAACTTCATCGATCCATAATTTTAGTTGAGTCACTCAGATCGAAAACAAGGAGCCAGCAAAGGGCGTGGCAAACCAATCAGAAGGCTGCAGAACGTTCTCGCGTGTATTTTTTTTCAGAATTCTTCTTCCTACGGCCGATTCACGGCTGGCTTGGGACGCTACGTGGGCGGGGCCTGTCTGCTCTCTCCTCCAGTCAGGCACTGTCTTTTATTATCGTGTCAGGACCCTTTTTTCGATGGTTCACGCCAGTCGTGAAAGTCGTGAATCAGCTATACAATCGCGACTTTTCCAAACAACACAAAATATCTGTACAAGATGGCCTGTCGTATTACGGTAGTTTAGAAAGGGTTTACAGTTATCTCGCATGTTTGAGACAGTACTAAGGCGGCCCAACTGTTTCGGAGCTGAGAAAGTTTTTGATTTTTTTTTCTTTATTGTAATTTTTAGAACCAATCTTTCGAGGTAACAAAGAAGTCACGCTTCAGAAAACTACCGTAATACGTCCAGCCACCTTGAACAGGCGTGAAAAATACCCATTTTTGTTTGAAAAGTGGACATTTTTGTACTTTTTGAAACATAACTGTTATCTCGAGAGCTATTTTTTTTTCGCAACAGAGCTTGACGCTCTAAGATTTTCTTCGACCCTAAATATCAGTGAATCTCTCAGCCGTCTCGTAATCCTGTTTCTGTACTCAATTCTTTTATTCATAAGAAAAGAACTTGCGTCGAAAGAGTTTGCGATCCAATAAAGACCATTAGTTTTGAGTCGTTTGGCCATTTGCCTCGCTGTTGTTCCATGGCCGCGGTCGCACGCCTTTTGCCTTTCATACGGTAACTGCCGCTGCAAAAAAACTCTTTTTTTTTCACTTCGCGATGAGAAACGAGGGGCCAATCGAAATAGGGTAAAAAATCTTTTAAAATTAAGCGAGCTTGGCCCAAGCTTGGGCGCGAGCCCTCTAGCCTATTGGCCCACTGGCCATTTTCAAAGCTCGGCCGGGCCTTAGGGAGGCCTCTAGGAAAAAAGGTCAAGTCAAATATTATGTTTTTTTAAAGACAAAAGTTATTTTCTTCACTTATAGTTCAACATAAATTATGAATTAGCAAGTAGAAATAATTTCTCGATAAAAAAAAATGACAGACTTTTTATTTTCAAAAATGAAGTCCGAAACCCAAAAACACCGCCCGGTCCGGGCTTTGGACCTTGTTTTTGAAAAAAAGCCTGCGCGGGCTTGAACCGGTCCAACCTAGGAAAAAAAACGTTTAATTTCAATAAAAAAATTTTCACCAAAAATATATTTTTACTTGTTCAATCATAGTTTCTCTTGGACGCTGAGTGAAAAAATAAGCAAAAACATGACTTTTGTGATAAAAAAAGCCTGATTTTACCTTGAAGCCTCCCCAAGGCCGGGGCCGATATGATGATGGGTCGGCCCTCGCACAAGCCTGCGAACAAGCCTGGCTTGGCCGCCCGCGGGGCAATTTTGATCTGCGAACTTTTTGTTCATGTGCGCTCCATGATACGGAATTTCCATATCTTTTTTCCAAAAAAAATTTCATTTTTTTTTGCTATAATTTATTTTCATTATCTCCTTTTATACATGAATCATCCTTGTTCTTCGCTGTTTCCTATCGCTTTAATCATGGATTAGTAAGATCTTTGTTAATCAGCTATAGTTTATGAAAATAATCGCTGTACGAAAACTTACAATAACTTGAAAAACATTATAAAGTTTCGCGGAAAATCAACTTGAAGATTTTTTCATGAGGTGCGTGGTTTTTTTTCTTTCTGAATGAAAGTCATTTCTAATATTCCTTTTCATCTTTTTGCATATCAGTTGTGTCCATTTCTGTTGCTAGGTCAGTTATTCATTTATTCAGAAAGAAAAATCATGGCCCGCGGAAAGAAAGTTAACAGAAATAAAAAAGATCCCATAATCGAAAAATCACCCGAGGCTCCGAAGCGCGTAACACCTTATGTCGGATGCCCAGTTCCGGCTCCCATCAACTGCTGCAAAGGTTTGTGCTTGAGTTTTCTGATTTTTCTGTTTGATGCGTTGCCAATAGAGCTCGAAATTATTGCAAAATATTGTTTCAAGGGGTTTTATTTCAAAGAATATGTATAGTTGATTGAATCTCATTTTGTTTTCTGATAACCTATGACGGCCATAACTTGCAGGAGTGCCTGTGAAAGGGGACGATGACCATGTGACGTTAGTTTGCACTAACGCCGAGTGCTCTCTTCTTGGCAAGTCGAAGGTCCATCGAGAGTGCTTCAAAGCATTGGAAGATCATATGCTCAAAGTTTTGAAAACCCACGGTTTGTGGTTAATTTTCTTCTTCTTCGCATTCTTTTTGTGTATAGGCAGCGCTCGTGGTTGGACTGATGGACAGCGGGAGCATAACATTTGGGGCAAGAAAGGACTTGCTCTCATTCAGCGCGTTAGTTCTTCTTCATTTTACGTTCCGGTGTTATCACAGAAATATTTTGAAAAGTTATAATGACAAATGGAAAGAAAAAAGAGAAAAAAACTTTGGAGCTATTTGACAACTTTTCAGGCTTTTCGCTGCCGCTGCCATACGGGACAGGTCACTCTGGAAGAAGGCGAAATTGACGTTTGTTTTGATTTTTTCCTTTACTATTCGAAATTGGTTGATGGGAGTTTGAGATATTTAAGAATTTCGAATGTGCGCAAATTGAAATCCTAGGCATACCAAAACGGTTACGGTCAGAGCTGCCGACGGGGCGACCCGAAACGCAAAGTTTACATTGATGAAAAATGTGGAAAATAGGTGAAAAATTAAGAAAAATGGCTTTTCTAAATGTCATCAAATTTCTCAGCAATATGTTAGTTTTGAAGCCAAGTCATTATTAATCTCAGATCACCGAGAGAAAGGAGAAAAAGAAGGCGAAACCAGGCAAAGATCTGCCCAAGCTCAACTATGGAAGTCGCGGTGCTGCAGCCGAAGTCGTCGAGCGTCGCGAAAAGAAGTGAATAAATGAAAAATAAATGTCTGGCGAGGATTCTTTGAGGTTTTCCAGATCTCGAGATGCTCGTAATTCTCGCAACGGACCTCCTACTCCAATATTCACTGTGACCAGCGAGGTTCTCTTTGAACTGTTTTTTTTTTCTCACAATTATTATGTATTTAAGTCGTTTGCTGACCTTCCCGAACCTGACCACCATGGTAAGCGTCGATGCAAAATTTCAATATGTTACTGATTTTTTTTTCAGTTCCGGAGCAAGTCACTGGCATATCCATTTCGATTCCAATGGCACTCAACTTCTCTAAGTTTCTAATTGTTTTGAAGTGTTCCAGGACTCGCTGGTCACGGCTCCTCCGCCGCCGGTTCTGACTCGCTCTTACGCAGTGGCTGCCAAAAACGAAGAGCGCACTAGAACCACTACTAACCGAGTGATCATGTCCTCGACTCTTTTTCACTAACTTTGAGTTTTTAGTACAGCGACAGCGGAGTTTCGATGGGTTCATTTGCGTCTTTATCCTCCGAGGATAAGGTTTGGTTCAGCTGGGTGCACATTCATTCGCATATTTCAGACTGCTCTCAATCTCACCGTGGACAGCGTTTTGTCGCCATCGCCGACCGAGAAATTGTCGCTCAACGGTAAGATCATTGTTTTCAGTCACGAGCGCATCACGAAAAAACAGTTATCATGGAATTGCAGTGAAAAGTTAACTTGATGGCAATTGTTTACACTATATGAAAGATTCTAAAAGCCAGATCATTTCGTTAGGCTGGGCGAAAGGTGTAGTTTTTCAGCTTCAGTTATGCCTTTTACAAACTGTTTCATTATTAAAGATTCGTCTTCAAGTCGATTCTTTTATTTCGAGACGATTAAAACATTCGTTGGAGTATACATCATGAAAATCAGAATATGAAAACAATATTCACTATTTTGCGCTGGTCCCGTCGAACTCAATCGAAATAAATAGAAAGATCCGAGAAACTTGCAGAGTCGCTGGACGACAGTCATCCACGTCTGCGAGAAACGGAGATCGGATCTTTCGAACCGATGTTGGACACGCGTCATGGCGCCTTGTTCGGCGAGGTGCTCAGCTCGGCTAGCCATTCGCTGACACAGCTCCAGGAGAAGACGCTTCCAAAACCGATCGCCGAGCCTCAAATGATTCCTCTAGAGGAAATCCCATCGTGGGATCCGTTAACCGGCCGCACCCTCGATTTCCTTGGACTTCTGGCCAGTCTATCGATGAGCCCATCACGTTCTTCCCAGTTTTAACCTTATGACATCCCCCATTCCAGTGTATTTATTTTTACTAGCCTCCCAAATATGTCGAGTCTTACGATTAATGTGTTTTCTTTATTCCCTCGACCCCCAACGTATTCCAGCTTCCTAATAAACAGATATTGGAACCTATTAACCAAAACCCTCATTGGATTTTGAGCGCTTATCGCTGTTTTAACGATTTTTTTTCTTACTTTACAATTACGCTTTTTTATTAATAAAGTTGAAGAATCGAGTGAGAATCGAACGAGAAAAAATCGAGAAGTTGAAAGATTATACACAACTAACGGTGATATATTTTTGATGATCGAGTTTTTTTACTACAGAAAAATTTAGAGTTAGATAATCTCGAAACAGTATGTAAAGGCAGTTTTTCAAGTCTGGAAAGTTTGAGCTTCTTGATCTAAAAAAGTCATTATTTCAAAAATTTTCTCTCGAAAAAACCAAGAATCTTTTGGCAGATGCGCAAAAATCATATTTTCCCATTGATGATAACGATTAGGTAATGATAAGTTTCATTGAATGAAATGTGAAATAGTTCATTTATGCACAAAATATGGTGAAAGCAGCGAGTGACGTCATCACTGATCGTCGTCGCTGTACCGACGCATGGCTAGTTCCCGTTGGTAATAGACGTCAATAGGATAGGCGGTTGAGAAAATCAACTTGAGTCTGAAGGCGTCGCCGCCATTCAGGTAATACCTGTAAGATATTGGGTATGAATAAAGATTTTAATTTTGCGAGATTATTTTAATTTTGCGAGATTTACTGAGAAGACCAAAATTGTAGAAGGTTAGTTTAAAATGTTTGCATTTTTGATCTGAATATGATTTACTCTCACATATAATCTTGGTATAGTTAGAATACTATTCTTCTGTTGAAATTCCGTCAAGATTTCGAAAATTGGTCAAACGAGCGCCGAATCTGATGGACTCGCTTCGCATCAACATTGAAAAAGGGCGTGGCCAGCCAATCAGAAAAGTAGCATCGTAAAGCTATCTGTATTGGATTTCATAACTGAATGTAGAAACAAAATTATTTCATTGCAAAAAAATTTAAAGTCCAACGTTGTATCTCTCTCAAAATCTTTTTAAAAAAGTGTTTTTTTTCCAAAATTAATAAATTTTCTTGGTCAAAAAATTCACAACTTAAGTTCAAAAAAGTCAAACATCGAAACGTCCTCAAAGATTCTTTTCATCGCATCCAATCTCGTGCACTACAGACGTAATCCTCTGCGAAAATTCTCATTGAAAAGGCAAAACCTCTGAGAATATTGTTCTCCATTCTATTAGAAATTTTGCGGGGACATTACTGGCGCCGAGTTTCAGACAAATGAATGAAAGTTCGAACTCATTTTTCCAAAAAGAAGAAGAATACATACATAGTTCATTACAGGATATTTCATTTTTTTTTTCAAGTTCGAATACTTTGCTCACCGCTAGCTTGTCAAAAAAACAATCACTTAAATGTTTTCGCTGATCGTCAGAATAGCAGCTCTTTTTTAATTCGCTCACCTAATTAACCGTTTTTCGCGAATGAACCCGAGATTGCTGTACAAGCGCTGTGCGTTTTTGTTGCTGACTTCCGTCTCCAGGACGACCTCGTCGCAGCCCTGCGCCTGCATGTTCTGAATGGCCCGACGCACAAGCTTCGTGCCTAGAAATGAAGAGAGGATTGGCGGAAGCGACTATGGAGGACGAACCGAGGCCGAGTCTTCGACAAGACTCATCCACGGCCAGCATGGCCACGTAGCCCTTGCGGCGGTCTTCCGAATTTCTCTCGAGTTTGCAGACGACTGCTCCGACGTAGGAACATCGGTTCGTGTCGTAGGCCTCAAATATCCGTTTTTTGGCAACAAAAAAAAAAGATTTTTAAGCCAGGTTTAAAGGAGCTGCGTGTAAGTGTGTTGGACTCTCCATCATTAAGAAATCTTTCAATTCCAGTTTTATTGAATTTTCAGTCCACTCTAGGTGAAACAGAATAGCATAGGGTTCATTTCTCATTAGCAAGTAAAGAAAATGTTTTAAAAAGTGACTAAAAACTGATTAAATTGAAAACTAGAAATCTGATTTTTTTTTACTGTCCCAACGCGGATTTTTATGCACGGATGAATTTTTTTCTCTTTTTTTTCGATTTTTTCTTTTTTTTTCCGGATTCTTATTCAGGGATCAATTTTTTTTCTCAAGAGCATTTCGAAGCTGACACGAAATTTTCAGAAAAGTTAAAATTTTGTCCGTTCCCGTTGCAGAATTCAAAAGATATTATTACCGTGTGATCAAGTGAGGAACGTTATCTTAATGTGACAAAAAGGTATAAGATCGTGATAACTTTCGGCGGCGCCACGTGCAAACGACCGCAAAAAAAAGCTGTCACATTTGGAGAGGAAATTACTGGTTTCTCTTATCATTTGATGTCTCTTACCTACAGTAGAACTACGAAAAAAACCGTTAATATTGTTTCGTCGCCAAACTGAAGAGAAATGCGTCCGAAAAATGCGCCGACGATAAGGTAATCGGTCAAAAGTTCGCCATTTTCTGGGAGCACCAGAGATAGTGAGACTGGTTCCTCTATATATTCTTTGTGGTGTCACGCAAAAATCATCTGATCAGAAAAAAAGAAATGAATGAGGTTTTATCATGTAACAAGGTTCAAGAGGTGCGGGTAAAAAAAGAAAAAAATATATACCAGAAGACACAACTCGGGCCAGTTGTGAATGAAGTAACGGTAGGTGTAGATGGAGTAGGGCTCGCTCAAATCTTTCGTGATCAGACGCATTATGTCGCCGATTTGGTTTTCGTCCTGAAAAAAGAGATACAATACGCACAAAAAATGATAAATATGCAAAAATTTAGAGCTGTTTTTTTTGGATTTATTCAATTTTTCAATTTCTTCGCCTTCGACTTTTCAAGAAATGTTTTCGTATTCATTTAGGACCGTTCAAATCTTTTATCAGTCGTAAGTGTTTCCCTCTCATAAGAAAAAGGAGTTCAAATACTTTTTGGATACCTTGTACTGCACGATTCGAATGTTCTCGGGTTGTTCTCCAGCTCGAGGCTCGTCGTGGCTGATCAGGTGCTGGCAATGCGGCCATTTCGAGCGCTCGGGTACGGCTTCCTCCATACATGAGCTGCCTTCCTGAAAGCCCCGAAACGTCTTCTTTCTCAATATTTAGTCTTTCTGGTCTATACCAATATATCAAATGAGGAAATTGGTAGGAAAATTCCGAAATCGATTTCTCAGTCTTTCCACATGTTCCAAGGAAAGAACGGATATGAGGAAAACAATCTAGAAGATTCGAGTTAAAAACTAGGTATGAAACGTTTTCATCGAATGGAAGTAGGGGCTACAGAATTTGACTATTCTGAAAAATCTCTAAAAGTTTTTATTAAAGGAAGCTTGAGACTCTTCATTAGAAAAAGGAAAATGCTACAAAAGTCGGGGAATATCTCTCACAAAAGACTTAGTTTATGTGACGTTCGAGGCTATAGAAGGGCAAAGTCTACTCAAATGAAATTTCAAATCTCTGTTTTTTTTTTATTGCTTCATGAATGGGAAAACAGCGATTTTTCTTGATAATAACTGCAATTTCCGAATGAAAAGGTCGTACCTCTTTGGACTGAGGGGAAACGGATCTGTTGCTCGTAACGACCATGCCAAGACATCGACGGAGAGTTCCAATTGTGACGTCGAGATTTGACGTCGTCTGTTTCTGTGACCCGATTGCCATTCCTGTAAAAAAAAGTCTGTGTAACAAGAAGAAAAAAGGTCAAAAAAAGCCTGAAAACATGAGAAAAGAGAATGCTATCTTAGATTTTTTGAACGAGTGTAGAGAGATTTAGAAATAAATCTGTTCTTAGCGTTATCTCAGGTTATGCAAAACCAAAAGATTATTTATTGAACGGTCCGCAATGAACTCTCAAGGAAACTGATCAGAGCTTTGAAAAAACTCCGACAGAAAGTTCTTTCTGAACACCTATAGTAAGAGACTACAGAAAACGTTTCAAATCACTTGAAAAATAAAACAGTCGAGCGTAAATACAGGACACACGAGAATTGGCAGATTATTGGCGACCGAACACGTTTCACTACGAAGATCGAGAATTGTCATCAAAATGCCGTCAGAATTAGGAGACAAATCACAGGTTGGTCCAATGAGTTAGGAAAAAAGAACCGACTGCGAAACAACAAAAAAATGGATCCCTTATCTCAATAAACAAGTTTTTTTAAAACTTTAGAGTTGAAAAATCCTTATTATCTGTCTTAAACCTTCAGAAAGCCGGCACTGTACGAATTCTTACAATAATTCTATATTTCAATGAGCATGTGAGCCGGTTCCCACAACTTCTGTGTCTCAACCACTGTTTCGCGTCTCAAAAACTCAAGGTAAGTCAACAACGCTGTATTCAAGCATTGAAGATGCCAAAAAGTTGAAAAGTTGGACATGTCATGCGAAGCGTGGGGAAACCGTGGGACAACCTTCATCGCTTATCATCTACTCACTTAGAAGACGCGCAAAACGGATAGGGCAAAGGTTCTAACTGATAAAAAAAAAAGAATCATGAAAGAGATCGAAGTCAAAAAACCGACTTGCCTAATATTGAACTAAAGTTTTAGCCGATGTGTTTTAGTTTTTTTTTTAAATTTATCTCATTAGGATCATTATTGCAAATGGAATGAGAATATACAAGCCATCTAGGTAACATATTGAAGAAGAGAACAAGGCTGAAAGGACTTCTAGGCAAGTCCAAGAAGCTCTCTCAAACTATTTCTGTGGTCATTGGAGTCAAGTAAACTGTAACTGGCGAAGGACCAGCCGGAGGGATAGCCCCAACGGACTGCAACTGATAATATTATCTTTTATCAAAGGTAAAGGGAGTCCCCAGAGAGCAACACGTGAACGGCAGACTCCATTCCAAGAAATAGCCGCGTCTCTCAATTCTTCTATTCGCTCTTTGTGGCCCGCCTTCTCCCTTATCAGTCGCGTCGCCACTGCAACAGCGCGACGAAAGTTTGAACGCCGTCAAATTAGATGCAACATTGGATCGGATTCGGCCTTGCATTAGGCAACTGTCGATCAGAAAAAGATTTTAACATCGGCATTTCCTGTCAGCTAGTTCAGTTTACAAACTGTTGACTTTTCAACCAGCAAGGAAGAAATGAACGGAAATTATCGTTTTTTTAAAATGATCACTGAGGTGATGCAAAAAACCAAAACACAAATGATGATTGCCCGGCGTCGACAGAATTGGATCATTACTTTTGTATGAACATAGTAAAGTTCTCAAATCTTCGATTGAGTTTGCGATTTGAACCAAAGGTCCCCAGAGATATGAAGAAAAAAAACACCTAAAACGGCTCTTTGCTTAAATAATTTTTTTATAAAATTTGAAATTTTTATCACTTTAGCCTTGTATCTCTTTTTTTCACGTATGATATTTCCCCCAAACTAAACCTTAGGATAGTAAGGTCTCTCAATTAACGCGATGCATCCAATATATAAGCTTGAGTTAGTAAAAACTTTTCACCATCAAAGGTATTATTTGAAAACCTGAGGAATACATAAGAAATATAATTTCTTTGAAAAATTGCTCATATTTGTCATGAGAAACAGTAATTTAGGGAGATTAAGACTGATTTTATTAGTTTAAACCTTTCGTTTTAAAGACTCTTCTCAATTTTCTTTGCGATTTGAAAGTCAAAGTCAGCTAGTACGTAAAATATTTCAGTTTTTCGAAATCATTATAAGGAAGTGAAAGTTGGTCACGAGAAAATTACGTGCAAAGAGTACATCTGTTCAGTTTTTTAGCTTCAGTGCCCCGGCACGACAAAATTATCAGCTTGAGATAACAGCCCTCAAGGTACTGTTGTACAAAATATGTTTACTGACGCAGCATTAGCGCTTCTTATGACTTTCGAAAAACCAAAATTTAACAAAAAAATTTTCATTCTCAAAAGTACCTGAAAAAGGGCTCAAAAAATCAACAAGAAACTGTAACAAAACAATGGAGGTGACACAGAGATCGGTGAATATGAAAAATAAAAAAAATACAGTTTTCATAGAGAAATGAGCAGGTGAAAAGTTAGTTAAAGATGTTCTTTCAGTTTACACAGAGCCTCAGCATTTATTCCTAGAAAAGGCGATTAACAATTTGGATATGAAAGAAACAAAAAACAAAGGAAATATTCAAAGTGCAAGGCCTTCGTAAACGTTCCGAGCCTCGTCGGAAAGTTTGTCGTATTTCTTTCGAAGTTTTTTCAGGCGTTTTTCCTCTGGAAGGTCTATGTACCTGAAAAATGAGCAATCTCAAAAATGACGGGGGTTTTTTTTTTACTTTTCGCTATTATCCTTCGATTGACAAAACAGCTCGAAAGCAGTCATGGCAGAGAGATCGACCTTTTTTGATTTAGCTTTAGTTGTTTTTGCCCTGGGAGTCGCAGGCCCGCGAAGCTGAAATAGAAGTTGAAAGTATGATAAAGTAATTATAAAATAAAAAAATTACAAGTTCCTTTTTTTAACTGTCTGAACAGATGGGAAATTAAGAAGTTTTTTTAACTAGCGTTTTTTTAATTTTTAAATTTTTTTAAAATGCGCAAGCAAAACTTTGAACTTTCTGAAAAGTCTTCACTCTTCTGTGGTCGCTCTCTTTTCGAGGCTTCCACCTAGAGCACGGTCTTCGGGCTCCATCTACAACATACGCTACATTCTGAGTCCGTCAAGACGCAAATGAATAGACCACGTGCAGAAGAACGAGGCGAGGGACCTTGGGGGTATGCTTTCCACTCTTTGGGCCACGTTTGGAGTTTTAGATCGCCAAAGCGACTCTTAGATATTACTCTAAAGTTCTTTTACACAGCCTAATCGATTAAATCTACGACTAGAAAAAATAAATGATCGAGTTATTGAATCGACTGGAAATCATCAAATTATCAACTCAATACGCAAAAATTTTGAAAAAACAAAACCATTTTTCGCCTTTCACCTCTCGTTAAATTGTTTTATCGTTCACCTTCTTTCGTAACGACTTGATACTGTTGGTCACATGATTTCTCTGCTCGTTCGACAGATTCTCGTGGTTCTTGAGAAAATTCTCGAGCTCTGCGACCCTCGCTGTCTGAAAAAACCACGGATGTTTCAAGGCAAAATACATTTTGGAAGATTCTGAGAAAATACCTCAATCTCGACAATCTCTTCTTTGCATTGTTCAACCAGTCCGCTTGTATCGTTTTTCATGGCTTCGAGAACGTGCTGAAATGCGAATGATGGGGCTGTTTTGAGAAATCCTAGCTGTTAAGAGAAGTAGAGCTTTTTCGAGGGCCTAAGATTATAGCTTCTCTTATGGCTCATGCAAAAAATCTAGCCGCAACACAAACATTTTTCCGATAAAAATGATTCAAAAAACGAATTTCTGATTGGACCATTCAGCAGTTCTGGGACGAGCCTATCGAAAATTATCAGGATGAAGACGCACCTGAACATCCGGAATAGCTTTTGACATGTTGGTCTTTTCCGTGTACAGCCACCTGAGAGTTGGCGGTCGAGCCGGATAATCGCTGAAACTGTTGAGAGACTCCACTCGCTCCAGATGCGATTTCGTTACGCTGAAATTCACCTTGAGTGTAGCGAAAAGCAACAGAGACAATCTTACTGAAAAGCGTCCAGAAGTTCCAGCTTGGCAACCCGTACAGAGGTCTTCAGGTACTTTTTAAAGTCTTTCACAAACTCTCTGAAAAATTCGGCCAGTAAGGTTAACGTTGAAAAACTAACGTCGGGTCGCTTGGAAGATTTTTGATATCGTCACAGGAAGCTATCCAATCAATAACAGCTTTGTCGATTTGTTTAACATAATACTTTTTTTTCGTTTCTTTCAAAAAAGGAACGAACTTCTAAAAAAAAAGGTTTATGTAGACGTTACTCCTTTTTTCAAACTGACCTCCAAATAAAGAAGCATTGAATCGGGCTGTATGGTCACATCGATTTTGTCCTCAACTTCTTCTTCGTCATGAACGCCATTGGCTTCATCGTCCTAGAATAGAAGATGCACTATATAAACAAAGAATCAAAAGGAAAACTCGAAAAAGCGTACACTGTGGTTCTGCTTTTTAATCGGAGATTCTGTTTCACTGTTAGCTCTTCTCTTTCCCATCGTAACTGAAAAATTGTTTAGAACGATGTTGCTTTAAAGGAATATCAAAGTCTAGAAATAATCGGGATGAACACTTTCGGTACAAAACGAACATATTCATTAGTAAATGATAAACATTTGTGTTAACATTCCGAGGTGCCACTAAGCCATTTTTCTTAAAACTATTACTCTTCGAAACTTTTGTTTTTTATTCTCTAGCGGTTGATTTTATTTTCCCGGAATCGGTTTGATCGCGGCAATAGGTAAAATTAATAAATTAAGCGGATTCAGAGTTACAAAAAAAAAGTCGTCGTCACATATCATTTCTTTTTTGTGCACATAACCTCGGCGGAAATTCACATAATGTCGAAATTTAGAACTTTCTTCTGGGACGAAAAAGGAAAAGGTGAACATTTGCTAAGTCATATATACTTTTAAAACCGGGAGAATTCAGGATAACAACTATTCATTGGAATAAAGTTGGAACACTTCGAAAATTGTTTCATTGCTGCTAGAAGCACATGTGAAAGTTGAGAACCAATCAAAAAAGGACACCAAATAAGTTTTAAACGGAAAAATTATGCTTACAATAATTATGAAAGAACTAAGTTTCTTAAAAATACAAAAATTTTTCACAGTTTCTACTATAGAAAAATACCGGAAAGTCAAATCGTTTTTTTCACAATCACATTGAACCAAAAAAGCCAATTTTGAAATACCTGAAGTACCATATATATGGTATATATGCATATACTATTCTATGAGAACGTCTGCCCGGATTCACCAAAACTCTCAATGAATTATAAAAAAACTGAACTTCGCGGAGAAACGCAGCAAGAAATTAATAATTAATAATAACCAAAAAAATTTTTAAAACATTTCTTTGAGCAATTTTTCTTGCGATTTAGAACAAGTTTGTGTCCTGTTCAAAGTAATTTCCGCAAAATGCAATATTATTTTTGACACTTCAAAACTTTACTACCTTTTTCTTTCTCTGACGGCTATTTTGGATTTCACGGAATCACTTTGAACACGGCATTAGTTTTTTTCAATGTTTAAACATGAAAATTTGCTACAAAAAATTGCGCGGATGCGAGCGTTTTCGTGCAGCCACACTCAAATGTGCACACAGGAGTAATACAGTAAGAAAGTAAAAAAAATTATCCCCCAAATTTGGGGCTTCATAACAACTGCCACTCTTACGAGCTCATCGACGCGGTTATATAGCGAATAGCTAGTTGAACTGGATTGGAGAGCGGCTATACAATCGCTATATGTCACAAATACACATTTTTTGGAAGAAAATTTCACGAGAAGATAGATCTCTGGCGACCAATATAGTTGCTAGGATTGAAACGGAGTGGAGGCAGAGAACGCACCTGGTAAGTGCTCAGAAACTATATAGCCCAAATTGTTTTTCAGCCTTAGAGTCTCTATATACCTAGCGAGGTGGGGCTTGGGTTTGCTTATGACACAACTACTAAGTGATTTAATATAGGATTTATAACTTCTGTACACCGTCAGAAAGTGAAAGATAAAGATAATTTCGGAGAGACCTATCAATTTTTCCGAAACCAATTGGACTTGGCACTAAACTCTCACAAAGCCGATGGTTATAGACTTTGAACGAATTTCTCTTTCAGAATCTTCATTTAGTCACAGTGAATAATTTTTTTCTCGTTCTGAGTATTGTAAAAGTTTTCTTTCTTAGTTCTTACAATACAATTACAATTTACAATTTATTCAGTCTTCAGAGAAACATGAAGAAAATCTCTGCTGAATCATGGAATAAATGAAGAGTTGGTCGTCCGTTTGCGGAATCGTCGTTGACCAAGAATGACTTTCAGATCATGATGTCTTCCGTCAGAATGTTAAAAGTTTGAGCTTTCTGTCGATCACTGCTTCTTCATGTTGGAACAGTCAGTACGGCGTTTAGCTTGTCTAAGACTGACGGAGAAAAAAACATCTCAGAGCGACATTGGAGACTGACCACTCGGCAGGTAGAACTGAGAAAAATAAGGCAAAACCGATAATTAAAATCTGAAAAGAATCCTTTGTCTTCTCGTTTGATTCACAGATGTAGTATATAAAAATTCATTGAAATGTAATGCAAAATGTTCTTTGAAACTGAAATTTGAGGGTGGGAGCATAATTTTAGGAGAGCGATCTCGCATGGGAATTGGATAGGGTTGATTTAAAAAAACTCATATAACTGAATTTTCGAAGTTCTTTCTAAAACTAAGAGAAAACCTAGAAAAAGATCGAGAGCAGGGAAAGAAATGGAGAAGATCACAATTATATTTAATAAAAATCTCTGTTCTCAGGCACCTTTGTATTGACCAATGGGGGATCGTCTTGACGACGAAATGATAATCGAGAAACTCGTATGTTAAATAAAGTAAAAATCCCTATACTTTGATCTAGTTAAAGATTTGGAAGATTCTGTCTCAAGCAGCAAAAAAATAAGAAGCGGGAGAGGATTATTGCGCAGTAAGACACAAAAGTAAGCGAAACAGGGCGGAAGTGCAGACATGGGATGAAAAACGGACACGAATAAATGTTTTCTTAAGAGCCAGAAGGGACGCAGCTTTTAGAATCCTGCGATGACGCAGTACGCTTCCAGAGCCGAGAGCAACAAGTAGAGGAGCCACAAGGTGCAGAAGAAACAGGCCGTCAGAATCTGAAAGAGTAAACCGTGAAGAATAGTTGCGAGAGGTCGTGGAACAGACCCTGAAGATGATGGGACCTCCGAGCTCGCCTCCGACAGCCTTGTTGCGTCGCAACACAATGACGGCTATGCATGCGAACGCTTCTAAACAGAAGACGAGTACCGAGAATCCAAGGCTTCCTGGGTCGACCAAGAACCTGCAACCTCTCATCCATCTTCTTCGTTAGTTCTGTCAACTGACTTAGATCCGACAGACCAATGGTAGATGGCGGCCATGGACCATGCGATTCCGATACCCAAGAAGACGTTGACGGCGTTAGATCCAGTCACGTTTCCGACGGCGTTGTCGGCGTACTTGTCCTGCACGGCGGACACCTTCGAGGCAAACGTATCTGTATACGATAGCTTCTTCAAGATTTCCAAAGTGTGCTCACCTGGCACAGACGTTCCCAAGGCGACGAAAGAGATGGCGGTGACGGCGTCCTTGAGTCCAACCCAACAACCGAACTGAGAGGCTAGATCACCAACCACAGCTGTCAGAACTCCGATCATGAAGATGGCGACCACAAAACTCGCCCAGCCGCCCCAGTAGTCTGAAGATATTCATCAAGGAAGTCGAAGAGGTGGGATACCTGTAGGAGGAATCGTGGCGAAGGTGAGCTTCCAAGGGACGGTGAGGACGTGCATGAAGTAGTCCATGCAGGAAGGCTCCTGAGGCTCCTTCTCCTCGCCGTCGCCTTCTTCCTCGTCGTCGTCGTCATCGTCGCCGGCGCTGACCTGGAGAGCCTCCGTGAACTGCTCGCGCCACGATGACGTTCCGAGCATGATGCGAGTGTTCGCATTCTTGATCATACGATCGACGATTCCCTATAAGTCTCTGTTTTGCAATGATCTGATTATTTTTTTTTCAAAAAACTATGAAATAAGAAAAAAATCATCAAACTAGAGCGTTTTCTGTTAGGAGACTCCAACTAAAGTTTATTAATAGAGAAATTATCTGCATGAAAACTGCATATGTGACCTTCAAGGTTTCATTTAGGGAAAATAGGAGAACATTTTTTTTTAAAATATTTGCATTTTTTTTTACACTTTGGCTCCCATGTATATTTCTGCTCATAGGTTTGTTTATTTCGAAACTTCACTCAAACACACGTTTTTCTTAATAAAATCCTGATTTAAAAACAGTACAAATTTCTAGTTTTTCGAGAAAATAAGTTTCAAAGTTTTGTTATACGGGTAATAAAGTGCGAGGTTTCCTTTTTCGGAGGATAGGAAATTGTAAAGATTAAGAGCTTCGGGATCTTCTCAAGTACCTCTTAAAGTTTCAAATATTCAGAGCAACCAAGAGTGTAATTTTATATTGATAATATTGAAACAAAATCTTCGCATTTTGCCGACCTGGAAGTCTTTGTTTTCGCGAATGGTGATCTGGCATTTGGTGATGTCGCTGAGGCGCGGTTTGCCCAGTTCGGCAATTTCGAGCTGCGAAGGCGTCAGAAGAGTCTGGAGGGCATCCTCGTCGCCTGAAAATGTTCTATGAGCCCTGATCAGACAACCTCATGCACGAGGTTATTGAAAAAGAATCCGAAGCGACAGGTTAGAGCAATGGGAAAAGTTTTGTTGTTGGGAGCATGCGTGACACCTTTCATGCCGGCAATCCACGAGCCCAGACGTTTCTTGAAGCGATCGCCGACATGCGGCAGCGGCGAGAGGCTTCGGCGATGCAGAGCCGGCGCCAGAAGGTCAACGCTGCCCGATCTGCGTCCTGAACGCGTGCCCAAGGGTTGGAATGGGTTTGGAATTATCAATGTTCTGTGGATCGCTCGGATAAGGGATGGTGTAACGAAAAGTTTTTTGGGTGGATGGGAGAAAATAATATTTGCCACGTTTCCATAGTCGCTGTGTTGCATTAATCAATATTTTTTTCAAAAGAGTATAAATAAAAAAAGTTCAGAAGCATTTTTTTAGATAGCTTCGAAAACTTGCATCATCTTTGGGAAAGTTAGCATAATGATTGCCGATAAGAATTCAGGCGTAAGTAAGTGACAAAAAGGTTCACCAAAAAGCTCAAAGAATAATAAGAGTCGGTCCCAGTGAGGCGCTCCAAGGGAAATTTTTTTTTTGGGTCTTTTTCATTTTAAATAAAATTCAAACCTAAATTGATCAGGTTTTTCCCAGATTCTTCATGAATTTTATGTTGTGAAAGCTGAGAAAGCGAGAAGCAATAAATTCGATTCGCCCGAAACTAGAAGCACATGATTATAAGAAAATGGTTCAGGGCTGCTCTGAACGTTTAAATGTTGGCGCGCGGAGAACTTCGAAGCTGATCCTAAACCCAACGCCACGGCTACGCTTTGAACCATTTATCGTTCAACCAAGGCTTCTCAAGTTGGAACGAATCAATAAAGAGATACAACACAGCGACATGGAAACGACCGTGCGGAAGGCGGTTGTGGTGGCTGACTGCGAGAAATGTAGAAGAACCTTGTTCGGTGGCACTGTCCTTGGACTCGGAGGCGACCGACGCTTCTCGCTTCCGTTCCATCCGTCGTTGGAATCGTTCTTGCACTTTGCTCAGATCTGACACCAACACGACGGGGTTACAGTAAGCCAGTGCTTTTTCACGATATATATTTGTTTTTCTCGCTAATTTAAAGGCTTAAAGCTATGAAGATTTAACTCAGAACTAAAGTTTTTTTCCAAAAAATGTCTAAAAGGCTTTCTGATGTGACATATAACATTTAAAAAAGTCTAAAACTTCTTAGTTTTTTTCGTTTCGAAAAAAGGAAGTTTTGCGGGTTTTAGCTTCGATGAATAAAAAACTGTATTTTTGCTCTTTTTCTGTGAAATTCAAAACTTTGAGCAAAATCAGCTATCTTGTGAGCTCCGAGACATAATTCATATTTTTTGATTCAGAAATTTTTGAGTTTTCGGGAATAAGTCGATCAAAAAGAGCCGCTTTTCCAGTGAGATTGCAGTGATTGTTACCAGTGCACCAGTGTGTTGCTTGGTACTTTTGCACGAAAGCCAACGACCACAACGAAAATACGAAAGAGATGAGAAAACTCTGATACTGGGGTTCGCACGCAGAGAAAAAGAAGCAAACGAGTGGTAGAGGAGCCCGCAAAGCTTGCATAAACAGATTTGAAAACTCCATAGAAGTCGCTCAAAATAATGTTTTTTGGGAATTTCTGATTTTCGTTTCTCATTCAGAAAGGTATTTTTCAAATTAATTTCCTTTTAGGTCCGAAAGAAAGAAGTTCTAAGATACCTTGGAAAAGGGACACTGGCTTGGAATCCAATGATAAAAATAGATTTGAGAAAAAAAACATTAATACTTTTGATTGAATTGACTCGTCGGATATCGGACAAATCATAAGCCTGCGAGAAAAGTGAAAGAATAAAACTACATAGGTTTCGAACCAAAAATGGTCGTATTCATACCGTTCATTTTCTTGGCCCAAATAGGAGGAGATAGCTCGATGTAGAAGTAGTCGGATCGTTCGTACTGCTCGGTGTCGATGATTCCCAATTCGATAAATGCTCTGGAAACGAGTGAAACCTGGTTTTTTGATTTGGAATTCATATTATAACAGCTTTTTCTATCATGAGTTGTCCTATAAAAAAATCAAGCTTTTTACATTTCTTTCTTTTTGTGATAATCGCTTTTGAAAGGATTATTCATATTTCAATTTTTTCTGGATTTTTGTGCTACCTCGGATTCTCTTCTTCCCCAAAATTTTCGGAGTAATTGTAAATGTTTTTTTTTTTGAAACACCAATGACTCGCTTATGTTTTAATGCCAGCCGCTGTAGAGTTCAAAAAAAAAGGGGTTCTTTTTTTGAAACTTTTATCTTTCTTCTTGAGGCTGCAGTAAGAAAAAAAACTATAGTTTGTCATTGTTTTTTGCGGATTTTTCCGCCGAAGAGAGCCCTCAAAAAAAGAACTTCAACCGGCGCCGCCATGGTTTATCGCCAACGTTCCCTCTTTTGACCTCGGCAAAATCCCCTAACGGAATTTTCAGCAACCACTTCTTAATTAGAAAACTTGAAAAATCTCTTTTAAAAGAATTAAAATGACGTTTCATTCTACCCATTTGAATTTCTTGAGGCTACTGACATTTTTCTACTGAAAAATATGAAATAGGCTAAGCGCCACCTTTGAAGAAATATTTTTAACTGTTATATTTTTTGCCTAATGTTTTATTTTTTGAAATTTTCAACCTATACTCTGAGAAAACCACATGGAAATTAGACCAACTCAGTTTGATTGTCGTCAAAGACGACTTCTCCCTCTTTGGTTTCGAAATGCTTGTCGCCTATGGCTGTGCCGTCGATCGTTCTGAAAGTTCATGGATTTTTCATTGTTACCGAGAATTTCTGACTATTCTCCTCTAGCCCGAAGAACCGTGCAAACATACAGCACTTGGGATAGGTGCGCAACGCGAATCACTTTAGTCAAACAGTAAGTTTTCTCTTTTTTGCAAGGTATTTTCCAGAAGTCCGACCTGTATGGGATGACGACCTTGCCGCGAGCTCCAGAATGACGTTGGAGCTTCAGACTGAGGTGGCCGCAGTTCTCGACGACTTGGAAGTGGTCGTGCTCGAAGCCGAAAACTCCGGCGTGGTCGTCATCTGAAGGCCGACGTCAATTTGGTCTTCAGGTGGACACTCACCGAGGATCATGATGGTTGCAGTGGCAGGCATCTCCAGCTGCGCCACTGGCAGACCGCCAATTCTCGAAGGGTCCAGAATCAGACCATCTTTAGTGCGTACTCGCAAGTTCTTCAAGTGCAGGTAGAAGTGCTCGTCTTCTTCGAAAACGTCGTCGTCCACAACTTCGATGTTGATTTTCTGAAATATCGAGATTTGAATAATTACGAGGAGCAATACCTGGTGTTTGTCCTCAGGATAGAAAGTGAGAGTTCCTTTGACCGGAACGAAGTCACTTCCAGCGTTGGCCGTTCCGTCTTCGGTGTAGTAGTCCACCATAACCGTAAGGCCGTCTGGTCCGCCATCCCTGAAGGGAAACCTTCGTCTGAAATGTTTCTCAAAAAGACATACCTTCCAACCACGACGTCAAAGCTGCCGACATTCTCGAGGACGGTGTAGTGGGCGGGGTCGAAGTAGATCTTGCAGGTGTTTTCCCGGACTTGCTTCTCTTGTGCCTGTACCAACTGCAATGAGACGGCTACGGCCTCCGGTGTTAGTTCACGAGCAGGTCGTTCCGTTGTTTAATCGTTTGACGTGCTAATTAGTGAATGAATTGAAAATAGTTGTCAAAGTTGTCGATAATAGAGAAAAAACTGTTTCATGGTTATGAAAAAATGATTTAAATGAAAAGACGAAAAATCAGAGTTAATGAAGAAACTTTTTCTGAAAAAAAAACAGGCTTACTGGTTCTATTGTCAGACCAGCAATAAATCAGTTAAGTAGAAGAATTGAAAGCGGTTGCAGCAACGAACCGCGTCGAGAGCTTTGTTGTGTTCCTTGTCGATGCGCTTCTTCACGATATCGCCACCGCCGATGAGTCTTCGGGTCGCCTGTACGCGGTAGAAAGCTCTCGATTTTGGGCCTCTGTAAAACAGTTATACTTTTGGAAGGTTCAAAACTTGCATGACATTTTAAAAAGCAGGCAGCGGTGAGGAAACAATTCTTTCAAATGCGCGCTATCTGACAGTGAGCGGCGCATAACTTCGAAAAAAAAATTAATTCAAAAAAAAAAACTATCGTTCAAACTACCGCTTTTTTGTCATTATTTTCCATTTGTGCCATATTTTCTTAAAAACACTAAAAAAAAGGTCTGAACCATTTCGATTAAAGTATTTGTGAACTTTAACAAGATCTCTTTTCGCAATGAAATTTCGTTTTTTTGTACAAGAGTAATACGTTTGATACTATAAAAAATTTTTTTTTCATGATTTAAAATAAGTTGAGTTGAGGAGTACAATACCGGTTGATCATTTCGTATTCGGCCTGCTTCTGAAGTTCGGTGGGACTGATGTGAGGGTTTTTCTTGCGAATCTCGCGCATCAACTCGATGAACTCCTGTCGGTGTTCCTCGAATGCTTTGACCGCTGGGTCGACCGCCGTCTGAAGGTTTTTGATTATTTATGGCTGTTTTGTAAATGTGCTTCAGTAAGAAAAGTGTGGCAAGGCAAAGGTATGGCGAGGTGTGCAATTATTTCAGCGGTTTATCCTTTCATTCAGTTTTTCAGTGTGCTTTTCTGGTCAGCGAACCAAACCTCGATCGAGAAACTGTGAATAAAAAAATGTTAATTAAGTAAAATGAAGCGTTTAGAAAATGTTCCCAATATAATGAATCAGAGCTTTCGTAAAGAATATCTGAAAGCAGCAAGCTTTGATCGACTGCGACATGCTGAAGCACTCTCGGTTGCCACCTCGCGATACCTCTCCGTAACCAATTGCCTGAACGTTGCCGTTCTCCAGCATCTTCATTTCCTCGGCCTCCGTCGCGATCATCTGACCGTGCGAGCCACGACGATATCTGTGGGGCAGGAAGCGGTTCTGAAAGTCGAATGCGTTTCGTGAAACGGATATTCAGTTTTACCTGGATGATCTTGATGTCGGCGATCCAAGCGGTGAAGACCGTGAGAGGGAAGAAAAGGAATGTTAGAGCTCCTTCCCAGATTTCAATCTCTCCAGGAGAGAAGAACGCAAGAATAGCATAAAGCCAGACGTAGGCAAAGATCGACCTGTAATCCGTGCGTACTTCAAACGGATAGAAGACTTCGTACCAGGTGGCAGTGACGCAGAAGACGTCGAGATGTTTCTGTCGACGGACTTCGCCTTTGGGGATGACGACGACGCAGATGGCGATGATCATGAAGAGGTTGAAGGCGGCGGATCCGACGATTGTATTCGGTCCAAGGTCTCCAGCTTCAAAGCCTTTTGCCATTACTTCAATGATGGACAACAGGATCTCGGGCGCTGACGAACCTGAAGCAAGGCTTCTTGTGAAGAAATAAATAAAAATTGTGTCAAGGTTTAATTTTTTGTTTAGACTTTTACTAAATTTTCATGTAACGAAAAATTTTGGTTTCAGGAAGTGAATGGGGATGAAAGTTTGCTTTCTAGGCTTTTTCATAGTCTTCAAAAGTTTTCTGTTCGTTCAGTGTTGCTTCTTCTTCTTTCTTGGACTAAAGTCCAAAGACTGATTTTCTCAGAAAGCGCAACTCGGAATTACACTATGTTCGCGAGGAAAAAGAGACATGTGCTATACTTCCGCGTGATTTTTATATATCCATGATAAAAGGTCTAAAAATATCTTACCCAAAGCCATGAGAGTCAAGTTGGAGACGGTGTCGTTCCAGATGCGAACTTGGACCTCCATCGGCTCAAGTCCTCGTCGTTTTACGATGATCGTTCGCTCCATACTAAACTGCGAGGTTGGGTTCGGAAGAAACTGGGACCAAACCTGGTGATGACTTCAATACTGCTCATGAAGCGGTCGGCGACGATGGAGATACCCAAGAACATGTAGGCGATGACGAAGAAATAGATGACTCCTCGGGTGAGTCGATCTCCGAATGACAGATCCAAAAATGGTCGCCTGAACTCATCAAACATTTTTTTTCTTTTTCAGATCTTCGTAGAGTTGCATTTTTGTATCCATGAGATCGATAGTTTAGACATGTGTTTTCTATTTAGACTTTTTTCTGAAGTTTCCCGGGGCTCCAGTGATTTATTCGTGTGAATAGGACTGATCCAATGAAACGGACAGACGTTTCCCGCCAAATGTCTTGGATCCGCAGGATTCATGTGATCTTGATAGAATCTTCGAGATGTTCATTATAATTTTACTTGATTAAAAAGTTCAATAAAAAAAGAACAGGATTTAATTTTTAACTTTAACAACTGATAGTGTTTCTGAGAGAATTAGTCTTTTTTTTTTTACTTACTTTTTGTCATTATTTGCTTCGCTTATCATCTTTCTGATTTTAAACTGTAGGAAAAAGGTTTCTAACAGCAAATAAACTCGAAAGCTTCAATGATTGGTTGAGATGGCTAGAAGATAATTTTTGCGGCGCTTCCTCGTTGGAGGCTCACCAGATGGGCACGACGAGTCCATCGATGCAGTTCCGGGTGGCGTCAGCGGCCGAACAGTTGGTTCCGGCGAGGGCGAAGTCGACGACCAGCGACAACGCCGCCACGGCCAGCCAACAACCCAACCGAGTCATCAAACTGCAATCAAGTCCATTGGCAACACGCTCAACGACACATGCGACAATTGATTCGGAAGGAGAGAATGCATGTCAGCGGCAAACGTACTCTGTGCAAACACCTTCGTTTTTGATATGATTCAGAAGCAAATAGACATTTCTGTAAATCGGATGCAAAGCACGGGATGAGACCAGCGCGGTCTTCGTTTGTTACGCAAAAAACTTGAAATTTTGGACTGACCAGGCTTGAAACAGTCGGGGTCAGAAAGAAATGAAATAGAAAAGCTTTATGAGATCAATTACTTTTCTAGTGGAAAAATAGCAAAAAATCAATATAAGCATTTCATACTTTTTTCTGTGCAATGTCAGGTGAAATCAACAAAAATAACTGTCAAAAAGAGAGAGATGTGACAAAAAAAAGAGCAGATTGGTGAAAACTTTAAACTTTCTATGAAATTTCTCTTTTCTGGTCTTCTAACCAACGTTTATAAAAACATTTCTGAACATTGCTGCAAAACGACATTTTATTCGAAAGCATCTTCAAAAGCTTTGTGAATCAATGAAGAAAAAAAAAGAGCTGGTGGTAATCGGCATTTGAACAACCGGAGAGGAGCCGTGACGGGTCTGGAGGAATTGGAGAAAATGAATAGGGAAAAGTCGCACCAGTGTCGGATTCCACTCACATGGTATGAATTAAGACGACGAAGAGAGCTCTGGAGCATCACGGCCAAACAAGTGGCCCACATTCGTCCAAGCATTACAAGATGGAACGGAAAATGGATTGGGACTTGGGATAAGATAGACTCAAGCAAACAGTCCCCTGGCAGTTCATTTCGTTCAGAAAAAAAATCTTGTTCAAACATTAGAGGATCTATGAAACTCAAAGTTTTCTTAGGAACAAATCAGAAGGTTTCAAGAGTTTTTTGTCTTAGAAACATGAAATAAATCAATTATGAGCGATGCCGACTATAGTAACGGAACTTTTGGTCATGTTTTCAAAATTTTTCTTTTTGAGAACCTTTTCGAGATTTCTTTTTAAGATTTTGTACGTTTAATTCAAGGAATAAACGACTTGAAAATAAAAAATAAAGTTATTCATTTTTTAAAATGATACGAAGAATAAAAAGGTTATTTCATTGGTGAGAGCAAAGTTGTGATAACTTCAAAATCCGTGGTGAAATGGCGCGAAGCGTCGCGGTCGCGCTGCGGGCGAATGCAGGGATATAACTAAGGGAAGATCTAAATAGATTAGAGGAAAGTGCACGGTATTGGATTTGATGACACCTTGAAGGAATTTTCTTCAAACTCCAATTTGATTCACTTCACTGTGAAGTTGTGGCAGTTCAAAATCAGCAAATTCTAAAATATGATCATTTTGAGTGTGAACCAGGATACACCAAAGTACAAACTACTGATAGATGAGGTTTTCAGCATAGATCCTGCACTTTTAAAAAGTAAATATTTGTATAAGAAGAAAGCAGCCTGGCATATCAGACGAAGAAGGTGATACAAGACTTTAGAAGGAAAGGGGAGAGATGGCCCTCGGCTTGGCCTAACGAGTACAAGAAACGGTATGGAGAGTGGAAAAGGGGAGGAACGATTTGTCAAGGCTGGTAGAAAAGAAAAGTCGAAGGGAGAGCAGATAATAAGCGAGTTGTTTGCCATCAAAGAGCCTGCGCGAAGAGTTGCGGGTTGAGCCTCCGAGCCCACTTGAGCCGCCGGTTCAGCGAGATAGGATGTACTGTCTGAGGAGAGACGCCGAAGATGCTCACGTCAAGAGCAGAGACGTCAAATAGCTGCGATAGAGCCTCGGGGGCGTCGGTTGGCTCCGTAGAGGTGGGCTATTCGAGTAGCGATTTGGCTTGAAGCGCCGAACGATTGATGCCATCGAGTGTCTTTTTTATCCGTGTAGCGGTTTGCAAAAGTAGAAAAAAAAAGTCTGAATGACACCGAAAATGACCAAAATCTTTTCGAGCATACAAAAATGCGAGAAATGAGCCGATGAGAAAATCAGTTTCAGAAAATAAAGTGTCCATTCGTACTTTCTGCCTCGATCGAACATAAATAACATGAAAATTCAAAATGGAATTTTTTTGACAGAAAAAAATAAAAGATTCGTTTCCGTTTCTAAATGCCTTTTGAATTGAAACTGTGATATTAAAACTTCCTTCTGTCAACCAGACCATGTGAAATTTTTTTTTGCTCTGATTTCCTGGGTTATTCCTAATTTAAGCTTTCGTTATCAATGAGAAAGTGAGCTTATTGGTGAGACTCATTGGTCGCTGATTTGATTTCCCAGCAGGTTGCCCTTTTTTTGATATTGTCAAAGTTACAGAAACACAGGGAAAAACTCAAAACTGTGCCATCAGCTTTTGAAAAGCCGAAACGATACAACTTATGAAATCCCCTGATACAAGCGAATTATAACTTTTTTTAGATCTTCTCCAGAGGTTTATCCACAGCTCAGAGTTCAGAAAATTAAAAATTATCGATTAAAAGTTAAAAAACTTCGAACTTCTCAGTATATTACTCCAATCGGAAGCTTAGAAGACGTACTGGGTAGAACAATGGAAAGCAAGAAAAAACCCCAAAGCCGATTGATTTTGGAGAGTATGACACGCAGAAAGAGATCGAGTTTCAAAGGAGCGGTCCTCGGCGACTTTGCGCTTTTTGGTTGCTTCCGGACACGTGCAAACAAGGTCGCGATCATGTCTCAAGTTGAGATCCATTGTGCTTTGTTGCAAATGTTTAAGGGTTGTTCACAGATCACTTCAAAGAAAATGGACACATTTCGAAGAGCCTAATCAGGTTGAGCTCGGCCTGAGCCACGGCTCAAAGGGCTTGCAGAAGCTCTCAACCACTTCAGAACTGCGGGTCAATCGGAGAAACAACTGATCGTGAGAAATATCACGTTGGCGCAGAATTTCCTTAGACCGTAGGGGCTACGTTTAATGTGCTCAATATTGCTCATGTTATGAAATTTAATTTAAACTTGGCAAAAGATTTAATTTTTTTATATCAAAAAAAGATACGCCTGAGATTGGATCGAAATCTTTTTAGCCTTAAAAAGATTTTCATCTGTTTGAGTTGAATAGGTCAATACTTAGAAAAAGTGAACCAAAAAATGCTCGAATTTCATCAGATCTTCAACAACACTCTAGTAAAGGTTTTCTTGTTGAACGGAACGGATGAACGGTTCAAATTTAGAACTTGAGAACCGTGAGAGCAGATAATTTGCTGAAATGTGAACATGAGCAGAAAAAATGCAAAAATATTATCGAAAAGATTTTAGAAAGATTGTTTTTCTTGTAGATTAATAGAAGCTTCATCATAAATTTTGGAAACAGAGATTAAGGGCTGAACTGTGAACTTGAGATGGAGGAAAAGTAGCTCAACTGCTAATACTAATTTCCACTGTGGGAAAAATCTTCACATGTTGATCATGCTCTTACTCGTCGAGTTTCAGAGCTGAAAGCAGCAAAATTTCGGGAACCTTGTTAAAAGGTTTGGAAAGAAGGCCTTCGTAGATAGTTATTAATACTCATACGTCACTAGCGGCTAATGATCCTGAGAAAAGTCATGTCTACGGTTGGAGCACCTGGTAGGTAACAAAGACGGCGTCGAACTTGTGATTACCGGAACTGATTTCCAAACAATCTGAGAGTTCTCCGGAACTTCCAGACTGGAAGTCCATTATGGGACGACCCCGAGGACGAGGTCGTCGATCGGTGAAGGAGCGCTCGCGGCCGGAGTTGGAGGGCCTGGCGGATACAGTAAATGCGGCGGCTGCCGAAGGCGCAAGTCAAACAGTCGCGCAATACTCGAGTGCTTGTATCTCGACGACGTCGAGTCGTGTGTGCTTGTAGTAAAGTTTCTGTTTGGACCATTCGAAAGACGCGACAAAACGTCGTTTATTGCAACGAGGGGAGGCTTTTCTCGAAATAACTGCGAGGCAAGCACTTCTTCTTGTGATAAATCTTGCAAACGCAAGTCGGAAGAATCTCTTTTTCCTTGACTTGACTCTCAATTAATGATGAAAAACACATTTGAGGAAGAAAAGTTCCTATTCAATTTCAATTTTGGCCGGTTTTTGTACAAATTTCTACGAAATCGCGTCATTTACGGATTGTAAAGTTAATTTTCTGCTTTTTAAAATTTACTTATCAAACTTTTCTTCATTTTCAAAAATGAAAAAAAAAATTTAAAAAAATACGTAGCAGAAAGAGCTTGAGCTGTAGTTTCATGTGAAAACTGTTTCAAGTCGTTTTTAATCAAAAACTTTCAACTTTTTTTTCAATGAAACTTGTTGACAATTTCAATTTATTTTCAAACTAAAAAGAGTCATTTTTTCATTACACATCAAAATGATCAAGATCAATGAGGAGCTCAAATTTAAAAAAAGGTAAAAATATTAATAGCCGAAAGTTCAAACTTCAAGAAATCAGTCGTTAGAGTAGATTGTCCTTTGAAAAAGTGCAAAGAAGCGGAACAGACGTTTCGAGACAGGAAGTGATACAGCTGCGACTCCCAAGGGTCACTATGAAGAATGGCCATTCCAGATTCAATACAAATAATAAGATTTTTCAAATGTGTTGTATGATTCTACACAAAACAGTCTTATTGTTATAGAAAAAGGTTCAAATGAGTCGCCGAATGGGCGCATTTATTTCAAATGAGATCCGAGTGCCGCCCAGATGTATTTGATCAAGATATGGTCCACAAAAAAAGTTTTTTTAAAGGTTGAAGCGACTTCGAAAAAAAGTGAAGATAACTATCTTCAGACTTTGATTTTTTGAATGTTTTATAGAAATTTTATCATTAATAATTCAAAAGAAATTTGAGTCAAAAATCGGCTTGGCTTTTTGCATAAAGGTGAATATTTATTTAACTTTACTAAGAGCATTAATTCAGCGATTTTCTTTAGTGCATCACAGAGTTTTTCAGTCAAGTTTGAGCAATTTCCTCAAGCAAAAGGGAAATGAACTGCCTTTTTGAAGCTAGAAGTCCCATAGACCTTTTTTCGAAATTTGAACAGGGGCAAAAAGCTCTGAACTCTTTTTGGAAGTTTAATCCCCCGGAGATTAATTCATAATTTGCTTTTATTTTGAGGTAACTCTTGAGACCCTTTCAAAGAATAAACTCCAAAGTCTTTCTTGAAACTTTCGAGGGCAAAAAAACAGAAAAACTGCAAACTCACGTGTGCTACAACTTATACAAGCCGCCAAGAGCGCTTTTTTGAGGGGTGAAAAAGAAAGATAGAAGATAAGAGGGGCTTTTCGGCAGGACGAGATCGGAAGAAAAAGAAAATGAAGGGAGAGGACAGGAGATAAATGAGCACTAACAACACATGCTTGGCTCGCTTTCCGCATCTTGCTCCACAACTTGGCGCCACTTCGCAGGTACACACGTTCTTGGAAAAATTCGACGGAGGGAGCAAGACAAGACTGCGGTTTAATTAGCGCCGCAAAATACAACTGCTTCGTCGGTTTCCGCGCTCTCAAAAACACGGCCAATGAGAAGCTCTCAAAGAGGTTTTTTTCAATTCGGCATGTTGCCTCACTTGTCACATTATTGCGACAGCCGGCCGATTTCTGAAGATCTCTCTGAGACGAGCATGAACGACGTCGATGATGTTTCAGTTCGACAGCAACTCAAAAGAAAACGAACGGTTGAGAGTTCAGTTCTGAACCTTTTCTTTCCAACTAGTCATCTGCAAAGTTACTGCCTTGGCTTAGAAACTAGCAATCTCAAATAAAAACTTGGAAAAGCTTTTATGAATGTACATCTTTTTTTTTCCTCCGCTATACTGTCTTCTTTCTTCTTTGAAAATTGATTTCATGCACCCATGAACTCCAAGAAAAAAAAGGACAAAGACAGATCAAACTTATTCAGCTCATGGCAAATACAATAATAAGCGAACGTTTAGAAAAGCTTCAGAATATTATGAAAATCTATATTTTCCAAACTGTTGAGCTAAACGCTTCAAAAAATCTTCGTAGAGATCTGATCCTGATCCTTAAAATATTGACGCCAATGGCGGACAAACTATAAATCTTCTCTCGGAGGGAAATTAACGCAATATATTCCGATTCTCAATTTTCGCTCCCAGAATCCTGATGGGATGGCTCAAACATGAATCTTTGCTTTTCAACTGAAAAATGAGAACTTGTGCAGTTTGTTCAAACTCTGTGGTAAGAGGGCTTCTCAGCGCAGAAGGGGCAGCCAAAAATGAACTGAAAATAACTTTTTGCCGCAGTACTTCTTTTTTCTCAAAGTTCTGTTTTGATTTGAAAAATAAAACAAGGATTTACGGACAAGGTGTTCTCAGGAAACTTCATTAAAACGAATAAAAAAATCTTTCAGTCGAAATTTCGATTGTCATTATCCAAAGAACGTTTTCATTTTTTTCGCTCATGAGAAAAATTGGAGTTGACTCGAGATCGGAGTTTGATTTTTATGAAAAATATTTTTTTAAGTCTACAAACTTTTTTTGGAATAGAAAAAAATATTTTTAAATAAAAAAAGAGAAAAAAACGGACATTTTGTTGAGCTGGCAGAGATTTTGGATGAGTCTCCAAAATCTAGTTCATAACCAGGTAAAAATGACGTGGGTGAGAGGCATCACTTGAATCACAAAATAGAGTGAACGGAACAAAAACTAAAACAAGTAGGACAAGAATATTTTTAGAAAAGATGGGAAACGGACGCTAATAGACTAATTAGACACTATCGATCACCGGGGTCATAAAAGCTGGTAATTCCTTCGCAAAGCTTGGCTCAGCAAAGAAGACAAGCTTCCAGTGAACTTCTCGAAACTCTCGAATAATAATGCTGTGTGGCAAATGAAGGAAAAGACTTCATAATTGGCATCTATTTAGATAATCTTGGCTTCGACGCCCACCTCCAGCTCTGACGAAGAAGTTCAAAAGGCGAATTCCCCAAGAAAGTCATGGACTTTCTGATGATTTTCTCACTGTCACTCTAGCAATATATCTTCTTTGAAGTTCAACCAACTAGATTTTTACTTTTTGCACAAATGATCCCGTTGGAGCATGAAATCAAGTCGTCTAACAGTTTGGATTTCAAAGGATGGTTTTTTTTCTCTATTCAAAAAGCGGAATTGAAAAATGGAGAATGAAAAGGTGTGGAAGAAGGAAGTTCATTCCTGCGGCAGAAAAGGTGAGATTTCACGGTCCAAGCCGTTGGCGCGAAAAAAAAAAGTTCAACTCATTTTTACGCTCAATTATTCAACAAAAACCTCAAATAGAGATGTTTTTGTCTAGTTTGATCACCAAGGTTTTTTAGTGGCTGTTCTGGAAAAGTCAAAATCTTTAATGAAAAAAATTGGACTTTACTCTAAGTTTCTTATCAGAGAAAAAAATTAAGCTTCTAAAATATCTAGAAATGCATATGAAAAAAATTTTTTTCATTTATTTATTTTTCAGATTGACGTTTGAAATACCCTCACTGAAGTGTTTGAAAACGCAGAAAGGCTTTGAATTACTTTTCAAAAATCTTCGCCTCAAAACCTAAGCCTTAAAGTTTAAGGCTTAAACTCCTATTAAAACTTTCGACGCTTCTTTGAAGCCTCTAGTCATGATTACTGAACAGAATGTATCACTCTACATGCTGAATTAGAAGCATAATAAGAGAAAAAAACTGAAAACCCCGAAAAAAAATAAAGGTCTAATTCTGCAAATAAAAAAAGTACAAAAAAATTTAAATAAATCCAACAGAATTTCTTAGGAGATGAGAAAACCTAGTGAATTCGAATTCTCACACTCCAAATCGACGTTCTTCCATGACGAAGAAGTGCAACAACAACATATCAAGAAGGAGATCAAGGTTATTGCGGAAAAAGGCGAAAGGAAACGACTCATGCGCACGAGAAGCTGCCCGAGGCAAAAAAGAAAATACGAAGGAAACCCCGCGGGACAACCGAAAGCATTGGTTCTTGACGCCACATTCCTACATTTCACTGAGCCGTTCCATGTGCAAATTAATATTCAACGTTTCGTTGTGCAATTCGCGTGGACATATGCTGATTGGAGAAAAAAAATGAAAAAAAAAATTGGAAGCAAAAGCTCGAGGGAGATGATGCGGAAGAGCTGGCGGAGGAGCCTCGGTGGATTCCGAAAATTTCGAAGCCATGACCTTTTCTGATACTTTCATGACTGTTTTCACAGAAATTTGAGAAGGAAAAACTACGGCAAAACCGAAATCTGCTCAAAAAGCTTGCTCAGAGGCTCTATATCATCGCCCGCGGTCTTTTCTATCAAAAGGTCTTGAAGCGATGATCTACTGGACTCAAGCCTTGCTTTTCGAAAAGGATGCCCGAGTTTTTTTTAGAGCAGATTGAAGAGGATTTGAATACATAGAATAATGAGAAGACCTATTTTTTATGTGTGCCGTGGACCTAAACAGACTAGGAAGAAAGACCTCAAAAAGGCACCAAAAGATCTCTCGAACGGCTACTTTTTTTTACTACTTTTCGTACGTTCTGGGCCAAACTTATGCGAGGGTCGTCCGCCAATCAGCACCCGATCGTTTTCTAAGCCCGGTCCAAAGAGCGCACTTCGAGTCAAATATCAGACCTTTTTACGACAAAACAAAGTTTTCGGTCCTTTTTCACTTTAAATTCAACAGAAAACAGATTGACCTAGTAAAAAATGAAAAACTTGTGAAATTTTAAGTAAGCACGAAAATTTGAAAGGTACCCGCGGAGGCTTCTCCGAAATAATGAGGTTCAATGTCCGAAGCGGGCCGGGTCAGGCCGGTCAGCCTGACGCACAAGTCTGCATTGACCTGCGTCTTTTTTTGAGTTTATTTTTTGTAGTCTTGGTTTCCAGACGTCTATTAACCACTTTTCGTCGTTTTGCAAAAAAAACTAGAAATGAACAGATTGAAAAGATCTTTTATTTACAAGCTTATTTATAATTAGATATATCTTTCGAAGAATCTCCTTTATTTGCCGGTTTGTAGCACAAAACTTTTTTTGTCAAGTACCAACTGATTTACAATAAACGCCGAAATTTTCTATCGTGTTTTTTTTCTTAATTCGCCTTTACGTTAGCTCCATAAAAAGGCTAGGTTTATCCGAAAAAATGAGGCTAAATGTTCAAAACGATTTTTTTTAAACTTTGATTTTTCCTAAAGAGCAGATACTTTTTTCAAAATACTGTAGAAACGCGTTTGCATAATCCACTTGAAGGTGTGCTCCAAAGCAAATGTCACATTTCAGTCAAAACCGCGCTTGAGCCTTTTGAGGAAAGAAAACGTACTCAGGTATTCAAAGAAGCGTGAGGAAACTCGGTTTGAGAAGTCTTTTGTTTGAGGAAGAAATGAAGATTTTTCACAGCTTGTATGAAAACTACATATTTACAACTCTCTGTTAGGGCTCAATTCTTGGAAAAGATTAGGCTTATATTTTTGATGCTTGTTTTGTTACATTATTCTTCAAAGAAATGAATCAAAAAGAACCTTTAAAAATAAAACTGTCTAGAACTTTTATGTAGCTGATCTTTTTGTGAGCTGCCGTACTTCATAACCAGAACTTCAGATTTAAAAAGTTGGGAGCATTTATTTATCGTCGAGTCAAGAAACGGGGGTTTGAAGAGTCAAAATAAGACAAAAAAAAGAAACATCGTGCAAAATGTAAAAGAAGCAAGAAGCAATGAAAAATATAAACGATGAAGCAATGGATAGACGAAAATCATCGTGTAGATAAAATCCGTTTTTCAAAAAAAAAAAAAAATCTTTTCAAGACATTTGAAAAGAAATTTTGGAAGTATTCCTTGTAAAAAAATATATTTTTGTAGTTTTATCATATATATATTAGGCCTTGGACGAAATCAATGACGTTTCGAATGCTTTGAAAGACGCGATATAAAGAAATAAATAGTATTTTGCTGGAATTCGGAATAGAGATAAATTTGGCTGCCGAGACTCTCGCACATGGAAATGAGAGTCACTACTTCCGGTTGAGGATGTTGACACATTTTTTGGAGGTAATTCATGAAGCCGATAGAAAAATGGTTCAAAAGTTAGGCTATGCTTGGTTGAAAGTCAGAGGGTAAAATAAATATCGAAAATTTAAAACTTACAACTTTCTAGAGATTAATCTATGGATTCTGGATAATAAGAAGAGAGCAAAGAAGGATAAGACATGATGTAAAAAACAGGAACAGACTTGTGTTTTCTTTAATCTTTGTCAAAGGATGTCCACGACGCGGCTGCGGCCTTTTCCCGAGGCTCCGCCTGTCCGTCGAGCCACACGTTTTTCATGCGGAAATACGCGGCCGCCACTACGAGCAACATCCTGCGGCTTCCCCCGTCACCTATACATACAAATGTTCGCATTTTCGATTTTTGAAAGGAAATTGTGAGTGCTTCCTGACTTTCTGAACACTCATCTGCTTTTTCTACACTTTTATCAGTAATGAGATATTTTTCTTCCAGGAAATAGATTGACTTTTCATTCGAAGATAACGCTTTGGAATATGTTCAGAACGCTACTCAATGAGAAAACAGTAGGAATAAGCTCGTTGGGTGGAGTTTTTTCGATAGAAAATCATATAATGTTAATCATTTACAGCGTTTTATCGCTGGTTTGAGACAACGTTTTAAAAAGAATATAAAAACGGGTTGCAGAAAAGGTTTGATGAGGCCTTTGATGTACTTTTCGCCCCAAACTAGCGGTGAATAGAGTATAAAACTTCTTGGTTCACATAATGAAAAAAAAGAAAATAGCGCAGTTTAACCTTTTTAAGCTACGAAATATAAGATCATGACATTCATTAGGACAAAAAATAAAGTGAATCTTTGAAAGTTATATTAGGTTGGAGCCGAGACTTTTTCAAAACGTATTTTTTTTCGGTTCTTCAAGTCCAATAAAAAACGTAGACGTTGAAAATTTCAAAATGGAGAACAGAAAAAAAGAAAACAAATTATAGCGGCCAACAGGAAAAAAATAAATCGCTTATTTTTTTGGGTTATTACCCAAAAAAATTTGTTTACGGGCTTACAATATTCTGCTGCAATTCCAAATAGAAAGGAAAAAAGGTAGGGAAATCGATATTCGAGAGATTATTTCCCTTTGAATCTGTGCCCGCGGCTGAGAGAGTTGCCAAAAAACATGGTTCCAATGTAATTCCGGTGCTGTTGCCAGGCTGGAGAGAGAATGAAGTAACAAGAATGAATAATGGGAAAGGTATGGCGTTTAGTTTGAACTGAGGCTTTCTGACAACTGAAAACTTTTTTCTAGCGCCTTTTCCCATAAAAAGTTGTATTTCGGTCTACGAGCCAAGTATAGGCACTTTTGTTGCATTTTTTATGTCCTATGTTTTTAAATGGACACCAGAAACATACTCGCCATCAAGAGGATTTCAAAAAGACGGTTCCGATAAGAACAATTGTTTTTTGCAGGGATTGCCGCCACACGGAAAGCGGTAAACACTCATCGGAATTGCCTTGGCGGCAACAGCCGCGTCGCCTTGCGACACGAGCCGTTCCGCGTCAGAAGACTATTTTCATAAATAGTTCTTCCTATCACGAGTCAAGCTTGAAACTCTTGAATGAGTGGCGCAGCTCCGCCGCAAAAATTGGTGCAAATGTCATTAGCCTAGTCGTTGAATCGCCAACCGATTGTTTATTTACGGCTTTAATGTGCATCTTTAAAACGTCGAGAAGCTGGGCCCATTTCGTGCCTACGAGACTCCGGAAGCCTTTTCGAGGCCATCCTTCTCAAATGAGCCTCTTTTTCTAAGTCGCGATCTCGAAAAGCTCTTGGGAGAAATTATCAGGTTGCTTTTCAGTTTTTTTTTGGAGATCTGAGAATCGCATTTGAAAACAAAACGAACTATTGGAAAATTCATGAAATTTTCTTCGAAATTTGGAAAATGTCAGAGTTACGTGATAAATCTAGATAACATAAATTGCTAATGGAAAAAAAGGAAATCGTGTAGAAACTTTTGAAAAAAAACTTTCTAAACTCAAAGTAAGAAAAAAAAAATCAAACTCGAGGTTTTTGAAAGTCATCAAAAGCTGACTAGTGTATTCAAATTTTTTCAAACAACTTGCGCCCGGAGAATTTCAGGATCAAATCTCCGAGCAAAAATGATTGAGAGAACCGAGAAAATTAGTTTCCGAAAATATTAGCAAGTCTACGCGTCACTCAAAATCCAACAAAAAACATTGGCAAAAAGTGAGATATTTCGCATATCTCAGCCTACGATAGTCGAAAGTAGCTTTCTGAAGAACTTTAACGGAAATAAGGGAGAATAAAAGAAGAAGCGGCACCGCCAAGGGCAAATCCGAGCCGCCAGAGTGTTGGCTTCGAATAATCGAGTTTGGCAGGGCGCCATCCATCCCATTTTTTTCAGTCGGCAGGACTCCCTCATATGAGTACTTTTCGCTCTTTTGAGCATAAAATTACTTGAAAAGGACACTAATTCTAGATATTACCTCAAGTAGTGTAGTATGACCATTTTAAACTTCAGTAATAAATCTCCGAACTGTTGTTTTTCGAAGGTATCATAATAAAGTCTGTAGAGTGACATTTTTCTTCCAGGCTGGAGGTGGTTCTTTTGTTTCATTTTTCTTATAGCTTCTGTTCCTTTAAAACCACATATTTTCTTTTTGAGCGGGTAGAAGCTTGTATAGTCATTGGCCTCGTTAAAATGGTGACGCTGTAAATGCGCAAAAGACGCGTGAAACGCCGTTTGTTTCGCACAAGATTGCTCCCTTGAAACGGATGTATGGTGCCCTATTGGATCCACATATTCGTAGGTCCAATGCTCTCAATATATAACACGTTGTTTTCGGTTGAGGTTGGGGAATTTCAAATTGGAAAACAGAACCAAAAGAAAGGCGAAATGAGGTTAGAAAAGCCTTTCTCTATTATTTTTTTGCTCCGAAAGACAAAAAACCAAAACTAGCGAAGGAACTTTTGTAGTCAAAGTTTTTAAAAGAAAGGGATTATAAAAGTGGAGAAGAAATAAGAGGAAAAAACGAATTTCTCGTTAGAAACGAATGTCATTCAGAAGAATTTATGCGCGGCTAAATAGAAGTTCCAGAGGGAAGAAATATATTTCATAGGCATCTGCATATGTACACACAATGAAACTCGTTCTATTCCTAATTGAAGTTATTTCAATGAAAGATAATCAGTGAGTAATACTGGCAGGGAAATAGCAACGGTGATAGGATTTGTCATGGCGACCGAGCGGCCTGGAGACATCAGGCGCGTAAAACGGAAAGAGTTGGAAGAAAACGCTTGGAAACTAAAGAATGGCAAATGAAAGACAGTAAATAAATAATAATTGACGGTAACTTCGAAGCATATATTATGCAAAAGAAGGTTTCTAGCATAAGAATGGAAAAAGAAAAAACAAGTTTAACAAGGAGAAGTTTCTAAATCCATATATTCAATTTTTAGATTACTGGTTCCAAGAACACAGGAAAAAAACCCATATCAGCAAAAATTTCCAGCACGACTGGTACAAATATCGCCGCTCCACGTGAAGCAAAACAAGAAAAATCATTTCAACAACCCAAAAAACATAATACTGAACTAAAAGGGAAAAAAATTGGCAAAATAATCGAGAATTCAAAAAATTTCGCCCGCAATTGGGTCGTCATTCATTGCCAGCAAGCGTCGTTTGTACACCAAATTATAGCCCTGCAAAAACATTTACTCAGCTCGTTTCCATTTCCGACGACACGGCTCAAACGTCACGACTGATGACAGCAAGTTCAAAAAAAGTTCATATGGGGCGTTTCAGGAGATATTACCTTGGTGATCGGAAACTCCATACAAATGTAGCCAGCAAAGTCGCGTACACGCTTCTAAGCGATCAATTTTGTCATGTTCAATCAAAAAATCACATATACTGTGGGTTTGGTCATAGATGTGGTCAGGAGATCTTAGTTTAATTTCACTTGCTTCGATTTTTTTTTCTATACTTTTCTCAATGGCATATATCCAGTGTCCGACGCGGCTTTTGACGGGTATCTCAAAATCAAACAGGAGCCACCTTTTTATTATTTTTTTAAACTATCAATAAATTTTAATATTTCTTGGTTTGAAAAGATTCAGTTAAACGAATAAAAGTATAAAAATTGAAAAGAATTTTTTTCCTGGATATCGTTTGATCTCGAACTTGCCGCTAAAAGCCGCGTCGCAGACGCAACGCTTCACTCTTGCCAATCTACCCATCTCGTCTTTCAAGCCGGTAAAAATTGACTATATCCATATGAGACACTCAAACAAAATAAATGGAAGTTCTTAACCGGTTCAAAGACTGTAATATAGCTCTCCAATCGTGAAAGATAAAAAAATCAAGAAAAAAAAAGTTATATTTCCTGTAATTCTTTTTCTAAAGCGAAAAGAGATTTTCAAAAAACCAGCCAAAAATCATCTGATAATTGAAGGTTTTTTTTTTTCAAATTCCTCCAAAAGTATACTGTCAAAGCTTCAGTCGCCACCTTATATTAAAAAAGTTATTCAAAAGAAACCTGGTTGCAACAAAGACGTTTGCACTGTGAACTCGAAGAGAAGTTATTGAGGCTGACGTCGATGTGGGCGGTCGCAGTTGATGCGCAGTTTGCGAAGCTGAACCTGGAAAAACTACTTTGAAAGTTCCGTTCAAAGTCTCCATTCTTCTGCTCTCATTCTGGGCTTCCACCTAGAGCACTGTCTTCAGCTCCGACGTCCGCTATATTTTGAGCTTGTCAAGACGCAACTGGATGAACTACGTGCAGAAGAACGAAGCGAAGGACCATAGTTTCATGCTTTCAATTCTTTGAACTACGACCTGGGCTTCTAGTCCGTCGAAGGCGGTTGTACTTTATAGGTTTGAAAGTTCTTGTTCACCGCCTAGTCGATTATATTTATGTTTAAAAAAAAATGAATATTGATTAAGTGATAGATAGGAAAAGAGGTTAAACCGGTGAGATCTCCTACCTTACACATCGATCAGCAAGAGGGTCGTATGTGAAGCGAATCTCCTTAATTGGCTCTGAGCCAGGCTGTGGACAAACCGAGAGAGCTGGTCGTTGCTGCAGACAATAATTCACTGAAACTCAAGTTTTCGAACTAAAAAAAAGAGCTGTCCGACTTGGCGAAGGACAGCAATAGGCGGCGTTTCCGACCGGAGTGCAAACGTGGTCTCCAGGGCATTTCGCATTCTGAAAATAAATTTATAAAGGAAATAGTTCGAAAAATGTATGGTCGCGCGGCTACCGGAGTTATTTAGATAGCGGTGAATGGACTGTAGCTCCAAAAAATCGTTCAAAAAACACACTCTCTTCTCACAAAAGGAGTTTTATCTATTGAAAATATCGAAATTTGTGTATTTTTGATCTAAATATCCAAAAGGTATTGGGAAGGCGACGAACACGAAGCACGACTATGATCTATCAATCAGTTCTCTTCACCTTCAAATAATCGCACTGAATGGCAGAACCGTCGACTGTTGTGATAGCATCGCCTTTCGGACAGATTTTGGCCGGCAGAAAAGAGAATGTGAAAGTGGCCTTCTGAGGAGCCGTCGACGTTTGCAGGGCAGGCGCTAGTCCCAAGGCTATAAGGACATTGAGAAAAATGCTCTTTCCGTTGGTTCACCGCTGAATTTGACTCCTTTAGCAACGCAAGTTTCCAGGCAATCGGTCAAAGATTCGAAGTTGTTCTGGTTGCCTCCTTCTCCAGAGTAGATAAAGTGAAGGCACTGATGGTATTCCTCCAAACAAAAAAGTGAGGCTAAGGGAGGTTTTCCGTTTACCGGAGAGTAGAAATAACGTGAGAGGTACTGCTCGCCGTGGCCGCTGGCTGCAGGATAAGAACAGCGTCCCGTGACGCCGTCCGCCGTTTCTTCAAAGTTACAAAGTCTTTCAGATCCAGAAGCCAATCTCACTTTTACAGACGTTTTCGCAATCGCCGCGGGTCAGGAAGTTGTTGAGATTGCCGCCCATACCGTTGTACAAGAAAGAAACGCAATGGCCGTTCTCAAAGGCCCAGCGATGCTCCTGTTTCCCGCCCAAGCCGACGTTTATCGCCTGTTCGCATTGGTCTGAACAGTTTTTGTTTCGAACTCCTAAGGGATATTCTTCCATAGAGGTTTCAATGTATAGTTCGTTTGAAAGAAAACATTTTAGATGTTCTACGTTATCAAAATTCAAAAAAAAAAGTTATAAAAAATCAAAATCAAAAAATAGAATCATCATTTACAAGCCTGAAATGACACTCGAAAAGTTGCCGAAAGGTTGAAAAAGTGCTCAAACTGAAGCGGGTCACTGACTTGAAGGAAAATAGTCGGTGATAAAGTTGGGTGAAGTCGTCGAAGAAGTGGTGGCGACCGTCGGACAGCACACATTGTTTGCCAGAGAAGAAACACAGGAATAGCCAAAGTCACAGTGCGAATCTTCGGAACAACTGAAAGGAAAAACGTTATTTTTGGCATGAGAAAGGGGCTAACGAAGGCAAATTGTCTCTGGGAAGAGACGGCGAGCCGACGCTGCACAAGTTTTTCGCGCCACAGGCCCTTCGACATTCTTCGAAAGACAGAAAGTTGTTTTGATTGCCCTGAAGGTACAAGGTGCATCATCTGGCTCAGACTTCTCAAACCTTGAATCCGTGGAAACTGAAGACGTTGCAAAAGCGAGTGTTTTGGTCGAAGTACCACCTTCGGAGCGGACTTCCGCCAACTCCTTCCTCAACCAGCTGCTCGCATGGAGGCTCGTCTGCAAAACTATCTTTTTATCCAATTGAAAAAGTCATCGAAACCGAGAATAGGACAGCAGACACTTTGTCCTTCTCCGATCTGACAGAAAGTTCCGACAGGGCACGACGTCGTCTTATCGGCGCACATTATGGTAGCGTCGCCAAAAATAAGCTTCTGGCATGGCGAAGTGTTCGAAGTCGCGGTCACCATCTCAAAAGAAGAAGGTTCCGATTCAAGTCGAAATCAAGCAAAAAGTTTTCGAATGACAAACTGATGTTTACTTTTTCAATGTTTCTGCATAAAAAAAGATAAGGCCGGTTTAGGAATGATAAAATCTTCAAAACCGTTTAGTTAAACAGTTGATTGAAAGTTCGAACTCGGGGATTGCAGTTTCAACTATTCAATATTTTTTGGAACTCACAGAATAATTCACGCTGACCGACGGAGATGCAGGAGCTGGTGGAAAGATGAACATCGGCAGAGGGTTCTGGGGAATAATCCTTGAGTTGTTGACGGAAATCAATGAGGGAGGTGGAGGGAGCAGTCCTGGCACTCCAAGAGCCGAGAAGGTCTGCAGAGGTTCTTTGGACTGCACCACAGGTACGACAGGTTCCAGCGACTGGACATAGGGAAGGTACGGAGGCACTGGCAGTACAGGAAGAACGGAAGGATTTGGTTGTAGTGGCGGGACCGCAGGTTGGTTCACCTCCACAGGGGTGATGTATGGCAAGGCCGACAAATTGGGCATGAGTAAGGGTCTTTGTGGGTGTTCAGGTTGTTCAGAAATAGGTAAGTTAGCTTGAGTCCTTGGAGCCGTCAATTCGACGTATGGGCTTTGGAAATTTGTGAACGGTTCTACTAAGGCTTGATCTGTTTTCGGGAAAATAGGCATCGTAGTGGTAGTGATAGGAAGGTTTAGTGGGGCTTCAGTTGAGATGAAAGAGTTTTCAATCGCTGGAATTAGGGTTGGTTGAGTAGTTGTGGTAGTTGTGGTAGATGTAATGAACTGGAAGATGAACTCTTCAGAATCAGACTTCTCTTCTGGTTCCACGAGCTCGGACTTGATTTCAGGACGAGGGTAGCCGGAGAACTGGTTAGCCGAAGCATTGGACGTCTTATTTGGGACGTAGGGAACTACCTGGACGGCAGGACGTTCGCCTCCGAAGTTTGTCTGTCTGTAGATGGGCACTTCTGGTTGTGGTTGAGGTTGGGGAAGTGGGACGAAGAATGGATCCGTCGGTTGCTTCGGCTCGACTTTCATTCCAAACTGGTTCTCTGTCGGCTGACCGGATCCATATACTGACAACGGCACCGGCTGCTGTTCCACCTGTCCGAACTTTGACTCTTCTGGCGCTTGTGATGTTTCAACGCTGCTCTCCACAGAAAACTGGCTGTTGTCGACTTCAACTATGTTCTGCTGCTTGTTCATGAGGCTGGAGAAGACGTGGTCCACAAACTGCGACGGATTCGGAACGCCATCAACGATAGGCGGTAACGCAGTTGAGGTGTAAATCAACGGAATCGTCTCTGAAGCCAGACTCTCTGGAACAAGAACTGTCGAAAAAACTGACCTCCTCTGGGTTCGAAGATTAATGTGGGGAAAGAAGCGGTCGTGGTATAGAATTGAACTTCGATCGATTTTTCTACTATTGGCTCAACTGTGACGACTTCCTGCCTTCGGTCCGCTCCAAAATCTGAGAAAACTTTCAGCTACCTGAGAAAAAATAAGCCATGCTAACCTGAAGGCAAAGCCGTGCTAGCCACCAAATTTTGGATCATTCGCGTATTTTGTCGCGTTTCGGCGGTTTCCAACGCTTCTGTTGCCGCATTCGTGGTCGTGGTCGTCGTCGAAGTCGCTGTGGAAGGAACAGTCTCCGAGTCAGATCCATGTTCCTTCTTTTTCTGCTTTTCTTCAATTTCAAAAGAAAATTTGGATTATTGACCAAAAACCAACTTCCTAGACAAAGTCGCTCGCATTTGTGTTTCTTATAGAAACGGTTATCGTTTCCATCAATACCCGAATAATAAAACTTTTCACATCGACGTGTAACTTTGTCGAAGTAGTAGCGAGGAATCCTGAAGAGGCCAGAGCCGATGGACGGCGGCAGGTCGCAAGACTTCCGAGTTGGTTTCCCTGAACGAAAAGCTTGACTGAGAGATCAGGGAGAGAAAATACCTATTCCACAAGTATCCACACATTCTTCAGTAGATTGGAAGCGGTTCGAATTACCACCAAAGCCCAAGTAGGTGAACTGGACACAGGCCAAAGCCGACATGTCAAAGTACCACCTAAAGTCGGAGAACTTTGAAAACTTTGAACGAAAAAAGAAAGATTCTGACATTTTCTCTGCCATTCTGCCACTGGTTCCTCTATCAGGAGGCAAAGAGCACGGATTGGAATCAATTTCTGCTTTCGTTGTTACTTCGAGAGAAGCCGTTTGCGGCACTAAAGAAGAGCATGGAAAAAAAAACCAATCAAGCATGAAAACCTTGGAAATGTGTGGTTGTAGTGAACGTGCTCGTAACTGGGGGAGCAGTTGATGGCGGCGAAGTCAGTTGCAGGGGAGGATCCGTATATCGCGGCGGCTGCTTCGGAAGAACTACTGACACTGGAGTCGACGCCCTTTCCGGCCGCAGCTCTGTCGGCTTCGGATACAGAGGCTTTTCCTTCAAATTTCACAATCAAAACTCCAGAAAAAGCTATTCGAACCTTCTCATAAGGGATTTTCCTATCCTTAGGCAAAATCTTCATATTACTTGGAAGTGAAATTGGGGGCTCTCCGGCACCTGAAACGTAATAAAGTCTAGAAAAATCATTTGGCGATTCTATTAAAATGACTCTTTGAAATCCTCCTAAACTCGAAATTTTAGCTGAAATTGATACATTTACCCTTTATCGTGGCTCTATTCTCAATGAACTCTTGAATAAAAACTATTGGGCAAACTTGGCGTCATTGTCTATTTTTTGCTTTGCTTTTTCTTTGATTTGGAAGCCGACGGCGCAGAAACGCGGGCGGAGCCACTTGACCATTGTCTCACGTCTCAATTTCGTGCGATGATCCTCTCGTCGGCCCAGAGCAAACGAAAGGAGTTACCTCGACACGTGGACTCGCACTTCTCGTAGGTCATGAAGCTGTTCTCGTTGCCACCGACGCCCGAGTACTGCAGCTCGTGGCAGGCGTCCGTTTTCCAGTCGAAGTAGAACCTCCGCATCCGCTGCTTTCCGTAGCCAACTGCCGGGGGAAGATGACATCGGTTGGCGACTGAACTCAGTTTTGATCGGGCTCAGAAGAAATCAACGGAAACAAGGCAGGAAAGTCACTGACAGCGTCGACTCCGTGGGCAACAGAAGAAGCTCGAGTCAGCCTCTCCTTCGTGGCACCAGAAGCCAGTTGGACATCTGAAAGTACGAAAATTTAAGATGCAACTTATTTATGAGAGAAAAGCTGAAAAAGGTCGTGATGAAAAAGTTTTTCAAAAAGCTCATTTTCTTTACAATTGAATATCATAAAGTCGTGATTTTTGAAGTCGTTATATGAGGCAAAAAAATCAATTGCTTCCAACGTGTTGAATTTTGAAAATAGGAAAGGAAAAACATAAAAAAATTAACAGGAAAAAGAAGCTCAAAAATAATGTTTGAGAATTCCGAGGCGTTCTAGTTTCTATGCGACTTCACAAGAACTCGCAAGGAAATTTTATTTTCATGAAAAAAAGTTTATGAAACATTTCGACTTTCCTACTTGCTTCGATGGAATTGGAAAGACATTCAGATCTGAAAACGAACTTTTGCTCGGGAAGCCAAGGTCTCGGCTGACAAGGCCGCGGCTTGTGATCCTCCATCAACAGCGGAATCCCATCAGCGCACAGAAGAGAAAAATCTGGAAACTTTCTTTTATGACTCATTTCAGAAAAATCGCGAAAATGTTGTTTTGGTACATCCATCTTTGAAGCATCATTTTAAATATTAAAAAAAAAAGTTTTTTGAATATTTTGCACCCGGGGCTGTACACGTGATTAGAAATTTCGAGAATTTCCCGGCTCATCCAGCCGGAATCCTTCTCACCGTCGTAGTTGACATTTTTGATGACATTGGTCTTGACAAGACGGTCAGCAGTGACGCCGAACAGAAAGACAGCGACGAGTGGGACGAAAATGATGGAGGAGGGCATCGCCCATCGGTAGAATTCGTTCCGTTTCTCAGAAACCCTCAACCGGTGGCAGTCAAAAGAAAAAGAAGATAATCAGGATAAAATGGAACTTCGAGTACTGGATTAAGCTCAGAAGAAGGAAAAAGATCAAAACACGCGATAATGAAAAAAAAACTTGCAAGAACTAAGATCAAGAAGTTTTCATTGGAACCGTTTTTTTCAAAAATTATGAAACGATTTTATAGATTTTTATATATAAAAACCTGCAAAAATTTTTTTCGAAATATGTTTTATTCAGAAATTGAGAAATAAGGAGACTTTCAGAAAAGTTTCCCTAGTACTCGCAGTCCTAAATTAGTTTTTTTAGATCCAAAATCGTCTTGACATAAATTGAAACAAGATATTGAAATTGAAGGATTATATGAAATATGGTAACATTGCATAACTCTCAAAATCTTTCGATTTTCGGTGCTCAACGAAATTTTTCGAATTATGAAAACAAGCATGAAATTCAAATTGACTTTCAGAGACGAAAACATTTTCGATTTTACGGTTTCTTGAAGAATTGCTGAGCCCCTTTAATGGAGTCTCAACGAACTTCTATGCTCGAAAATTTACTTTGGATGGATCATAAAGCAGATGAAAGAGAGTAAGACAAGAGAAACAAGGGCGAAATTAGTAAGAGGCGATGTGAACGGTGGATGGAAGAAGAAGAAGACAAACACGGAGGGAACCGTTTGGAACGTGCTGGCGTTTGACAGCCGCCGACATCTGAAAGAGCCCAATTGCTCCATGCGTCTTCCTTTTTGGCTCCAAGCATCAAACTCCGGTAAAAACGAAACTAAAATAGAAATCGACTGTCGAAACCTTCGATAACCGAATACATAACTTTTGTTCATAAACCTAATAAAGGGAACAAAAGGTTGAGAAGCCGCAATTTCGTGTGAAGCTTTATACAAATCTTTAAGTATAACTCTCAGATCCAACAGCACGTGTTAAGCTTAGGTTCAAAAAAAGTTGATAGAACTCCCAGATATGAAAAATTCCGTTCAAACTAGTTCCTAGTACTGCCAAAAATTGGTCGACCCTCTTTATTTTCCAAGATTTTGAAGACTTTCAGGTCTATAATCAATAGATGCAGACGAAAAAACCCACGAACAATTATGAACTGAAAGAAGGCGATTCATTGATAGTTATGACCCTGCCCAAAAAAAAAGACTTCGAAAAAAAGACAAGACTCAAGAAAGAATGAAAAAAAAAGGAAGCATCAGGATTCTAAAAACAGGAAAATGTGATGGATTTCGGGCATATTTGGCGCGAAAAGAGCCGAGGGCGGAGATGATCAGCGAGAAGATAAAGATCCGAAAGAGAGAGCTTCTCGGCCTCTCATGTCTCAGGCACGACCTTCCGAGCACCACACCTCCTTTATCAACTGGCTTTTTCTGCTGTCTCATACTCCGCATGCTCACAAATCGAGAACCCTCTCCTCTGTTTTTGCAAAGTTCCAGAGATTTTGCAAATAATCGCGGGTCTACCGTAGGAAAGACATAAAATACGACAACCCTCCTTGAGTATTTTTTCTGACACTTTAAACGGAATAGAACATAAATAGAGATAAACGCATTCAAAGACTGAGAAAAAAGGAAGTCAGGTCTTTTGGGTGGAAGTAGAATGGAAAGAATATTTCTGTCCCTAACTATTTCTTCATATTTCATTTTTCTTCATTCTTCAAAAAACAGACCAAAGAAAAACTTTTTTTCTTCACAGGTGGGGTTAGTTAATCCACCTGGTGGTCTTTTTCCCTCCCGGCAACATCACCATACCATCCCGATGTTGCGAAAAAAAAAATATAAATTGAATTGAATATTTTGAAGAAATTGAGGGAAACATGAATGCTAAAAGAGCGGCATAGATACAACTTTGTGAGACCCACGCTCTTTAGCTCAATTGATACATACCTTAAAGGAGAACACCTTTTTTGTTTATACTGTCGGATCAAACCAAAATTCGAAATTAATGAAAAAACAGACCAAAGACGGTGTTTCCGAGGCGATGTTGGCCCTGCAACAAGCGGTCCTGCTCGGGTGGAAGGTGGACCTGCACGTGGAACAGCTGGCCCAACTCCTGAAATTCATCAAAGAGTGATGTTTCTCAAAAAGAAGGGTCCAATGAACTTCTGTGAGAATCGACTCGTTTTGCGGATAACTTTATCAGAGATCAGATAAAAGATAAAGATGAACTAAGAGACATCCAGCAGCTTCCCTTAACAAAGGAGGTGATTTCATTTTTCGGTTGGGAATATTCTGATAACTTGTCAAAATACCCTCTGAAAAACCAAAGGCCCTGAAAGTCTCAACCTAAACAGCTTTTTAGTTTTTGAGAAATGAGGGCTCAAAGCCCAAAAATAGTCTATTTTGATGGTTATTGAGGGGTCTCTCTGTGTTTGAGATGTCGTTATTCGAAAACTAGGAATTTCGAAACGTCGAGAATTTCACGTTCTCCATCGGATATATCAGAAATTTTTCCAACCAATTTTCAGAAAATCTTCAACCGCAAAGTAAAATAACTTTCCTTGTAAGTCTTTTCACTACTATTTTCAGATCGTTCACATTTTAATAGCCATTCCATAACCGCTAATAGAAAAGATTCTTCATGGTCCCTAATCAATGTGCTATCTTCGATGTGGGCTCTTAGTTAGTTACCTCTCAGGAATTCCAACTCGCAATCTGAGAACTTTAAATAAATAGGCACAGTTCTGGCGCATAACTTTTTGTTTATGCAACACTACTTACAGCTATAGCGGCCCATTCTTGTATAAAAAGGTAATTTTTCTTCAATTCTGAGACTACCGGAATTTTGCTGAACGTCCTTCAATGACTACAAGGATTCTAGTAGGTGCAGCCGACATAGACTCCTAATTTTTTTTATCAGAGTCAAAAAGTTGTGCGTTGATAATATCCCAAACTCATCTAGCACGAGCAATACTTTTCAGCCGAACTTCAAAAACAGAATTCACCAGAAATTGATCATCTTCGGGCAGGCGTGAAAGGAACGTACCTGCTGACGGCAGAAATGAGGTGCGACGGCGGCGAGCAGTAGCAGGACGGATATCATGGCCGGCGGGAACTGTCGGACATTTCTGGGCTCGACGACTCGTGTTCGACAGCTTCTAAAGGAACGAGGGCCGCCTTTTGTTCAAACTCGCGGATGCTTCTCGAAAACACAACACGTACAAACACGCGCCATTGAGTGTCCGATCTCACCGATCCTTTTAGAGCGCCTGATCCGAGTAAGCTTTGGTTTCACTACAGGCGAAAAAAGTCAACAAAAAAAAACAGCTGGAGTAGGAGCCAAACAGCCTCTTTTCGCTCGCCTAGACCTTGTATACACTTTTTTCTATATTTTCGAAAGCTTCTTCTGAGAAGGCGAAAGCTTTTTTCAAGAAAATTGTTTATTATCTAAAGGTTCAACACACATACGTCTAGAAAATATTGAGTATCCTCAACAAACTAGCAATATTTTCGAATATTTTCAAGCTCTACGGGCTTTGTGAGGGATCACATAGGTAAAACGGAAAAGTTCCTTTGCGGATCTTGAGAAAGAGAGGTAAAAATGTTCCTCTAAAAGCTCTTAAAATGATGTAAAAAAGAATTTAAGCTCCTTTTTCATAGCCCCAGCGGATCCTTTTTCAATCCGCTCGAATTCTTTTAACTGCTTTTCACCCTTTTGTTGAAGGATGTGAAAAAGAGGCAAAAATGAAATAAGATGAGATAAAAAAGATCTGCTGGGGGCCCTTTTGAGGTCTTTTTTTTTGAGACTAGGGCAAAGTCGGAATGGTGGATGGATAATGGCCGTTAAACGGGGGCCGCAGAAAGACAAAGGCCGCAAAAAGACAGTAAAGAGAGTCCCTTTATCCAGCCTTCCGTTTTTCTGGGATTTTAAAGGCTCGAGAAATGGTGGAGAAAGGGAGAGGCAGCAAAAATGGTGCGTAAGGGCTGAGAAAATGGAGCAAAAAGGGAGCCTTCATCACCCTAATAGTAACATTTCTATGGAGCCTTCCAGCAGCCTTCATGACCCTCGGAGGGTCTTTCCGACTTTGCCTATGGAAAAGCTTTTGGGGCGATTTTCCGTTCTGTCCGAGCAAGAAAAAAAAACCGAAACAATGTCTATGCGAAAAGCAGCGAAGATATTATTAACTGGAACTGAATCAAATGCAGAAGTTTTTTTTAAAGATTATTGGTTTTTCGTTTGTATTTCAAACTACATCCCATTTCGAACTTCTATTAAAAATACAGAACTCTTGCCTGGAATGAAATAAGAAAACGGCTTATAACCTCGAGATATATTTTTTGACAAGCAACGTACTTCACTAAACGCGAAGTTACACTAGAATCATTAAAAAATCTGAAGGAAGAAATGGACCAAAAATTTGATGCTACCTCGTAATGAGTGAAGTGCGCAGATGCAACCGTCCATTTGAGCTTCTCAACAAACACAACTTATGCTCCCGCCCGCACCGTTGATGGCCACAATGCATGCAGTAAATACTTCGAGACCAATGTTTATTCACATAAAAAGTCAAAATAATGCAGTTGATAGTATACCTATTCACAGGTATATAGGCGAAGTGAATGATTCAAAGTTAGTGACCGTATTTCTGGAACTCCCACTCGCGGTTGTCCAGAGGGCAAACCTGTCGACTTTATTTTTTGAGAAACCCGATGAAAATTTATAAACCTGACGAGTTTTCAACCAACGAGAAATGCAATGGAAATGGAACGCGTGGTTACAGTTACCCCAAGCAACTGTGCAATCGTCTTTCGGCCCAGTCGCCTGTAAAAAAATAAATGAATTCTTCCATTTCTTTCACCCTTATTTTGGAATTCGAAAGTTTTTTTACAAACTTGTTCTCAGGGGCTCAAATGAAAATAATATTGTCGTCTTTCATTTTCAAAAATGAGAGAAAAGTTTTCCGATGGGCACCAAATACACAACTTTTTCAAACGATAATCAACGCGAAAGGACCTGATTGGCTTGGCACTCGATACAGAGATCCATAATGTGGTTGCGGCAAATTGCACAGTTGTCGACTTGAATATCCCATGCCCATAGTGCGACGGCGCTCCATTTTTTAACCTGCAACACAAGAATTTAAGACTCGCTGTTATAAATGCCAAGATGAATACCTCGAAACGTTTCTTTACAGCGGTAGCCGTCTCATCGACGTCCATCGAAGCGTCATTTTGAGGCTCGTCGTTAGCTTCTGCTGGGCCGGACATATCTTCAAACTCGCCTCATTGATATGGAATAAAGATTAAACGCGAACGTGTTGATATTCTCGAAATCAAACTTCCGATATTGAATTTCTGGCAATTTTTGAAAGCAGATCTATCATCAATTTCATTTTTAATTGGTGGTAAAAAAAAAATTTGATCAAAGAGGTTTGAAAGAAAACCACATGATTTCCTCTAACAGAAATTGACAGAGTGGTACTGCACGCTCAAATTCATTTGAAAACCTATAAAATAAATTTTTTATCATAAGAAAGAAGGAAAATAAAAAAAACTCCGCCAACATCATCAAAGTCATTCAAACCTCTGAGCGGTCTCCGTGGTCGCAATGGGGCAAACTTTCTTCCAGTTTTAGTGATCTTTTAAGGACCAACCAGACTTGGAAGCTTATTTATGCACCATTTAATTTGATTTTAATTTGATTTTCATGCTCCACCTATTTACTAATTAGTTTTTTTTAAAGTCATATGTTTGCATATAATTATGTTTCTCAAGCAATAAATATCAGCTTATCGAAGCTATTCTCGTCTTAAGAGAGAGAGAGAGAGATACATTTATTTGTCTTCTCACGGAGTCACACAACTCGATTTGTGATTAAATCTTAATTAAGACCACGATTCACTAAACAATTATTTTAATGAATTGTTGATCCTTCTATTTTTTCAATAAATTTCAGTCCTTGTTTGCTTTCGTCATTTTCTGTTGAAAAACTTCGCAATATTCGTGAATTCTTCCCCTTATTTTAAAATATCTCAATTTTTCTTTTTTTTTTTATTTGTAAGCAGAATTCAGTCTTTATAATATAATAAATTTCACTTGAAAAAAAAAATCATATAAAGCACAGATAAACGAGACTTGGGAAGATTTTAATCCGTAATTTCAACTTTCGGCTCCAGGAGATCACCGTACGCGTCGCATTCGTAGTTCACATTCTGTAAATTAGTGTTAAAAGATTATAATCCCATTTTAGTCTTCCTACCTGTTCCAGGGCGTCATTGGTCATGTCAATAAACGAATTCAATGCATCGGTTCCGTTATAGGGATATTCAGTTGGCTAAAGTTTTACATCTTCAGTTTATATGTTTGATAACTACCAACTTCTTCCTTCACTTCAGCAAGTGGCGATTGAGGAGAAGGTAACTCTCGAGGTACTATCTTGATTCTCGAAGGGAAGCATCGATCCGTGAAAGCCGCAAGCTTTTCGGTCATAATGCGTCGGTTATCGATAACTGCTTCTTCACCGCAGTTGTGAACCTAAAAGTTTTCCCAACCTCTTAATTGCCACTCTCGACCGAAAACCCACCTTCACATGTTTCAAAACATCTGATTTGGCAATGGTCGTATACTTTTTGTGGCAAATAGCGCACTCGAAAAACTCCAACTTCAAATGCCTGAAACTTTTGCATTGGCAATAACCCCAGTTTAAATTCGAACTTGGTGTTGGCATGGTAAAACAAGCTTGCTCGTTGATTTGTAACCTTGAATCCGCATAGTTTACACTCGAGCTGTAAAATAAATTTTTAATTGGAACTTGTTCATACTAATTTTGACTACTAACTACTAACTTTCCTACTAACTTTTCTGTCTACGTAATCCACTTCTTGAGCTTCCTCTTGCAAAAGAGCTATTTGATCCGGAGTGACATTTAAATCGTAGCCCTGTTTTGATGGATGAAGAAGTTTCCTTTCTGAAATGAAGGTATATTGTAAAATATCTTCCAAGTTCAAGTGAAGCTAGCGAGTAAACGGAACACTACCTGCTCCTGCTCTTGTAGCGTTTGTGATCTCTTTTGCCATCATCTTAACTGTTACTTGGCCAGAAGGATCTCCAGAAGAGAGAGACGTACATGCTTCTTTGTACCTCTCCTTTGATTCTCTCTGAACCGATTCTTTTCCTTTTTACTACTTTTTAAGGTTCAAACGAACTCGTAGAATGGAATTTCTCAATCTTCGTGCCAACTCGTCCCTCTGCTTCTCAATTTCCGGTGTGTAGCGGTATCGAACCTGAGAACGTTTTTCTTTTCTTTTTTTTTAAAGTAAATAAACTCACGTAGAACTGCGTTAAACCATGACATTCTTTATAATGAGAGATCAACGCATATTCCGTTGGAAACTTCGCATATTTACAACTTTCGCACCTGAAATTTTTGAAATTTTTCTCCGTTTCGAAGTTGTCGCACTCACTCATATGGACAAATTCCAAGATGAAAACTAGCAATATGAGCTTCAAGCTCTTGAAATGACGGATATTTCGTGGACGAGGGGCCGCATTCCCAGCATTTCACTTCCATTTTTTGTTATCTGATTCCTCGAAATAAAATTGATAATGCGACAAAAATAATTTTCTTAGTTTGCGTCGGAGCGTTATCAATGCAGTTTATTGTAAACGAATAATAACTTTCAATTTTCCGTCTTTGGTTCTCAATGAAAAATAGCCTCCGTTGTCAATTATTTTTTATTTTTATCATGAATCTCATAAATTACGTATCAGTTTTATATATCAGAAAGGAACATCAAATATCAAAATGAAATGTGAAAGCTTTTTTTCTTTTTTGCAATTATCAGTAGTCACCCGAAAGTTGTTAAAGTCTAAAAACAAAAGCCTCGCTTGGATTTTTAAAGGCGCAAAAGACTTGAAATGATATTTTTATAAATTGATTCATGCTTCTTCAATCTTTCGAGCGAGAATACTTCCATAAATTATACCGCCTTCAGTTTCAGTTCGGAATCGCCAAAAATTTACCCGTACACTTTCAATAAGTATAGGTGATTCCGCGCCAGCTTGTCACGTTTTTCTTTCCGCCAAAAGGCCAGGTCAGATTCGACCAACTTTGCTTCAAGACCTTTGTTTCTTGCCGTTATAAAAACAGAAATTTGATCTAATTTGGTAAACGGTATTTTTGGCGAAAAGAAAAACGTGACAAGCTGGCGCGGAATAGGCTATAGATAAAAAAAAACAAACTGTCGCTCATTCTCGCCTCTAGAACGCCTCTAGATTTCTCAAAACGCACGAAAAAAAAAACGGAGCGATATGAAAATTTGAGAATAGAAATGAAAAGGAAAGATGAAGATGAAATTAAATCGATACGTTGGAGAGGAAAGAGAAGGACGCGCGCTTCTCTGCTTCCCCAAGCCTCCGCTCCTCTCGCCGTCTATGAAGAGAGAGAAGAGAGTGTGAGACAACTCATGCGAATGACAAGAACAGACGCTCGTAAATGGAAAAGAGAGGAATTCGTGTGAAACAGAGTCGTTCTTCAGATGAATTCGCATATATACTTTTTGTACTCATGGAGTTCATAGAACAAAGAGTTTTTTTAATTACGATTTTTTTGAACTTTCATTTGAGCTACGAAAATATTTCTCACTTTTTTTCAAATTTAAAAAAAGACTGAAATATCGGAATTTTTTTCGAGTTTTTTTAGATTTTTTTGTTCATCTATTATATTTCTTTCAATTTCTAAATCCAACTTCTAACTTTAGCTCTTATCTTCACATTCTATCTTCTCTGGATTTTCTGGATCTTTATACGATTAAAAATTTTGATACGACTATTAAAACCTTTATTTCACTGGCATTGGGGGTTTTTCGCGATCTGAGAGAACACAATTGGAGATTACTCTTTTTTCGGAAGTCGATGAGAAAAAATTGCCGATTTTAAATGTCAGTATTCCCTAGAAGTTGATTTTATCTTTTCGCTCATCATGAGATAAACCTCGTTGAGTTCGTCCCAATAATTTTCTATTTCGTTGACTATTAGTTCTATACTTGGTCGCAGTTTCGGATCCGTTTTGAAGCACTTCTGAATTTTTTCGGTCATAAAATTCTGAAGTGCTGCTCAACCCGAGTGACAGTCCACATTTCCGGCGGATAGTCATCGCCAACGTGATTTTTGAGCCGCCTTTTATCTTTAAGAACGTACTTTTTCACCAAATTGTCTGGAATTTCCGAGTAAGGCTCCTGGGCGTTGTGAAAAACCTTAAAATACTTGAATACTTTTGAGCAACGGGAATTTTCTTTCTTCAACCTCCCAAATATAAACTCCAAATGACCAAACATCCGTTTTCTCGTTGAAAACTCCTGCTTGCAATGTTTCTGGGGCAAGATACCGGAATGGAACCTGTTGCAAAAAAAAATTAATTGAAATCTATTTTTTCTTCACTTTTTTGAGTTTATGCTCTTTTTTCTCCATTCCAACCAGACTCAAGCCAAAGTCTGATATTTTCGCCTCATTTTTTCGGCCTATTAGTACGTTCCTAGCGGCAACATCGCGATGAAGCAACTGGAAAAAAACGAAGCTTCTAGGAAAAAAAAAATTTAATAAGACTCACCTTGACGCTTTTCAGATACTTGAGTCCTCTTCCGGCCCCTAGACACCAATAAACACGATTTTCTAGAGTAACTGGTTTGCCATTTGTTATACCGTTTTTCACCGCGTCTTCTACTGATCCACCTATGTTATCGTTATAAGTTTGTGTTTCTTTTTTTTTTCAGTTTTAGTCGTTATTAGGAACAATTCGACTTGCAAACTTCAAAATGTAAAAATCCAAGTTAAGAGGAGGTGCTTACCCAAAATATCTGTTGGCTTTTTCACAATACTTTGAGGATTTTCCTACTTATCTGAGCAGAACCTGGAGCAAGTTCGAGAACGATCATGATAGGCTCTTCATTCGACGCAATCCCATAGAAATTCACGACGTTGACATGGTCGAGACAACGCATTATCATTGCTTCCTGTGATAGGTTATTTTCGATTTCTAATTGTCGCGATACCTCGTAAAGCTTGGCATTTTCATCCATTGTGACGGATCCCTGGATAGTCTTGACAGCAACTTTGTGTTTTCGGAAAAGTCCTTTTTGCATTGTTCCCAATGAAACATATCCGAAAGCTCCATCTCCGAGCTTTTTCACTCTGTTAAAACTACTTTCCATTTTATTTAACTTTTATAACCTTGTTATATGTTCATGATTGAACTGCCATGGCGCGCGACTGACTGGAGTCAGTAGAACACTTCCCAACTCGTCCACGGGTTCTTTCCTTCTTCGATGGTAATCGATAAGGCCTAATTATCCAGATTTTCGTCGACAAATGAGATAGTTTTTTTTAAAAGAAAAACCAGAAAATCTATCTTTCCGAAACACTAACCGGACGCCTTTGAGAACCCGAATTTGTAAGTGTAATATATTCGATTTCTCCTACTGTGAACGATAGGTATATGTCGTAGAGCCTTTTTCCCCGGCTGCTGTAATATTTTCAGGTTTTCTAGCATTCGATTCCTGAGCCAACCTTTTCGGACTCAGTGCATACAGTGATGATGTAGGTATCCTTTAAAACAGCCGTTTTTTATCACTAAGTCACAAAAAAACAACCAGATTTGACTTGACCGCTTGCCTCACTAGAAAGTCGCCGATATTGTTAAGGTAGACGACAGCCTTCAGGATATTTTTTTTTTCAAAATAGGGAAGCTTCTGACGAACCTGACGCTCTGGCATGAACCCATGAAAGAAGTCTTCATGCTTGATGTTTGCTTTTCCGAAGGTCTCAGAATCTCTTATTTTCATTATTTTTTTTATCGTCATCCTGGAAGAGTAACAATTTAATCAGGAAACGCTGTCAAAATAATACTTTTAATGCAAAACGAATACACCGCGTTTCGGCTTGTAGAAATGACATTCTCTCAATATTTTTTGCACGTTTTTTTAAATGTTAATCTGTTGACTACCCGCTAAGTTGAACAATTACAGTAACTCAATGCAATAACGAATGGGAAATGCTATCGAAAAATAAGAGAGTAATCCGAATCGTGACCAGAAGTGCCATTCGCCAGTTCAACTCGTAAGCATATGTTTCCTATGTTCAACATTTTAAATTTTGTTTTTGTCTTAGAAAACATTTGTCAAGCGACGTTCTCATCAAAAGAGCTCTCAATCCACAGTCTTTTTCCTACGTTGAGCAACTGGCGAAATTCTTGAAGCAGAATGTGACGATACACGAACCCGGTAGGAACTTTTAGATAGGAGAAAGAGAGACCGAGAGAGCGGAAATTGTGGAGATGCCTCATATTCAGTGATGAAGGCTTTACTGCGATTTCCACGATTTCTTGTTTTAATAATAATTTCATTTCATTCATTCATTTCAAGTGTTTATTCGCCATTCCGCAATCAGCACAAATACAAAAAAAAATAAAACATCAAGACAATCAAATAAATCTAACAGCTGATCTGTGGAAACGGCTCAGGAGGAGGGAGGCAATGATTTATTTCATTCTCAAAAATATCATCTGTGAAAAAATCAGGAGACAAGTGATGGACAAAAGGAGTGAGATGGATGTTGAGATCGAAATTTAGTATTTTCGACCCTACTCTTAATTAATGGTGTGAAGAGATCAGAGTTTTTCGTCTACAGAATTGACGAAATAAACTTTAGAAATTTCAGGTCGGTTCGTAGTGGTGCCCAAGCCTTTCGGCGTTTCCTGCATGGGTTACGCTCAGGAGGAGGGAGGCATCTTCCAGAATAGCGTTCATGATGAAGAGAAAGTCGAAGCTAATACCGAGCGAATCAAGCAGAAAGTAGGACCTGAAGTATATTTATTGAAAATTTTGATTGCTTAGGAACAGAAAAAATCAGACTCTTCTCGAAGTATAACCCTCGAAGAATGTCTGAATGAGCTCCGTCGCTCTTTCAAAGAGCCAAATCTCACCTTCTGTACCGGTTTGAAGAGGTTTTTTAATCGCATATGATATAAAAAACGGTGGAATTTTTCAGATATGTATCAGGACCAATCGTTTTGCCTTGTAACATAAAAGACTTTGAAAATTTAAAAAAGAGCGTAAAAACTGCAACAGCGAGTGAGAGGGACCCCTTCATGCACAGAGTTTTGTCAGTTTGCTCTCTTCATTTCGTTTGAGTCTTTGGTGGGCACAGAGTCTAGTGGACCCCAAATGAAAAAAAAAGATCAATCTCGAGAATTTTTTGCTTGAAAACACTTCGACAATGTGTTTGGAATACTAATTCTGTGAAATTGTTTTTGATAACTTTGAAAGTTTTATGTGACTCAATATCTTTCAGGGCAATCACAGTGGGTCGGCCGCCAGTTGAGGAAGGGATTATCAATGGATTTGCCACGTTTCAAGACGTTGGTGCCCACAAGGAGGTTCGTAGAAAAACGTCTTCTTAATTTATTTATCATCTACAGTACGTTTTCAAAGAAGCCAAGGCTTCTCGACGGGCGAAAAGTGGCAAGTTTGCGGTAGAAGGAAAGATGGAATACCGCGTTTTGGCGCACAACAAAGGATGTTCGTTGGTGGAACTCGGAGTGCAGAAGTGTGGGTTCAACTCATTTTGGAAGAAAGAAAAAGCCTGAAGTTCAGAAAAAAGAGTGTTAGTTCCGAACACATTTGTTTGAGTGACGGCCGAGAAGAAATCTCAAACTTTTTTTTCAAATTAACGTTTTTTTTGCGGAAACTTGACCATTCAAAATTTTTCGATGTTTTATATAGGTACCTTTGAGACTTCAGATAATCATAATTTCAGATTCATAAAAGTAAGAAAGAAGGGAAGATATATTTTATTAATACCTCGTAAAGTATTTTTGTAAATGCTTATTATTTAGTTGAAAAAGATTTGGAATTCATAAAGCTACTTAGACGAAAACTTGTTTCCAGTAGGAGTTTCTGAAGACAGAATATCTCAATAAACTCCAAATCGAATTCATTTGTTCTATGTAGCCCATTTTACAGTTGCTCGGCATCTGCCGCGGCTAATGTTGAGTGCCTTGGGCGCGCCTATTCTCGGCGACGGGATTTATTGGCGGAGAATGCTGAGAATCGACGAAAAGCCAGTGATGGTCGCGCCAAAAACTCTCAAAACGGTTAAAAAGCGCGAAATTGTAAGCTCCTCTTTTTTTTCGTCGTCATCGGTTTTTTTCAGTGGATTCCTAAAGATTTGGAAAATACGTTGGCGATCAAGCGGGAAGATGTGTTTTCTTCTGTTCCTATGTTTATTCACGTCTATTCTACGGTACGATAAACTTCACTCTTTGAAATAATTGAAGGAATTCAGGTTTATCCACGGTTCGGCTCCGGAAGCTCGGAAGATGTACTGGTAGCGTCTGCACCTCCACCACGTATCTCATTTACGTATTACAAGAGAAAAATTTACATTTTCAGCTCATTTTTTGGCAATGGTCCAGTTACTCGGAATGGGGAAAGATTATGAGAAATTCGCCAAAAATCAGGATGATGCTGAGGAGACCAAGGAGCTCAGCGGAGAAACTCGTTTCAGCTGAAATTTTGTCATTTCCTCAGTTAAATGAACTTTTTTTTAAATGATTTTTTTGATCAAAATTCATCGGCGAAAATACAACTAAAAGTTGAAAAAAAATAAGAATAATTGTTACGAGTTTCTAAATTTCAGGGAGTTATGGTATAAAAGTAAAGAGAACTACGCGATTAATCTTTGAATTCTGAAAAAGAAGAGTGATGAAAACAGAAAACCACTATGAAATGTGAACAAGGCATGGTTGAAAAGAGAGATACAATATCGATTACAGAATACACAGCTGCAAGGTCGGCGAAGTCTTTTTTCCGGACACGTTCTCTCGATTTTAGAAGCTTTCGCGCTCGGCTGCATGAATGATGGTCGCGCCAGGGTGTTTGCTGGCTGGGTGGTCCATTCAGCTATCAATAACGCCTCGGCCTACGGTAGCGTCCTTTTTTGGCTCCTATACTTCGCTTCGATTGTTCCCATCTTGGTCTCATTGTTTCGAGACAATCAAGTAGTTTGTTGATGCATTATACTCGTGATTGATGGATCATTATTTCAATTACGGATAGGCTAGAGGGCGGGGTCTTCAGATCCACCTGCGTCGGTCCGTTCGACTCCCCAGTTGGGCACAACTCCTTGATGGCGTTCCACACGACTCTCCTACAGCTCTTCTTCGTCACAGTTGTTTCATCTTTAGGTAGGCAGTTTTTTTCAGCTTCTGCTTCTTTGATCTTCGAGCTACTTTTAAATCGTTTTTTTCAGTTCAATTTAGAAAAAAATATCAATTTTCAAGAGCGTGTCGCTTCAACGGACCTACAGACCATTTCTGATCTTTCGTATTATTGACACCATCAATTATTTTTATCTTCACTAAGTACCTATTAAAAACCCTAGCTAATTTCGAAGATCTTACAGTTGGATAAGTGTTTCTGATAGTAAAAGTGAGCTTGTAATCATTCTTTTACTAACAAACTAATTTTACTTCATTTTATTGATTCCTCTAAAAAATTAATATATAAGTACCGTTTGCAGTGAAATGAAAAAAAATTTATATATTTGTTCCATAGATGTTTTTTTCAAAAATATAAAAAAACCGACATGCAATGGAGTGAAAGAAACTTGAATCGCGAAGTAAGTGGCGTAAGACTGAGAATATAAATGTTGAAAGTAATTTGATTCTGATCAAACAGCTTTTATTTTTATATCAAAAAAACGACGTTTCTAATTTTTTTAAGTGGGTAAATATTATTGAATTTTTATTTCTGAACCTAACTACCAACTAAGCTACTTATCATAATTTAAATTTTTCTTCCTCCTTTAAAAAGTTGCTCTACACGACCGAAGAAACAACTCCTAGTCAAAAAGTTTTATGTTATTTTCTTTCTATGAAGTCAGTATGTGGAAAAGAAAAAATACCAATTAGAAGGGCTTTTCACGGAAGCTGAACTGGGCAATCTGGAAAATACCATCTTTTTAAATGTTTTTTTTTTACAGAAATAACACGTTACGATATCAAAAACATCTCTGCGACGTGTTGTCCACAGAATGTCGAGTGCTGCGAGCAGGTCATCAACTTCAAGTGAGTCCACTGTTTCGAATCCTTTAACTTTTCTATTTTTCAGACAGCCATTAAAATGCTTGTCGAATTCGAACGAGGAAGAGCACATCAAGACCTACGAGTGCATCCAGACGGCGCTGTACGGTGTGGAATCTTTGAAGACTGCTTCAATACAAGGTGGCCCTTTTTTCTCAGATCTCATGTTTCGTATTGCGCTTATCAATCATACTGGATCACTTTGACTTGTCTTTCAACTCGTAGGCCCTCCCAACAATTTGTCAAAACAAAGGGGTGTTTACAGAACAATTACTGTTTGTTTTCTCTTTGTTTAGTAACCTTTCGGCGCGTTTGTGTCATTCCCACAAGAACAATCGACGAACGCAAGGTTTTTGCCTCGAGCATGAGTTCTTAATTGGCCATTATGGTCCCACATTGGCGTCAATCGCCGCTGGTCCATTGTCTTTAATAATCTTATTAATAATTGGACAATTGTTTTGATGGGATGTTCGTGGCTGAACAAAGGCGCGCGGAGAACTTTAACTTTGTCTTTACAATCGAAATTTTTTTGTTTTTTTACAATCGAAATTTCTGATTTACTATCCGATGAAAAGAAAAAAATATTCAGTTCTCTACAACTCACGTTTCATGAAAATCTTCATATTACATCAATAATGCATCACTTAAATATCTCAAGGCATCGAAATAAAACCTCCTTTTGAAAGATTTTTATCTTTGAAGGAAGAGTAAAAAGGAAATTAGAAGACTGAAAATTTTCTCCTTTTATTTGATGTGAACAGGGATCAAACAGATAAGTGAAGTATCTATTACTTTTTGAATGAACCAGCAACATTAATTTATTCATGAAGGCCATTTTGAGCAGAAAAAGCCTCAATTTCAGAGCTTTATCTTCACTTATTTTTGCATCGGTTCTGAAATCGATTGAGATGTGAAATTTACTTAAGATCTGCCGTGTTGTCAAGTCTACAAGAACGACGAAAACGACGAGAACAATATCTGCCTGAACACGTGTGCTTCGGCCATCAAGTCGCCTTCTCTCCGCGACAAAATGGCTCGAGTCAAGAACTGCTCCATAGTTAACCCACTGTTTTCAGTTTGTATTTATTCATTCTTTTTCTGTTATCTTCTCTTATTTTAATTGTAATTTCCCTGACCAATTGATGTTTTTTTCAGTGCTTCGAACGTTGCCAAGTCCGCCGACGAGCTGGTCGCCCTACCACAGACAAGCTTTTCACTAGGTTCTGCGACCTCAAACTTCTAATGAAACCCAAGAGTGTCTATATTTTTTTCATTAATAATGTTAATTTTTTTAGAGTATTGATTGATATATATTATATAACTTATTGCATCCCACTTACCTTTTTCGTGTCATTTTTATTGCATGTTTCTGTTTTTGTCATTTCAGAGGTTATATTTTAACCGTGTCATTAACAGACGAGATCTCATTTGTCATACCCTCCACGTCATGGGTAATTATTGTTGAAATAAATTGTTTTTGGAAAAATTACCAAATGCTCTAAAACGATGAAATCAGTTGATGATGATAAGATAACGGTTGAACTGAAGCTATCGGCACTTCCATTAGTTTCTCGAGTTCCTTTCTCGTTTAAAATGCAATCGACTCACGGTTTGTTACATATGTTTCAGTACAAAAAAACCTTTATTTGTTCACTTCAGGAGATGAGCGTCAACAGCTAAACGCTCACGGGCAAACCTCTAATAATGGCTAGTTTTCTTTAATATTTCATCATAAGAATTGACCGACCACGAGAAATAAATAACTACAGAAACAATCTCTTCTTTTTCGAGAGCTGTTTTTTTCATCGTGGAAAGAAAAACTAATCTTCATCTCAAGGCAGCGGTGAATGAGCTAATTTTTAATTTTTTTTTTTCTATTAACTATAATTTTTTTGCAAGAAACGAAGTAGAAAAATCAAATATTTCGCATAAAAATAAAAAGGCGTGGCTAGTTTTTATGCTTCATTTCCAAATAAAATCTGCCCAAACATGAGTCACTATTCCAAACTAACTTCTAATGAATGGATGTATGAAGGTTTCATTTTATCGACATTTTTGGTGAATAAAATAGAAGTATGTTGAAAGAGAAGAAAAAATTTTCCGAGAGAGAAAGTACAAAAAATATTTTAAAAATGACAACTCATGTGAGCTGTAGCCTAAAGGAAAAACTTTTTTAAAGAAAAATATATAGCTTTTAAAAAACTATAGTCTTTCAAAAACTTTGATAAACGACAAAAAAAGCTCGGATGTGAGCGAGAGGGTTTAAAGGAGCAGAACAAACTCTTGATGCACGCTTTGAAACGAAGAGCTTGTTGATTTTTTATTCATTGACTGTGCCTTCAAATGTTGTTCATGACGCGTTCAAATGAATTTCGGCGATTTCAAAATTGACTTCTCAATCGTTAATGCCGTGTTCAAAGTAATTTCCGCGAAATGCAAAATGATCTCTGACTCTCCAAAATTTAGTGATCTTTTCCTTTCTCTAACGGGTATTTTGCATTTCGCGGAATCAAATTGAACACGGCATAAAAATATATTTCAAGCTATTTTCATGTAGAAAAAAAAAAATTAGAGCCCTCGCTCGTGCGCGGAAGTGCCTGAGGACGTCAATTTTTCATTTTTCTTTCCTTCTTAAGAAGATCTTCCGTCCTTGTTTTTTGTCATGATTTTTATTCTTTTTCATGCTGTTTTGGAAATTCGACATTTTTGTTTTTAATAATTCTGATATTTTGTTGTTAACTTTTCATTTCGCGGAAATAACTTTGAACGCGGCTTAAAGAAAAAGACAAACGTTTGTTATATATAGCTGATTCACGGCTATATAGTTTGGGATGCTAAGAGGCTGGTCTCTCTGCACTCTCCACGATCCAGGCACTATCTCGTGCATTATCGTGTCAGGACCCTTTTTTCGATGGCTCAAGCCAGCCGTGAATCAGCTATACCTCCGATATATCGGGAAGGTCGGATTTCACAAATGCAAAATGCGGGCTGACTTTCCCAAAAATAGGCGTCCTAAGTTTCACAGTTGTCTCGATTCTGACATGGAGCGCCAAAAAAAGGCGCCACAACTCTTTCTCTGACACACACTGTTTCGTCGTTATCTAGCTGCGAGAAAACGACGTAATAGTGTATGTCAGAGAAAGAGTTGTGGCCCCCTTTTGTCGCTCCATTTCGATTACTCTTCTCTTTGCGCAAATGTTATTACTACGGATTCAAATAATAATGCCGCGTTCAAAGTTATATATTTCAGCGAACTAGAAATGACGATCCGAGAGTGAGAAAGATGTAAAATTTTTAGATATTTAGAAGTCCTTTCTAATTTCGCAAACTTTCTTTATAAAACAATTTAGTTGTTTGTTGAATCCAATCTTTTTCGATACTCGAACCATTTCCCTCACTTTTTTGTAGTATTCTCGTTAAAAACGTGATAGCTTTAATTTTCAAAACGTTCACTTTCTTTTCCGTTCTCCAGTTTCAAAGCCGCTCAGAGAGGAAATTTTCGAAATTTTCTGTTTGTTTCTACTGTGGCACAATGACCGATGTTCGAACACGTAAAAAGTGAAACGGCGCCCTCGTATCGATCCGCTTGTGTTTTTTTGTTTTGTTTTCGTTCTCCTCGCTCACGTCCATGCCATACTTTTCTCTTGGTTTTATCAAGCTGTTTTGTGTTTTTATTTTCATCTTCAAAAAAGTTATCGAAAATTTTCAAGAAACAAGCACCACTTTTTGAAAGCGTTTTATTTTTCTTTATCTTATGTTTGTACGATTATCTTATAGATCAATGCGAATTTAAACATACGTGCGAAGAAGGAAATATAGCCTCCTAACTTTTTCTTGGTTGTTTTTAATTTTATGGAACGATGAGCGTTTGAAAACAAAAAAAAATGTTTTTTTTATTCATTCCATATTCTCAATTTTTTAAATTTTCATTTTTAAATGTTTACTTCTCAGAATTTCATAAGCGGTGTGATTCTAAATATTTCGAAAGAGGCAGCAACGAAAGTTACAACGTCAATCGACGGTTTCTCGCCCATAAAAAAACTCTAGAGAAAAAGAGAACGGAGATTGTTGAATGCTTTGCGCGTGTTCCTATGGTTACATCCATTTGTGACGGTTCAACCACCGAAGCGGTCTTATCTTTTTTTATAATAATAAGGCTTCTGATTCAACACTTTATATTCAGCAAAGTTGTCCTTAGTATTATTTTTAAGAGAAAATTTTCAGGCATGTCTTACCAGCAGCCGGGTTACAACCCGCAGTACCAAAATCCTTACAACCAAAACGCTTACGGACAGAATATGGCTGGAGCTCCTCCTCCTCCTCCTGGATGGAACCAGAACAACCAGTCTCAAAGTTCGTCCACTTTTCCTCACGCACAACTTTTACGATGACATATTTTTTCAGGCTTTGTCCCGCCACCAATGCCCAACATGATGCACTCGTCTCACGACGCTGAGACGGGCGATGCCGGAAAATATTCTTTCCAATTCAAGTTTGTTTTTATACTTCGATCATCATATAATACTGAGATGTGAATGGAGTTTTTTTAAGGCAAAAAAATAATACGAAAAAAATTAGGAATATATTTCAAGTTCAACGAGAGTTGAAATTAAAAATATTTTTTTTGTTTATGATCTGTGGATCGTAGGAAAAAAAAAATGATGACTCGTCGTCAGTAGTTCCCCTCTTCTTTCAGAGAAAGAAAATTAGGGCTATATATACAAAGTCTTTTAATGAATTAAAAGATAAGAAATCGAAGCTCATAAAAGGAATTATGTGTATTCATCTTTATTTGATAATTTCAGCGATCGATCGATCAGAATGGCCTTCATCCGCAAAGTCTTCATGCTCGTTTTCGTCATGGTGGGTATCATCTCCGTCAGTTCTCAAATATGACCATTTGCCTCCAGTTGGCCGTCGTCGCGTGCATGACTGCCATTCCGATGCTCAACCCGGACGCGAAACTTTATCTCCGCAGGAATATTGGACTGTACTGGGCCTCTTAGTGAGTGAAGCATGGAGAAACGATAACATAGTTCAAGTATATTCCAGCATTACGTTTTTCGTTGTCTACCTCGTCCTCATGTGCTGCGAATCTGTTAGAAGGTCTTTCCCCATCAATCTCATCATGACCGCCGTTTTCGTAAGTTCTTTTTATTTTCGATATTTGTAAATATCACAGTTATATCTATAAGTCAGAGAGGCATGATATCATCGAATTGGTTTGTTGAAATGCTGAAAAATAAGCCTTCATACTTTTCGGAACTTGATTTATTTTCATTTTCATATATCAACACAAAATCAATTCGGAGATGTAGAATATTTCAAAATGTTTCTTTTCCCATGGTTAGCCGAACTAACAGAAATTTTTGCTTCTTGAAGACGCTGGCTGTGGGATACATGACGATGATGATCACGGCCCAGTACAACGTCCAATCGGTGCTTTTGGCGTTGATCATCTGCACTTTCTGCTGCGGCGGAATCATCATCTTCGCCTCGCAGTCCAAATACGACCTCACCAAGTGAGGCTCATTCTGCAGAGCTCATCTTCAACTATTTTATCCTTCAGGATGATGGGCATCATGTTCATTCTCTCAATGTGCCTCATGGCCTTTGGTCTCGTTGCCGCCATCTCCACTATCTGGCTCCGCGTCAGTTTCCTTTCTCACTAGGAAAATGATCTTCGAGATTATCATTCATTTCAAGAAATATTCAAAAATAATGAGAAAACGTTGAAACAATATTTTTTTAGAATTTCCACTTGAAGAAAAATTTCAGCAAAAAAACGATTTTAGTGTCAAAAAAAGGCTCGTTGTAAATTGAAGAAAAGTTAATGAAATATTTTTCAGTGTTATATAATATTTACAAATCCAAATGGAGAACTTTTAATACACTGAATTCAATGTGATCTTACGAATTGAGCTTCTTTTGTAGTTTTGAGGCATTACTCTCAATCATTCATCCGTATTTCTGTTTTGTTTCTAAGATACAATTTTTCAAAAATCATTTTAAAGATTCCGTTCATCCACTCCATCTACGCTCTCTGTGCCGCGGTCCTTTTCATGGGATACCTTGCCATTGACATCCAGGTATTAGTTTCTATTTTCAATGGTTTTCAATTTTTCCATTCTTATATTTTTCCATGAAGAAAGGCTTTTTTTTTTTGTTTAGATGCTTATGGGAGGCCGCAAGTTCGAGATTTCGCCGGAGGACCACATTTTCGCAGCCATTCAAATCTTCATCGACATCATCTACATCTTCTGGATGATCCTCAGTCTTCTCGGCAGTAGCAAGTGGGTGGTTTTTCTCCTTTTTCTCTGGTCCTTGTTCCCATGACTTACGAGTGGATTAAAGTTTTTCCAAATCCGACGTTTGAAAGTAGGGAAATTATCGTTTTTTCCGGCATTCAAAATAACTCTAACAGATCAAGTTTCGATGTCGAAGTTGCATTCTCTTCTACTCTCGTGGAAATGAAGTTCAAATAACTTCATTTGTGTTTTTCTTGGGCTTTTGCTCAATGAAATCCTGATCGAAATTTTTAGAAAAGATCAAACGTCGGAATAGGAAAACTTTGACGTCTTTCAATTAACAAAATTTATCTAGTTTTCTTTTACGTGTGGTTTTTTTTAACTGTTAACCGTGTTTCAATCAGTTCAAAAAAATATAAATCAATGTTATTTTTTTGGTTGGGTCGTAAAAAAATTCATGAAGAGCTTGAGAGCAACGTTTTTTTGGATTCAGTTGATAATGATATTTAAAAGTAATAATTTGTCTTCCTTACAAATATTTATTCACCGCTGGCTTGAACCTTCATCAAGCAGAACTAAAGTTAGGCAAATTATCAATAAGAGCTCGTATTAGTTGACCTACATCACGAATTTATGGGTTTTCTTGGATTTGGTGTGTGTTTTTTGTGATATTCGCATACAAAGATAAATTCTGAGAAGCTGGTTTCGAGATTTTCGAATTTTTAAACTTTTTGAAAATTCTCAGAAAGAGGTCGCAGACAGCTTATTGTATCACTTTATCGTGAGAAAAGTCGAGCGAGCGATGAATAATTTGTATCAAAAAATCGGGAAGAAACTTATTTCGGTGTCTGTTTTTTCAGGGACTAATCCCGTCCAGCATTTGCTGACGTCCCCAGGGCGAAAGCCGTTGGTTTTTCTTTGCCGTGCTAACATCTAACGCTCTGCATCTTTTTTCTGTTTCTGATTTATTTTTTGCTGATGTAAATAGTGATACTTTCTGAAAACAAACTCGTCGTTTGCAGCAATTGATCGACGAGCACTACACCTTTATTGGACCTCTTTTTCCACTATCTTCGCCATTTTATATTCTACACAAGAATTACCGACGTTTGCTACTTTGAAATGACCGTGTTGTATAAAACGCTTACATTCTTTTTGTCTGTTTTATTAAAACATTAGAAAATTACAATTCAAATGATGATTAATACTTTGATTTTACCCATATCATTATTTACAATGTCTTCGAGGTCTATCGTTTTCCAAAAATTTGCAGAAGAAGTAGGAAGATGTTGAGAATGTCTAGGAAGATTTGCATTGCGGCGAAGACGTGCTCTTCCGGGGACAACTCCAGTTTTCGACCTCCCATCAACATCTAAAAAAGATAGTTTCATGAATTTGAACTTTTTCCGTATTCTTACCTGGATGTCGAGTGCCAGGTAAATCATCATAAGGAATGCGGCTAGTCCTGCATATACAGAGTTGAGCCAGTACCACTGGACAAAAAGTGTGAAGATGAGGGTGAACAGTCCGAATGAAATAACAATAAGCGAGAGAATGAAGATGATGCCAATTTTGCTAAAAGAGAAAAAGAAGGTTCAGTCTAAGAGAAGCTCTTACCTGGTGAGGTCGTGTTTGGTGTTGATGGAGAAGACGATGATGCCTCCGGAGCAGACGCTAGTGATGCACAGACAGATGAGCACAGACTGCACGTTGTAGTACGCCGTTATGAACATGGTCATCGCCGCCGCAGATAAAGTCTTAAATCTTTTGTTCTAAATGAGTTCTTCTCAAAATACTCACAAATATGGAAAGCAATATGATGTTGGTGGGAAAGGATCGCCGCAGTGCCGGAAAACATGTCAACGCGATGGAAAACGACAGGAAAACTATTCTGTAATATAATAATGAATGAAAATACAAAAAAACTCTGGGGGGTTCGAACGTTTTTTTCACTTTACAGGATTATCAACAACTCTATCATGCGAATTATGGGTTCAATAAATTCTTCTTAACTGAGTATTTATGTTCTGATATTAAAGATTATTCGGGAATCTATTTCAGTATTTCTTTCCAAAAATCAATTTCAAAAAGTTTAATTTTTAAAAATCATACCTCAAGTTGATTTTTTAACTGAAAATTTGATCCTCAAGTTTTTATACACCGACAGTTTTTTTGCTGATTTTTTTCTGCTTCGGAGAATCATTTTTTGAACGAATCTCTACAAAACTTACATCGAGACAATATAGAGCCAAATAGCGCCTTGAACCCATTCACGGAAACTCTGAGAAACCATTGGAATTATGCAGAACGCAGTGACCACCAGAAGCTGAAATTCATGATGAGGAACTTTTTCGAAGGAAAATAAGCACCATAATCGTGACAAGCGTGAACACTTTTCGGATGAAGGCTTGTCGGATCGACCTCTCGCTGAAAGTTCGTTTGTGATAGCACGAGCTCATTTGAAAAGAAAACCTGAAGTGAATCGAATATTTGTTGTTCGGATTCTCGTCTTCCGACGACGACGTGGGCATGTCGTATGCCGACGACATTTCTGAAACCTGCCATCTTTAAGGAAAATGCGAATATGAAAAAATATAAAAAAAGGATTCGAAACTTTCAGGCGTACTGTAGTATCAAAATATAAATCGTAGGTCCAAGAAGACTTCAATAAGTTTTTTCTTGTATAAAATGAAGATAATATTATAACAGATTCATTAAATTTTCATCAGTGAGCGCTCCATGAACCTTTTTCCGGTTGAAAATTTCAGCTTCACTCTCAAATATTTTAAAAAAATCCTAATAGTGGAGTGGCCTTGAAATTTTCACAAATTTAGTCGTCTTTGTAGTTTTTTTCTTGCCAAGCGGTACATGGTTATAGAAATTTCGAAGATAAATTATTTCACAATTTATCGAAAACTTATCAAAAATAATGATGCCGTGTTCAAAGTAATTTCCACGAAATGCGAAATACTCGTTAGAGAAAGGAAAATATCACTAAATTTTGGAGAGTCAGAGATCATTTTGCATTTCGCGGAAATAAAATATTTTTCTTTTTTTTTAATTGCTCATGGAAACAATCGGAGCGGAAAAACAGAAGAAATCGTGAGAGTTTTTCTTTTCTTTTTGTATGAAAAAAAAATAGAAAAAGTAAAATATTGGTTGCAACAGTCGGAATCGTAAATAAACCATCAAAAAAGAAACGAGAAGAAAGGAAAAACGACGGGTTGGACTGGGGAATCGACTTGTTTGCTCAGCAACTAGAGCAGGGAACTCATCGATAAAACAAAATAAGTCGAGCGGCCAGCTCGAATTTCCGCATGTGATGGAGAGGCTTTAAAGGTAGGAACTGATATAGATTCGACTGATTACCGACACAGCGGCCGAATAGTTAGGCGTGACGCAAGCTCTTACTCACTCTGCGACTCGTCATCCATTTTGCTTTGCGAAATGCATTATTTTCGGTTTTTCTTTTAGTCAGGCAGTGACGTGTCCAAACTGTTTTTTTCGATACGAGGCGAATCAATAGTTTGAAAATATTGTTCTCCGCAGAGCAAAAACAAAGTGCACGAGAATTGATTAAAAACGAGAAAAAAAACGAAAATTTTTGCAAGTCTGAAAAATATTTGAAGTTTCCCTATTTCCGAACAAAATGCAGATCAAATCATCTTCTTGTCAATATATTTGTGAGAATGGGAAAGTATTAAACTTCTCAGGGACAGTAAAGATTTATAGAAATTCTCAAGAAAATCGAGAACAGTTTTTTTTATTTATAAGAGAAAGAAAGTTTCTCTCGAACTTCGAAAACGAAAAAAAAATAAGACAAAAAGAGAGGATCTTGATCCTGATGGACCACATAGGACATAAAATGATCATTTCTAATACTTTTAATGATCTTTTCTTCAATTCTTACCTATCCCCTAAAATTTGTCCATTCCTTTTTCCAAATCTCAAAACAGACTTCCTAATAGATTTTAAAGTTTGATTGTAAAAGTTGGGGAAGAGCCTAACATATTTAACTTTCTCGAATATATAAAAAATACGCAAAGAAAAGAAAAGAATTTAGTGTCAAAGCAGGAAACGTACTTTTTCTCCACTGTTGGGTTTTTTGAGCTCGCCGAGACTGGCATGTCTGTGAAATCGTATAAATACTTTCTTGCAAAAATAAGGTAGCTTTTTTCCATGTTCGTTGTTTTCTGAATATGTCAGAAGCTGGAAAAGCTGACAGGATGAAAGACAATTTGAACATTTCGAAACGAAGCCAAGATTGGGGTGGATTTCATGCCATTATCAGATGGCCAATTAGCCGTACTCAAGTCCACTTGAAGGCAATCGGCGTCGCCAAACAATTCGTTAGCGTCAGGCCTGAAACATGTGCACATCACCGGAGCGGCGGCGAGGACGGAGCCGAAAAAAGCGCGACATCTGTCGGCGGAGGCACATCCGACGATCCTCCGGCAGCTCTTTCTGGACCTTCTTCAGAGTTCCGAAGGAGCCGACGACCCATCACTTTCTGTTTTCTATCCTTGTGTTGAGCTGAACTTCGATCTGACGCTGACTGAAGCCCATACATAGGCAGTCTTACTTAGGAACGCTTGCAAAAAAGATTTAGTTCAAATATTTTCCAATATTTTTCTTGAGCATAAAAGCCTTTATGGCGACCTTTCAGGGGGGAAAAGTGTCGATTGTTACTTTTTGCTTCGAAACAATAAGCATTGGTTTTTCCAGAAACCGTATTCCTTTTTAAAACCTGATGGAAGTGTATGAAATGGCTAAAACGTGACCTATGCGTTCTGAAAACTTGGAAATAGTTTTATTTTGGTTCTCGCTACGCTCAACTTCGAGCTACTCCTCTTCTATGATGGACGATGCAACCTCTGCAAGTAGTTTGCTGTCGGGCGCAAGTATGTGTTTCTCGAAATAGTTGACATTTCAAGTAAACTCAGAAGACTTTTTTTTTAGTTTCATTTCCACAGAGCCTGTTTCTGAATGAGGAAAAGCCCTTGTTTTCCAATCAGAAAGATTAAAATTTTTTTTTCGGATCTGATACAGTAGTCAGAAGCCGGAAAATTGGAGAAAAACAGTCAAAAGAGAGTCGGAACTATTTAGAAGTTCCTTTTGGACGTCGAGAAGCCTCTTGATCCATGTCTGTGGGTGCTTGAGTTGTATTGTGAGTCGCGCTTGAAAGGCCCCTTGATTGCCTGAAAGAGCCCGTCTCTCGGCCGACGTCTTCGTCCTCCAATCCTTTTGTCGCCACAGTTTCCTCATCTTCTCTTTTCATCAAACTTTTTTGAACCTTCTCATTAAACTTTTTTGAACCTTCTCATTATTTCGCTAATTCTAATCACGCCAGAGGTCGGAAAGACTAGAGGAACTTCTTAAAAACTCGAACCGTCCATTTTTCACTGTTTTGCCGTGGCTATAAGCCCGTCTAAATCACGCACACGGTTATCATTTCTATTGGAAGTACGAAGGAAAATATTTTGAAAAAACGGCCAAATTTTTTTCCTTGGAATAACTGACGCAGGCGGAATAAAGTCACTTTTTGTAGATTCTCTGTTGAAAACTCAGCCTAAGAATAGACATCCTTGGAAATTCTCAAACGCCATTACAAACTCTTTTGGGAGTCTTGGAAGCCGGAGGCTCCTGTGATGGCAGTTAGGGTACCGTAGACGACGCGATAAGTGAAGATTGGGAGACCGATGGAGCGCAAAATGCGATTTAGACAATGACTTGAAGCCGCAATCAGGACAGTGCACGTAGTGGCAAGCCCTCAAAGCATTTCGGCTCGGCGAATATCATCGCCTCTTCCGCTTCTTCCTATGGAACCCCAACCGCCGGTCAGTTTTCTTGAAATTCGCTTTCAAAACTGTCCGAAAACTTTATGGTAAAAAATATATTTTCAAATAATCAAACTTAGTAATTTTTTTAAATAGTAAGGCATTTGTGAATCTCTAAAATAACTTCTTCAAATTTTGATCACGATTGGAAGAGTTCAAAATTGTTGATACTGGAGAATTCCCTCGATAAACTCTTTCTCTTGAATTCTAGATCCAAGTGAACTCGTTAGAGTTCACGCTGATCTGTCAATAAATTATTATTATGGGGGAAAAAGGATTTTTTAGTGATGTTTGAGAACATTAACAAGAAAAAAATAACAATAAAATTTTTCAAAGTGTGCAAAAAAACTGAGTTTTTTTGTTTGAGTTTGAATCAGTCCCATCGGTCCACTTGATTTTTGATTTCATTGAAAAAAACTGCGAGAATTTGGATCTTCATACCCTAAAAAAACTAATTATCTCTAGTTTCTAATGTATAACAAAGAAAAATTTTTGAAATTTAAATATTTTTGACTGGAAACTTGTTTCTAATTTATGGTAGAACTTAAATGAAAAAAACATAAATTTTTTTCCCTATTTTTTTCTGAAAAAAAGCTTGAATTGAAATTAGAGTTTGAGCTACTTGATTCGACCTTACAACCGGCGTTCTTCTCAGCAGTTTTATTATGAAAAAAAAAAAACAAAAAGTCAATTAACAGATCCACATCAAAAAAACTTTAGGAAATTGGTTTTTTTACACTTTTTTTCCCAATTTTTGCAATTTCTGTTCAACTAGTAGAAGAAGAGAGAAATTTCTTTGACATTTCTCATGAGAAATAAGATTTTATTCTCAATATCAACTGTTCTGTTTTCTTTATGAACAGCCTTACAATGAAATTAAATACGTATAGAAGACTAAAATGATAGGAGTAACTTTGTGATTTTTTGTGTCATATTTTTCTGAAAAAGCTCTAGTTGTTACTTAGCCGTTGTCTGAGGGAGATTGACGACCGTAGGTTGACTCCGCCCACCGGAAGAGAAGCGCCAATCGGCGACGCCAAAACGAAGCGTTAATCTCATCGCGCAAGGCGTTCCCGAGCACTCTTTTCCTTTCAACAAGCGTGTTCAAACAGGAAATAGTTCAAAACCGACATTTCTCTTTTGATCCTGTATGAAGAAAAGTCAAAACGCTCCGAAAATGCAGTACTTAATCAAATATCACTAAGCAATAATCACTCAGGAAAATCCGCAAATGAAACTTCTCTTTGAGGAAACTTTCCAAACAAGAGGTTATAGTCTATATAACTTATAGAAAAGAAAACCACCAAAATTAAAGAAAACAATGAAGAAAAGCTCCAAAATGATCTCAACTTTTATAAAAATTTTTCTTTGCATCATATATTTCGGTATCATTGCGGTCAAGGAGTGTCTATTACTTCGCTAAAAAAGAAAAAAATTCAGGTTGATTTTGGCAAGCTATACCTTACTAATTTATCGACGTTCCTTGGTCTTCAATCTATCATTTGTATCATAAGAATACTGTAAATACTGAACTCATATACAGACAAGATTCGCAGTTTCAGAAAGACACACTGCCTTCTCCAAGCGACGATGAAGAAGAAGAAGCGGAGGAGACGGCCCAGCGGAAGACGATGAGCCACAAGTTTTCCGTGTCGAACATCTTGTCGCCGTTGGAAGGACTCGGTGAGTGGATGGGGTGCGGCGATATTGAATGGGTCGCCGAGCATCTTGAAGCGCCAAGAAGTGGCCGATGAGTGGCGCAATCTTTTTGGCCAAGGGCTCTTCGGAGCCGCCTCCCACAGACGACAGCCGCTTCAGAACCATTTTCGGCTTGCAGCTCGAGTTCAACAACAGCTCCTGAAAATGGCCTCCTCGAACGCCTCGTCACTCGAGTCGGCGATGGCGTTTGGTTACGCCGCGCCCTCGCGACTTCCCACATCCTACTTTTCCGCCACTTTCTCCGGATACCAGCGAGACTTCTCCGCGTAGTTAATTGACAGCGAGAAAGGTTCATAACTTACCAAGTTCAGCTATGTAGCGAATGGGACTCCGGGCGCCTGGTACAATGGAGCAGATCCACGATTTGCAGCACGTTCGTTCTTTCCCGTTAATGATTGGCTGATCGAGCCCTCATCGCGAGTCTCTGAAATAGTTTTGTGGCATTTGAAACCGACTCGCGCCTTTTTTGACTGTTTCTTTTCAATTTGAAACTACCATTTCAATTGACTTGTTGTATGAACTAGGGTCTTGAAAAAAGCTGTGGCTCAAAAATGAAAGATAAAAAGGAAGAAAATCAGAATAGATCGTTTTTGTAGTCAATAAAGTACGGGTTTCCTGAGATTGAAGACAGCTACTTCAGCCGATTTGAGTCCGTTAAATGTTCACCTTTTTCAGTACTGCCATGCACATTAGACCCGGCTAGAGCGGCGGTACATGGCATCCAGTTGCCAATGGGACAGAGAAGAAAAAGACGAGTTCTTTTCAGCCAGGCTCAGGTATCGATCGATACACCGACTAAAGAAAAAGTTCTAACAGGTCTACGAACTAGAGAGGCGATTCAAACAAGCGAAATACCTAACAGCTCCGGAGCGAGAACAGCTGGCCAACTCCATTCATCTCACTCCGACACAGGTTCTCTTCATATTTTATTGATAGAGCTCGATGAGTTTGAAGTTCAATTTTTATATGAAACGAGAAAGAACCGTGACCTATGTTACAAAGCTTTTTTCCAACAAATAAACAACTATCAATAAATCTTGACAGTGATTCCTCACGACTTCCTAATATCCAAGCCATACATAACTGAAAGCACCTCGGCTCTTAAGTTCAAACCGTAGACAGCAAGGCGGAAGAAAATTTATTGAATCGTTTCTTAACAAACTTTTTTCTTTCAGTAGAAATTTTAGGCTCCCATGGAAAAAAAAACTTGTCAGTTGAAAATGTTACAGGTGAAAATCTGGTTCCAAAACCACCGGTACAAGTGCAAGCGACAAGAAAAAGAGAAGGCGATGAGTGGACTTGGCAGAAGCAACGACTCTCCTTGCAGCACGCCGAGTGCCCACGAGGACGAAGAAGACGAGTAGGTAGACTGAGTCCCGTGGAGCGCAACTGAACGAGTTCCAGGAAGTGTTCGATCGACGTCACCAAGGACTCCTGCGAGACGCCCAACGCCAGCACTTCTTCCGACAGTCTTCCCGAGATCAAACGCGGCGTCTTCACGGTAAATATCTTCCTCGCCTTACCTCAGGCATTTCATTACACATAAAGCTGTGCTCTGGGCAGCCGGGCTGGCCATAGTGTTGCAACGCGGTCGCGAAGCGGTCGAAAATTTGCCACTTTTCGAACATTTTTGTCTCGAAACTTTCACAGAGTGTGTAAATGGGGAAGTGAGTGATCGAAAAAAGTAAAAAAAAATGTGTTATTTGGGAAAGTTATGTGATGTAAATTATGAAATGAGATAAAAAAAAGTTCGCGAAAGCGACATTTGTGGGCCGATTCGGCCATCAACCTCGGCCTAACGCACAGCTCTGATCAAAGATGAATCGAGAAGTCGATACAAGTAGCTACCGGGTAGCAACTTTTGAAAAATTCAATCGGCGTGTGGTAATCGGTGGTCGTTTGTATGCGACCGGGTACTATCTCTATTGTACCCGGGTCGGAGGTCGATGCAAGTAGCTACCGGGTAGCTACCTGACATTCGCGATTTCTTTCGGAAAGTCTGAAATTGCTTCCCGGGTCGTTATTTTTTGTTTCAGCTTTATCCAATAAGACCCTAGAAGGCTTGGGAAGGTGTAAAAAAACACTGATGCTATATAAACGACCGATGTGCCAGCCAGTGGAAATCGCGAATTTCAGGTACATACCCGGTAGCATCCAGATACCAATCAGGTACTATCCAGGTACCATAGAGATAGTACCCGGTCGCAAACAAATGACCACCGATTACGATTCGCCGATTCACTTGAGTTGCTACCCAGTAAATACTTGTATCTACCTCTCGATTCACCAGTGATTACACCACAGAAATTTCTAATCCCAAATTTTTATTATTATTTTCTATAAGCTATTTGAAGATATTCCGTGTCTGAGTCGCAATTCTGATTAAATCGAAATTTTCACTCAACTCGAGGTCAAACATGCCTCGATGATTTTTATAGGCGGTTAACCCTACTCCCGAGTTTTTTTTTTAAATATAAGCCAGTAGTACCTTCTGAGGCTAAAACTTCATTTTATTTTGATCAACACAACTTCCCAGAGGTTGAAACTCATTTCAATCCCTTTTTTCGAAGTTCTTAAGTTAACCGCTTCTCCTGGACTAATTGAGTTCAGTACATAGCCACGTGGAGTTCAGTACATAGCCACGGTCTTTTTCGACGAATTTCTATTGATAGCTCTTTTATTTTCATTTTTCAGGTGCCCTATACGTCTCAAGGGGCGTTTCCTTTTCCCTTCACTGGTGCTGCCAACTCCAACAATTCCTACTATGCTCACATGCGCTGGTAGCTCCAGCCCTTTTTTTTCACTACAAAAAACTTGCCGCTTTCTTCGGGTGCTTTTCTTGCTTTGCTTCGAACTTTGTATAAAATAAACTTTTCTTCAAATATTTATTTACCTATTTTTCGCGTGTAATCGCATCGTGTGAACTTTCAAATTGTATGGATGAAGAAAAGCGCGCGGACAGAACTTGCACTTGTGAGGCTTGTCTCCTGAAATGAAACATTCCATTTATGAATACTCAGAAGAGAGGCTGACCTGTGTGCGTTTTAGCATGAGCTTTCAAGTTGGAAGAATTAGAAAAAGAGGCAGCACAAGAAGCAAAGGTGCACTGAAACAGAGACTTCTGCAGATGATATACGTGTTCAGAAAGAGTCTTCTTATGGCTGAAAACTATACGAACAGTTCGGTCGTACTATGCGTTTGGCAAAGCCAATGTATGATTGGAAGATCTATAGTAGGAATAATGTCCAAAAGACTATAACAGCTAATGTGTACATCAAGAATTCAGTATTTTTGAAGCTCAAAACGAATTTGTCTGCATTCTGCATCGCAGATAGTACCTTGAACGGTTTCTCGCCGCTGTGGACCTTCATGTGACGCCGCAGCTTTGTCTTCTCGACGAAACTCATTTTGCATTGTTCGCAGGTGAAGGTTTTCTTCGCATGGACCTTTCCGTGCTTCCGGAGCGCTGTGCTGCTCTTCAGCACGGCGTCACAACCTGCGACGCCGCAGACAAAGACTGCATCATTTGCTCTACAATAAGTTGTTTACTGAATTTCCATCTTACAAAATAAAACCTTTCACTTGAAGTCGTCACAGGGATTTTGAAGGTCCTGACATGAAGAGAGACAGCTTTGACCATCTGAAATCGACTTTTTCAACAGATTCGGGAGCCTTCCACCTTTTGTGTGGCAGTCTCCCCGTTGCAATCTTCTTCGAATCTTTTGTGGGAGTTATTGTACCATTCTGGCTGTGTTGCAGAAGCCAAAGGTGGGTCGCAATCCTACATAAAAAGAATAACTTTTCTACTGTCATCCTTCAAACCTTCAACGAATGCGATAATTCCAGTTGATCTACAACTTTTTCAACTTCATCTGAACGGTTAACTGAACATCGAATTGAGGGAATTTTTTTAACGACCGCTCACTTTGAACCCATGCGATAGAGGTTGCGCAACGCGACTCACTGTTGATCTGAACTTTTTGCGCTTCCCATCTTTTTTTGTCTTCTTTCTTCTCCCTCTCTCTTTTTTCGACTATTCTGACGTTCTGAAACTTCTCACTTACAACTCAAGAAAAAAAGAAATCGCGACCGTAATTCTGATAGAAAACTCACCAAAAATTGTCGTTTCTCTTTCCCTGCCAAAAATTTAAAATTTCGAGAATGATTTGAACAGCCGGGGGAACAGGAAACAACTTCTTCGTCGCATTCTGACTAAAACTGATAATTAAAAATAACCTAGAAAAAAAAATCTCACCACTCCGTGTTCAATTTCGTAAAATGGAATGACACTAGTTGATATATCACTGTCAGCAAATAATTCACTAGAAAACATGTAAATAAGTTTTTATCGAATGTTTTGTTACCGAATAATTACAGTTAAATTATATACACAGCCTTTTAAAAACACTGATTACAATTGGATTGAAATTAGCCATTAGCAGGAGCCCGTAAAAATTTTGCACGTACATTAATTTGTGTTCCGTGTGATCTAAAAATCACGCTCACGAAAATTGCAAAAAAAAATTTGCGCCACTTCAATTCTTTTTCATCTTTATCTTTGAAATTGTACACGTTTTCCATTCTTTTTACGATTATAGAAGTATTTTATGTTGATGTTATAGAACAGCTGGATCCGGCGGATGTGGGCGGTCGATGATGTGCATATGGAAGATTCTCAAATGTCCGTCGCCGGAGACTCTTCGCACGCCTTCGATAAAGTAAATCAAGGAGGAGGATCTATCAAGTTTTTTTTTTTTTGTTTTCAGCAAATCGATGAAGAATCAATGTTGTCGTCCGCATATGGCACGCCTACATGCTCGCTAGATTCAAAGAACAAAAGCAGCGAACAAAGGTTTTTCCTAGTTTTTCTACACTTATGTGAGATTATAGTAATAATTTAGCATCCACAAGGTGAAAAGAATTGATAAAGTTGAGAACCGGTTTAAGGCCACCCTCATGAGCGATTTCACTGGATAGGGTATACAATAGATAATCACAGTTGATGAAATACACGTATAGGTATGTTGAGATTTAATTATGATTTCTATAGAAGCCGTCTAGGAATGCTGACCAATAATTCCTTTTCGGGGCTGTCTAAAAGGGATTTGAAAATTTTTGTAGGGATGGCGACGTGGTAACTGGAAAAGATTTTCTTCGAGATTGGGTTCAGTTTCCAAAAGAAAGAATCACATAAAGGACCATCCTGAAGAATGAACCGGAGAGAATGTCGACCCAAATAGAAATTCTGAATAAAAATTTTATTCTCTACTAAAGTTTTGAAAAAATTACTATTCACAAAAAAACTGCATGCGAGTTATTCTCGAACCTGAAATATGGGGGGCGGTTTCTGCAACTCATTTTTTTATTTTTTTAAGGGGAAAAAAATATTTTTTTCGAATGCCTTCTGTAATTTTTTTATAATACTTGAGAGTACCCATGCTGGCTTTTTAAACTTTGTTTGTTTATTTCTTTATTTCAAGCTCTTTTTGGGCTAATAACATTAAAAATGAAAATAATGTATGGTTGAGTGTTATTCATTAATTTTTTTTTCGGCCTAAGTATTAGGATAAAAACGCATGAAACGTTTTTTTGAAGTTTCTTTGTTTTGCAGCCTGGCGATGAACGACATTGACGAAGACTTTTTCGCTGAAAACGAAGTTATCGACGAATCTCAGCAAATCGGAGAGTTCATCTCGATTTTCAATGTAATTTTGTTCTTGGATTATTTTCGACTCGAAAGACAGCAAGATCCCCTTCTTTCAACCTTGCTTTTTCGATATTTACGACTGACCTCAGATTTAGAGTATATTTCGTACAGAAACTTGCCCGATCAAACCAAAGACTCGCGCTAACGGCGTTGGTTGAATCTTCCGCGATGCCCCACATTAGACATTTGCGTCAACTGATCGAACCCCATTTCCAACGAGATTTCCTGTCGTTTTTGCCAATTGAGGTTTTTGATTGACATCAAGTGATCCGCAATTTGAGAAATTTCACAGCTGGCGGATATAATATTGAAAAGTTTGGACCCCAAAGATTTCCTCGTGGTGGCGCGAGTTTCGCACAACTGGAGAATGATTTCTGAGGACGAGCACTACTGGAAAAGTCGCTGCGAAGAGTTGTCGCTCAGCCAACATCTTCCTGCACCAACGTTCGTTCTCGAGGAATTTCCGTGTCTACAGACGATTCCAGGAGCAGAGTCGACGGTGCGTGGGGGTCGGCCGAGGAAATGCCCGGCGTCTTGCTGCACGACCACCTCGCCTACGACCCCTGGTGCAAGTTCCGGGAACAGAAGCTGGACTACCAGTTCGGAAGGTTCGGAATATTCCAAGGAGAGCAACAATCTTCCTTTCCAGCATTTACTATCGGTCGTTTTACAAGTCTCTGTACATGCGCAAGGAGAGAATCATCGCAAATTGGCGCAAGAAACAAATTCGAGGGAGTTGCGTCTTAAGGGGACATGATGACCACGTCATCACCTGCATGCATGTTTGTTTTCTGACTTTTTCGTGTTTTTGCATAAGTTCAAATTAGAAAGGTTATTTCATGTTGCTCAATCTTTTTTCATTGCAGATACATGGAGACATTCTTGTCACTGGTTCTGATGACAATACACTACGTGTCTGGAGTATAGATCAGGGCATTGTGAGTTTGAAATCAAGCGAATAGCCGATGTCTCCTCAAATTTTAAAATTTCCACGAATTTAGATTTTATTTCAAATAAAATATTGCACTTTTAAATAATCATAATTTTCCCATCAAATTATCACTATTTTCAATTCTTTGGAACTTCTAGCCAGAAAACTGATCACTAAAAGATAATTACTGATTGTAGACCTTCTAGAGGTTATTCAATCATTTAAACTATTTAGAACAATTTCGATCATTCAGTGCCGTTTCACGTTGACTGGCCACACCGGGGGAGTTTGGACGTCGCACATCACGAGCGACGGTCGCTACATCGTCAGTGGCTCTACCGACCGCACTATAAAGGTATTCGCTCTTTTGAAAAAGTAACCTGGGCCGGAAAACCTCCAGACGCCATGATTCGCGGGATACTTGAGATAAATTCCTACTTCCAAAAGTTATCTTTCTCTCTATAAAAAAAACTTCAATAAGGCAAATTGAATCGAAGTAGCTTACAGTGGAATTATTTTCAGCCCCGGTTCCTTGCGGAAATGTATTTGAGAGCCTTCTGATCACTAGATAAGAAAAAATACTGGAATAGACCTTGTTCCTGAGTTATGACGTATCAAAAGCTTTAAATAACGATTTCCATATATATTCGGGTTGTTTGCAAACTTCAAAGAGTTGCAACTCGAAAAATGTTCATTTTGAGAAATTTCTTTTTTTTTATCTGAAATACGGAGGTCTCAGAATGAAAAAGAATCAAACGTAATTTTCACCACTAGTTAAAAAAAAAATATTTTTGATTTGTATCATCTATTTGTGAAGATAATTCGTTTTGGCCGTCTCCACTGGAAAAGAAATTCCGATCAAGAAGAGGTTTTAGCAATGTTTTTTGTAGGTTTGGAGTACAGCTGACGGATCTCTGCGATACACTCTTTCTGGGCACACGAGCACTGTCCGTTGCATGTCCATGTATGGGAGCATGTATGTTTTTTTTTGTCTCTATTCACTTCGTGCCAGGATAAAGAGGAAACGCTGTGTTTATTCCGGAAAAAATTCTTTCATTCATTTTTGAAGAATTTTTGACTGCTTTAAGGAAACAGTTCCAATGTAGTTTTGAGAGAAATGAAGAATCGGAAAAAAACACTGTAAGCAGCAGAGAGCTTTTTAAAAAAATATTTTTTAAAAACGCCGAAAGCGTAGAATTTTTTTGTCAGAGGAAGATTCCAAGGCTCGTACTCGTTGTTTTTCACAGTTTGGTGACGGGATCGCGCGACACGACGTTACGAGTGTGGGACATCGAGGAAGGTTCCTGTGTTCGTGTCCTTTCCGGCCATCTCGCTGCAGTCAGATGCGTCCAATTCGACGGCGAAGTCGTCGTTTCCGGTGGATACGACTTCACTGTCAAAGTGATGACCTTAATTCTTCACAGAATAATGGTCCAGTTTTGAAGGTGTGGAGCGCGGCGAACGGAACTTGCGAAAGAACGTTGCAAGGACATTCGAATCGGGTCTACTCACTTCTGGTGAGAAACTGAAGGATCAATAACCTTGCGATCTTCTTTCAGTACGATTCGGACCGAAGACTGGTGATTTCTGGGTCTCTGGACACTTCCATCCGTGTTTGGGACATGACAAGGAGGGAAGGCGAGGAGTGCACTGTCGTCCTCACCGGACACACCTCTCTGACGTCGGGAATGCAGCTCCGCGGCGACATTCTCGTCTCCTGCAACGCCGACAGCCACGTGCGGGTCAGTGCTCCATAAAAAATCATTCTGGTTGGATTAGATCTGCAAAAAAGGGAAACTTCGATTTAATGCAGTGTGTACTTCGTCTGCCACTACTAGAACCCTTGCAATTCGCCCCCTCTTGAAAGGCTGACGCCAAAAGACGATTTTGCACGCATCCAAAATTTTCAATTTCTCTCACATTTCTCACTAGAAGGCGGTAACCATGAATCATCCTTTATTCCAATGAGCTACCGCGAATCAAATTTTATTGATTTTTCGAAGAGTCGGCGTTCAAAATTCGTTTCACTAGCTATGTAAAATAAGTTCATGGTTAACACACCCACAATTAAAAATATTGAGAATTGAAATATTACTGAAAATAAATTGACCTTATTCCATGAGCGCAAAAAATAATCCTTGTATACAGTTCCTAGAGGTCGAAAAACGAAAATAGTAGAAAATATATTGAAAAATATTTTTCTAGGTTTGGAATATCAAGACGGGTACTTGCATTTTCTTGCTCACCGGTCCCAACGGACACACTTCCGCCATAACTTCTCTGCAGTTTTTTGACGACGACGTCGTGGCGACCAGTAGCGACGATGGAACCGTCAAGTTGTGGGATATCAAGAAAGGTCTATCACCACGAAAAAAAACTGACATTTATTTTTTGCCTCCACAACTTCCACAAATGAAACAGACGAATTTGTCTTCACCTTTTCCGATAACATCTCTTTTTTTGCAGGAACCTTCATCCGCAATCTGGTTCTGCTGCAGTCGGGCGGCAACGGCGGCTGCATCTGGAGACTCTGTGCGACGCCAACTTTGCTCGCTTGCGCCATCGGCTCCCGCAATAACACCGAAGAAACCAAGATCATCTGCCTCGACTTCGACGCCGATTTCCCATGAAACAATCTTTTTCGCCAGTTCTCAATCGGAATCTCCATTCCATGGTTTAGTTGTTTGCCATTTTGCAATCTATACATTCTTCTAACGGTATCAAATTCGTTTTTCTTTGTAATATACCATTACAGATATCACTTAACATATGCTTGTTTACCTACTTCCCTAATTAGCCTTTTTCCTGTTCGAGCTTGTCACTATTTAAGTTATTATTTGTTGGAGTTTTGTCTTTCATGGATCGTGTGATTTTTTATTCGTTTGTCCACGTAGCCCTCGAAGTTGTGACGGTTTCCCTATTAGGATCGCTTCTTAATTGCATTCTCCGGGTCTGCCTGATTGTATATACTCGCGCGACTAGGATTTTTCTTCAGAATAAGTGGAACAACTGTCTTATGTTGAACCCAGCGACGGGTTTTCCTTCGAATTGGTAATAATCCATGCCACGATTGTGAATAAATGCCAATCAGACTGCTACCGCTTACACATTAGCTTTCAAAGTTTTGTCCTCTATACCTGTTAAAAAAAAAACGGCTGAAGAATCTGGTGGAAAAATTTTTCAGTGACAAGGATTGGCTTTATGGCATGAACAAGGGATTCGCTAGCATATCCAAAGTTTTAGTTAGGAGTTTTGGTGTCAAGATCAAACCCGGTTTCGTCATGGAGAGGCTGACACCAACCACTAGGAAAATTGAATCCGATGAGTTCAAGTGAGAAACTTACGGAATTTCCTGTCGCAAGTTTCGAGTTCAGATCTCTTTTTACCCCGCAGTTGCGCAAACTTTCGGATTTGTTCGAGAAGAATCAGTATGAAATAAGGTCACAATCAAAATCAAAATAAACACGAGCCTTTTCTTTCAGAATAGCCGGTGGCGCCGTCCGCGACTTGCTGATGGGAATCCAGCCGGCCGACGTCGACTTTGCCAGTACAGCCACTCCGACGCAGATGAAGGTCCAACTCGTCTCATTCAGAAGTTGAATGAAGCTTCAGGAAATGTTCGAGCGGGAGCAGATTCGGATGTTGCACAAGCGCGGCGAGGAGCACGGCACGATCACGTGTCGAATCGACGACGCAGAGAATTTCGAAGTGACGACTTTGAGGGTGGACGTCGTCTGCGACGGAAGACGTGCCGAGGTCGAGTACACGACCGACTGGCAGCTCGACGCCAATCGAAGGGATCTCACCATCAACTCTCTTTTTCTCGGTAGAGGCTTTTCCTGCTACAAGAGAGCATTTTTTTCTTCTTTTTTTAAGTATAGTTTCAAAGAATTTTAAAAAGCCTAGAAGCCGAAATTTCAGAATTGTTAGAGTACCGAAGTTCAACTTTCTTATCAGATTTTATTAAAACCAAAGTTTTGTCTAGCGTTTGCGCGTTTTTCTAAAATTTTTTCGAAACAGCTTACTGATCTGGAACTTTGAAACCGCTTTTGGTTTTTTTTTTCATTGTGAAATTCCTCTCAGGCCTGGACGGAACTGTGTATGATTATTTCGGTGGAATAGCGGACGTTGAGGCGAGAAGAGTGGGCTTTGTAGGAGACGCCGTGCAGAGAATTCAGGAAGATTACTTGAGGATCCTGAGGTCAGAGGACCTCTTCTCCTCTCTGAACGACTACTTTCTCAGATATTTTCGCTTCTTCGGCCGAATTTCCAACTGTAACGACCACGACCCAGAGACGATCCGCGCCATCATCAACAACAAGGATGGAATAAAGGTTAAAAAAGCTCAAATTCCCTAATTTTTATTTCAAATTTTCTTTTTCCTCAGGGGATCAGCGCTGAACGAATATGGACAGAGCTGAAGAAAATAGTGGTTGGTCGTATGGCGCCGGAGGTTTGATTTTTCAATGTTCAATCAATCTTCATCTTTTCTTTTGCTCTAGAGTACCTTTTCAGGTGGTCCGCTGTATGTTGCTGGATTGTGGCCTGAACGAACATCTTGGACTGCCGTCGGAATGCAATCTGGATCGATTCAAAAAGGTTCTCATAGTAGATCCTGCGGTTGAAAATCGCTTTTGAAGGTTTACGAGAGGTTCAGTGGGAAACTCGAGCCGATGACCATGGTTGCCTGTCTTTGCGAAGCTCCCGAGCAAATCGACACCTTTCATTCCAAAACCAAGGTTAGTTCTTTTTCCTTGACGGTAGAATGGAAAATCAAAAGTTGTTGTAGAAAATTTAGGTATCGAAGTATATTGTGCGAAATCTTCACAAAGTGAAAAATGAGCTGATCATTTGAATTCTTGCGCGTATTTTCTTCAACTTTTTTCCATGTTCGTTTTACTGAAAATTCGAAGCACTGTCGAGAGTATATGAAAGTGAACGCTGAAATAATTCATCTTTCACTCATATACTGGCGAATCTCCGCGGGAAAAACAAGGACAGTCCGCGGGTGAAGATGTCGAACGCCCGTGTTCTCACCGATTCTTTCCTCTTTCCGACATCCTACCGATTTCTTCGGAACGGCTTCAACAGAGAAGAAAGACATAATAACTTAACGATGTTTTACAGTGAACGATACAGTAAATGTTTTGAAATGAAATTATTGAAAACTTTTCAGCTTTCCAATGATGAACGCTTGTTGGGGCAGTTTGTGATAAACGAGCGACGGAGGGCCGAAGAAGAACTCCAGAACAACCAGTGGTGGCTGGAGAAGATCGTCGACCTCGAAGTGAAGCCCGGACATGGTACCTGCTGACCTCTCCCAGTAATGACTTCAAATGATCAGAACCGACGGATCGTCTTCGAAGTCGCGTGGTTCAACTGGCAAGAAGCGTTCTGGCCGATGAAGACCTCGTCGCTCAAATCGAGAATTTCACAACTCCGGCTTTTCCTGTTAACGGTTTGACTTTGTCTGTCTTTAGGGTATGAATTGAGGTGAAGAAAAAAGTTGAAGGTTCCAAGCATAAAAAGGGATGAAGTTTAGGTTTATTATAATTTTCAAAGTTGCTCCAAGTTTTTAGGAAGAATTTTTTACCTTTTGAATAGTTTTTCTCATTCACACCATAGAAAAAGATGAAAAAATCAACTTTAGGAGGTCTTGAAACTCTGGTGAATCACACATACACACACCAATCCGAATATTTAGTTTTATAGGAAGAAAATGGGTGACTATATTTTCGAAAATCGTCCTATGAAATGTAGGATACTTTTCAGCTTTATTGAAATCTGCTTGTTTCAGGTAGAGACCTGATGGAGGCAAACGTGAAGAAAGGACCTCACGTCCGTCTTGTTCTGCTTTATCTTTACGATATGTGGAAAAAGGTGGAAAGATATTTCCGAGACGAAGAATCGATTATAGTGCTTTTAGAGCGGGTTCACTTCAACCAAAGACGAGCTCATTTCCCATGCTCACGACTCTGAAATTTCGCAAGAGTTGAATAAGAAAGCGAGGTCACCACAGCGGAAGCGGTGATGCGAAACTCTCACCATGTTGTTTGTAAAAAGTTTGTTGAATTTACATTAAACTTTCATAAAGAATAACCGAAAAGCATTCAAAGCATTGTCCATGGCTATAAAAAAAAGATAAGAATTTCGTCTTATTTGTCTTCGTGCTAAAGGCTTGCTACCTGAGAAATCGATGTCTTATCGTTTCTCTTTGTTTCTTCTGCATGAAGTGAAAACTTCTGATTGTTGAACTCGAGTGCTAGATAAGAATTTTTATAATAATTTTTTTTTGTTGGATTCATATTGTACAACGTGAGTCAAAGAGTTTAGAGGTTGTGGTTGGCCTTGGCGAAACCAATGCGCTTCTGTCCGATGTCGTAAACGTTGCAGTAGGTTCGGATCCAGGTGTCTCCGAGAATCCACGATGGCGAGAAGCCGCCGCCGCTCATTCCGAAGAAAGTCAGAGCGCACTGAAATGTCATCGGATTAGTACATTTGAAAGAAAGGAACTATTCAACCTTTCCGTTGCCGAGCTGGAGGTCGAGAACGTACTCAACCGAGGGGACGTTGTATTTCTGGCCTCCGATGGTGAAGACAAGGTCGGGCAGAGAAGTCTGCTTGCTGCATGGGACGGTGTAGAGCTCGTTCTCCCAGTCGTAGCTGGCGCCGGTGGCCTTGACGACTCCGGAGACAACGCTGTTGGGGGCTCCGATCCAGGATGTGCCGGTGTCGGAGATGACCTGGTCTTTCTTGGTCTCAGAGAAGGTTCCGCACGAGAATCCGTCGATGGGGAACTGCCAGTAGGTCTCAGCGGACAGAGGAACGTAGTTGACGGTGGCGGCGCAGTTGACGTTGTCGAGAGCTCCGTAGGTGATGAGACCGGCGTTGCCTCCGTTGCTGAGGGCAAGCTTGCGGTCAAGCCAGACGGTGAAGATCGGCTGGTCGAGCTGAGAGAGAACGTTCTGCATGGGAGGAACGACCTTGTCGACGGCGAGCGATGGCCAGCCGAGACCGAGGATTCCGTCGACTGGCTGGTAGCCGAAGACTTCAGCGAGATGGTTGGCAACTCCGAATTCCTGGGTCTGGACGGTCAGACCACCGAAGGTGATGGTGTCCTTGCCGAGGTGTCCACTGCATGAGCCAGAGCCGTACTGGATCGAGAACTTCTTGGTCTCAGTCTGGAAGGTCGACGACTTGGTGGTGTCGAACTTGTGCTTGGTGTAGCCAGAGTTGGGGTATCCGTTGCAAGCCTGAGAAGTGCAAGCGGCGTCAATGACCCACAAGTTGGAAGATCCAGTGTCGAGGACGATCGTCACTGTCTGGGCTGAAAAAGATACTTCTTTTTGAATTTTTTTTTTTTGAAGAAAGTTATAGATTTTGAGCGAAATAACGCTTTAACTTATTCCGACAATTGAAAACTTACGAGGAGTTCCGACAGTAATGTTGCCGAGGTAGAAGTCATCGTAGTAATCGATGAAAGGCTGGCTACCAGTGTTGAGCTGGGAGCGGCGCAGGTGCTGGTCTTGCAGGAACTGGTGGTACTGTCCTGAGCGGATGAGCTTGGCACGGAGCGATCCCGCGTTGGAGGTTTCCATCTTGAAAACCTCAGCGGAGAGCACCGCCACAAGGGCGAGCAACACTACGGTGGTCTTCATACCTGAAAGAGGCTCATTTTTTTTGAGGATCGTACAAAGCGAAGAAAGAGAAAAGAAAAGCGACTGGCGCTTCTGCCGGCCTCCGTCCCTTTTAAACACCGACGGACGTCAGCTTCTTTATCGATATTTTCGATAAGAGAGCCGCATGATAAGTGTGTTGCAACACCCCAATCACGAAGAGAGTCTTTATAGTCGTCTGATCTGAATCTGGAAACATCGAGAAGGTGGAAGCCGTAATTTGTTTTTCAGTTCGGGCCTCAGTGACTTGCAAGAAATCTTTTAGGTAGGGAAAGCTGAAAAGTTTGAACTTTTCTGATGTTCCTCTCGACCTCGCTCATACTCGAAGCATAAAAAAAGCCCAATCCAATATATGCTCATTTCGTTTGAGAAAGATTTTAGCTTTTCTTTTTTGAAATGGAGACGTCATGGACATGCCACGATTTTTCTTCTTTGAGAAATCTATGACGACCGTTAAATTTTGAAGCGATTTTAAAAGGATTGCAGTTCTTTCAAAAATTTTCCTCTTGAAGTTGGCATATCCAGAGGAAATTTGAAAAAATCTGATTTTATTTTTCAATTGTAACTTTAAATGCTTTACTCTGTGCAAATATGAGATTTTCAATAGCAATCGGAGCGTTGAGTCTTTTTTAAGGAACTTTGAACTTTCAGTCAAGCTTCTTCACCCTCTAATGTTTCCGAGGACGGCGCCTATCCTATTACGACGCCATTATCGTCTTGATTTCGTCAGTTCCACCTTTATTCAACCCTCTCCATGGGGTGTTGTTTTTAAAACTCAGTTCTTTCTTGGCGAGCAGAACTTCGAGGGCAACTTGACGTCTTATCAGCGCTTCTCGAACCGCGCACTCCTAACCGAAAGCGGATTTGGTTATCTTACTTTTTGTCTTTATCGTCGTTTTGTTTGCTTTTGCGTGAAGCGACAAAACGCTCAGCAATTAAATTTGACTGATTCAAGTACAAATCAAAACGGAATCGAGCTGTCAGCTGCCTAAAACGGAACTGATCTCTTTTTGGAAACTAATCATTATTTTCCAACTTAGTAATAAAAATTTTATTTCCTGATAAGTCATGTGAAAGCTCAAGAAGATCATAATTTTCTTGTTTTGGCCGAGGCCACGCAAGATCGCAAAAAAAGAAGACTGGACGTCCCCTGGGCGCCAAAAAATCGTATGTCCTCCAATCAACAGCCGCCCATAATCGGATTTCAGTTCGGCCGAGCTTCTTGTTGTTTTCACCATTTTGGCTTGTTTCTCTTTTTCGGCGCTTTCATCCATTTTTGACTTACTCAGCATAAAGTTGATTCGAAACACTTTCTCACTTTCTATCATCACTGATAACAATCGAAAGTGTCCTCAGCATTTATGATGTCATTCGCCATTTCTTGATATCTCAAAAAATCAGGAATGAATTAATTATAATAATTTGTTCATGAAAGTGTATAGTCAAAAATGACTTGGGTAGTCCAACTTGATGATGAAACTGTCATGGAACTTCGAAATCAAGCAGAAGTTGGGGAAATGTTTCTCGCTGTTTATTATTCTAGTTTTTTTGGACTTCGGATGCTGGCTGGAAAGGTCAGAGTAGAAGGTTCAAATGCGGAACGCTGTTTGCACGTGATGGAAAAGCCTGCGCAATCTGGACATCCATCACGGAGCGACGGAGAAGCAGCACAAGTGCCCATTTTCGCCGCGTTTCCATTTTTATCTGCCCTTTTTCGCTCCATGACATCCCATAAATAGAGTGAAACCGTTTGAATTTTGAGTCTAAAGTCTGTTTCAAAAAATCAATTGATTCAAAAAAATTTTTTTTTACTTCATTTTATCACGTAATAAAAAAATTTAATTTGATCAGAATTGTGAGAAAAACTTTCGAAGGGTATCATTAAAAAGGTAACAAATTAGTTGGCAAAACTTACAGTTGCCCGGAAAGTGGATATCGAAAAAAGAAGAATATCCTACTCCTTTGGAGTTTTGCAAAAACTTTCAAACAGTGTGAAGGCTCCTCAATTCCTCAATTTATCTTTATTTTTTTCTGGATGATAACTATTTTATATTTCTTTGACTTCGAATAAGGACATTTAATTTTCTCTATGCCGGAAAAGTCAACCGTGTTTTAAAACATCTATTCACGGTTCGAAATTTTTGGAATATTGCACATTCTCATTTTTGAAGATTTCCGATAATCCAGAAAATTGTTTTTATAGACAAAGGGTGAAAATGTTGAGGTCCTGGGTAGTCTGACTTCTTTGCCTTCAAAATTTGGTCCGTCGTTTTTCGATTTCTGCTCACTCATCAGGTTCTTACTGCTCCTGATTCACTCCCTGATAAATCTTGAGCACTCGAAGTGGCAGTATAACGACGCCAGCCAGCAGAAAAAAAAGCCTGGGATTTGCAAGGTGGAAGACGTGATCCCTGAGCTCACCTAACATTCCAGGCGTGGCGGAAGAACGGCTCACCGCCTCCTTGCCATTCCTCCGTTTGTTCTCAGATTCGCCCACTTTTTTTCTGCGTGTGTTGATGTGAATTATGCATGTCCGCATTCGGTTTCCGCCGCCCAACCCGATCTCCACACAATTTTCCAACCAATCCTCGTTTCAACTGTCGCTCCCAGACGTTTTCGAGCCGTGCCGTTATTTTCGCCTCTTTGTCCTTTGACAAGCTTCGCTATTTTCTGACTAAATTTTCTTTTTAGGTCAACTACGGTTAATGAGAAACTCAAAGTGCAGTGGAGGTTTTGACAGAGATAAGCCTTCTAATCTTTTTGATCTCCTCAGAAAGAATGAAAAGGGACACAAACTGATAAGAATTCGTGAGACTGTTGCATCATTACTGAACCTTGGAAGTGAAATAACCGGAAAATAAAACATCATCGATGAAAGCTTGCAAAGTTCAAAAGTAACGACAGAAAAAGCTTTTTTTTTAAATTTTAAATCTTCTATAATAAGTTTAATTTTCGAAATGTTCACTCAGTTCATCGTGGTTGACAATGGAACTATAGGTTAGCTGAAAAATTCCCACACTAAAACCTTATTCGCGTTTCTTTTTCTTTCGAAGAACGTCCCTATTTGGATTTTGAGAAGTATTGGATCGATATTTACTGATAAGGATCGAGTTGTTTTATTCTGAAAATGAACGGGAACTCATGTGAAACGCGAGAAAATAATTCATGGCATCTTTGAAAGCTTCCACTCTTGGGGCTGCTTCTTTCAAATTTCGATGACGATTTTGAACTTCCAATTGAAGTAATGCTTCTTTCTATGTCTTCCAAAGACCTAGGTTTTCTTTTCTTCACACTTTGTTTTGCAGAGAAATTAATACTTTATCAGGCTTTTGTAAGTATCCAACGAGGAACTTTTGGAATAGATTTGAAGAGCAAGGTCACGACATTTGACCAATTCCATAGTGGCTATTTTCGGGGGCTACATCTCTGCGATTTGTTCTCGAGGAGAAAGCGAAACCCGAGGGATTACGCACAATTGCCGACGGCATCATCGGCCGCCGGAAGCCTCCAGGCGTCCCAATAACCTCCATTAACAGGCCCCACGTTTCCTTCCACTCACTTTTTCATACCACTTTATAGCTTTGATTTTTTTTTGGACTATTATTCATTCACTTGTCTTTTTACGCGAATTTATTCTTGCTGACAGAACACAAAAAGAAAATGCCAACTTTTTTGATACATAAACATTATCTGTACGTTCGGATTGTGACAGTATAGCTTTTTGATCAGTAATATTGACGAATTCGCCGGCTATGCAGTTTTTATCTTTCCAATGTCGATAATAGTTTTTTTCTTTTGATGATGACTTTAACGATAGAGAAGACTTTGTTCTTCGCTCTCTCAACTTGAAACTTTGAAATTTTTTTTCACTCAATTTTTTTCGGTAGCCTTTTTTTCAGAAATTTAATTATCATACGAGCTTATGCAGATTGAACATGGGTCTGGAGATGTTCACCATGCACAACAAGGTGTTGACGTCGGTGGAAGGCCGAATACAGGAGAACAATGCACGTCTTCTGATCGCCGTAGGCGTCGTCGTCACTTACCTCTTCATCGGGGCCCTCGTTTTTGTCAGGTTTTTACCAAAGGAAAAAAATTTCAGAAACTTCTCATTTAAGTGTCAATATTGAGTTTTTTTCCTCGAAATTTCTTTCCGTTCACAAAAAAAGATCTTTCTTACAGGATAGAATATCCTTTGGAGAAAATTGAGCGAGAAACCTACAGAGAATACCGCGAGCAGTGGGAACAACGGCTGGTCGGACTTGGCATTACAGGTTTATTTCTGTACTCTACAGCCCAATCAGATTGGAAAAAGTCGGAAGAAACTCTTTTTTGTATAGAAATTTCCTTTTTTACCTTGTTGCATGCCGCGCAGTAAGTGTTTGGTTCTAGAAGTTGGCGTTATTTTTGTGTTGTGATAAGAAATTGATTAGCATCCTCGCTCCGTTCTAGGTCCAAACATTTGCTCCAATTTTTTTTAATTTTTTGAAATCGTACTCTTGTCGGTTAGTTCTAGAGAAATCATTTTAAGTTTTTATTCATTGAATCACATAGGGATAATTATTTCACGAGAAATTTCTCGTGACTCTTTGCAACTTTAGAATGTGTATCGCAAAAGAATGAATGAAAAGTTGAAATTGAGAGAGAAAAATTTAATTTTTCCATTAACTTTTTTTTTTTTCTGTAAGAAAGACTTCGAAATGACAATATTGTGCCTCAAAGTTATTCATAAGTTTCTCATAATTTTTCTAGTTTTTCAAAGAATCAATGAGATTTAATGTCAGATTTTTCTTGCTTTATTAGTTTCTCATAAGTTTCTTATTAATTAATCGAGTTTCTGGATTTCTAGATTTTATGGTATCCCATTTTGATTTTACTGCGGCGCTCTCTCTTCTGAATCCAAAGAATTCAGTGTTATTCAGTGGTTGTGTGTTGAACCGTATGCGTGTTGTGGAGAGCCGACGGAGCCGAATCCTTCGTCTGATCGTCCTTCTGGGAGTACCGGCCCTCGGTTTCTACCTCGTCCTCGGCGCCTACGTCATCCAGACGCTCGAGCTCCAGAGCGACATCGAGGCTCGTCAAAAATTTCGCGAAGCCGTCGAAGACTTCAAACTCCGCAACGATGTCAACCGTAAGCTCGTTTGCATGCTAGTTATGTGGACGGATTAGTTTTTGGAGATTTTGTTCCACGGAGACCTTTGAACTCTATTCTGAGCGATAAACAGCATAACTATTTGTTTTTCCAAATCCTTCAATCAATAAATGTTTAAAAAGAAAATAATGCGTGTAGATTGAATGACTCGATTTTTTTTTTAGAATAAATTTCAGAAACTGAGATAGACCGACTATTTTCTGACATCCGAGAGGCGGCCCTCAACGGCATATGGATGGATAAAAACGTGACCAGCGACCCCAACTGGACTTTTGGCCAGGCGTTTTTCTTCGCCGGAACTCTCATCAGTACCGTCGGTCAGTTTTTCTGATTTCCCCCGAAAATCGACGACAAATGAAGTCTTTTATGGGACTTTCTTTCTGAAACTTTTGTTTTTTTTCTGTAGACTTGCAAACGCTGGTTTCACCTGTTGAATAGTGAAAAATAGTTTCCATAATTTAAAATACTTCGAGTAGAATAGCTATCCCTTTCACCCCTTAAAATTTTGTGCTTTCTCAAGCTTTTCATGCAGAAACCTTGTTCTCATAGGCAGTTAATAGCCGGTGAATCATTGGAAAACGGGTTTCTACTCCGTTTAAGGCTTGACTCGCTCTCGAAATGTTCGAGTGTAACTTCACACCATTTCCGACTATTTCAAAGCACCATTACGAGTCGTTTTGATACGCTTTTAAACTAAAATCAAGTTCGAAAACATGCTTGACTGTATTATTCGGTTTCAGGTTATGGAAGAGTTTCTCCAAGAACTGAGCATGGAAAGCTATTCACGATATGCTATTGTGTTATTGGTTAGTCTTTTTAAGATCTTTTTATAAGCTCTCAAACCTCTGAGTTATCGAATATCCTTGTCAAAAGATTATTTGTATTTGCTTTCTTTTTTTTTTTTGTAACCTTCCTTTCTTGGGTTGAAATTTTGAATTTTTTGTTGAACCGTGTTTCGAAGACCCAAGCTTTGTATCCGGGATTGAAGAGGCTCTTTTTAGGAATCCCGCTGACCTTGGCTCTTCTGTCGGCAATCGTGGCGCGGATGAGGGCTCCTTCGCATCGGCTCCGCGGACTCCTCAACCAGAAACTCGGCCATTTGTTCCCTCCAGCCCACATCCAGGTGATTCTTTACTTCGGTTGACAATGAGAGTTTTTCTTGTCGCAAAATAACAGACACACTCTCATGTAGAAAATAAAAACAACCGTCAGGAATGACGCAAGTCAAGCTGGAGCATATTTGTATCAGTTTTTCTTCTTTTTTATTTGCTCAAACATTAAAACAGCTTTACCGCAAGATATAAAGAGTAAGGTTCAAGGTTTTCATTTTAATCGGAAACTTCAATTGTAAGAAAACTCCAGGGCATCCACCTCGGAGTCATCACTTCTGCACTGCTTCTCTTTGTTTTCCTCATTCCGGCCTGGGTTTTCACAACGATCGAGCCTGAATGGACCTATTTGGACGCTTTTTACTATTGCTTCGTCTCTCTTACCACGATTGGATTAGGCAGGTTTTGAGTTATGATGAAAAAAGGTTTTGTTTTCGTTGGAAGTTTTTTTGGTTTTATGACCGCGTTTGTGATTTTTTTTTTCCTTGGTAGGAGATGACATTAAAAAAATTAATCAGATCAAATCAGCTCCCAGAAAAAAAAAATTCAATTTTGGTTTCGACTCATTTTTCATCAAAGATAATGGTAGAAATTATTATTGTATAAGGCAAGTTTATTTTTTTCAGGAGACTACGAACCTGGTGACCATCCAGACCAACCTATGCGCGGAGTTTATAAGATTGGAGCGACTTGTGAGTCGAAATGCCCATTTTTAACTTTTTCCGAGGTTCCAGTGTACCTCATGGGCGGTCTTTGCTGCATGATGTTGTTCCTGGCGACGCTCTACGACGTCCCACAGCTCAATCTTCTTTCTTTCCTCGTCAAAAGCGAAGAGGAATCACGTCTCAACGAGGTTCCTCTCAATCGTCCTTTTGATTTGAAAACAACGTAATTTGAGGACGAAACGACAAAGTACGACAGATTTCCAGCAACAACATCTGTAGAAAACGGCCTTTACGGCAGTGTCCAGTGATCCTTTCTGAGCAATTTATTAACTTCGCTGATTGTTCAAAAAAGAAAACAAAGGCAGAAATCTCTCAGATTCATTCAAAGCTGCCGTTATTGTGCTTTACATATAGAAAACTTTGCCTGGCGCATTCACTTCAAGAGATATAAAATAAATAATTCGTAAAAATGTTTTTCTGTACTAGGCGGACGTTATGAAAGTTTAAAAATTGAAAATTATTCAGTCTTTGAAAGCAGAACTCAAGCTTTTTGAAAGTGTTTCTGTACGCTTTTTAGAAATTTCGCAAGAAAAGATCTTCATCAACTTTCGGAAGAAAGAAGATATCGGAGCGGAAAGCTGCTTTCTCTGTTATTTATCTTGGAACTTCCAATACCACAGCAAGGAACAGACTGTAGAAACTCTTCTATCAACCTTTTTTTTTTTCATCGAAAAAAAACGGCGTTTGACTTGAAGAGAACGAATCGAAGAAGCGAGGTTGTTTTGTGGCTCGTAGTCTAGTACCCGCCCGAAAGTTGTCAACTAGTTCACTTTCAGCGGTCATACTGCGCCATTCGCTTTTATCCACCCTTTCCTTTTTCGATGCCATTTCGCGTCCGTTCCACTCTCTTCCAACCGTTTCCTTTGCGAGCAATTCTAGTACCTACTCACTAGGTTATAATTCTTTTATGCAGTTAAGTTCACATTTTTTCTGGTTTCACGTGACCCGTGAAATGTCTCGATGTTACCTGTTTTGGAAACGAAAATTCGAAACGTGTCTGAACAGTCACGCGCTTTTTACGGCTCTTGCAAATGCTATGTATTTTTTCCTTTTACCGAAGTTCGGTCAAAGATCAACAGCCATCAGTCGGAAGTTATTTTTTGCTTCTCAAGCGATCTGATCGCTTTTCCCACGTGTTTTTCTCAACGATCTTTGTGTAAGCCTCCTTATTTTCCAAACAGCTTTCCTATATCTCGTCTACGACAGAACTGGACGTTTGAAACGGTTTGGACTTGTGAAGTTTAGTAAGTTCGTCGTTCAGAAAGTTGAGCGAACTAGAGAGAGAAAATGAGACTCAACTTTGCTAGAAGACAAGCACAAAAAATGAAAAAATCTTTGTGCTTTTTCTTTTTATAAGTTAAGATCCCAAAACGTTTTTTTCTAAATATAATTTTCATTTTTTTAAGCAAATACTTCAAAAATTTTGTGAACTTCTTCATTTTAACGGACTAAAATTTTCATTTCTTCATTCTCTGATGTAGTGTTTTTTTTCTGTTCACACTCTTAAAAACAGTTTCGAATCCTCGTCAAAACGAACAGTAAGTCTGATCAGAGCACTTGTTTCCAGTTTTGGCAAAGGCCCGGAGTGTGACCGCGAGGTCGCCGAAAACGTTCTCGCCCAAGGTCAATACTTTTTCTTCTGGAGTAAATGTTTCTGACCTTTTCTCAGCGGTGCCGTTCCCTTTTACAAAAGTTTTGGAAAAACCAGTAGAAAGTGGAGATGACGCTGATGACTTCATGTTTGTCCAGATTCCGATCATAATCTCAGGATTATCTCCATGTTTTCTCCACTGGCTTCTATTCTATGAAGATTTCGTATGCTCGTGAAAACCTTCTACCCTGAAGAAGGCAATTCAGATGTTTTTCTAAAACTCTGGTGAGCACGATTATTCCCACTGTGGAGAATTTACGAAAATAAATATTTGAGTCATGGCATACGCCTTCTTTTCTTATAATGAAAATATAAAAATTGGTGTAAAAACCTAATACAATAACTTTTTTTTTTGCTTGAAAGAACTGAAGAGTATGATACGCACTCGACGTGGTTTGAATAACGACACCTTCACAAAATGACGTGATGATTTGGTATGATATTTGCCGTTTCTCGTTTCGCAGGCGCGGCTTCAAGCTGCCAAAGCTTCGTGTACACACAACCCTACTTTCATTCGCCGCGGGACCGAGTGGAGACAAGTTGAAGAAGGAAGGCGAGAAACAAAAAACGCGAAGAAGAAAACGAAAGGAACCGCCCAGAGACACAAAAGATTACACCGGCGAGTGCACGACCAGAGCTCTTCCTGCCGCTTAACCTTCGCTTCATTTGGGCAACTTCCGCTCAATATTCATTAGATCTTTACAAAGGACTCCCCAGCGACCCATTTTGCTTGTTTTTTCCGCCCCCGCCGCAAACAAACAACCTCTCTCCGGTACTACGTATTGAACGGCGGCCCCAAGCTTCCACAACAGCTTTCCCTGTGGCCATTGGAATTTTTACTCAAATTACACGTCGTTCACTATAGTCAATCGTTTTTTTAAAAGAATATCTCACGATTCTCACTTAGAAAGTTACATTTACCTTCATTTCTCATTCTTTTTATTTTTTTGAAAAAAACGAACCCATTGATACCCTGTTTCTATTAAATTGAAATTGTTTTTTTCAATCTCTGAGTTTGAAAAAAATCACTGAGTCAGTATGTTCTTGTTCCAAATGTACATTCCATTTTATTTTCTGAACTTGTTTATTTTTCGTTTTCTTCTGCAGAATATTCGAGTAATATTTTGAAAACAAAAATGGAATGATTTTTTTTTGTTTTTGGTTTTTTGATATGCATATGCCGTCAACGTTAACGCGTTAATGCCTCTCGATTTGTTGTTTTTTGTGACATTTAAAACACTTCTATGAATCATTTCTTTCTCGTCATTTTTTTCTATGTTCAAAATCTTTCTTGCCTACCTAATACCTACGCGTCAGAACAAAATTTATCAATAATAGAACGGTTTCAGAATTATTTCAATTCATAAGATTTCTGACTTTCTATAAAATACCGATATATCATATTCCATTATAACATACTTTTTTAATGGGCTTAATTGTTCCCTTTTAATCCTATTTCACCTGTCAAACGCATTTATTACTCTTTACCCAGCGAAAAGAATGAATTCGATAAAAAATGAACGCAAGTAGAGAAAGTAGGAAACCGAAAGAAGAAAATAATTGAAATTTTGAAACAAAAGCTTTTCTCTGGCGCCGACGTGGTGCTCCAGATGCGTCTGCTGTTTTTTTATATGTACAGTAATATATCGCTCTGTTTTCAAATTCGTGTCAAAACGCATGAGATTTCAAATATTTTTGTTTTTCAAATATTTTAATTTTTTATTGCAAATTTTCTCTCTCTCTGCAGTTTTTTGTTTCCAAATGTTCATTACAGTCGTGGGAAGTATTACACTAGTACACCATTCAATTATTTTTTTTTCAATACGACCCCTCTTTCGTAGATATATCTTAATTAAACAACCCTAGTGGAGTTAAGAATTTTCATTTTATCTTTGGAGATTATTTCAAAAAATCTCTCTACCGATTTTCAGATTTGGTCACACTTTGTCATAAATCCATCTTTGAAACAGAACCAAATAGATCAAAATAAGCGGGATTTTTTCCTCTCTATCTTCGCGAAGATTTTAAATTTCGAGTTTTACTTGCTTTAAAACGTTTTGTATTTCGAAAAAAGGAGCTTTTTACCGAAAAATTTTCCCATGTGTACCTTATAGATTTTTAATTGTCCATATTCGATGTCTTTTCATAAAAGTCTTGATATATGACGTAAAAGGCTCCAAAGAGCACTGCCATGCGAAGAAATGGCGCTTTGTTGACGCCCGGTCGCCTGCTTTTTTTCAAGCGAGACGAGATGGCTATAGCCGACCTTCTGGTGACCTTGCCATGCGCAAATGACATCAGTTCGCTTTTTTAAAGGCGGTTTCATCCCCTTGGGCACATTTTCTTCTTTTTTCAAATATAAGTTCCTTGAATATTAACGGTTCAGATGTTTGCTTATTACACAATGTTATCCTTTTTTTTCGCAACTTTTTAAAAATTTATTTCTTGACGTTGCAAAAGTAATTACTTCTCGATAAGTACACGTGTATTTTTGGATAGGAGAGGAGTATGGATATGTGTATGAGTAATTGTTGGATAAGTACATGTATAATTTTTGAGAGTTTGAAAAAATATTGCTATTTAATCACCTATAGGTTTTAGGCCTAAAAACATCACAGAAAATTATTTTATTTGAACAGCGTTGGGTTTTTCGTGTGACTCAAGAATTCTCAAGAATTACCCTAATTGAACGGAAATCCAGAAGTGGTTGAATGATCTTCTCTGCTCTTTTTTTTTCGCAAATGTAAAAGATATGTTCAAACTTTGCATGTAAGTCATCAAATGAGTTCCATAAATGTGGTATTTCATAAGAAGATGGTAAAAAAATTTCAGGTGTTTCTTTATACTTTCTCCTAATGGGAACACATTTCATGACTTCTATTCACAATAACAATCCGTTATCTTTTATAACTTTTGGTCAAGAGCCCACGTGCTCGTTTATCAAAATGTTGCGTAGTTGATCGAGATAAAGATGTTGTTTTACTGTGAATACACTTATTGTCCAACTTTTGATTCATATGGTTTAAATTCTGGAACGAAGTCGTCTACGTTTTCCTTCTTCCTATTTGAATTTTCGTTGTGAAATATTTTTTTTCACTCTTGTTCATTTTAGATAAAAGGAATGCGGTGGACTATTCACTTAGAAGGAGGTCCACGAAGAGTCAATCACGCCGCTGTCGTTCTTTCGGGAAATGTCAGTACAGAGCTCATTAAAAAATTGATTGTGTTCACCTCTAAAAAATAATTGGCTGTTGATCATCAGAAATATGTTCGGAATAGGATATATGAAAGATGTTTTCAAAATGTTTAACTTTAAGGTTTACTCGTTCGGCGGGTACTGCAGTGGAGATGTTCAAAATGGCATGGAGAACATCGACGTGCACATGCTCGATACAGGTTCTTTTTTTCTCGCTTCACTTTAAGTTTTCTCTTTGTTTGGCGAGAGACGCTGTAACAGGCGAATCGCGAGAATTGATGGGTTCTGAGATAACCTTCGATTTGAATCTCGCGGCCTGAAGCCTTTTGTTTTTGTTTTTCGTCTCACAATTCGTTCCAAAGTTCTTTTTTTTCAGAAACTTACCGATGGAGCAAGGTTCAGCATACAAACGAACCCGAGTCGGAAGTTCGCAGTTTCTCGGTAAACTTTTGATTATTCTTTGTGTCAGTTAGTAGTATTACAATATTTTCCAACGTTCTTTTCTAAAATCATCTTTTTCAATACAATGGAACAATAGAAAGCTTCTTCTACGTGCTGTATTTTGAAGGCTTTCATCCCTCAAATGTTTTCAAGATTGATGGCCAGCCCTTGGAACAGCTGCCTTATCAAAGGTACGGACACACAGTCTGTGCGTACCGAAATGAGGCCTATCTCTGGGGAGGACGGAACGACGAGTTTGGCGCCAGCAATGTAATTCATAAGTTCGATCCAGGTGCGTAATCTTAACGATAGATAGTTTATAAAACAAAATTCTTGGAAAGTAGTGCAAATCAAAAAGGAAGTGAGTTTAGTGGCGCGCAGATGGAGCCTCGTGAAGACGATTGGATCGATTCCGCCGGCTCGCGATGGCCACACAGCCATCGTCGTCGACGACAAAATGATCGTTTTCGGCGGCTTCGAGGAGGATATGCAGCGCTTCAGTCAGGAGACCTACGTTTACAACTTCCTCACCTGCCGTTGGACGGAGTTTGTCACTAAGGTCAGTGTTTTAGTATCAGTGAAAAGATCCTTCTTGAGATCGGCTCATAATTGACGTTGAAAGGTCATGGCTCCAATGAGAAACTTTTTTGGCATTTGCATTTTGTGCACGGTTTCAAGGAAAATTAATCTCACTAGGGAACTTTTTTTACCCCCCGGTTGAACTTTTGCTGAAACTTTGCTGAAGTGTACTTTAGGACCTTCTGATTCCAGAACAAGAAGAAAACTTCTCGCAATAGATCTCGTTTTCGAGTTAGGACACTTCAAAAACCCGAAATAGCGCTTTTTTGGCCTAATTTGCGTATTTTGCACACTTTGAAGCTCCATAACTCGGGAACAAGATCTATTGCGAGAAATTTTCTTTCTGTTCTGCAATCAGGAGGTCCTGAAGTACACTTAAGCAAAGTGTCAGCAAAAGTTCAACCGGGGGGTAAAAAACGTTCCCTGGTCAGAACATAATATTTTTTAAAGTTTTATCATCGTAATTACAAAAGTTATTGTTTTTGCTAACAAAACGTTTGATTTATATAATTCCCTTTGAAATAAATATAAAAGACACTATTTTTTTAATCTCCTGCTGAAATTTTTTTAAATTTGAGATTGTTTCAAAAAGTCTCAAGAGGTAATTTTTTTATATACTTCAAGAAATTGATGCGTTCGAAATGATACGTGTTTCTAAAATCTAAATATTTTTTTAACCGTCCTTATTTTTTTATTTTTTTGATTGTTTCAGGGTGACCCACCGACGTGGCGCGACTTCCACACTGCCGTCGAAATCGACGACGTGATGTACGTGTTTGGAGGCAGGAGCGACCACAACGGACAGGTCGGTGAGCATGGTCCAGTGTTTCATCTCCCCCATTTCCTGCGAGAACTTTTCTGAAAGCCAGAATCGATCGCTCTCGTGTCGTTTTCATTAAAAATATGTTTATTGTCTATCAGCTTTCCAAAATCAAATCGAATGAGGCCGAAAAGGGAAAAAATGCAGTAAAGAGAATAAAAATCAATTTTTTTTTTCATCCATATTTTTTTTAAATCCGAGAGCAAAAAGCTGAATCAATCATTCAACTTTAGCTGTCTAATTCGGAGTATCAAGAAAAAAACTGCGAATTAATAGCTCGACCGAAGCTTAACCTACCTTTATCGTGTTTACTCCGAGCTGCTTTGTACCTGCTGTTATTTCTGATATAGGCTTTTAAATTTTGGCTTTCAGTCATTTACCTCATTAACTGTATACCTTTTTCAGTTCCATTCCACTCGGGATAAGTACGACACGCAATTGATGGCTCTGAATCTCGTGACCGGCGAATGGACGCGGCCGACTGTCTCCGGCACAGCGCCGTGTGGCCGACGAAGCCATTCTGCGTGTGAGTCATCCCAAACGAAGAAATTCTCGATATCGAGTGTATTGTGCTATATTTCATTCAAAAAAAAAAAAATCTAGTCTCTGGAAATTTGCTCGAAGGCTTTTGAAAGCAAACGGCGCCGCATTAGCTGAGGAACAAAATATTATTATTTAGTTTTAGCAGCTTAGTTTTTTTCCTTTCTCTACTCTTTCGCCTGTCGCAAAATGTTTTTCCACACTTTCTTCGAGAATCCAGCCTCATGATCAAATTTGAAGACAGTGTTTTTTAAAGAAATCGTTCAACTATAGCGTTAAAAAAATAATTTTTCATTTTTTTGTCGCAAATGAGAAAAAAATAAATTTTTTCCAGAAAGTAATTTTTAAATTTTATTTAAAATCAAAGAAAGATTTTCTTTGAATTCATAGGAATTTGAACCGGAAAAAAGGTATGTGTTCTAGGGAGCTACGAAGGAAAAATGTATCTGTTCGGTGGGTATCTTGGCACAAAAAACGTTCATTTTGGCGATTTGTTCTGCTACGACCCGAAGACGTCCGTTTGGACGTATTTGAGAGTCAGTACATTTTGAAGGTTCATGTTCAGAAGTGATTTTTCAGCCTTTCGGAGAATGTCCTGCTCCTAGGAGACGTCAGTGCACAGTTCTCGTTGGAAATCGCGTCTTTTTGTTCGGTGGAACCATGTTCGTTGATTTTTTCAAAGGAAGAAAGTATTTTAGATCATGATAGGATTTGTATGTACACTAAGAATAATTGCCGAGATAAACGCGAGGTCGGTGGCGGTACATTGACGAACTCGCAAACATGTCGCTTTTTTTTTAGGCGACCTTGCATTTCGGAAAATTTCGAATTTCGAGAGAAATGCTGCGTTCAAAAAATTTGAGCACAACTTTAAAATGCCATGAAGTTTTGTAAGAGGGTCATTATTATCTTCTTTTTTTTTCTACTTTCTACGTTTCGGTTGATGAATAACTAATAGAAATTGCGTATCCTCACTTCATCAGTAATTCCTTTAAATTCATTCGACTTTAATGAAACGTTTATTGTTCGCTCACAGACAGGTCTGTGGCGTGGAACAAGAGAACTAGGAAAGGTATATTTTTTTTTCTTGTTCTGCAATCAGGAGGGCCTGAGGTACGCTTCAGCAAAACTTCAACCGGAAGGGGGAAACAGTCCTAATTAGGTTGAATCGAAAAGAAAAAAATAATCTATAAACCAGTTAAATCATTTTGGAATAATTCTGTATAGCTAGACTTGCTTTTCATACGATTAGTTTTTTTTTTTGATTCAGCAAAATGATATAACTTTTCAGGCCGAATCCGAAGGCTTGCACGCCGATTCTCTCGAGTATTGAACCCCAGACGTTGAACACAGCTGCAGGCCTTGCTGATCTGGCCGACCTCTACGTTTTGGACTATAGTCAGAATTTTCTTTCTTTTTTCATTCAAAGATAACGAAACTTGGTTCATTTTTTCCGAACTCCGTTTTTCTTTGTTCCATTTGTCTGTATTTTCTCTTACAAGTTGTTTTTCAGGTCCGTCTCTGCGACAGTTGGCTATGAGCAAAGTTCTTCAATTGATCGACCACGATCCTTTGATCCTGAGATATCGATTCAATTCTTTGCTCCCATATGAATTGAGGTTATTTTCATATTTTATCTCCTCTTCTCCAAATTTCTGGACACCCTATTCTTCATTGTTTCTCGAATTTTCTTTTTCTTACTATTTGGTTTCAAAAAGCTCTTGTTTTTCAGGGAGGACATGTTCTTGATGATCCATCCGAATACAGTCACCACCAGCGCTCAGCTGCGAAACGAAACTTCTGGCTAGAATTGACCTTCTTGTTATCTGTTGACTTTCTTTTTGATCATGTACAATACTTCGTGATCACATTGCTTTACGCTTCAAATTAACTTCCTTTTGCTACTCGCATGTTTGATTGTAAATCAATAATTTTTGAGGTATTTCCACGGGATTTTTCGATTGATCCTCATTTTTCTCCTTTCATGTATAGTGTTGCTTTCTTCTCAAATCTTTCAAATTTTCAAATTGCTCAAATTGGTCTAGTTTCTTGTTGAATTTTGTTTTTTTTTTCTTCTTCGGTTTCTGATGGGCTAAAAGATATACGCGTAATCTCGGATTTATCGAATTTTGGCCTTATCTTGTATATATTGTTGATTACTTTCGAACCCAACATTTCAAGTTTTACCCTACTCTCTGCCTCACCCAGATAAACATCTTTAATTTGAAAATTGTTTTGTTCCTCATTTACAGTTTTAATTCTTGAAGTTACCTGTTCAAAAGAGGAAAGAAAGTTGGGGGCGTAGCTTTTGTTTTATTCTATTTTAAATCATAAAAGTTAGAAGTATAATTTCGTATGGAAATCGATACTGCTTGCGAATTTCATCACTGTAGGAGGTATTTCGAGTAAAAAAATTGCTCAAATAAGTATTAAAATCGCCAGCTTTCTTTGGCTGATGAATAGCGCAATTTAAATTGAGCTAATTATTGAATCTTCTGAAAACCTGACATTCTATGATTCTATCTTGATGATGTGATCAACGGCTTTTAAGCCCAAAAACTCGAAATATTTTCATTGATACAGTAGTATTTGAAAGAAAACTCTTGTTTTACAATTTAATTTTTTTTTTTACTAAAATCTTATATGGTTGAGGGGCCTGTAGACATAGAAACCTTGATGCGAATAATACATGAACCTCGAAAATCAAAAAAGGAATGCAGGCGTCGGCACACCCGATGGGCTGCGGGGCGTCGCTGGCCCTGGCGCTATGCATGCCGTTGTCCTACGTGGCCCTGGTCCAGTTGTTCGATAGAGACGGAATTGACAGAAACCACACTGTTTCTATCAAACGGAGGTTTCCCGAGAAAAAATATGGCTGATTTTTATATTGCTTTTAATTATCCCTCGAGCTTCCAACCGGCGCGAACTTTCGTGTTAGCCGTCTTTGTTTTTTCTAGAATTCCGGTCATATATTTTCTCAAAAAATTGTGCGGGAAATTGTATCGCAATTTCAATTATTATTATCAACTTTTCAGATTTACGGGTGCATTTTTAAATAACATCATATCAGTAGGCTGTACTTGGATGATTTTGAAGCAGGTTCGTTTGGCCCTCTTTTGTCACGATTTCTTATCTGCTCAGGGATCATCGACTCCCTTGAGAGATATGGGCCTTCATGTAGATAAATTGTTAAATGCCGTAAGTTAGTATTTCCATTCTATGTGATTATTTTGATTCAGATCTTCTTTCCTTGTATCCTTATGTTCACATTGTATTTCGGGCAGTTTGTCATGATGTTTTACGACAGAACCTTAGGAAATTGCTTTGGTTGGGTTTTGAAGTATTGAGAGTTAATTAGTGAATTTTGAAGATCTGAAATCTTGGCTGCGTTCTTTCCGCTCTGCGACATGGCTTCGCGATATCGTGTTGGTGAGCGAATGAATTTGTAACAAGTAGATTCGTGAAAAATAGAGGAGAATTCATGAGGTAGCGATGAAAAATGTTCTTTGCTTGGAGTTTTCTGAAAATCATTTTTCCGTTCGTTTTTTGAACAGGAAACAGCTGCTATTGGTGACTGAGATATGTCATTTTTAAACAAGCGCGAAGTTCAAGAAATGTCATTTTTTGAAAAAGAAAATGTATCATTGTTGGAGTTGTGCAAATTCAACAAGCTGTGCAATTTTAGGTTTTTTTGGAAAAAAATTAATCGCTTCCAAAAAAAGTCTATTCATGAGTACAATAAAGGACTTTCTTCCGCTTTGGATTCATGAACAAAGTTAAACAAACAAGGCTAAGGGATACTTAAAAAAAATATCGAAAGTTTGAAGGAATAAAAAGATAAGTCAGCGAATAGAATAGATTTTATGCAGGGACCGGTGACCGAAGAAATAGCGTTCCGATGCTGCTCGGTGGTGCTGATGTCGCAGTGCGCCTCGTCCCTGGCCACCGTCTTTCTTTCCCCTGTTCCCTTCGCTCTCAGCCACTTCCACCACGTCTTCGACGACCAACGTCGAGGATTCACTCCACAGCAGGCCTTCCTCAAACGGAGTGATCTCCTCTTTTCCGGTTCATCTCTACTTTCGCGATGCTTTCAGCCTTCCAGTTCGCGTACACCTACATTTTCGGGGTGTTCGCCTCCTACCTCTTGCTGTCGACGCGACATGCTCTCGTTCCGATCGTCGCCCACTCGATTTGCAACTCTTTAGGCCTCCCGCTTCTACATGAAATCGGTGCGTTTCTGTATCCTATTGAACTCATAATCTCAGGTTTTTTCTAATTTCTCAAGACTGATCCCTGAAAACAGTTCCATTTTCAATAACCTCTTACTGCGCATTTCCTTAGCTACAGGATGTCAAATTTAATGAGAAAATTTTTCTATCCTGTGTTCATCTAAACAGTTTTTAGTATGAAAAAAAATTTCACTTTTCGAGAAGTTTTTTATTTGGTAAATCTACATAGCTAGCTGAAATTTCTTGGATTGATAACGATAAAATGTAACTTTCCATTTAAAATCAAAAAGAAGAGAAGAAAGCGATTTTTCCTCTTTTTCGGAAACTTCAGACTTACTTTTATACTTGCTTTTTTAAGGCTTCTCATGACCCCAACTGGGATAAAGAACCTCTTTTAAACCACAAACTAACAAAAAGATCCCTCTGGTTCGACGAAAACGACCATCGATGTCTATCTTTCGAGGCACAGTACTCAGCTTTCGTTTGATGCTAATCGTTTATTTTTATGAAGCCTTTGGATGGCGTCATTTCGACACGCAAAGCTTCTTTTTATTGTTATTTACGCCGTGGAACTGAAAAAGACTGGTCTATGTGACTTTATCCACTACCTTCCCACTTCTTAGACAAACCAATTTATGATGTTTTGCGAAGTGTGTATTTTTGGCCGTTTCGTTAATAGTTTTTCAAAAGTCTTCGTACAGTTCTTTTACTGCTGGTTTCAGAAAATAATTGAAAAGTTTCTTTGTACTATTAGCAAAATGCTGAGCAGAAAAAAGAGGTTTAGAGGCCTCTATTTTTACCAAAGATGGCGGAGAATTGAGTTTATCTGAAAATCTGGAACGCTGTTTTTGCCTTGCAAGGAAGGTAATTTTTTTCTTTGAATTGAATAGAATTTAGATGAAAAAAATTTTTTTCCGGTACGAAATGGTTCCTGAAAGTATCAACCTTTAAAAAAAGTCTTAGTTTTTGGAGAACTTAAAAGCTTCAAATATCCATTCTCTAATCAATCAGATCTGCGTAAAATATACTAATTTTTTTATAGTTAGTTAGAAAGAGGGCTTTTTCACAGTTTCGAGAAGATAGAACTCCCTCCGTGGGGAAATTTGTTTTATAACAAACTAAAATTGGAAGGTCTTCACAATATGTGTTAGACTTTTGAAAAGAAAGGTTATTTCAGGCTTCTACCCTAAGCTGAGTCAGAGAGCGACGCTGTGGATCTCCTATATTGCGGGTTTCGTCGGCTTTTCATATTTATTGCTACCATTGACTAGTCTACATATGTATTCAAATCCGTTATAATAACATGTTCCATGAAATAAATTATTTAATTGTCATTTTTTTTTCCATTCGTGAAATACTCAGTTCTCATGCTAGTTTTATTTTATTCGACGCAGAAAGAAAAGCAGATATTAGGGGTTAGTTATCATTTTTTTTAATATTTAAACGTTTCAAAGCTTCAAACCTGAATCTCAAACGAGTTAGAAGTAAGTAAATCATATATTTTTTCCGCATCGTTTTCCAGTTTTCCCCAGTGAGATGAAGCATTTCTTCACTCATCACCCACTCCTAGACGACCTTGTTTTACCCAAAAGCAGGTGTGAAACATCTGTCCTCACCCTAATCCGCCAGTGTTTGCCTGGCCTCTTCTTCGTCTGCCATCTTCTCTGGTTTCTTCTTTCCATTCTTTTTCTCATTTTCAAAGTCTTGTTGGAAATCTCACCAAGGGGCTTTTCAATCATTGTTTGTACAGAAAAAAAAAACTTGCAATGTTTTTGAAGATGCAAAAATTTCATAGAGATATCAAAGCAAATAATTTTTTTCAGAGCCCGTTCAGTTCATGAAAGCCTTCTGCGGCAGCAATCTTTTTTGAGAATTCTTAACTTTGTAATTTTGATCTAACTCTTGTGATTGCTGCCTTTTCAATATTCTAAGATAAAAGAGCGGGGCCGACCTTTTATGTTCCTCTCCTTTTTTGGGAAATGAATGATAGGCTTTTTACCTGAAAATCTTCGGAGACTTTTCTTTTGAATTGAACCGGCACCAAGTTGAACGGGTCGCCTTGACTTTCTAATAGAATTACCTTCAACAAGGTCAATGCCATATATGGTTCGCATGGCGAAGTCTCTTTCAAATTGACGATCCTTTTTCATACCTATTGGCTACTTCTTAGTGTTGTAACTCCTACTCATTTAAAAATTTGCATATATTTTTATATATAATGAAGTATGAAGTTCTTATTTTTGAATTATTCGAAGAAACTACCATTTTGCAAAAGAAAAAAAAAACTTAAAACACATATAATCTATTTATATCACCCATTCACGAATGATCGTCGATTCCACCAAGAACAATTTCTCATTGTATGCGACTTCGAAAGCTAAAAAAAAGAACAGTTGTTCCATGATCCGTCCAAGATCTTTCTGCGCCTATAAATTTTGAGGGTAGCAAAAAAAAAAATGCTCGGAAACCCCGGAAAAGGTCCTCAGCAGACATAATAAAAACTCTTGTTGAGGTCTCAACATACTTAAGAAATATATTCTCAGATTATAGGTTACGCGGGCCCTGTTAGATTTCTGAATATTTTTCTGGTGAAAAATTGCGACAGAAACAACTTTTGAAAGTATGTTTTGAGAATAAGCGCATTGTAAAGGTTCAATGATCGTTCTGAACGAACCATTTACAAAGCCAACTTTTCTTTCAAAAGGAATCTTTCCCGATCACAAAAGTCTTCATTTATCCACCTGAAAATGTGGCTGTAAGAAGCTAATCTGGGTTAGCAGATTCAGAATCTTCTTCGCGTCTTCCAACACCTCTAGACAATTTGATCCTTTGAATCTCTATAGTTTATTCACTTCCAATTAAAACAATTTCTTACATTCCTGGAGAGAAAATGATTGATTATTTCAACTCCATCGAACTGGGATAGTGTTCTTCATGTGTTTTTGAGACATAACTATCCAGTTGAAAGGCCCCTCCGACGACGGCCCTTGCCGTGGTGCCAGAGCCTCGACCTCTCAACCTTGACGGCTGCACGCACTTCCTCTATTTGGCATCCATCGATCGATTCACGCACATGTCACCAGATTTTTGGCGCCAAATCGGTTGTTTTGGGGGCGTCCTATCAAACGGACCTCGCGTTCACGTGCCTCGGTGACCTTCGCTCGCTCATCCATCGTCTCATTTCCTTCTCCTCTTTCTTTTATCATTTTTCCCTTTTTTGTTCCCTGTGGCTGTTTTCCGTCCGAAGAAAAAAGTTGAAAAAAATGATCAAAAGTTCTATCAGAGTCATTTTCCAGAATTTGGTAGCCACCGGGAATGATATAATCTATTTCTCTATTTCTCTATCCTCGTGCCACTTTTTCCTCAAAAAAATTTTTCAGTATTTTTATGAGGTTGAAAATTTTTGAGAGAGAATTTCAAGGCAAACTTTCGGACGAAGAAAGAATGCAATTTTTTTAGTTCAAATCTAAGTAGTTTTTCCTTATTTCCTTATTTTCTCGTTTTTCTTAATTTTATTCTTTGAACAGATTTTCACTTTCTCGAACTCAAAAGCGTAACAATGCTGAGTTTTAAGATAAAGCGTAACTAAAGGAAAAATATTTACCTTGAATTTCGGATCGTTTTCGCAACTTCATTATTTTCCAAAAGGTTATACTAGATGGACTCTATCAGCTGTTCCTGATTACCAGTGTGTTTGGCAACACCGGAACTGTGAATGTTGTGCTCTCGAGTTACCATGGGTTGGCGTCAGCCCTGACCCCGCCACTGTTGGTTTTTGCCAGTCGCCTCGAGTGTCCTCATTGTCGCCACGTGTTCCTGTTTACATTACGCTGTATAAACTATAGACGCCACTAATCAAAACTTCGGCAGTGTTTCTCAATGCTGAGAAAATTTTTTCATTTTGGCGCTCCTAAGCGAGACTTTTTCTGGCGGGAATTTTGAATTCGCGTGTGGTTTCGCGTAAATTTTAAAATTTTTCGTTTATCCCTTACTTTTTCGATCATAGTTTTCAATAATCAGCAAAATTTGGTGAACTTAAAACAGGTAAAAAAATGTTTGTAGTAAAGTAATTTTTATATTCTAGTTCTGATGAGCTTTCTACATACAGTTTTGAAATTTTTCAAAAACTTAGAAGACGCCAAAAATGGTGTGCTCACAAGTTAACTGGATTCTATCATGTCGTAGGTAGCCGTTGGCCGAAGATTTCTCAAAAACCAGCGGTTGTCGTTCGCGATTTGCACTATTAAGCAGTCTGAGCGCGAGGATTGATGGAAAAGCCCTGGGGGAAATGAGTTTTGTTGCACTCGGACGGTGTTCTCTGACCCCCAGCCTCGCGTCTTTCCCAGGCGCGTTGAGAGAGAAAGAGAGAGAAATGGTTGCAAATACGGAATGCATGGGATTAGGTTCACTTGAAGGGAGTTCTTTTGAATTCACGCTTCTCGCAAAACGGTCATTGTTGCTCTGAGTACTTTTGATCTTACTCTAATGCCACTAGAACTACAATCTTTTTCTTTTATCACAATGAGGCCTAAGATTTTTGGTGGGCTCTGTCTACCTAACGCCCGTTTTTTTTTTTTGACGAGAAACCCCTTTGATCTTTTTGCAGTTTTTTTTTTCTGATTTGTCTGATGAGGTTCGACAATTATGGGGCCTAGTTAGATTTAGCTCAAAGTTTTTCCCAGCTTTTCTTCCGACCCAAGAGACTCTAGCCGACCTCTGACCGCCTGGACAATCAAGGTACCTCGAGTTTGGTTTTCGTATCGCGCGGCGTCAGCAAAAACAAGCATTGTGCCGCCTGGAACGGTCGGCGGAATAAGAAAACACGAAACAAAACGAGGTGCTGGGAGGTTCCTTATACGTCTCTCTGAGCGGGTGTCACGTTGTCAAACGACCGCAGCATTTTCGCACCGTCCTCCTCTTGATCCGTTGGCCCGTTGGTTCTACTCGAAAGAGGTCTTAGCAGAGGGAACCCGATTCTCCCAGAAAGCTCTGGCAAGATGCAAAACTGATGCTTCGTCACATTTTTTCTTGACCCCTTCTCTAGAATAAATTGCCGAAATCAATAGGAGAAACTGGCGAAAATTTATTTTTTTTCAAAATTCATTCTCACTTCAAAGTATAGTTCAATGAATGTCCATAACTTAAGGACGTGTTCAATGAGCTATGGCCTTTGGTGGCTCTAGAATCAGTTCTTTATTGATTAATCTTCTTCGGATATACGGAGTATAGACTTATTTCTCCTAGTCCAAAGGTCGTCAAGAAATTTTTTGTTTTCTCAGCCTCTGGGAAATTTTGGTGCCAGAGGGTACCGGCGATGGTTTTTGTTGCTTGTTTGCTTCTCTTTTCTCTCTTTTTACTCCCTCGCCGCATCTTTTTCAAAAAGTTTGAAAGTGTTTGAGTAGGGTCCGCAAGCCATTTCTTCAGAACGATTCAAAAATATATGTTTTTCACATTTTTGATAGAGGAGACTGTCCAATTTCATAATCCGTTTAGTTTTTGAGAAAAAGCTCCACTAAGAAAAAGTTATGGCCAAAAAAACGAGCGCGCGCGGCGTACAACTGGAGGCAAAATCTCACGGTTTACCCGCTGCCGCACGCTTTCTTTTTAAATGTTTTTGCGCGTTTCTGGACCGTTTTTGAATCGGTTTTCTGCTCTGTGAGATTGTCCGAACTGAGCCTCATGTTTTGGTATGAATCTTTTGTACAATCCTCATAAGAATTTTTGATAAAATATCAAAAAACTACCTAGAAAAAAGGTCAAAGGGATTTTTTTCAGCTTATTTTTTTCTTTTTTTCTACTTAGAAAAAAATTATTATCATTTGATTTGGGAAAAAAAGAAAAAAATGAAAAAAATAATGTTATTTCGAAATAAAACAGGAAAAAGTGCAATTTGACTACGAAGAACGGCTCCTGCGACATTTAAAAGTGGCGCTTCGGCGTGTTTGACGCAAACACTGCTACGGACACTTGCACGAAATCTTCCGAAATTTCAAAAATTGCCATTTTTTTCGAGGTTTTCAAAGCCGTTATTTTTCGCGTCGATCGATTTTTTTCATAATTTTTTCATTGATAGAGTTTTGAACGCTTAATAACATAATCAAAAATATAGACGCGATCCTATTCTCTCATGCGTCAACGAGGCAGGCGAAAAATGGAGGTTTTGGTAAAACTCAAATATAACTTGATTCGCTGTCCCAATAATTGTTTTCATTTTGAATTTTTATTTTTGGACACACTGTTAGTTTTTAAATCAAATAAAAAGTATACCATGTCGCTGAAATTTTTTCGCATTTCAGCTTCAAAGTTTGGTGTCACTTTACAAGCTTTAATAATTTTTTCGCGTCGGTAGATTTTTTTCATTTTTACTCAAAAAATAGAGAAAGTGTTAATGTATAACATACTCAAAATTCGGAAGCGTTCCTCACTTGGTTTTCAGAAACGCGACGATTTTGTGAAACTTGTCAGTTTTTTTCGTGTTAAATCTTACTTTTTCGCTTATTTTTGAAAAATACATAGTTTTTAAAAATATTCAGTCTTGTAGAGCGTTGTCGATTACATAAATTAACAGAAACAGTTAATTTTTAAAGTGGGACTTTAGCTAGTATAAACGCCTCAAAACCGTTTTTTGCAACAAAAATCGTCATTTTTGGTGGCGTGAAGGGGCGGGGCTTTGCGCCCCCTATGTTTGAGCCGTAGTAATCGCATTTTTTTTTCCGAATCGTAAAGGATTATCAGCGACTTCACGTTTGAAACACTTCGAAAATTTTACAGGTTAGATTATCTCATCTCCTAAATATCGTTAAACCCCCATTCTTTCCCAAAAAAAAAGGCAAATTTGTTAGAAACTGTCTCCTTTTTACTTCGGACTTGCTGTGTTTGAACAGTATGCCGCAGTATGCGTAGGGACCGCAAAGCCACGCCCCTTTTCGCGATAGAAAAAGTGGCTTTTTTTTGGTTTTCAACTTTCATTTTGTTGTAGTTGCAAAATATGTGGAACTGGCTAATAAAATTTGACACACATGTACAGAAAAAGCTTCCTCTTTCGTTTAAAAAATATTTCACGCTTTTTTGATGCGTTCTCGCGGAATGTCGTACAAAAACGTGAATAGAACTAAAAAAATTTTTGTCGTTTTTTTGCTTTTTTCATGTGTTTTTCAGGTCGAACGCACTCTTTCTTTTTAAATAATGATTTTGATTCAAGTAACGGTAATTTTAAAACAATAAAATAAAAAAATCTCGTCTTTGCCAAAAATTTTAGGGAGTGCCGAAAGTCATAATTCAAAATATCGTTAATAAGCGAATATAATCGAGTTTTTGTTTTTTTTAAATTTAGATCATGAGCTTACTTAAATTTTTCTCCACAGCATCTGTGCTTGAAAAAGTTGTTTAATACGCAAAAATGCTCTTGAAACTAGAGAATAAAATTAGCGGCGTTTATCACACAGAAAGCGGTCGAACGCAGGTTTTTCAAACGATTATATACATTTATTAGTAAAAAAATCTTTCAATTAAAAAGAATAAAATAAAAAAATTCGTCTTTGCCAAAAATTTACGGGGCCGTTTTTAAGGCAGCGATCGTTTAACGAGGCAAAAAGCACTAAAAAAACAGTTTTTTCGAAGTGAATTTCCACGAAAAGTTTGAGTAAAAAAATTTGCGAACATATTCTGATAAAAAAATAGCTGAATTACTTCAAGTTTTTTTATTTTTTTGAAATAGGCAATCTGTGCTATCCAAACGGCTCAAGGGTATGGCGGATGGAAGCTCCCCTTGCTAGACCTGACAGCTTGGCGCAGCGCGTGCGCTGCGATTTTTCTTTTTGAGGTCGCGAGTTCGATACCCGCAAGCGTCAGTTTTTTGTTTTCTGGAAAATACCGACTTTTTCGGCAAACTAGCTGATTAGCATCATTTTAGCACTCTATTATGATTTGTTACATCATAATAGACCAGTATCGAAACTTGTTCGAGAAGAAACATCGAGAAAAATGTCAAAAATGGATAATACCAAAATTTCAGTACTAAAAAAATGGTGCGCGGCGCGCCACATTTTCCGTCATAACTTTTTTTCATCCTCAATATTTTTTTGAAAAAAATAAACGGTTCTGAGTTTTGAATCGAAACAGCTATCGAACCATACAAAGCTCAATGCTGATTTT